GCCGTTGTCTTGTACTGCCGCAGTGGAAGAAGAGCCAGCAGAGCCAAGGAAATTCTGGAGAACCGAGGATTCAAGACTGTCCTCAATGGAGGCGGTTATGATGACATGAAGAGCATGGGACTATAAGTGATGAAAGCTGTTATGATAAAGATTATAATACCTTTGGAAATACTCACTAGCCCACTTTGATTTTGTATCGTTGAATGTACAGTAATAGTATAGTTTCTCGCTCGCACCATACAGTTGTTTTTTGACACGACCCTGGTGGGCTGCTGGCTGAATTACACTCTCTTTAAGAATCATCCCACTGACCTTATGGATCAACGGCTCGTCATGGTCTTTTTTGCATTTGAAAAATCGCGTCGTAGCACACTCACCTCATTACTCTCATACTTCCTCGTAACTTGACTCGATGTCGGCCTGCTATTTCATGAAGTACAGGGAAGAGCCTTCTCAGTGAGGCGCATGAGTCCGGTAGATAGTGAGGCGCATGATCCGGGTCGTGGGAGTCGATTTAAAATTTGAAGCGCCCACGCCACCACTCAAATGCAAGATTAAGTCAGACTTTCGATATTCAATATGCCGTTTGCTAGCATCGAAGACATCAAAACGAGTCTGGAAAACCCGAATACTGTGATCTTGGACGTTCGAACAACTCCGGAGATTCGCATGTCGGGAAAGATTGAAGTCGAAGGACATAAGTGGTACCAGTGTGCTTGTGGGCCCTTCTCTCGAGATTTGCGGCTAAACACTGATGCTTGGGATAAGAATGCAGGGGTGATTGTACATTGTCGCTCAGGCCACCGCTCATCAGCCGCCAAGAAGATTCTGGAGGGCAGAGGATTTGAGAATGTGCTCGATGGTGGAGGCTATTCCAAATTGAAAAAATCCTTGGGGCTGTCAGAAAAGTGATAGACCATGAGCGATGTCTAGAAGGCGATCGACTGTAAGATGAATTATGGTCACTCTTGTACGTGGGCTGAGTGCCAATAGACGAAGCCCAGAAAAAGAGGGCCCACTGTTGTTTCGAATTTCGAGTTCCAACTTCAAGGAAACAGCGCAGTACCTCCTTTCCAACGCATTTGAGTTCCTTGGCATGAGGAAGCTGCACAAAAAGTTTTCGGTTCGGCAGGCCATGTGCTCGTTCCAATAACTCAACAGCCACGGAAGGTCATTGCGCCTGCTTGGGGGGTAGGGGTTTAAGAGAAGTTGACGATGGCCAACACAAACAACTTGACTTGACATATAGGACTGTTCCAAAAAGCTTGTGAGAGTTTTTAGATAGCATTTCTTGTATGATTTGGTAGCATTAGGTAGACTCTTTTTGGACACAAGATCCGAGTATTGAGGTACTTGTACCAGGTACCCTGGTACAGAGTTGAAAGTGTATTTACATTTTTAAAAAAGGCTACATCAGTCCGACGTCAATAGATTTGATTTGTCCGACTGACTCAAACAACAAACGGAACAGCTGAATATAATACTGGCACGGACAGCAACGATGCTGAGATGAGATGAGATGCACCAAATTGCAGCTGCTGGCAATTTGCACGCTGAGCATTCTTCAGCTTACTTTTCTGTTCCAGCTGAATGATAGTGGTTACCGTTCCAGCACATTGTCCTTTGCACCTTTCGAGTACCATAATGGTCGAGCTCGAACATCCGAGTCATCAAACAGAAAATCGTTGCTATCGGATTACGAAAATGTGTGGACGCTGGATAAAGAAGATTGTCAATCAGCAGCTCGGGCTCCCATGGTTAAGAATCCACTCGAGATGGACGAAAATTCATTTCAACCGAAACACCAAGCATCAAGCATTATTGAAAAAGCCCAAGAAATGCAGAGAGCACAATATAATCGGTCCTCCTTCACTCATTTTCGCAACAATACGAGATGGCAAGAGTGCCTTTCGGAGGCATATCACTCCAAAACTCCCCCATCTTCTGATGGCAAAAGTAGACTCATTCATAGATTCTCGCATTCCGATATGGACGTTGTGATCCCCACAGCTCGGCTTACCTGCCTCAACCCGATGGCGATTCGAAATCTCAATTACTTTCAAGGACCAAGACGCATATTCATCATCACCCCTTTTGATGTGTCACTTTGTAGCATATTTGAAGCGATGGCCGAAAATATCGTTTGTATTCCAGAATCCAGCTTCGCCGGTCATCTTTCGGTTGAGAATGTCACAGAGATGATACCAGAAGAACTCAAAGCTGGAAAGAAAAGAGCCGGATGGTATTTTCAACAGTTCATTAAACTTGGAGTTTCTCAATGGATTGACGACTTGAGCGAATACTACATTGTCTGGGACGGAGATTTTATCCCCATCAACGGACGACCATGGGTATATCAGAGGTCCAATCAAACCTTCCTCTCAACGGACTTGGGCATTGGTGGTGGCAACAATAATATCCATTTGAGTATGTCGTGTTATAAGCAAACCTACATGAATTTTTTTGGTAATCCTGGCCACGTTGCACCGGATGAAACATCGCATGTAGTGCATCAAATGGTGATGCGCAAGAACGAGGTTATTCATATGTTGGTAGAGATGACTGCACGAAAGACAAACTACACCCGAGATAACAACATATTGGGACCACCCGCGACTGTATGGGCGGGTGCTATCATCGCATCAGTTGTCGAAAGTTTCCATTTACCGATTCGGCATAAGCGCAAGAGATGCGACAAAGTCGGGTTTTCAGAATACCATTCCTATGCTTCCTTTGTCCATGACATCTACGGCACAGCTGCTGTTTGTCAGAATCCAACCATAGCATTTCATCGAACATGGGGACCCATGATGCCGCAACAAACAAGGAGAAGTAAAGATACCATCGGTGCCTGTTGTCCCACCGAAGAATGGCTCTGTGATAAAGTGCAACAACTTGGAGAAGATATAACATATGTTGGCGTAGAGCTGGGCCAAACAGACGGTGTAGATACCTGTGGATGGAAAAGCAACGACTCCCCAATCTACCCTTGAGATTCATTTATCAATTCTACGCAATATCTTAGAGCACATGTGAAATACGGTGGAGAGTAATGACTTTTACTACCATCTTTTAGACACATGCTGGTGGGAATAGATGTTGGTGTGCCAAAATTCACGTTTAGTCGAAGGAATCAATCAATTGCGCAAAGTCGGAATTAATAAATGATCGCGGTCATCGCGTCTACTTCAGTACTTAGAGAGACGAAAACGCAAGGGATGAAATATTGAATATCGCACCGCGAATAATAAGTCGCAATAGTGCGCAAACACAAACACGTAACAATATACTTTGCAACTCGCATCGTCCGAACTTGTCAGATATGTCATTTGCTAGTGCCGCTGCCATCAGAAAGAGTCTTCAAAAACCTTCCACCATCCTAGTGGACGTTAGAACAGGGCTGGAGGCAATGATCTCGGGAAAGATTGAAGTAGAAGGACACAAGACATACCAATCTTCCTTTGTTTCGAGTATCGCCAAGGAGTGGGATAGAGATACTGATATCATTGTGTATTGTGCATCGGGGGCCCGATCAGCTGGTGCCAAGGGAACTTTGGAAGGTATGGGATTCAAGACTGTATTGAATGGAGGGGGTTATTCTGATATGAAATCGATGGGGTTTTAGCCTAGGTATTCAGCATCCAGATTGAGGTCAGTCAGCCAAAATCAATTTAATTTGATTCTGATTGATGATTCGACGGTCACACTGCTGTTAAACTAAGTACACCAGTCACTTCAGTGTTCTTTTGTCATTTGTTAGTATTAATACAAGTAACGTGCCGATTCTAATTGATGAATTCGACGGTCACACTGCTGTCAAACTAAGTACACCAGTCACTTCAGTGTTCTTTTATCATTTGTTAGTATCAATACAAGTAACGTGCCGAAAAAGTTGTCTTTCCCCCAATCGTCATATTTCTCGTTCGTGATCAATGGCATCATCACCTATTGGAACTCGATAGCTACTTTTTCGGCAATCTTCTTCTCGATTGAAATGACTGAATCCAGCAGTTCAGAACATTCAAGGGAACTGGAGGTGTTCCGGATAGTTCAAATGTAGCAATTGCACTGGTTTGTTAACCCATCCAAAAACTGTCTTTTGTTCCACAGTCGTATGGACCCATGGACTCTTCTTTTTCTTCTTTTTCCTAGAGTCGTTTGCAACCAAGCGTTCCCATGCCACTTCAAATACCTCCCGGCCGCCTTCTCGAAGGCCAGTGTCGTCATCCGCCAGTATCACCCATGCTCTCTCTTCATGGCAAGCATGGAAGCAACGTTGCGCTATAGCCTTGGCCAAAGAGGCGTCGTAGAATACTGCGCTGGCGACTAGAATTCGTTGTGGTTTGTCAGCACCGTTGCTGTCACTTGCTTCTTTTGGCCAGGGCAAAGGATCCGATGAAGTAACGTCAAAGAGTGCCATTTCCAAGTTTCCATCCATGATCTTGCAAGGGTCATCGCCTTGTTCTTCAGGCAGCGGCGGTCGCAATTGTTTTGCCTTTATCTTTTCTTTGTGTTTACGTTGCTTGTCACAAGTCTCTGACCATCCTTGTTGCAATAATCGGAGTGTCATTGGTGCCACATCTGTCGCCATTGTTTTTGCTCCGCACAAAGCGGCTGCCATTGACACCAAACCAGTCCCGCATCCAATCTCTAGCACTTGGTAGGACGGTGTAGTGCGGGTGGTCGTAGTATTACTTTCGCTGATAATCGGGTCTGTGGGTGTCAAGATGTAATCCGAAAGAAACTCTGCTAGTGCCAAAGATGGTGGCCAGACACGGGTCCCATAGGGATTGTTTATCTTCTTCTCGTGATCCTTCTGTTCGCCATCTATGGTTGAGGATTGGAACTCTTCTTGGGACTTCCACCAGGCATTGTCCTGTATTTCGACAAGGCAGATGTCTAGAGGAAGACCAGCTGGCGGTGGCGGCGAAGGGTTAGTTTTTGTTTCTAATCGAAGCCAACACCGTTTGGTTTGAAGCTGGTCAAAAGTGACTATTTGTTGGGTTTCCGTTGGATCAGTACCCTCATTTTTTTTACTCTGAGGTTTGCCTTTTTTCTTTTTTGGGAAGCCTCCATTGTTGCTGTTGGGATCAATACTCTTGCGCGTTCGACCAATTCGTTTGCCATCTGATCGTCTTTTGTCGTCCTCCTCGCCCATTGTCTCAGCATTCTTGTCCCTGTTGCGACGCTTGTTTTTCCCCTTTGCCTCTAGACGAGTCGTGGACGTCGAAATATGAGTTTTGATGGTAAATGCAGCGAAATCAGGTCGTCTCCGCTGACCATGAGAAACCATTGGAGCTTCCGTCACCATCCATCCTTCCACCACGACAAGGTTTGATAGGAGACTAATGATCAAAAGTAGCAATCCCATTGTGAAAAAGCGAGCAACAAATCGATTGCCATTTCCATTCATACTTTCATCTGGTGCTCCTCTGCCTGCAGATTATTGAAAGCGAGATCAAAGTGTTGATGTCTGTATTATCTTCACCGTTTTCAAAAATTTACAGTAGGTGAAGATTCAAAATTGAAAATGGGCGGTGATCTGTTTTCTTTTGTACGTCCGTCATCAGTGATTACGAAAATTCGTTTTCTCATGCCAACACGCAAGCGTTCGTGGCAGAATGCAAACGACTCTACCGGTATCATACCTGTCTTCTGAATACACCAGGAAGCGCATTGTGATTTTATCGAAGACCAAAATGAAGTTTAACCATTCGATAGCTGATTCAATATCCGAAAACAAGTTTCTCCAGAGTTGGATCGGAAAGCTCATTCTTGGAGGAATCGCTTTGGTGGCCACCCTCAGATATTCAGCTGGAATTTATGCTTGGCGTCAAACGGAGTTGTTGGAACGTCCCAAGTATCAAGTCCTACAACAGCTGTCCAATGGTGTCGAATTGCGACGATATGAACCCTACATTATTGCCGAGACTACCATTGCGGGACAATCGGGATTCAAGCAACCAAGTTCTCAAGGTTTTCGTGTCTGCGCTGGTTATATTTTTGGCAAGAACCGAGGAATGCGTCAGCCAAAGACTGCCACATCTTGGTTCAGGGGAGAGAAGAGTTTGGAGGCAGAGAAAATGGCAATGACGGCACCTGTCCGTGTGGAGGGAACTGTAGAAAATAAGAGCACAAGCGAAGGAGAGAAGATGGCAATGACGGCGCCTGTTCGAGTCCAAGGAAGTACGAAGTACGAAAGTAGTGAAAGCAGCAATCCTGGCAAGAACGGTAGTACCAAGGTTTCCTTTGTCATTGGCTCTAAATACTCGTTGAAAACTGTTCCAAGACCATTGGATTCCAAATCTATCAAACTTCGTGAGGTACCAGCCCACACTTTGGCTGTCCGTCAGTTCAATGGTCCTCCTCCGAGTGAAGAACGGGTTCGCAAGGAAAGGCACATCATTGATCGAGCCTTGGCTAAGGCAGATGTTGCCATGGACGAAAATAATGTAAAACAACTGACCCTGAAGCAAAAGAAGAAAAATGGCAAGGGGGACGACGACACGACCTTGGTTTACGGGTACCACGATCCCTTCATTACTCCCAATTTCTTGCGGCGGAACGAAGTAGCTGTTGTTGTTGAGGGTACAGTGTAAAGTGCAAATCAATGATTAAATTTGTATGAGTTTCTATGTTGGTCGCCACTACTTCTAGTCGTTCAAATCAAATTGCCTCAGGAAGATGAGTCGGCTGAGCCCTAGTCCGAGTCCGAAACGGATTGGTCTTGCGGGGATATCTGATTCCGCTGCCCGTTAGAATCCCTCCCTTCCAACACCAAAACGCTTGACGACTGAAATCCAAAAAAGTTATTTGGGCGATCTTTTGACAGAGGGATGTTGTGGTGGACACGTCGAAACATCCATCCGAGTAAGGACAAGCATGAGCGACAGTAGCAAACAGTCCAAGAGTATCCTGGGAAATAGGAGTTTTCTGTATGTGGATCTCCCTCCAACATAACAGATTGGACATCCACAAGTCGCAAAGTAGTAATTTGATGAATATATCCATGGTCATTCACATACGCGGAGGTAGTGCCTTCAGCTCCCTGCACTGTAAACACAAACTTGACAGTGGATAAGGATTGATCACAACGGGCACACACGATGGGCCGGTTCCCGGATGATAATTCCTCGACGTGCTGATCTAACAACAAGAGTCGTTCGTATGTAGAAGAGGTCTCGAGTAGGGCTAGCCGATCCGATTCGCTCAACGCAAGGTTGGAAGCGCACCAAAAGGAAAACTTGGTGGGGTGGGAAAGAGTAGGAGATACGGAAACCGATGGAGATGACGACGATGCACCGACTTCATCCACCAAACATGGGAGGTGATTCCGTCCCCCGCTGGCATTAATCTTTTCCACTACTTGAGATACCAATCTCCAAGGAGATTTGTTGCGGTGCACGAAGTACGGAGTCGGTGTTATCTGTGCCAAGCACCAAGCACGAACCGTATGCCGATATAACCTATCATTGGTTTGAGTGATAGTATTGCTTTCATCAACATAGCTTCCTTGCTTCATTTCTCCTCCTACTGAATCATCATCTATACTATCCTTCTTACTGTATTCGGGAGGCGTTGAGAACATTCGCTGAATCGGTGGCAGGGGTAATGATGTATCCATCAATTCCTCTACTTCATATATTCTATCCCCGAGTGTGCTGCCTTGTTCCGAAGACGAAGCAGGTCCCACTATCCGAAACCGATGAGTTCCAACGGCTGTGAATACCAACTGGAGTGATGAAGGAAATGTTTGCAGCATTATGATTGAATTTTGGAAGAAGATTAGAGGCGAGAGAGTAAGACTCCACCGGATTCAAGGAAACCAACAATTAACAATTCTTGGCCACATACCTCCGTCCCATTTTGATATCGTTGCCAGACGTTGTCACCATTGACAGTGTTTGATTTCATATCTGTTCTTTCATGTGTGTACTTGATGGTCGCAATGGTCTGTTGGAGTTCAGAACAAATATGAGGAATGAAAACTAAAATAAAACTGACAAGTGCACTTTTCAGTGCTCCTCACCCCTATTCTCCCCGCAAGAGATCGATCGCTACTTGCTCTCCCTCTTCGTCTTTCTGTTGGATCGGGTTTGTACGCAAGAATGCCCAATCGAACTTCGGATTGCAGATGAGGGAGTTCTCGCATGATTGCAATTTGTCTCCCAAGATATTCGATCCATGATCGCTCTCTCAGTTTCACAGGTATCGTGGAACCTGGAAACAAGACAACTCCATACAATTCCAAAACAGGCAAATCTACGAATCGCCTATTGCTTATGTTGTTCGATATCTTTTGTGGTTTGTAGGCTGAGAGGAGGGGGTGAGCTGTCACCAGATAAGAATGGTCTCTTGGAAGTGCAACTGAGGAGTCCCCCAAATTGCTGGCACCTGTGGAATTTTCGTCGAAAGATGATTCCGATGCTTGATCTTGTGAATAGTTTGTGTCGTCCTCCATTCTACATTATGTTCAATCAAGCGTTGCTTTTATGTTCATTATTGGTTTTGTCCGTGTTCGAATTTGCTTTGCCAAATTTGGGGGAGGTGAGATAACATCTCTCCCTCAAAACTCTTGCTAAAAGCACCCACTCACTCGGACGAAGCCCAGACCCAGTACCGTATGTATTGTACCGGTACACGTGTACGTGTACCGATACCTACGACACTTTGATTCGATACGATAGGATTCGACACGACACGATACGACACCCACGATACGATACGATACGATACGACAAGACACGATACCAGGTACGGTACTTTACTATTATTATACTATTATTCCATGCCTACCATGGTACGAGTACTGGCATAGTGCTGGAACAACAGTTATCATGCATGGTGCAAGGTCAGTTCTGCTTCTTCATAATCCCACCAAGAGTGATTGATTCATTTCATTCAATGGGATCTAGGTAGTAGTAAAAACTTGTAAATTGAGATACACGGAAAGTCTGATACCAATCAGCTACTGTACAGTAGTGTGATAGCGAGACTGTAGCAAGACCTCTTTCCATACTTGTTGTGTCTTCGGTGATGATGACTCCACCTCGTGCCAATTCCAGTATGACTGGCACTTTTATCTCCATGTTCTGATCGAAAAGAGCAGCCAACAACAAAATTCATTCTCTTTGCCTCTTCAAGTGCCTTCGCCTGTAAGTCCTGTAGTACCTCTGTCGGAGGCCGGGGTACCTTTGCGCCCGCTGGGGTCGTCGGATCTTCAAACTTGCACTTGAGGTTCTTTAATTCGCACGAAAGTCATGACACAGCTACATAGGGTATTTTCATTTGCGTTAAGTAAGCGAGTTTGTTATATAATACTATGTATAAGTATGGGTATTAGGGACCAATCTTTTTGCCTTCGCACCTGGTACTGAAAGACTTATGTGACTTCGTGATAAATGAGAAGAACTGAGAAGAAGCTTCAGAAAAGTACGTGCCGTAAAAGGGAAATCTTCGATCTCCCGTCGCAGCCAGCGTAGAAAATGTACCATTCTTGCAAAATCCAAACAACGCTGAACCCTCCTTTTCATTGTCAATTTTGCAAGTTTTGTTGTTGCTTCGTCTTCTCACTTTTTTCATAGTCCGTTAGTTGAGAACATTTCAAAGCGCTACAAACCATTACAATCATGAATAGACAAACACCAACAGTCCGCACAACCATCAACCCATTTCTTATGATGCCATCCACGCCAAAGCGAGAACAAATTATCGACGGTGGCAAGCGAAAACGCATGTTTGACCTAGACCGCCTTTATGCGCCCTCTCTCACATCCACCAGCACTGCTGGAACCAAGCGAAGAATTCTTATTGACGGAGCAAGAACTCCCACTTTTGAAGCTGGTCTTGAACGGATGCGTCGAGGAGATGCCTTGAATAGACTTCGAATGCTTCAAAAAGAGAGCGAAAAGGTACAGAAGGAATCACAAAATGCTGAGAAGACTGATGAGTCGACCCACTCTGGAAGCATTCCAAATCTCGCCGGTCGCAGGTTACCAAAGAGGAACAGCAGCTTTGCCCATTCTGCTTAGGCCGGTCCATCCCTCAACTCTTGACGAGATGAACCCCTTTCATGCCATCATTTTGATATCAATATATGCACAATACTGTAACATTTAGGACACTATATACTATACTAATATTTATTCCACCATTGGGACACCCACACTACTGCATGATTGTCAAATTTTCGAACATCTACTGTGATAGAGCACAACAATCGGGGGAAGCTTTCATTACCCAATCCGTAAGACTGGCTGAATTGGGTTTGGGCCATGTAATACCTACCCTATTCCATGCACATATTACAAAAGCTGAACGGTTGACAAAAATAAAACTTCTAATGGCATATTTAGGCGAAAACGTAGGTACTATAGATCATTCTGATGCAAAATTCATGAGAGATTTGGTTTTACCGGTTCGAAGCACTCTCTTGTGAGGCAGTTCAAGGGGAGAGGAGTAGGTTGTCGGGGTCTCAGTCGAACTAGTCGCCTCGTTGGTACATCTTTAGTCCTACTTTACCTATTTTTCTCAACGGTTACTTACACGATCGCAGGACGGACAGGTTGAACGTTGATGCATCAACAACGACAGGATTCATTCTGTTAGATGTCAGCGCATGGACTTTATTGATTACTTGTCTCTGTGAACCAATACCTTCCGGAAAATAACCACAAGCCACTAATATCCTGAAAGCAGCAACTTGAATTCACCAGGATAATATCAAGCGCGAAGTCTCAGCTACTCGATTCTCAAAGGCGGCTTCTTTTTTCAGTATTGCTACAACGAGAATCATCAACCATCTTCTGCAAAGCAGAATCTATTTGGACATTTTCTACTACCGTATCCAAAACAAAAATATAAGCTATCATAATGACGGCAAGAACGCGACAAATCTTGTTCCTAATCGCCTTTCTATGCAGCAGTATAAGAGTGTCCTCATTAGAAGGCGTTGAGCGGAACACCAACGAAGAAGAAGGAGGAGCCAAAAAGAAAGCTTGGGGTGCCAAAACCATTGACGATCAAACCAACAATGGCAGTGAGAATGTTCAACAACCGCAACAACAACAACCGACTCTCAATCCACAAAATACGGGAGCCTTTGGAATGGGGGGAACTCAGAGCACCTACACAAAGTTATACGAACCTCCGCAAGGCTTTCGAATAACTTCTAGAGTCTACACGGATCCAGAAGATAAATTGGCTCACTTTGATAATGAAACCTCAATTACCCTACCGTTTTGGGAATGTGGCGTCTCCGGTTCGACCACGGTACCCATTCCCCTGCAACACGGGACGGTTCGACATTTGCTTGGGGGAAGTCAACCCAACATGTACAGCGGGGAAGAATTCGGACCGCATCCACAATTAGTCATTGCCATGACGCCCTTGGAGGTGGAATTGAATTCAGGCTCGAAGAAAGTCTTTCAAGCCGGCGACATTATCCTGTTGGAGGACGTGCTCAGTGGCGGACACAAACTCAAGGGTCATGATCACAAAGACATGACAGTCATGATTCTGACGCTGCCCCGAAACTATCATCATTTGGGAAAAGAAAAGACCAGTTTGGACCATTTACTGAAAAAAGACTACAAGAAAAATCCGTGCAAGACTGAACTGGAGAAACAAGAGAATGGAAATGTTGTGGCCCACAAAATGGGAGACGCCATTCGCTCCCTCCGACCGCAATTATCCGAAGGCGCCATACGGAGGACCATATTGACGTCTGTCGGGCTTACTTTATCCACCATTGCTGGTGATTTTATGGGAAAGGTGGCGCCCTTGTGGTTGGCAGTCCTCTTTGGAGGTGGCTGCTTTGTGACGGGTGGTACTGTTGCCTTTGTACGCATTGGCGAATTTGGAATCAACGAATTGGAAATGTGGCGAGAAAGAAAGCAACTGCAAATAAATGGTAGCGATTTGAGGAAAGTCCAGGAGCAAACGGGAGGAGGGAAGGATGAGGAAGGGGAAGCAGGAGACGGGGAAGAACAAGAGATACCGAAAGATAGTGTATCGTCATAGCGGCACTATCATCAATTACTAAGCATTGCATATGGCTACAGTTGCATTAATGCATGCTTTCTTGAAGCCGTTTGAAGCGCATGTTTCTATATATTGTGAATACTGCGACACTGTCGATGTTTGCTGCAACACGCACAGCAGGGCAGTACTACTCACTGGAAAATCTTTTCTTGTAGGACCTAGTTTAAGTCCATATCCATTAGAGTTGCATTTCGGTGGGTCCATATCCATTAGAGTTGCATTTCGGTGGAACGTTGCTGAAGGCGGCGCCATGTGCTAATACACTACTACTGGAAAGTCCCCTCTCTCATGCCTGACAACATGCTTTCCTACTGGTATTACCCAATACCGCAGCTGTTTTGGAGGGATCTGATTGATCCACTGCGCTGGAAAGGCTGAAAACTCACAGTCTACCTGGTACCACCTGGTACACGTGTACAGCCGTACCAGGTACTGTACGATGTACGACTATCTGGTACGCACCAGCTGCGAGCACTTCGATTACCCGGTATTCAAAAAATCTACAGTCCGTCAACCTTATCTTGCATGCCACATTCCTTGCACAGCTTCACGTGAACTTGCCCAAATCTATTCGTACCGGAAAATCTTTCGACTCAAAATTATTGGCGGAAGTAAGAAGTTGGCGTTTGGAGAATCCAGGCAAAAACCAACGGATGAGGGGGGATCCATGGACTTACTAGCTAGTCAGATGACATGACAACTACAGTATGTGAATGGAAAAAGGATCCATTGAAACTGCAAATCTCTTGGTCGAGTAATAGTAAAAATGATGAGAATAGTCCTGTCATGATGTTTCGCTATTAGACTTTTGTATTTTGTGGTGGTCGTATTGTATAAAATAGAAAATGCCGATGAATTCAGCAGACGCGTTTTTTTATGGAGAGCATGATTCCGATTGATTTTAAATGTATTATGATCAAGCTGTATGTTCTAGTTATTCCCCGCAAATGAATTGTTGCCAATGGCGATGAATTCAAATGATATAGTAGTTGTCTTGTGTTTGTTTGTTTGTGTAAATCGGAATAGGATATATGGGGTCTCACGTTGTTTTTGGATTGTCCGTTGGACGATTTTTGGAAAGGTAGATAGATATGTGATTGATTGTATGAAGAATAAATCAAGAATAGCGCCGATGGCATATTCCTGTTTTGTCTTGAGAAATTAGACATGTCTTTGGATCGTTCGAAGGTAGTGGTTGACCTGTCGAGATGAATTCTCAATGTTGGAAAGGACGCCATGGACGCTATTTCGTCGTGCGTATTTTTCCGTCTTGGGGGTCTCGACCACCAAAGCCCTGCGAGTATCTTGAGAGCGCTTCATGGATTCTTGTAGCTTGAGCAAGGTAGCGCGGTAGCGCTCGTCGAGGTAAGTCGACTTGTTTTCTTGAGGAGAGTAGTGAGCAGAGGAGTATTGGCGGTCGGGAGTTACCATGTGAATTTCTCCCAATTGCTGGTGTGTTGGAGAGACACAGGGAGGAGTTCCAAAGATTTCATCCCCCAGCAGATTAGATCCGATCTGCTCATCAACTTCCATGATGTCAAGATCTTGATCGTTGTCTGTTTGCCATTGTTCCAAGACCTTGCCGGCCTCTTCATGAGAAGTTGCCGACAACTCTTCCTCGTTCAGCATTTCCGTATCATGATCCCATTCGCTGGGAAGGACAAGGTCGCTCGGCAGAGCCAAGTCAGTGTGAGAAGGAAAGGGGAGAGTGGGAAAACACATCTTATCTGGTAATATGCAGAGTGTAAGACGTGTGAATAATGAGATCTTAGGACAACAAGTGATGCGTGACAAAATTATGACAAGAAAAACTCTTCCCAGTTTGTGGGCAGAAGAATCTTGGGCAGATGAACACTTTTTCCTCCTAGTGCCTTTTTGCATTAGTAGATCTAAGTACCGTCCCCAACATAGAGCTGGCGTTCTCTTTCCTTCTCGCCAGGCAGTCTTCTGCGATCTTTCAAGCGTTGTTCAGAACACGTAGAAACTGGTAAGCTTTTGTACGGACTTTCAAATCGCTCGGCAGATAGCCACATATGCAGTCTTCATAAGGCCCTTGAAGGTCTCTTAGAGAAGGTTCCCTACCTTATGTAGTTCCACCAGAGTATAATTGTAAAACGGATAGGGGAAAGTAAAAAAAGATCAAGAGGTTTCGCATTGTGTGGAATGATGTAGAATTGTAGAATCCCCCGTACGTCACTTTTCATCAATGATGGTTTAATCGCTACCTAAATGGCACCGAAAGGCCTGTTGGCAGGGTCTTTCGACCAGTGCTATGTCCGATATTGATAAGTGTCTTGTCCTCTTTTGACAGGTCATTACTGTAAAAAACCTGGTGGGCCGATCTGAAATTCTCCTCAGAAATGCGAAAGGGATGTCCCATCCAAACACAAAGTGACCGATGATCTTGCTTGGGGATCTTGCCAGGATCTTGCCACGAAACGTGACAAAAAAAAGTGACAAAATACAAACAAATATTGCAATAAAGGACAAGCATCACGTTCCACAGCGACTGACGTTCGACAAGCCAAGATGCTGCATGGATGAAGAATCAAGCAAGCAAGCAAGCAAGCAATCTGTGATACTGTAAGTATCTGTGCCAAAGTCATGAGGTGACTTGGGATCCTTGCAGATAACTCGTCGTCGTACGGTTGGTGGCCTCGACACCACAATGCCGTCATTTTTTGCAAAGAGTTTGCGGTCAGAATTCACGTCGAAGGACGGGGTCCGCTAATGCTTGCATTGAGTGTGTTGGGCCCCGCCTTTATTGGCATCGGGGTGGACGGGAGTGCCATATTGAATATGGGGCGTGTTGTTTTGCAATCTTGGATCGCCAAACGGTCGTCGACAGCATTTTGACAAGTACAGGTTGCAGCAACTGCAGTACAAAAGCACCCTTGGTATATTGACGAAATACGAGACAACAATAATCCACAATTGGTAATGATGGTGATGATGATGATTCGTGAGCCATCCTTCTAAATCCATTACTGTTTTTTGTATGTTGGCCATCTGTCAAATATTTTTCGGCTCCCCAACCCTGCATTGCATGTCAATAAGTATAATATCCAAAACAGCAATAGTAAAAGGGCATTCCAAACAACATTTGTTTCTATGAATTGGTGTACCGGTAGGGGTTAATTTTTAAATTTGCTCAAGTTTGCCACATATCAGCAATTCTGAAAATGATCTGGCATCAGTTCAAAATTTGCAGGTGTGGGACCTGTGATATGAAACTTTGAAAATATTGGGATCAAGTATCCCCACCAGTGACCCAATTGTCGTTGAGGTTTACAGCACCCTGCATTTCAGTTCAGAATATTTGCTTCTTTCCCAAAAGCTACAATCAGGGCAGAAAATTTAAACAATTATTGTGAGACCTGTTTTACCTAGTGCGGCGCAAATACTGTATCTATAAAATTGATGTGGTACTTTTACGATGGCAAAAAAAACGATACCCCACACTGGGTACAAGCGATATTGGCGTCCATTACAACTTCCAAGAACAAGAAGCTACAAAGGCCCGATGCAAATGCTATAAACAAAATACCATCGTCATTACAATTTAGACTGGGATTGGTTCCTGTGTATTTCCAAGTCGTGCCAAATAGACAAAGCAGTCAGTTCCAAATCCTTCCATGCTCATAATGCTCAAATCCCCTCCAAAATACCGGCAATAACTTCGAGAAATTGGTAGTCCATAACCCAAACCAGCCAACGGGGAATGGATACCGTGGTCTACCGCCTCGCCAGTTTGGACTCCGACCATTCCTTCTTGAATGGAAGGGTCGGCGGTAGTGAACAAGTAACTCCAAATCTTTTTCATGTTGGATCTTGGAATGCCTCCTCCTTCGTCGCTCACTTTGATGACCACGTCTTCGTTGTCCTTTCCATCAGCAATAATCACTTTGATAGGTGGAAAATCGGCGTCAACCCCGTGCCATTCCACTGTTGCTCGCATACTATTCTTCAATAGTTCCAACATGATATAGTCTATAGGTACCGTCAGACAAAGAATTAGTCAGTGCACTGTCCATATGAGAAACTCTTGACGAGCAAAAACGATTGGCTTCAGAACTACTTACGCAAATGGGTGGGAACATATGGGAAGGTTAGGTCCAAGCGCCCACTCATAATGACCTCCGGGGCGTCGCCGTATTTGCGGGTGCACATAAAGGCTGCATCATCAATGGCTCGTTTGACAATCTCATAGGGAGATGTGACACTGCAAATGACTCCCACATAGTTGTCCACTGGTGGCTGCCGAAGTGCCAGATATTGTCCAATCAGTACACGAATACCAATTCCTGTAAATAGGACGAGGAGAAAGACAATAATAATAGCATATGAGGGTGAGATGGATGGGCAGCCAAACGCAGTATCAATCTACCTTGAATACAAATATCAGGCGACAACATACTTACTGCAGAGGTAAAATCTGTCGAGAAATTCATGAGTTTCCTCCATCTTTGCGAATGCATCACGAGGATTCGTCTGATCCCGAGCAATACGGTTGCGGTATTCATAGGCTCCCCGGGCCATCTGCACCAGCACTCCCGAGTGACGCTCGTAAATGTTTTCGACCAACCTCGAAAAGGCTTGCTCTTGCTCCGGTGTGGTGATGTTCTCGAATTCGGCAAGCTCCACAAGCGATTTGATGTAGAGTTCTTTAACTTGTTTTACACTCGACATTTCCTTCACCAACGGTACACCCTCCAAATCTTGCACTCGATGGGCCAACCGAATGGGCAACTCTCTTCGAAGAAAGCTGGCAACCTTTTGGTGCAAACGAGAATAACATTCTAAATCAGAACAATTCCGGTATTTCTAATGTCAATTGCCAATCATTTCATCTCATCAACTTACTTGAATTAAAACCAACTCGGTAGCAGAATGCTGAGGATTCTCGATCAAGTCCTCGTCAAAAGATTTATGAAGGAATTCTCCCCGCCCCGTCCTCATCAACGCTTGAAGACTCACAGATGTTTGGTGTTGAAGGGCATGTTCATTGATGATCTTGCTCACAGATTCTGATACACCATCATATTCCATAAATTCTTGCAATCTTGGAGCCGTGTAAGAAATATACCTCTTTTCCGACACTGGAGGTGCAAGAGTCGTGGACGGCTGTGAAGATAGAACTGACGTGCTACGAATTGCCAATCTCGGAAACAACTCCCTTCTCATCTGCCGCCGCAGGTTTCTCAGTACGATTGCGCTCATTTTCAAACTAAGGTGGGTTTTGTAGTTTGGTGAGCAGATTAGGGTTAGTAAAACAATTCGTTGTTCTTCAACAGGGGAGTCACTAAGTTGAAGGTTGAATATATTTCGGTACTCCGACAAAGCCTTCGCGTTGATGATTGATGTCGCGTCATGATTGAAGCTGTCACCGATCGTTCGTGCGCGGCTTGCGAATGCAAAAATCTTGAAAATACCACCAAGTACAGTACGCTACCAGGTACTCCTTCAGTTTCCCATGAAAAAGACAAGATTTGTAGTTTCACCTTCCCGCTAGCTCCCTTCAATGAAAATGTCTATTTTGTGTATCTAGATCATTAATATAGTTTTTGTAATTGAGGTTTTTTGAAAACTGCCTTACATACCACCGTCACCAACTGCTTGACCTTGGTTTTGTTTTTCGGTGGCTCGCCTCAATACAGCACCAATTTCGGTACCATCCAAATGCGTATTCGTCATTCTTTGGTTCTTTCTCTCATAGTATCGTCTCTTCTTGGGTTTTCCATCATTATCGACATTGGATTTCTTTTTCAGACGAGGTCGTCTCATATTCTCCCCAGGCTCCAGCAGTTTGTTTTCTACCATTAGCCGCTGCAACTCGGCTTCTCCAACTGGCACTTCTACGCGAGTTGCCAAGTACATTTCTCGTACATCCTTGGTGCAGCCATGACGGCGAGCATGAGAGTAGAGCGATAGATAGGGGTCAGACGCAGCTTGTTGTGCTTTTTGTCCATCTTGCTTGCGCGCTGAATTCATTGCACCTGCTTTATTTGGGCGTTTGCGAGAGGTCACAGTGGCAGTTCCAAATGATGCAGCCAAGGTATTTGGATTGGAGGCGTGGGCATGACTGCCAAGTAGCTGTGAAATCACACCACTGGTTCGACCATGAGCAAGCTTGAATAAGCGCTCTCGTGCTTCTTTTGCCTTTTTGATATTCTCCATAGCAGACGAACTCAGAGCACCGTCACACGGTAACGACTTTTCATTGAGCGGTCGAATGTATCCATCTTGCTCATTTCGTTTTGGCAGGTCTGCCAAAGAAACAACAGAGAGTGGCGCTTGCGCACGAACGGGCTGATCCTTCAATGATCCTTCTCGAACGGCACTGGAAACACGGAACCATTGTCCACCAACCTGAAAGGCTTCTCCTCTTCGAATCTGGCTTCTGGGATCAACGTCAACATTGAGAACATAGACATCTCGTTTACGCTTTGGCGGTGGTGGGTCCATGGAGGAGACTGCCTCGCCAGGATTTCCAGTCGTCAAATTCGGTTGCGGTTGTGGTTCAATTGATTCGTTCGTTTCTTCTTCCGGAATAACAACAATTCCATCCATATCCACCAAGAAAGCTTCGCCGCGAGGAAACAAAATTTTGTCCTTATCCTCTGAATTGTTGATTGCGAGGACATCTCCTGCCGTAATCAAAGCATCAAGATCGTCTTCCACGCCGTCATAGGCATCGTCCAGGTCCCTTCTAGGAACTCCATTTTTACATCTATTAATTTGAGCCAGCAAAGACGTACGATCTCGCACATGATTGTATTTTGCTTGATAGGCATAAGTGGCAATCATCAAGCTGGGATTTTCAGGGTCTGGCACTTGGTCCACTCTTATCTTTGGGTTGTGCTGCAACATTTGAGCAACAGACTCATCCTCAATGAGATCAATCCCTGTTCTTTCATAAATAACCGAAGGAGCGAGGCATCCAGCCGATCGATGCTTCTGCAAGAAATGAATGACATCAAACTGTTTCTCCAAGTCTGGTTTGTGTGCCACTTCGGCTGCCAATTCGTCGCCCGTTTGCGTGACTGGTACCGAAATTGATTGCACTACTTCTTGCTTTGGTTCGTCATATTCATTCAATGTATGCTCTGTGCGCAAGAAGTCCAATCCATAGGTATTCGACATGGTAAGGAGTTTGGATTGTGGTGCTGTGAGAGGCTTGTGAAACCTGCAAAATGGAAAGGCTAACTCAGTACCTGAAGTTGTTGTACGCGCACGTGGAAATTCAAAATACAGTTGCCCACGCAGACCGGTACGAGTACCTGGTACTGTAGTATCGACGACAGTTTCTGGCAATATGTCCAACAACCATGCCTGACACCATACCAGACCCGCCCACTTTATGCGATCCCCGATACATACTGCAGTGTGTCTTTCGAGTGCCTCATTTCTGTGCGAATCCGATACATTACGATACACTGAGTGAAGCCGCACCAGTCAAGGGAATTTGAAAGGATGGCAGGTGAAGATGAACACATGCAAGATGACATCGACGCCGGATGGTTTATACTGAATATCGATGGAGATGACGAGGATCTCGATGAAGATGAGGATATGCAAGATGACATCGAGGATCTCAATGAAGACGTTGAGAAAGATTACCTCATCGCTAGACGTGTGACAATTCAAGCCATAATGCGTAATGATTCAATCAGCGACCAGGACAAGCGTTTGCAAATTCAAGCAATAATGCGTGCTGTAGGGGCGACGCCATCACCATCACCAGTATTACCGGAAAACAAGTCACCTTGTGTCCACTACGAACGAAATTGCAACATTATTGCGCCATGCTGCCGCCATGTATATGGGTGCAGAATTTGTCATGACGAATCAAATCTAGCCAGTCACCCAATTATGAACCAATTCCTAGTCTGCAAGCTGTGCAATATTAAGCAACAAATATCGTGAGTACAGGATTGTCTTTATTCACGTTGAACATATTTTTCCTCACTTTCTTACGGCGCCTTGATCATCAGCAATCAATGCATCAGCTGCAAAGCCATTTTTGGCAAGTACCATTGCAGTACCTGCAATCTTTGGATGTCACAGGTATGCTCATTGCATTTGTTTTCTGCCTCTTTTCGCTCAGCTAACTAACGAACACTCGTTAGTCCAAGAAGCCTTTTCACTGCACAAAATGTGGATGTTGTCGAGTTGGGGGCGCTGACGCCTTTCGACACTGTGACGAATGCTGTACGTGTATATCCATTGGTGTATATGCGGATCACCAATGCTCCAAGGACAAATACAAGAAAAAATGCCCTGTGTGTGAAGACGACATGCTCTCGCCACCTCAATCTCCTCAGGATCTTCCTTGTGGCCACACTATTCACGCTCACTGTTTTCGAAAACTGGCTGGCTTTGATTATCGATGTCCCATCTGCGAAAAGCCTGTCGTCTCAACAAAACAACTGATAGTCCACTGGGATTCAAGGGTACGAGACATTGCAGAGCACCCTATGCCAGCGGATCTTCAAAGAGTTATCGACATGATGTGCAATGATTGCGAGACGAAAAGTTATGGCCTGAATTGGCATTTTCTTGGCATCCAATGCCCAAAGTGCAACTCTTTCAATACAGCTGTGGAGCAGGTTCTCAGTTCTGGGGAGTAGTCGTCTTCCGGCAGGCTTTATCCCAACCTGAAATTGCGCCTAAAAACTCAATGTATTATCAAGATTGCACCTAGAAATTCAATGCATTATCAGGCTGACTTGTAGTATCCTCGCCAGGTTTGGTCGTTTACCTCGCCAATTGCATTCAATACTTGTTGTTAGTTACTCTGTGGCAATCAACACTCAAGACTAACCTTGTACCTGAGTTCATGCGCACGTGGCGATGCTTGACACCTGCCGTTACCTACAGGTAAGATAAAAGTTCAACAGAAAATACCCGTCACCATACACAGGACCTACGTCAGAAGCACAAGCCACCTTGCCTGGTTCGCGGAATAGGAATACAGAAAATATAAATATGCAAAATGGGAATAATCATATTCCATTAAAAGACGACGCATTCTGACGGCCGCTGTGTCACACTGTATTCTTCTCCAAGCGACAAATTTATATATTGCAGCCATCAAACAGCGAACCTGAAAATCTATCAAGCTCTGAACACACGACGAAGAGGATACTGAAATCAACCCACGCTTGACCAAAAATTGGAGTTCTGAAATTTCATAACAACCGAGAAGCGAAACACACAACTGATATTATCCAAATCAGTCAACTGACATACCGGTATACAAACAGAAGATGGCGGACCATCATGAAGCAGCATTCCTTTCAGGATCGTCCCATTCCTCCTTCTCATCTTCGGGTTCTTCCTCTTGTGGAAAGATTTCACCACATCCATCATCGCTTGGTCTCCGTCGCTCCACAATGGATTTGAGTGACTTGGACTCATCGAGCGGCCTTCTATCACAAAAAGTATCGCCATCAAGGCATTTTTCAAGCTCGAGTTCCCAAATGCCTTGTTCGGGGGCAACCACTAGCACCAAGCAGGAACCTTACTCTGCAAGAAAACTTCCTTCAAGGCAGAAGTACGAAGTGAAACCAAAGTACCATCGGGGAATTGAAGCCATTGTGCAAGATACATTCTTAGACACTCTACAAGTCATTGATGTAACAACTGCTTTCTCCAACCTGCTATCAAAGTTCTTTGACAAGAAGAAACGCGATGGTGAAAGTAGGAGCACGGACGATGCTGCTCATGCTACCATCAAGAATAACGAACGATCTAACGATGCTGAAGAGACAAAATCTGATGATACTTATTCTCCATGCCAGATCCATATCGCGAACACGTGCTCGGATGGCGACTGGGATCACTTTGCTGACTTTCAAGATCGAATTGATGAAGAGGTCATTACTTTTACCCCTTTTGCTACTGCGCAGCACAAATCAAAGGCGAAGCTAGACACTCTGGATGAGATGGAAGAGGAGGATGAATGTTTCTCTTTTTGAATGATTTTTAATGTCAATATGTGTTGGATGCTACCTGCTAAAACTTTATGTTCAAAATTGCCAAGAGTGGACAACTGTCAATACTACTGCTTCGATTGTGAAACTGCTAATCCACTATTGAAACATCAGTATATAAGTATTTTAAAATGTATAAACAATATCAATGTGCATGTACATATTTTGTAACAACGGCCAATATGATGAATACTACTGTACTGTACGGCGTGGCAATTCGGCTTACCAGTATTTGGATATTCCAAAAGGTAGCTGGGTATATGGCAAAGGTTACTTCAATCTAGTTGGGCAAATTTTGGAACCTATGGCTCCTTGACGCATTTACAATCTTCACATGTATAGTGATACCATGAGAGACCCATCTGGTACTGGCACTTGGATCCAACGCACCCGTCCTTGTGTTGCCAATGACACATGCATTCTGAATTTAACATTGTAGAGGAAGAGATCCATTAGGTAAAGAAGAGAATTCGTGAACAATTCCATTGGCTAATATCAGTACGTACCACCGGTTGTTGCAGTCACATCGCCTGTTTCGGAAGGACAAAACTGTTTTTATAGACGCCAACAAAAGTGTTCAAGCCCAGATGAGTGAGTGAGTCAGTCAGTCGTCTTCGTTGCGGCAACGAAATGAAACAAAACCTAAACTTACGCCTTCTGGGAGTTTGGGAGCCTTCTGGGGAGCGTATCCCGCATGTATTGCTGGCACTATTATTAGGAAAGCAAGGACACGCATCACAAAACGATTGCTGTACCGGTATCCGTGAAATGAAGGTCATCTTCTGTTTTGAGCAGAGTGCAGTACTCCATCCAGTCGAATAAGAGGAGTTATTTAGTCCAAACTTGAACACGAATCAACAGTATAGCAGTAGTCATCTTGCGAGCTATCCTCTAGAAGGATGCGTTTCGAAAGGCAACGTATTATGTGAATGATTATTCCGCCTCGACTCGCATCTAGGGTTCAGAAGCCTACGGGTAAGAAATATAGGAGTGAGGAGAAGAAAGGCGAACCGAGATTCATGATCATGGTTCCGAGGAGGGACGAGGGGATTTGTGGCTTGGATTTATTCATGGATATCTTAAGATAGGGATTCACCAGTCAATTGGACGCGATGATTTTTTCCACTAAAAGGCACTCCGGTCATCCTCTTCAGATAATTTAGAGCTAGTACCTCTTGAACTATCCAAGACGATTCCGCTCCATTATCATTTCTCTTGATACATCGTAGAAAGTCGCGATGCTGCTCACTCTGCGAGTACGGCCTGTAAGAACGACTATCAACAAACTTATTCCAAGTCCAAGGTGTAGGATCTGTCTAATTTGGCGAACTTATAGGCAAAGGAGCAGTCGTCTATTGATGTCATTTATTTTATGAAGGCACAATAAGACAAGTGATTTTGAAGATGAATATGAACATGGCTGGGCTTCAGAAGCTCACACAGCCACAAATATCGACCCATCGTGTAGTGCCAATCATACTGCCTTTCCAATTTTCGAAGGTAGGCGTCAATGAAGTACTTCGACGCGCTTCCTTCAAGAACTTTTCGGACGTTGGGATTGATACCAATTTACTTCTTGCCACTAGAAGGAGTGTAGCTAGAGTGACCGTTTCCACTGTTGTAGTAGGTCGATCCATTATCATTGGAGTAGTAGTAGGAACCGTTCGAGTTGGAGTCTGGAAGTGGGTCAAACGAAGCATCCTGAGTGTCAGAAACATAATCCACCCAATGACAAACATCCGAGGATACAATTTCAGTATCAATCAGTCAAAACTTACAGTGGTAGCTACTGCCACCGCTGGAGTTGGTGCCTCCAGGGGTATTGTAGTGGTTTCCTTGGTTGTTGGTTCCGGAGTTAGGCATGGTTACTAAGTTTAATAGGTGATTGAATGCAGATCTGAGCGATTGGATTTTATGACGGTGTCAGATTGACGATGGCAAACTGAAGTTCTGAGTTCTGGATATACTTCCGGGTTTGGTCAGCCACGACCAAACTTTTTGGCGCGCTTCAAATGACGATGCTTTATATCTTTCTACAAAACGATCACAACTTGGACCTTTTTCCTTCTCATCTCCACAAACATCGCAGACTACTGCAGAAGTCAATCCTTTCAAACACAAATATTGCAGTTGTTCGGTCTGACAGTACAAATAACAGCTGATTCAATCTCCTGAAAATGAACGGCCAATACACTTTTCAAAGCACCAGTGCCGCCAATCCGTCGTGGTTCACGGTGACATTGCCAGATGGTACCTATGTCGACATCGGTACGAAACAAGGAGCAGAGGATTTTCTATGCGCTGCCTCCGGTGTTGAATGTTTTTCCTCCAAGTTGCAGGAAATCTCAAGAATTCGAAACAAAAAGAAATGGAATGCGAACGATAGAGACAAACTATTCGAGCTTTACTCTTTCATCGAACGGTTGGCTGGGAGCGCATGTCCAGAAGTCTTTCGTAGACAAGTTCCAGAGCTGGAAATACGAAATTGGTTGGAGAACACCATCGAGGATATCAAGAAGCTTAGCGCAAAACGAGGCTGGATTAGGGGTGGGGACATAGATGATGTCGACAGACTGGTGCTAGAGTCCTGCATTGCCTTCTTCCAGCACGCTGTTCCGCTGGCCTTAGCCTTTGAGGGTCCATTCTTTCAAGCTTTCGCCGCATTTGTCAAGGCCCGGAAGCGAAACGGGCGAGATCTCCCCGCAAAACCGATCTGTCTCCGGATTACGGCTATTGTATATTTCGCAGTTCTTGCTTCCAAGACAGAGTTTGATAGCAAATGGGACCAGGAAAGGGTTTTCAAGAAGCTCGAGGCGAGTGGTATTCTAGAGCAAGTCATTCGATGTTTGACTGTTTCACAACCGCCAGAAGACGCTACTGCTGGAGATGAAATTATTCGCAACCTCCAGGCTTGTCCGCTACTAATCAGCAAACAATTCATGTTGGGGAAGCCTTGTGGCGACACTTTGCGAATGATATTGGACGGCAAAGACGGAAGCAGAAAGAAACAACCGCAAGTCATCAATGCGTTTCAAAATCTTGTGAGGTTGTCGGATTCCGCTGTCAAAGCTCCCAAATTTCGTGATGAGACACTGGAATGTGGGAACTGCGGTAAGGAAGACATTTTGGAAACGTTCATGACTTGCTCTCGTTGCCATGGCCAAATCTATTGCTCGAAGGAATATCAAAGGGCAGATTGGCGGAAACATAAGACGATATGTGCAGACCTTTCCAAGACCAAAAGAGATGAATTTGATATTGAACAAATGACCCTCGCGGGCTCAAACTTTCTGAACAAGCACGGTCTCAGGGTATTGGACAAAATGGTCGAAATGTGCACAAGAACCGGTCTGAAGGCGGGTGACATGGTCACCGAGCTCAGTTGGAAGAATGATGGTGTCATTCCTACCCTTCAAACACCGCCCGTATTCAACATAACACCTCGCCGTGATTATATCGAAAGGTTAGAATATCATGCCAGGCGTCTCAGTGAATACTTGAAGCAGGGCCGTGTCATGAAGGATAAAGGAGTTGTTGCTCTGAATTATAAGACGAACTCGGCATTTGGGCAATCGCAATTGTAAGTTCCTCAAGCGTTTTTTATCACAGCGTCTTCTTTGTGGCTTAAGACAAGATTCCTCATCGGACTTATCCCGTTTTTGTTCTTTCTTTTAGTACTGACGCGCTTGTGGATGGACATCGCTATGAAATCATGAGCATGCTGTACCATCGATTTGCTTTGAAGAACTATCCATTCCTCCTGACCAAATTGGTCGAAGCTTGTGATAATACAGGTCTCGAACCAAACGAATTCGTACTAGAGCTTGACTTCCCACCCATCCAGAATGGCATATTTCCTTTGTATTATGATCTTTCTTCTTTCGACAATCTACTTGACGACCTGACCATCTTCAAATTCGTTCCAGCTCAGGGCTACATCGACGGCTCGAGACCAGAGGAAGCCGATTGGTTCTCCAACTATCATCAAGATCCATACCATCGTGAGAAGAAGAAGAAAGCCGCGGTTGCACTGATGAAAGAGAGGACTGCAAATCAGCCCATGCCTTTTGCCGGATTTATCCATTTCGCCGGATATATTGAAAGCTTCCAAAACGACGAACGGTAAGCTTCAAACCCTTCAATTCTGTTGCTCTGTCGTTTTCGTTTTGTGCCATCAATCCTGACAAACATTGTCCTCGGTATCCGCAGATTGTTTAACTCTGTGGTAGTTCAATGCTATCGTACTGTTCCAAATTTCACATTGAGATATGCTCAGATGTTGTCTCAAAACGGGATTCCAAACAGGGAAGAGATCGAATAAGAAGAAACAGAGGATGAATTTGAGTCAAGGAAAGAGCGCCCATGAATCTGAAAAGCGATTCACTTGAAAAAATGTGTGCGTGTGATAGGGGAATTGTCTTCTTTTTTTCTGTTGGAATGGACGTGATTGATCTTGCCCCTAGGGTAAATCTAGTAGAATCATAACCACAAATGCTGTTCGACCCAGGTTCAGGTTTTCCATTTTCATGACTTTGATTTCCAACAACAAGGTGGGCAACATTGTCCATACCGGTACGCTTAGCCCCCCCTCAGCTCTCATTGGTGCAAGGCAGGCAAATGCAATTCCAAAGCAAATGTTTGAAAACAGCAGCCTAGAGCATGTTCCATTTTGATCGACAATCCCTCCGTCTATTGCTTTCTCTATGGATGGCTGACTGTCCAATCGTGTCCTTGGCGATCGTATTTGTTCTCGCGATAGTGGTCCGGCCCTCCAGGAAAGATACCATTTCGATGTCTCTCCGAGTCGTCATAGATTGCCTAATAATAGTTGAAGTGAAGCAACAGGCTTTGTAAGCCATGCCCATTCATTCCAGCAACCAACACAACCAACACATACCTTGTTGGTGGCGATGAAAGCTTCGACGTCGTCATTGTAGACGCCTCCCATCTTTGCCATCATCCGACAGTAGTCCCACTGAAACGATCCTAGAAAGTGGGTATCTGTGATGGACCCGCCTGCCTTGACACCTCCCGATACACTATCCTTGGAAGCTTCGTCTAGTCGTGACAATTGATCGGGAAGAGAGAAGGACTTGAACTGTGCCACTGCAGCTTCAGCTTGCAACTCGAAGAAAGGGAATGGAATAATGTGATGTGGAATTCCAATGAAGCAAAGGTTTGGGTACAAGGCGTGCCAAAATTGCTTGTATAAGGCTGCCGTTTCAATGATTGAAAGTGTTCAGAGTGAGATGCATTAGAATGAATCGATCATTCCAACCTACTTGCATACCTGTGTGTCACTTACGCATTACTCGTCGTTCGCCAGGAACACAGTGAAACTCCAAATTGGAAAACTTATTGATGAATGGAAAGTTGTATCGATACCCCGAGCAAAATATGATGGTGTCGACTTTCGGCTTTAGACTGCATTCGTTGTCGAATACTATGGTTCCATCGTGTTGTACTTGCATGGTTCGTGGTACCCAAGTGACATTTCCCAAGGACTGCAGATTGCCACTGTCGTCGTACTTGCAGGATGGACTGGAAAGATAGACCTGACGAGCATGCTGCGATATTTCTCGCGCCAAATCGGTGCCACTAGCCGCACCCCCAATGCACAAGACAGTTTGTCCCGCAAAAGCTTCTGGATTGTCATAGGACACCGCATGGAGGACCTTGCCATTGAAATGCTGATCCAAACCTTCAATTTCAGGTATCGAGGGGGTTGTGAAGCTACCTTTGCAAACAAAGACAGCATCGTAGATTTCTGATTTTTGGCCATTTTCACCGTATTCAATTTGGATTCTAGGCCATGGTTCAGTCTTGGGTGAAAGCGTGGAATGTCCACCTCCTTTTGTTTCGTCCAGAATGGTCAATTGCTGGACAGGAGACGAGAATTCAATGTGTTTCTCCAAATCGAATTCTCGTTGATACTCCATCAAATAACCTTGCACAGCTTGGTGGGACACAAAACTGTCACCAGGACTGTTCCAAGGCTTTTCGCGGTAGCCCATTAACTCTTTGGGTCGATTGGTTTTCAAATCTCGATACATTGGATTCTTCTTCTTGTTGGTGGCACCAGCCTCGTACCGCCAGACGCCTCCACTAAATGCCTTGGCTTCCAAGACGGCTGGATTCAGACCCAATTCTCTGTTCACAATCCGAGTGACACATAGTCCGGCGGCACCAGCCCCAATTACCGCAATCTTGGGCGGCCCTACTACCATCGTTTGGACGAAAATGATTTTGAAAATCGGGGAAGAATTCGAATCTAAGGGAGGTCTATGTAAGTACATCTGTAGTCGATTAGCACGACTGCAACAATGAAAACACAACACAACACATCACATCATGCATTCTTCTTGCAACAATGCCGCTCTTTCTCACGAGGTGCTGGTCTCTTGTTCTCTACATCATTGCTCTGTCAACAGATTTCTCATACGCCATTGAAAATGATGATGTTTCTGACTTGGAGCAATTTTGCAGTGTCCACACACAAACTTCAATAGCACTGTCCATGCTGGAGCACTCCAGTCCCAAAGGATCTTCCTCCCATGAGCAACTTGGCAAGCTGCTCCATTCGTTTTCGCATTATCACGTCGACTTTATACCCGAATTTGGCAAGCTTGGATTATTCCAATCTGTTGCAGAGAACCTAAGCAAAATGATGCAAGGATATGGGCTGAAAAAGTCCACGGATCCCGGCAATCCAAATGCCATTGTCTTCGCGAGCGCTTTCTTGAATAGCAATGGTCGAAAGCTGATGATTGAGAATGGGAATAACGGCGTTATCATAGTACAAACAGAGCAACTATGTTGTTCCAATTGGCTCTCGGAGGACGTCTTTCAGACCTTGCAAGCTTGTGAAAAATCGGACAATTGCGTCATTCTGGAATACTCGGACCACAATTTCCAATACATGAAAGACAAATGGAAGGTTTCCAAATCAGTCGTGTTGCTGCCAATCATGAATCAAGGACGTCTGGATCAATACTATCGACGACATCATCTGCCGGCACTCTGGGAAAGACCAAATGATATTGCCTTTTTTGGTACTCTGACCGAACATCGCAATAGCGTTCTAACGACGATAAAGAATCCAGATCCCACCACACCGGAATGGGAATCCATCATGGAACAGAGTCACGACAAATTGAGAATGGTCAAAACCTACTTGCACTCCAAAGTTTGTCTGACGGTACACGCATTCCCACAAAAGGGACCAGGAGAATATCACAGACTGTCCGAGTTGGGTGTTTCCGGGTGTGTTCCAGTGATGGAACGCTTTGAGGATACCTTGGGAATACAAGTCTATAAACTTTGTGGTGGAGTAGTCTTTGCAGCAGAAGCAGAAGAGTTGCCCGATCAGATTGCCTCCGTCTTGGAAGAAATGGAAGTGGACGAAGAGGGACAAGATGATAGTATGCGGCGGCGTGTCGAGTGGTGGAAAGCAAGGGTGAAGTGGGAAACCATATTGGTGGACGCCTTTGGACCTTCGCGAAAAAATATAGAGCTGTAACAAAGAGTGGGATAGCAAAGTCAACCTTTTGAAAAACCCCAAAATTTCTCCTTCCTTATTTCTCTGTCTTTATCTTTCATTTTTAGAGTTGTAAGAGTTGCCTAAGCAGCCTTGGACTTTTTCCATCTTCTAGTTTTTATGATAAAAGCTTGTGTACCAAACTGAATATATTCCGTTATTGCCAGCCGCCGCGGTCGTCCAAAGCTTTTGAGTTGCAACGACACTGTTTTTTTAGGTACCCGCAAAAACCTCCATCCGACAGTTCAAACCTTCGCATCGGGTGATGGACAGACTCTGTAGTACATTTGTACGGGGCAAAAAATGGGCGCACTGAAAGCAAAACCCATACTCACTAACGGTACAAAGTTTCGTTCCCGCGTCTGTTATCAGCATTTGTTGTTCTGTATCCATCCTCCATACCATATCATATCATACCATATCATACCATATCATACCATATCATACCATATCATACCATATCATACCATACCAACTACCATACCAACTACCATGACGCAACACGAACTCGGCGACATGGAAGAACTTCAAGAACTTGATGGTGCCTTTGAACCTGAAATGACACAACAGGAAGAAGAAGCGAGTAAGGAAAACTACAAGAATGCCAAACTCATGAACGCTTCCGGTCAAACCGACAAGGAACGTCGGCAGATTCGCAAGTCTCAACGACTCTTGCAGAAGACCATTGCAGAAGGAGGCGAAAGCTTGGAACTGGAAAAGGTCCGCGACGAGAACAATGCCATTTTCCGCAAAGTCTTGCACACTCGAGAAGCTGTGTTGGATGGAGAGAATATATATTTGATTGCTGGTCGGGCTATCAAAAAAGTGGATCGTCTCGTTCAGGTATGTTGTTGTCTGTTGTTTGCTGTATCTTTTCTGCTGTGTTGCTGTTGTGTGCTATGTTGTGCTACAAAGTGTGGACTGACTAACTGACCAAATCAACTCAAATCAACTCAAATCAAATCAACTCAACTCTGTTATGATTACAGGCCCCCCGATACGACGCCGATCGACTGGTTTCCAAGCTAGTTCAAAAGTGTCGAGCCCCCGGTGGATACTTTGACTGGGACCTGCTTGGAAGTCAAGCTGGTGTTTGTTTCAATGCCGCTCCATCCAATGTGTCCTTTTTGAATGGACCCTTGAGCGATGGAAAGACTCTCCAAGTTAAGCAACGAGCCAAGCGCGCTCCGGTACAAGAAGACTCGGAAGCGGAAGAAGAGAATCCGGAAGAAGTCAAGGGACACACTGCTCGAGATGCAAACCAGCTCTCTGCGATTGAACAGTCCATGAAGGATTTGCACAAGACCCTCAGAAAGCGATGCAACGCAACCTTTACAGAGAACAAGCGAAAGTTGGAAGAAGCCCATGAGGGAGGAGAAATTCCACCCAAGCTAAAAAAAAAGCTCAAGAAAGGTGGAATGAAAATTGATGCGGTGCAATACCTCTTCAATCCAAATTCCTTTACGCAGACGGTGGAAAACATTTTCCACTATTCCTTTTTGATCAAAAAGGGTTCGGCCAGCCTGAAAGCAGACAAGGCTGGATTTGGGGAACATGTGGGAGAAGAAGCTCCTGGAGGACTCTTTGCCAGGTATATACCGGAAAACACCGTTCAGCCCACTCCAAAGCAAGCCATTGTGTCTCTTACCATGAAGGACTGGCGGGAATTGTGCGAGGCCCACAATGTAACTGAGGGAGATTTGCCCCACCGCAAAGGGTCCAAGAAAACAAAAAGAGCAGGCTTGTCCCAAACATTGTCTCAATCATCATAAAAGAATCAAACATGTGCATACGTACTACTACCAGTATAGTAGAATAACTTTCAAGAATGGTTGCTTGTCATGGATGTTCTAGTGATTACTTATTAGGAATACACATATGGTTTTTACCTAATTTAAGTATGTTTAATCCGAAAACTTGATGCGCTTGTTTTGTGGTTTGGCCGGAAAAGGAGAAGTGTCCCGCTTGGCCTTTTCGCGAAGCATCTCCACATCTTGGTCTTCGTTGGTGGCCCATTCCAACACCAAGTGACGTCCGTACAAGTGAGTTCTGGACAATGAACTCATGGCTTCTTGGGCTTCCTTGGAGGTTACAAAGTCCACAAAGGCAAACCCACGGTGACTTCCATCAAACTTTTTGGGGAGTCGGACCTTGCGCAATTGACCAAAGGAACCAAATAACTTGAGGAGTTCGGTACGCGTTGCTTGGAACGGGACGTTGCGTACAATGAGTTTGGTGGGGTTCTTGCCTCCTGTTTTGGGCGTCTTTGTGGATGTCGCTTTCTTTCCACGAGACGAAGAAATGGAAAGTTCCCATGCGTGGCCGTCCACCATCTTTCCATTGAGTTTCTTGATGGCTTTCTCGGCAGCAGTCTGCGAGGAAAGTTCGACAAAACCAAATCCCATGGACATGGATTGAGCTTCGGACTGGCCCTTCTTGGCAGGGGCTGTCTTTTGGGGGATGCGGACAAATCGAACGCCATCCACACTCTTCTCAAAGACATCTCGAAGAATTTCTTCCGTGGTTTGAAAATTTAGATTCTTGACGTAAATTGTAGAGGAAACGGTTCCATCAGCATTGGTATCCTCATCCTCCAAGTTTTCGGTTTGTTCTTCGATTTGAGGGGCTGGTTTTGCTGGTACTGTTGCTGTTGTCGCTGTTGTCGATGCTGGTGATGCTCCTGCTGCAAGTTCCGCGGAAGTCGAGCTGGTAGATGCATCACTTGCTGCTGCCAGCGGTGCCCACTCCAGATAAATTGGAACATGCTTGAATCGGCGATAAGCAAGCTTCTTGAAGGCACGCTTTGCATCTGCCGAGTGACCATACTTTACGAGCGCAATGGACCGAGATGGTGGAAGTAGAACAGTGATAGTGGACTCTCCAATTTGAAACAACTTGCTAAGGTCTTCCACACGAGTATCATACGGCAAGTTTTTAACTAGAATGGATGTCTTGCTTCGTTTGGTATCCTTGCTGTCGGCAGACACCAACGCATCCATATCAACACCGTGTTCCTTGAAATACTGACGATTCTCTTCAATGATTTGGGTTTCTCCCAAGGCCAATCTGACGGCCGCGTCTCCAGATGAAAGCTTGTCTTTCACGCCGAGAATTTCACCCTTTCGCAATCCCAACTTGTCTGCCAAGTTATCGACAACAGCATCACCACGCACAAAACTTGCTGACCAACCCTTGGCGACTTCTGATCCCTTTGTCTCCCTTTCTTTTCGAGCAAGTTCTTGTCGTTGTTTCCATGTTAAATTGAGATCATCGAGCTTTGGAGCTGATGGAGCAGGACGCGCTTGCAAAATGTGCAACAGACGCCCTTGAAAGTCTTTCTTATCAAGTTCAGTGCGAGCTTGAAATGCATCGGAGGCTGAACCAAAGGCAACAAAAGCAAAGCCCTTGTTGTTCTCCATCTGATTATCCATTGGAACATGACACTCAATCACTTTTCCGTACGATGAGAAGTACTCGGATAATTCCTCTTCTGTGGTTCCAAAAGGCAAGTTTCGGACAAACAATCGAGACTGCGGTGCTTCCTCTTTCAGATCGTTTTCGTCATCCTTCTCGCCTTGTTCACCTTCACCTTCAATTTCTTCGTTCGTGTTCTTTTCTGCTGGCATTTCTTGACTGTTTTTTATGGTGTCTGCTGCTCCTACTTTTTCATTTTCCTCTTCCTCACTGTCAGAATCACTGCTCGAACTATCATCGGAACTGGAATCGCTCGACGACGACGACGATGAAGAAGAAGACGACGTGTCAGCGTCCTCGTTCAAATCATCAGCAGCTGATTGTTTCGACCGTAAGAAGTCCATATCGTTTAGAACTGGAGCGCTTTCTTTTGCCATGTTCACAGCTGCATCCACGGACATGTCATCTTCAATATCTGATTCATCTGAGCTGCTGCTGTCGCTACTTTCACCCTCACTAACAAGTCTGTTCGAATTATCAGGTTTTGGGCTGCTCTCAACTTCGACGACTTTTTCTTCAACGACTTGATGCTCGATTTGATTCTCATCTCCTTCATCGTTTCCCCAAAATTTTGATCCTTTCTTTTCTGGGTTGGTAGGCTTTTTTTTTGTTTTTGTTTTTGCTTTGCCTGTTTCATTCTTGTCAGTAGCTTTTTTTTCTATGACATCGGCTGCCTTTTCGTCTTTCTTTTCCGGTTTGGTCAGTGCTGGCTGGACTGAGAGTCGGCTCATTCTCATGAACGCCTTGTCAAATTTTTCAACCACCATTTTTGCTTGACTGGCATCACGGAAACCCACAAAGGCTACCTTCCTGGATTTCCCCTTGGCATTCTTGAGCACCTTGCAATCTGTAATCTCCAATTTGGTATTGCCGATGGATTCAACCAAGAATTCCTTTAAGTCTTGCTCAAAAGTATGGAGCGGAAGATTCTTGATGCAAACACGCGTATCCGATGTAGCCGACATGCTGATCAAGTGTAAGAGTCTGATGTGAAGTTTGGGATTTGTGATCTCGTTCGAATATGTAGAAAGAGCAAAGATGCTTTCGATCGTTGGTCATCAATCGCAAACCGGATCTGACGCCTGCCTGGCAGACGGCGCGGTTGGAAATTGACGGACACATGACACATGGCACATTCGTTCGACATGCACGCACCAGATTTCACGGACACTTCCAAAATGTGGAGTAATGTTGAAGACGGGTATAATGAAGGTTATCCTACAGTATCTCCTAAAACTGCTGTAGAATGCACCACAAACGGTTTACAAACACAATCATCACATTTGGAAACCGCAAGTTTTCCCCCACTGAAGGATTCTAATTGGCAATAGACGTTCCACAAACAATTCATAGTAAAACGCACCGAGTGACATCCCCTGTCACTTCGCGTGCTCAGTTGGTCCACTGACGGCCACATCCCGCAAGTTCACTTTCTTATTCGCGCTTGCCTGCATTGTGCTCATGCATCCTGGTGAATCCGCATCAAGCCAAGGTAATGGTCTACTACGATTGGAACGCTAAAACAAACCCAACAATGTTCTAATAGAACACAGATTCCAACTAGCTAGCGGACATCATCGAAAGTTTTCCATCCATGTGATGTGGAAGATGATAAAGTACGAAACAAAAACTTCTATAGATTCGAGAGCATTGTACGACAACAGACAAAGAGTGGCAGTATACCATCAAAGACTATTTTCTATGAAAAGAGGAATTTCACTTAGGAGATCTAGTTTGATAAAACAATAGAAAGCTAATTACTTTTAACATAGATCGGAATGACAATCAACCAGATTGGGATGTCGAATTCCTTTTTACGCTGTGTCCTCGGCGGCTTGGGCAACCTCCTTAGGGACCTCAACCTTTCCGTGCTTGGAGGCACGGACTTCCATGAGTTCCTCAACATCCTCCTTCTTGGCGCCAGCCATATCGTATCCTGGTCCACGGTGATGAGAAATATCAAGACCAACTTCTTCCTCAAGAGGATCGACACGGAACATTCCCATCACATTGAGAATGACAAAGAAAGGAGTCATCAAGAAGAAGACCCATGCGCAGATCCACACAATGGAAACGAAGTTACAGAGAAGAAGTTCACCACTTCCTCCGTAGAAGACTCCTGGGAAGTCGTTGTATCCGGCAATGGCCATGAGGTCGGGGTCAGCAAAGAAACCAACAGCAAGAACACCCCACATTCCGTTTGCGAAGTGAACGGGGATAGCATCGACGGCATCATCAATCTTCATCTTGATCAAGAACTTGGAGAAACCAAGGTAGACCCATCCTCCGATGATTCCAATGATACAGGCGGCCCATGGGGTGACAACAGAGCATCCGGCAGTGATGGCAACAAGACCTCCAAGAGCACCGTTCATGGCGGCGGTCAAGTCGTAAGAGACCTCTCCGGTGGCAGACTTCTCGATCATGGTATCAGTGAACATGGAAGTAACACATCCACAGGCGGCGGCAAGGGTGGTGGTGACGGCACAAAGGGCGGCAGTCTCGGCAGATACAGAGTTGTCAATGGCAAGAGCGGATCCAGGGTTGAATCCGAACCATCCGAACCACAAAATGAAGGTTCCAAGGATTTGGAGAGCGACACTGTGGGCTGGGAAACTTACAGGCGTCTCGAGAGGGTTTCCATCCTCATCGTAAAAGCGTCCCTTACGTGGTCCAAGGATGATGGCGGCAACAAGGGCAGTAGCTCCTCCGGTCATGTGAACAACACCAGATCCGGCGAAGTCAACAACACCAACTCCTTGCCATGGATCGTCACGGAAGGCAGTGATCCAACCGTCACCAGACCAGATGGAGTGGACAACAACGGGGTAGACGAATCCGGTAAGGAAGACAGAGTAGCACAAGTAGGCTTGCATCTTGCATCTTTCGGCAACGGTACCGGCAACAATGGTTGCGGCAGTGGCGGCGAAAGCAAATTGGAAGAACCATCCGATCCATTCACCTCCAGATCCGTCGAAAGAGAGAAGGAGGAAGTTCTTGTTTCCGATGAAAGTCTTGCTGTCAGAGGCGTTGTCAGCATAGGCAAAGGCGTAACCGATGGTGTAGAAACCAATGGCACCTCCACAAGCATCCAACAAGTTCTTAAGCATGATATTCTTGACGTTCTTTTGACGGACGGATCCAGCACAAAGCATGGCGAAACCAGCTTGCATGAGGAAGACGAGGGCTCCAGAGAAAAGGAGGAAGAAGGTATTCAAACCGTCAGAGAGGTCTCCGGCAGCATTAGTACCATCAGTGGCCAAATTGTAAACTTGGCACAAGGCAGCAACATCAGTGGACTGGTCCTCCACGGCGGAGGCGCAATAGTCTCCAAAGGCAGTTGCGTTGAACGACATCTCTGTGATGTGTGACGGACAAAATTAAGTTAGAAAATTATAATGACAAAATCAATCACAACAACAGATCACCATCACTAATGAAGTATAGAAGTCCCGCATATCCCAGCACTGGTGATTGGATGGGTGATAGTTCACTGCACCGTCAGCTGGTGTGCTGTCAACTGCTAGGTCGTAATACTTACTTCTGAATGATTTTTTTTTTCGATCGAAAAAAAGATTGTGACAACATGCTGTGGGGATGGAGAAAAGATCTGGTCCACAACATCCCCGGCGGATTCGGCATTTCACGCCGGCCAAAATTCTGCCTCATTTAAGCTTTTATACAAAGCGCGACGGGCCTGCGAGCGTCTGCGTTGCCCAATGTCAGCCATGAAATCAGAATTTTGATTCAAATTCCGATTTTCAAATCGGAACTTGGTTTTGTTCGTAGATTTTCTACGTATACAAGTTCTTCTACACAAGGAAAGTACCACCTGAAACGGAAACAATGGTGTTTTGTGGCCGCCAGTCTTGCCAAAAGGATTAATGGTATACACAACTTCGCCGTAGGATTCGGCAGGTTTTACATTGCTATGTAAAATATGTACTGGGTTGACGGTGAAGTGTTTATTTAAGGCATCCGTGGCCGAGTCAGTGAAAAGGAAGCTATTCGAAGTCAAACGCCGTTCCGTTTTCCATGTTTTTTGTGTTTGCATTGAGAACCTGCCGCGCAGAAACTGGAACATCTGATGGGGATTGGGGACCTGACTTTTGTGATGTGGAACTTTGGATCGAAGAATCCAAATCCATACTCAAGATATCAAGACACCTGCTCTCTCAGTAAAGACACGGAAATCAAAAAAAGATTGCATCGGATAGCTGATAATAAGGTTCTGAAGCAAGTTGACATCTTCAATTCAATCAGTCAATCTAATTCCTCTGAAGAATTCTAAGGGCGAAAACGACGAGTTGTGGCTAGGTTCATGGTGATTTAAGGGTATCTTTAAAAGAAACCTCAAGTCAAGATGAGAATTGTACTAGAAGGTTGCATGATCATCATCTGGTTCGTGGACCCTTCAAGTCATCTTCACCATGGAGCTAAGATCTAAAGGATGCTACTAGTAAGCGTCAAAGATGTGTAGCTCACTGACGTCATTGATTGATTATGGTTTTAGATCTTGGAATTTGAATAATCCCAAGTGGCGAAATTGTGTATCTTCCAAGCTCAGCAGTGAGAAAACAAGGTGTCAATACATGCATAACACACCTACTGCATTGGCCTGTGGTTGGAATCTTTGGTGAGAAATTTTAATTGTCCATTTTGTGACAATCTATGGAGTTTCTGCTGATCATGCATGTGGTGTGAATGGAACTATTTGGCCAATGCTCGTGGCGTTCATCTCGACTCACTGTATGAAATAAGAAGCTGTGATGCAAGGGTTTGTGATCCAGATGAACCCTTGGGATCTCATGGGCCGGGAAATTATGTTCTGAATTCTGTCAGAATCCTGTATTGTGTACTGTTTTGCAATATTAATCGCTTAACATTCCCAATCTTTCGGTTGCAAATGGCTCTACCTATTTTTAGGAGTCGTCATGAACCTCGACGAGCGATGACCGACACACCAATCAACAGTTTCGAGGGTTCTGAATTCGGTCAATTTTTTTTTACGACGACTACGCCGATCATGAAAAGCGATCAGCATACCACAGAAAGTAGAGCTATTGAACACTTTTGCGTCTGTAGTCGTAGCTAGTTACAAGCACAGCACATGCAATGTGTCGTTCCTCTTCATTGAGGGGCTTGGATACCTATTGGTACAAAAGATACGAGTTCTGATAATCAAACTGATGAGCGTTTGAATCAGACGATTTCCGACCGCTTCGACTGCTTTTACATTTTCACCAATTTGAAATTTCGAAAAACAACGGTGTCAGCAGTCAACACCCTTCTTCGGTCTCATTTTAAGCATCAACGGTAAGCACACTTTTGTTAACACTAGCTGCTTCCTTAGGACTATTAGCTATTGTTCCAACACTGGTCCTCAGCCACCCAACCAAAAACAAGAAGAGAATCAAACTATTCCTACAATGAACAACTTCTTTGGATCTCTTTGCTAATAGAACCAATGAACGCATACTTCTCTCGCCAGAAAATCAGGCTCACATGCAGAAGAAATGTTCTCCTGTATGTCTAGACAAGATTTGGGTTGAGAAAGACACTGCAGAGAATGGTACCCAACCTCGTCAGGGCGTTACCGCGAAATGTCAGCGCCCGCGACAACTAAACTCAGACTTCAATCCACCCGGCAAAAACTCTATCTGCAAGAGAAAGGGCTTGCCCAAACTCAAGTCACCCGCCAAAAAGGGCAAGACTAATAGCACCAAGTATTCTAAGAAGAACCAGAATGCGGTCAAGAAGGAAGTCAAGAAGACCACAACCAAGTATCATCGTATCATATAGAAGACGAAGGAAGATATTGTTCCAGTTGTCGAAACTGCCAGTAAACTCTGGTTGACTTCAGCAACTTCCAAGAAAGCCTTTCCCAATGCAATTGACATCTTTGGGAGCAGTCAAGAGGGTCGTAAAAGCACAGACAGCGTGCTATTTGTACCTTTGGTGTCCTTTTCTGACGAGCCAAAAACACAAACAGCCAACGAGAAGCGCCACTAGATACTGAGAAAGCACTCAAGCGTCAACGTGCCAAAGATCACCACCCAGCTGCTGGTGATGATCTCATGCACAAATGGGGAAGGGGAACGCTGCTATACTATCACCTCGCACTGATTCGAGACGAAAAGCTTCCGTGAATCATCATATTTCCTAAAATGACAGAAAAGTCGCTCGAGGTTGATCTCTTTCTTGGCACAAAACTTTGGCCAATCCCAAATCAATCCGTCCAAGCAACTTGGCGAAATAAGAAACAATATAGCGAAACCTTACGAGCAATATCCGCGTTCCACTTGCCCAATTTGGGTTGATTGCTATATTTTCAAAACCAAACCATTCCGTGTCCGAACCACCATCAAAATCTAAATTCATTTCACTCCGTCAGTCGTAATTTCATCTGCACCGAACTTCGAACGACAATGGTTGAAACTGGGTAGGTAATCCGAAGCTTTCGAGTTGAAATTGACACCGATTGACAAGTTGCTACTGTACGGGAGATCTTTGTGTCGTGACGGTGGTCGTCACGACGGAAAAGCCCAATGACGGTCTTTTTACTTTGGTTTCCACGATCCAATGAGGGTTTGATGACATAAATTTATCTTCATTCTCGTGTTCTTCCAATCAATATTCATACTGCCTTGCCCTCATTTGCCGTTCTTACAACTCGTCTTCGTCTTCGTCTTCGTCATCGCATTTCATACTGACAGGGAACAGGTACAAACCAGGTAAAATCGGCATCGAAAGATCGCAAAACCGCCGAAATCTTCTGCCAACAAACCTCTCGTCCAGAAGTGGGAATTTTGAAAGAATAATGAGGAGATTCTTTTTCTGTTCCGTTGGGGAGGCATACAAAATATCAAAGCGACAGGAATGGTCGAAACATTTAATTATGGGGTCTTGTAAACATCAATTTGTTGCCGTTTTTTCATCGGAATATGGTGAAATTTTCGTCTGACGGCACGCGCGGTTTGACTCAGATCCAAACCGAATCCATCCCCATACCTGTCACAATTTTTTCCTTGCCAAATCAGAAGGATACTAAAAAAGTAAGTATTAATAATTCTTGCCCCAGCATCCCCAATGGCATCATATCGATTGGTTCATTGACTGCCATGGTGGTACCAGTGCTGTTGACATCTTTCTCTTCCTCTTAACTTCCATCTAACAACGAACCCTTCCAACAACGTCAACCATCACAGAGATGTCGTTCAACGTAACTGCCTTTGGAGACTATTGCGCCTCCGCCGTGGAGGACCAGTCCACTGATGTTGCTGCCTTGTGCCAAGTTTACAACTTGGCCACTGATGGTTCTAATGCTGCCGGAGACCTCTCTGACGGTTTGAATACCTTCTTCCTCCTTTTCTCTGGAGCCCTCGTCTTCCTCATGCAAGCTGGTTTCGCCATGCTTTGTGCTGGATCCGTCCGTCAAAAGAACGTCAAGAATATCATGCTTAAGAACTTGTTGGATGCTTGTGGAGGTGCCATTGGTTTCTACACCATCGGTTACGCCTTTGCCTATGCTGACAACGCCTCTGACAGCAAGACTTTCATCGGAAACAAGAACTTCCTCCTTCTCTCTTTCGACGGATCTGGAGGTGAATGGATCGGATGGTTCTTCCAATTTGCTTTCGCCGCCACTGCCGCAACCATTGTTGCCGGTACCGTTGCCGAAAGATGCAAGATGCAAGCCTACTTGTGCTACTCTGTCTTCCTTACCGGATTCGTCTACCCCGTTGTTGTCCACTCCATCTGGTCTGGTGACGGTTGGATCACTGCCTTCCGTGACGATCCATGGCAAGGAGTTGGTGTTGTTGACTTCGCCGGATCTGGTGTTGTTCACATGACCGGAGGAGCTACTGCCCTTGTTGCCGCCATCATCCTTGGACCACGTAAGGGACGCTTTTACGATGAGGATGGAAACCCTCTCGAGACGCCTGTAAGTTTCCCAGCCCACAGTGTCGCTCTCCAAATCCTTGGAACCTTCATTTTGTGGTTCGGATGGTTCGGATTCAACCCTGGATCCGCTCTTGCCATTGACAACTCTGTATCTGCCGAGACTGCCGCCCTTTGTGCCGTCACCACCACCCTTGCCGCCGCCTGTGGATGTGTTACTTCCATGTTCACTGATACCATGATCGAGAAGTCTGCCACCGGAGAGGTCTCTTACGACTTGACCGCCGCCATGAACGGTGCTCTTGGAGGTCTTGTTGCCATCACTGCCGGATGCTCTGTTGTCACCCCATGGGCCGCCTGTATCATTGGAATCATCGGAGGATGGGTCTACCTTGGTTTCTCCAAGTTCTTGATCAAGATGAAGATTGATGATGCCGTCGATGCTATCCCCGTTCACTTCGCAAACGGAATGTGGGGTGTTCTTGCTGTTGGTTTCTTTGCTGACCCCGACCTCATGGCCATTGCTGGATACAACGACTTCCCAGGAGTCTTCTACGGAGGAAGTGGTGAACTTCTTCTCTGTAACTTTGTTTCCATTGTGTGGATCTGCGCATGGGTCTTCTTCTTGATGACTCCTTTCTTTGTTGTTCTTAATGCATTGGGAATGTTCCGCGTCGATGCCCTCGAGGAAGAAGTTGGTCTTGATATTTCTCATCACCGTGGACCAGGATACGATATGTCCGCCGCCAAGGAAGAGGATGTTCAGGCACTCAAGAACTCCCGACATGGAGGAACCTCAGTCCCAGCTGAAGACACCGCCTAAGAAGGGAGTTTGAGATCTCATTCTATTTGAGAGCCAAACAGATCTATGTGTTTACAACCTTTAGCCGTCTAGTTACTTTTTTCCTTCTATCGATACTTTGCATCGCATATTGTCTCGTACCTCATACATTAGTGAATTGTAGACCTTTGACACGCTCACGACTTGTGCGAATGAATCAATCAATCAAAGGTTGTCTGTCCGCCTCCCACCACAAATCGAAATTCAATCGCAATGTATTTTCTCCACAAACTTCAACGACGCAGGTTGTAGAAAATGAAAGGATCCTTTCTGTTGACATGGCTGCTTTGCGCCAGCTTCGGCGGCATGGCAAGCAGTTTCCAAAGTCAGAACTCCTTGAGCCGCAGTCAGCGAATCAAGAATAGTAAACTTCAGATGAGTGAATCCACCTATGACGTTGTCAAGGTTGATCTATCGGATGGAAGAGATTACCCAATCTACATCGGCACTGGATACAGCGAGGAACAAGCCGCTGAAATGTTGTCATCGCACATCGAAGGAAGCAAGGCCCTCTTGGTTACAAACGATCGAATCTCTCCGATGTACTTGGAAAAGTATGAATCTTTGATTCGTCAAAACAAAGAGGTGCACACCCTGGTTTTACCGGATGGTGAAGAAAAGAAAACCATGGAAGTTTTGCAACTCATCTTAGACAAAGCATTGGAAGTTGGTCTTGATCGTAAGTGCACCTTCTTGGCCCTTGGGGGAGGAGTTATTGGTGATATGGTTGGCTTTGCGGCTGCCATTTACCAGCGTGGTGTCAACTTTATTCAGATTCCAACTACCGTCATGGCTATGGTGGACTCATCTGTAGGCGGAAAGACCGGTGTCAACCACCCTTTGGGAAAGAACATGATCGGTGCTTTTCACCAACCTCAGTGTGTTTTCATCGATACCGACAACCTAAGTACACTCCCAGATCGGGAGCTTCAAAGTGGAATTTCTGAAATCATCAAATATGGACTCATCCGAGACGCCGATCTCTTTGAATGGCTCGAAGAAAACATGGATAGTTTGTTGAAGCGTGATGCGTTGGCACTGAGATACGCTGTGAAACGATCATGTGAGAACAAGGCTGAAGTTGTCAAGGCCGACGAAAAGGAAGCTGGTGTTCGAGCTACGCTCAATCTCGGTCATACCTTTGGGCATGCTATTGAAAGTGGATCTGGATATGGAACTTGGTTGCACGGTGAAGCTGTTGCTATTGGAACGGCAATGGCTGCTTCAATGAGTGCTAGAATGGAATGGATCGATCAAGGTTTGTTGAAACGAACCTACGACTTGTTGGAAAAGGCAAACCTTCCTATTGAGCTTCCCCTTGACTCACCAATGAATCAAGCCACGTTCCTCAAGTACATGGCGGCCGACAAGAAGGTTGCTAACGGGAAATTACGACTTATCCTCCTCAAGGGAGAGTTGGGAAATTGTGAATTCACTGGTGATTTCGATGAAGGTGCAATGGTCGAGACGATTGACAACTTTGTAGCAGAATGTCAAGGAGCAGCGGTATAGTTCTATAGGATATTAAGCATAGATGTGAATACAAACTTTTAGTTTCCACATCCTTGAGCAGTGCAACAAGTAGTGCAGCACGAGCAAGTCAATCGGTCGCAATCAGCCCAAAACTCTCTAACTTGAAGCTGACAAAGACTGTTGCTCACAGACCCAGATAGGTAATTCCCATCAATGTAAATTAGCTGGAGGTTGGAGAGGGAAGAAAAGTTTCTTGGAACAGTGCCTGAGATGTAGTTGGCATACAACGACAATCCAGCTGAAATGAAAGCAAGCGCAAGATAACATGTGTGAGTAGATGGGACAAGAATGATGCAAATATCACATCGATTGGTCTTACCTAGACTTGTCATCCTTGTCAAGGCTGTGGGGATGGTACCCGTTAGCTGATTCGCTCCCAGATCAAGGGTTTCGAGTAATGAGAGGCGACCGAGTTCCGTGGGAATGGTAGAGAATATTTTGTTGTTTGCCAATGCGATTCGCTCTGTAAGATGTCGATAAAGATTAGAAACCTAAAATTCGGTTGGAAAAGAACAAATGCAAGCCTTCGATAAACTTACTCAAATTGGATAATCCGCCGAGTTCAGAGGGTATGTCACTGAAAACTTGATTGGAAGAGAGATCAAATAAAGCTAAATAAAACCAATGTGAGCCTGGGCATAGCAAAAATAGACTCTCTGCAAGGTATCACTATACATACCTAGCCTACTAAGATTCGAAACCTCTGATGGGATTGAACCATCGAGATCGTTTCCATGAAGTTGGACTTCTTCTACAGGAAGAACGTCAGAGATGTTGTTCGCAAAGCGACATGGACGTCACAGCCAGGGACTTACCAATGAGAGGAAGAAGTGCGAAGACTTCTGCTGGAACAGTACCGTCCAGATTATTTTCTCGAAGCGACAATACAGTAAGTTGTCTATTCGGATCGCATATGTCGAATGCAGTGGAGGTGGAAAACCAAGAGCACTCGTGCTCGTTCGATAACCATCTTGACGCTTGTGACCATTCCCAGCCCCTTGTGGAGTAAAATATTGTCGCAAGTGCGTATCGCTGTAGGACTCTGTTGTCAGGAAGATCTTGAACGTTCGACACTGAACGTAGCCACTCGAATGCACTTCGTTGTGGTGATGATCGGTTCTGTATCGCATCTCCTCCTTGTGGATATGCGGATACAATTAGCTTGTAGTAAGCATCCTGTTCGACCTCAGGATCTCCCGGTGGTCTCGAAGGCGCTGTGGTTGGTGTTCTTGATGGTGAAAGCGATGGCATCAGAGATGCAACAGTTGGTGAAAGTGAAGGTGTCTGCGTTGGACCAAACGTTGTTGGGCGGTTTGTTGAAGGATTCACCGATGCTACCACAGGAGCAGACTCGTCCTCCCTCGTCAAAAAATATGCCACAACAAAAGCAGCAATGATTAGCAAAAGGCAAACAAGTGCAATGATGGCGTTTCGACATGCAGTTGGTTTCTTCGATTTCTGTCTTCCATTGAGAGGTTGTTTCTGATTTTCAAGATCGTTAGTCCTGTTCGGCTGGTTGCGTTGGTATGGAGTCACGATGGGCGGCTTTCGTTGATTCGGAGGCACCATGTTAGGCCTGTGATTTGCAGGAGGCTGTAACGACTCAGATGACGACTCAGACGACGAGTCCAGTATCCCTGTAGGATGATACAATCCTGAGGAAGATGACGAATCAGAATCAGATTCTGGCTCTGACATTTGGCTCGCTGGTCGAGAATTTTGGTCACTTGTTGCTGCTGAGGCTACAGTGACCTCATCATACACTGATGACGCATCATCGTCTTCTCCATCTTCAACAATAACTTCTTCTTCTGATTCCTCATCCTCGTTCATTGCATCATCAGCATTAGTTAGTTGCTCGGCTCTGAAGGAGCCACTAGGCGTCGCCATCGCGTTTGAGGGTGCATTATTTCTCGAGGATTGGGAAGTCTCCATCGGATTCCAGTTCGAGGCAGCTGAACTGCTTTTCATCGATGCTGGTTTTGTCGTTTGGGTGTACAACAAAGCCTTTGGATCCTCGAGCTTTGAATCTTCCTTCGGAGGAGTGAGTTGGAAAGGAACTACTGACTTTAGTTCACTTTTGAGCTGAGTTGGGACCCATGAATTTTCGCTTTCTTCCGGTCTAAGGCTCATGTCCGCGTTAATAGCATGACTTGGGTGCCTTTTTTCCTCCTGCTTTGCTTCTTGGAATTTTGCTGGTGGCGCCGGTGCCGTTGGCTTGTTGATAAACTGAAGATACGAGGAGGCTCGACCTGGCCCCTTCCCTTCAGGTGGGTCTGCTCCCTCGCTCCGAAGAACTTCGCTCATTCGAACCATTGGCCCTGGTGTGTTAAGCTGTCTAGTGTTGGGGATGGCATACTGAGGTTGCTGGCTCAAAAATTCCCTCGGACCTCCCATCATGAATGGAGCATAATGAAAGCCTTCAGTTCCAAGTGTTGATTCGTCATCGTATCTTGGGAACAAAGATATCTCCGTTACTGGTGGAACGCCATGGTACTCTTTTTGTCGCATCTTCATGTCCATTCGAGGCACAGGAGGGACATTACCTACAGTGTGTCCCAAGTTCGGGCGATAAGTTCCAGTAGCAAGCATATTTCCATACGAGGGGGGCATTTCCATGTTTTCAAAAGCGTTTTCGTTACTTCTTGCGTATCCAAATGGAGGATCAGGTCTGTAATTCTCTTCAGACACTACAAACTGTTTCGCTTGACTCCGTACATGAGGGAGTACCGGTTGTCGTTCCATATGCTGTGCATCTCTTGCTGGTATTGATTGGATTGTGGTGGGCACATGAGTGAATGGTGGCATCCACCCATTTTTGTCCGAAGGGACCCATTGAAACTCATCAGAATCGTGTTCAGAACGAACAACAGCATCGACTGTACGTCTGACTTCAGGATCAGTTGATGGACTTGGAAGAAAGTCGTTGTAGGGTCTTCGTTTCTCGTCCGAAGCAGGGATATCTGGGCTCGAGGAGCTTGAATCACTTTTCAGCTCAAGCTTTTTGTCAAGCGCAAAGTTGTTTACTTCCTCTTCTGCGTCAGTTCCAGCCTTCCTCTTTGCCTTTTCACTTTGAGAGCTCGGTGGACCCAGAGCAAATGCTGAAACCTTTGAGCTGGCTGGGGATGTTTTTGATGAATCTGTAGTCTTATCCTCTGGCTTTTCGATATGAGGCTCTGGCGAATCGCTTCTTGATTTGGAACGGCTTGCTTTGGCACTAGCCGATTTTGAAGAGCTTGAAGAATCTCGATCTGAACTTACGACTTGAGCTTCTGGTGGCACATATCCAAATGATTTCATCAAAGTTCTTGAATTAGAAGACGACGATGACGATGAGCCAAATGACTCCATTGAAACTTCGGACTTGGTTCCGGAAGATTTGCTATCTCTCTTTTTGACCCTTGGTTTCGGTGAAGCTGACCTGGAAGACTTTGAACGGCTACTAGACGACGCTAAAGAACCTGAAGATTCACGATCTGACTTTCTCTTCCGCGATTTCTCCGAAGGACTTCCTTTTGAGGTTTGTGAGCTGGAAACAGAAAATCCTGATGAACTCGAGGTTGATCCACCCTTCAACCTTTCGATCCTTGGTTTTGGTAACGGCGGTAGCGGTGGTAGCGGAGAGAAGCCAGACTCCTCTGAATTGGAATCAGGCGACTTTGATGCGTTCGGATCATTGCGTGCGGCTTCCTTTTTCGCTTTTGTATCTAGCAGCAGGCTGGCATCAGACTTCCTTTCATAGCGGCTTTCGGAGCTTGACGAACCGAACGATGCATCGGAAGAATTCTTTATCTTCCCTTTTCCTTCACTAGTTTGTGAATCAACATTTTCCCTTTCATTCCTCCGTGATGAAGCGCTGCTTCCCTCGGATTCCGAAATTCTCTCTTGTCGCCGTTCCTCCATTCTCTTTAGCGGGTTGGAGGATTCACTCTTTGCATTTGACTCTTTGCTTCTCTCTGATGATGACTGACTGCTCGACTTTTGGCTCGATTCTTCCTTGGATTGCCCCGAATTATTACTGGATGACTCTTCCGATTGCGACCCTGATTCGTCACTGGAAGACGACGACACCGAGGAGAAGCTCTCTTCTGTCACTACACCTGTTTTGAATTTTGTTTCGATGGGTATTGGGCCAGCGGGAACTGAGCTGTCATCAGAAGCAGAGCTTTCGGATTTGCTACGAGAAGCCGAAGATTCTTCCCCTTGGCTTCTCTCCTCCTTTCCAATTCTTCTCTTGCTAGTATTCTTTGGTTGCACCCTTGACGTTGATCCTCCACTTTCTTCTTCTCCTTTTTCTTCCGATGATGACGATTGGTCGTTCGTTTGCCTTTCCGAATTGCCCCGTTGTGGCGTCCGAGACCCACCGGAATCCGATGATGATTTCTCATTTAGCATTTTCTCCGTCAGCGCCCGTGCGGTCGGATGCAACACTTCTGCACCGAAGTTGTTATTATTATTATTATCATCATCGTCATTCGTGCTGGCGGACACTGGCCAACCGTAACTATCAGTCGTTTGCAGAGAAGCTTCTGCAGCGGCGGTACTATTTTCCCCATTATCATAGCTCGCAGTTGGAAGAGGTCCCCTCAACGCACTTTCGGTGCTGGAGCTCCCAGCGGACCTAGTAGGTGATGCTTGTGATCCTGCGCCAATCGCCGATCTATCAGGCGACGAGCTTGGGCCTCTATTTTGCCAGGCATCGTACATTAATTTCGATTTTGGCGAATTTCCAGAACCAGAGGAAGAGGAACCACTATCGCTGCGAGATTGTTGTTTTTCGGACTCGGACAGGGATATGTTGGCTTCTGATGCGGATTCCGATTCGGATCTACTATTGCTACTATTGCTGTTCTCAGAATCCGTAAAGGGCCTTCGGAAATTATGCGAGCCGTCGTTGTGATCGCTGGTCGAGTCCGAATCACTGGAAGAATCGGAGGTGCTTTCACCATTGGGCGCTGATTCATTCGACAGTTCGAAATTTTGTGGTCCATTGCCTGCAGTTATCCTGGAATCTGAAGTGGCTTCCGCGGCTGCAGTATAGTTTGCAGCAAAGAAATCGTAAATCCCCATTGTCCCCTGTAGTGTACAGTCTGTGGTGTGTGTAGTTTTGGTGGTGTGCTGTTGGTTGGCAACCAACTTGCACCCAAAACTCTTTCTCGGAAGTTGTCGAAATCACCCACCAGTCGTGTTGATGTTCCGAGTCCTATTTCAGTCCTTTTTTGGTCACGAGCGTTGAATTGAGTGTGAAATCGAGCCGATCAATCATTTATTCGCATGGTTCTCGAAGGGTGACAAATAAATCGTTCCAAAAACTTTATGCACAAGAAACCCGACAAATCGCCCCATTTTGCAAACACACACACACACAAACAAACACATCAAGATGAATGCGCTCCGAAATATCTCCTTCCTTTTCCTTCTCATTCTCGCTTCCACAAAGCTTGCCGCCAGTATGAGACCAGACAAGAAGCCACTGCTAGGTGGATTCAAGAAATCGGCCAGAAGACAAGAAAGGGAGGAATTCAGAAAGACTAACAAGCTGTTTGCACATACTCGCTGAAACAAAAATGGAATGAACCGCCCATGCTATGATTGACAAGAAATCTAAGAGAGGGTCGTATTTTGCTAATAGAACATGTATATTAATGATTATTTTTGACAAACCACAGACTGTTTACGACTCGTAGTTGTGTTGACACATTCTCGGTGGCGAACAAGATACTTTTCCAAGTCATCATGATGACCATTGGAGCCTTCAAAAGCAAGCATATTCTCTCAAGTCAAACGCAAAAAGCTATCGATGATAGTTAGCTTATGCGCTGCTTATGATCTTGCATAGGTAGATTTCATACTGTACAGGTGTTCACTTTCTGCAACAACAATAACGACAACAACAACACATCAATCTTGCAGTGGGACAACATTGCCAAAAAGGAGAATCTGCCGATTTTTCTGAAAAACAATATATTATATATGACGTCATACTGCACTCACTGTAAATACAAAGGAAACTGTTTCAGCTCTGTTTTCTGTTGGCCTTCTCCCGAAACATGCAACCAGAACCCAAACGTCGCAAGAATGGAACAACAACCAACCATACAAGAACAGTATCCGTAACAATGACGACAATGGCAACTGGTGATAGCAAAAAGCGAACAATTTCCAATTCGCAACGGGAAGTGTGGAAGCTGGAACAAGAGATTGTGGCTTCCATGGTCCAAATGGAGGCTGATCCTCCAATCGATACTTCGGTCGTTCCCGACAACCCGCTCTTCCATGTCATTAAAGACGATCACAAGGATGTTTACTCTTTTTCGAGCAATCCCGAGTTCTACGGTGGTGTCGATGTCAGCTTCCCAGAAAATGAAGAGGATAAAGCTGTGGCAGTCTACGTCATTATCGATAAACGATCCTTGAGTTGCGTCTATCGTGACTACAAATACTTCAACTTGACAATACCATATGTTTCAACTTTTCTTGCCTTTAGAGAGATTGACCCACTGCAAGAGTTGGTACATCGACAAGTTCGTGAATATCCAGACATGACACCAAAAGCAATATTGGTGGATGGGTGAGTCATGATCCAGTCATTCATTCAGCCGCCTCAAGCAACATTCAGCAGTTTCACGCAAGATACTAGTGTCGGCACACTGAGATCGCATTGTTTATCTATTGATGCATGCCATTTTCTAACATTGTGTATCTACCGATCCCTCACTTCCATTATAGGAATGGTATTCTCCATCCAAGACACGCTGGAATCGCCTGCTTTCTTGGGACGCGAACGAACATTCCAACCATTGGAATTGGAAAGACCTTGTTGTACGAAGGCGGGTGGACACGAGAGCGACTTGCAGCAGCAATTGACGACTTTCTACAAAACTTAAATGATACCATTGGACAAAACTCACAAACTCTTCCTCCGCAGTTGATGCACGTCCGAGGTACCATCGTCCAACGAACCTCACCCGACCCAACCAACGGAGAAGCAATGAGTCCCAAAACAGCATCCAAGACAAACATGCAGGAACCAATGGATCGAAAAACTCTAGTGACAGAGCTATCCCACTTTTGCAATGGACTTGCCATTCCATTAAGTGGCGCGGATAAACGCTTTCCGATCTTGGGTTGTGCATTGGTGGGCCATGGAGGTCATAGCAATTCCAAAAAGTCGAATCAACTGAGTAGTGGTGGTACTATCAAGCCAATCTTTGTCAGTATAGGGCATCGAGTTTCCTTGACCAAGGCCATACAGATTACTGCATCCTTGTGTCAGCATCGAATTCCAGAACCAGTGCGAATCGCCGATTTGTATGGACGTGAGCTGATGCGAAGTTCCGACAAGTCCAACGTCGAAGTAGTCGATCCCATGCAAGTGCAAGGCGACAGGGAGATGGCGGCAACCATGTCGTGATGATTTCGACTTATTCAAATTGCCCATGTACATACAACCAATACCCACCTAACGTCGAAATTAAGATTGCACAAGCATGAAACATGCCGGTAGTATCCACCACAATTAAAAATAGTCTCTCACCACAATTTAGGTATTATCATTTGAAACTATTTTAGGACCTAGAAACGCGCTTGCCATCACAACGTTCAAAGTTTGGCCGGCGGCTTGCGAATTATTTTCTACTACAAATCCAGTAGGAGCCACACCGGCGTAACTGGCCAATCGATCAATTCGAAATAGAAAAACGGCCGACTTTTTGTTGCTCCACGAAACAAGAAAACCAAAAACAAACAGAACCTATCAACGATGTCAATAGACTCGATAGCCCTCGTCTTGGGATCGGCCGCCGTTGGCTTGGCCCCACTGATCTGCTTCTTTAGTCAGATTATTTACCCAAAGTCTCAGCTACTGATTGTTGCCATTAGTGCTGCCTTTTTCTTTTTGCTTTCTTCTGTGGGCAGTGGGTTGTTTTGGTATATTTTCAATGATTTGATCGGTGTCTCGTGGAAATGGTTTGCCATCGCACCTGCCGTCTTGTGCCAATTCCTTGTCCGTGTGGGATTTGTCAAGCTGTACCACCAGGTTGAACAGGCCGTCGAACAGTCAATCGCAGCCTCCGAGGCCGAGCGCGAAGAGAACGCTGGTAGTGATGACAATGCATCTACAACTTCTGATGTCGCTACTGCCAAGCTTAAGCTCGAACTCAATGATGCTGCAAGTGGTCTAGCTGCTGGTGTTGGTTTCGGAGGAATGCACGCAATCTTATTTTTTGGTTCGCTTTTGGCTAGTGAAACAGCAACAACTGGTGTTCTTTACCAACCAAGTTGCCCATATGTTCCAAGTTTGGCTGTCTCTGCTTTGAACTGCTGCTGCTTCTTTTTCTTGGACATCTTTTGGATGCTTTTCACTTTCTTTGGAGTTCGACGACGTGTCATCTTCCCCCGTGGCGGAGGCAACCTTAATGATATGAACCCTCGACACAGACAGTTTGGTTCCTATTTTGGAAATACTCGAATGGGCGGAAACATGGCCTTGATCACGGTCTTAGCTTCCCACTTCGTCGCCGCTGGCTTCACAACACTCAACCAGTACAACCATGGATGCACCTTTTCTTTGCCCCTGTTATTTAGTACCGTCCTTTCCGTCTTGTGGCTGTTCCGTGCTGGAATCAGTAAGATCTACAAGCCTCTTCCACACTCCAGCCAAAGACTAAGTCTTCCGGCTTCTTTCAGCTACGCCAGCCACGCTAGCAGAGTGGGTGAAAATGAAAATGGCATGGATTATGTCGAACAAATGAGAAGTACGGGATAAATGTTTATTCTCCTTTTTTGTCTAATGTAACAAATGGCATCTGTATATTCCTTAATATAATGATTACAACTTGAAAATTGTACAACATCCAAATATCTACCAGTGGCAATACGACAATTGACACTATTGTATTCATCTCCAGTGACCATGGGACTGAATCCAAAGTCTCGTATGTTCATTTGCGCGAGCCAATGCACCTTTCGCTTCGGTAAGATTTACCATGTAGAGACCACTCATTCCATGTGCACTGTCGCCTTGAATGCTTTCGTAGTATTGTCCAAGTAACATGTTGATGTTGCGAAAGTACGCTGGTTTCGCGTTCCCAATCATTTCTACAACTGCCACTCCAGGCCGGGTGAACAAGGCATTGCTGTGGCCTGCACCATGAACACCAAACAGAACGCGGCAATCTTGCAGTATTCTCACCGTCTCATCAGTCGTATGATATTGTGTCAGTGTTAGTACTTGAACACGAGGAAAAACTTCTTTCATCATGGTCAGAGTTTCATTCCAATTCTGCACTCGTCGGTTGGGCCGTCCTTTCCGACTGATGAGGCAACCCATCGGCTCGGTAGGTTCCACACGGGAAGACTTGTCCACAAACAGACTAGCAAACGACTTGAACATGATTGAGTCATGGCACCTCAATTCCATATCCCAAGCCAAATCCCAAAGAAAGCCATTGTTAGGTGGTAGAATGACAATATCGGCATTGTCGAGGAGTGTTTCGTCACAGGACACTTCACCCATTTTTTCCCATTCATTTGGTAGATCGTCCAAGTGTTTCCCGTGCTTTTGACAGTTAAAGTAGAACACTACTTGTTCGGAAACCAAGTCATACTTGTGCATGGCCGTTTGCAGACCCACCCAAGAATGATAGAGAGGAATCATACGATGCCACAGATTTTGAGCGGCAAATGAGTAGGACTGGGTCCCATCAAAGACTTGCATGTCAACTACGGTGAGTTTCAACTCTTTGCTTCGAATCGAAATTTCCATTTTTGCGTGGGTATCTTTTTCCGATTTGGATTTGTGAGCTTCTGTGGCAACCCAGGAGTGCCAACTACGTTCCACTCGTACCAGCCGGGTTTGTGGTAGATTGGAGAAGTCAATGGCGCTTTTATCATTCGCTTCCCAATGATCCATCAAAGACCATTCATATACTCGTTTGCACTTCTCATCTTGAAACTCTGAAGTTGAATTGGATGTCCATTGAAATGATGAAAGGTGGTGAGCTTTGTTGGCGGTTCGCTTTGTCCGTTGGGGTTCTTGGTGGGATTTTGGCTTCAGGAGTTTTGTAGACTTCAGACGCACGAAGCAAGCTAGCCCAAATAAAACAACGATGATTCTTCTACATCCTTTCCTTTCTTCCCATCTCATCGTAATAGAACACCATGGCCCAACATGCCTCATGCATTCTGTGTGTTGCAAGTTCGGGGGCAGAGAGCAAGAGTAAGCTGAGAAAGGGATCGAATCATTGGATTAAAAATTAGTTTTGGTGGTCAAATCCTACAGTACCGGTACCTTTTCGGTTTCAGTTGCTCTAGCAGCTAACTAAAGTCTAGTCCAATCAATTTGTGGAGCTTTACTGTGGATATCTAGAAAGACGTATTTACTTATTTCCCTCCCACCCCATCCCTGCTGGGCCTTGGACGGTGATTGATTAAAAACCAGCTCAAGCAGGAAACGTGGGTTGGTCCTTTTGGTCGAACTTTACTACTTCTGTAGTTCGTTCTGATTTTATCTACTGCACCCATGCGTCACAAATGAAGAAAAGAAAGTACAGACACAACATGGCTGCAAAGAAGGCAGAAGCATCTCTGAAAAGCCTTCACGCCGAACTAGACAAGGATGTACCAAGTGCCAAAGCATGTCTTGCTTTCCTTGGTGAGGCGGGCGAAGTACTGAAAGATCTTGATCATGAAACATTGGAAGAATTGAATGTGATGAAGACATTGGGCAAGATGACCAGGTCCGTAAAGCGACACAAACGTTCTTCGGAGGAAGCGGAGGATTGGGAAAGTGCGTTGAAGGTGGTCAATAAATTACAGCTGCAATGCAAAACGAGTTCAAAGGTCGATTCGAAAGCAAAACAGGAAATATCAAAGCCCTCATCGCAACCGGGGAATCATTCAACTGTAAAGGAATATCGGGCTCGACTTGTTGTCCAAAAAAAGGACATGTACAAAGATCCTCCTGTACTGCCACCTCTCGACATCAAAATTGAGACCTCGTTTTGTCGCCCTCCTAAGCGAAACAAGGAGACAGGCATGCTGTCTTTCGTAGCAACTACTTCAGAAGTTTCAAATCTCCTCAAAGACTTTCATCCGAATCGTACGCCAGAAGAAGTCCTGAGAGCTGGCAGCTTTGGCGGCACGTATTTTCGCCCCATTTCGTCAGCAGTGACAAACGTTTCGTACAGCGCAAATGATGTGCTTGAAGATTCGGTAGAAAAAGATTGGATAAAAGGTCTACCTATGAATATGCTGACTTCAAAGACCTATCGACCTGAAATCAATAAATACGGCGTAAAATGTGGAGGCTCGCTTGGAATGTGGGAGTCAAGTGGATGGATAACTCCAGTAGACCCATATGGGTGGTTTCAGTGGTACTGCCGTTTCTACAGAGGTCGTCGTTGCGACGATGATGTACGCCAGATATCCCGATGGTTGAAAAGTGCTGGTCCCAAGGGGCGTTTTCGGTCTCAACTCTGCAACAAAATTATAGCTGCACAGGCTGACCACAATGACAATTCGATCAGCCCAGTCATACGGCAGACATTACTGCATTGGGGCTTGGAAATCACTCCAGATGTCCTCACGAAACATGCCAAAAGAGTTGGGAAATGATTTATTTGTCACTTCATATCGTTTCGAATGGGTTTCATAATGAAGAATAATACTGCAACTGGAAACGAAGTCGTGCTAAAGAACTGGTATTGCCGTCTCATCGTAAGGGAGCACTGAGCACCACCGTGCAACATGCTTCATGCGTAAGGTTTTGGGGATGTAGACTAAGCCTTTTGTAGTACTTTAGTTGTTCGAGTCGATTATTGACTTTATTCAAAAAACCAAGAACACGAACAGAAATCGATTGCATTGCGAAGACTTGGACTGACTTGCGACGATTATAAGGAGATGAGAGGGACCTTGAAGTCCATAGCTGACAAATTTGGAGCGGCCGTGAAGAACAAAGCCACAGAAGCAATCAATGAAGGATCTTCGTTCGTTTCCAAGAATGCCGAATCTGCTTACAAAACTGGAAAGTCAGCCGCAATGGAAACGGCTCGAACAGCTTCAAAGGGGGCCTCGGGGTCTTTTGACAGGTTCTATAAGCAAGGCAAAGATGCTACTTTAAGCCAGGTCACAGCAGCAACTACGAAGGCATCTCATGTCGTGAGAGATGCTTCGTCAAGTTTTGCGTCCTCAGCTCGAGATGCTTCTGTTAGTATGGCTTCTAGTGCAAAAGAAGCAGCAAAAGAAGCTGCCGTTGAAGCAAAGATTGAGGCGAAACGAGGAATTCGTTGGCTCCTGGTTTGGTCACTAGCGGCAGTCGGTGTGTATGGCGTGGCCACGACTGTCTCCAAGGAACTTGTTCGGCACGCTCTGGTAGGAACAAAGAGGGAAGATCATATGATTGAAAACAAGCAGTCAAAGCAGTCTCGGGAAAGAGGTGCGCCGGAAAACAGTGGCAGATGGTCATGGCTATCGTTAAGCGAACAGAAACCACCAGAGCAGTCTAGCGAAGGAGATGCTTCAGGGAGTGGCGGTAGATGGTCATGGGCAACATGGGGAGGAAGGCCCAGTTAACAATAGTTTGCCTCTTGGGCTCTATACATTAGCTATATTTTCCCAAAGTTGTGACTCGAGACCTACTCGGTGCTAATTCGTTAGCAAGTGCTGTATGGCCTGTACACACTTTTCATGAGATATCTACTGCTCTTCTGCAATTTGCAGGGTCAGTGTTTCCCAGCTAATCGGGCAATACGAAACAACTCTAATTTGCACAACAATATATCGTGCGTTGTGGTGGATGACACTTTCAGTTGTGGTATCTTTGTCCCTTGATACCTTGCACCGAATGTGCTGCGCCATTATCCGTGTGCTGTTGCTCGAGCGCGACAGTGCTCTGTGGTGGCAGTTTGACTTGGTGAGATTTCATAGAGAAACCCGCTCATGAGTGCCTTGAACTCGTAAGCGTCATCTGGTATCCTTTGAAGCGACTCGATGTCCCGAAGGAGCTCATAGATGAGCAATCCAAACCCCCCTCTATGGTGTGATTTATGAATCCAGTCTTTTCCATGAGCCTCACTCAACCCATGAACGATTGCTTCAACCATGGTTGCCTTCTGAACCAGTGGCGTGTGAGCTGGAATTAGTCTGGAAATATGACGAACTCCTGGATTTTCCTTTGCAAAAGAATCTTCTGGTTTTTGTAGGTACATCAGTATTCGACAAAGCGATAACGCTCTTTGTTTTCCAATCTTAGAACAAGCCTGAGCGTAGAAATCTTCGGCGTTTTCGGCCGTTGTATTGAAGGTACCAACAAGCTGTCTTGCATCCCGCTGGTGTATGGTTTCTTTCCCCTTTCGAGTTTTCCCCTTTGATCGACTCGCCCGTTCTTTCGGCACTGCGCGGGGGACGCTGGGCGAACGTTGTCCAATTGAGTCCCCTCGTTGCCGTTGAATCTTCTCGCGATCGTCTGCAGCTTTCAAGACTTCATTTGGAGTGGTAGATATCTTCTTGCTCGATACCCTTTCTATTTGTTTGGGCGCAGTATTTGTACCAATTTTTCGTTTTGCAAGCCTCGAGCCTATGGAATCAATTTCGCGTTCTCCTGAACCTCGTGGCCGTTTCCTGTTTTCCCTCAAAACTGCTCTCTCGCTTCGAGCGCTGAGAGAGGCGGGCAACTGTTGTTGCGGAATGGTGTCCACATCTGTGGGGGCAACGGGGGTAGGATGTCTCTTCCAATCGAAAATTTGTCTGAGGAACATTATCCTATCTGCCATTTCACTGGCAAGAGAAGCATCCGACTTGAACCCATCGTGTGCGAGTTTTTCTTTCATTGCGTTGAACTCGTCGGCTTCATCAGCACCAACGAAAATCTCATTTTGCAACCAATTTAGAATTGATGCATTTAAGGCCTTCCATTCCTCGCTTTTGTCAGACTCTTCATCCAGCTTCGACATTGCTTCTTCGTGAATATGAAGTTCAAGGGCCTCAGCTACTTCAAGCATGCCTTCATTCCCCCATAGCTCAACAAGGTTGGGCAGGATTCTTGCGAAGTAACCGGCAGGATCAAAGAGAGGATTCAAATTGTGCTTGAACCAGTGCAGTATCGAGTCCATCCTCTCCAGTCGGGCGAGGTAGAGGAGACCGTCTGCAGCGCTCGAGGCACCGTATGCTGATCTTGCTATCCTTATCTTCCATCGTCCGTATAGTATCTTTTCCGAAGGAGACAGTTCTGTCGGATTTCTCAAGTTTTGCGAAGGAACTTTGAAGCATGCTGGAGAGGAAATGTGAGAACTTCTATATGCAGACATGTGGATTGCTTCTTACATGCCACTTACTTAGTTCCTCTCTCCCAAACACTTTTGATTTGACTTCCTGCAACCCACGAGTCTGCCTCAAACCAATCAATTTGCAAGCCAAATCGACCTCTTGTGTACCTTCTGGAATATAAACGTACTGAACAGCACTTCCCACATATCCCATTGTCTTCGCTCTCTCCAACTGTTCCCCCTTCAGATAACGCACATCCATCCCATCACCGCTATCGGTTGACTTCTTCCGCCGTTTCTTCGGGCTTTCGCTCCTCGGGAGGTCGACGTCGAGAATATTGTTGGAGTAGTCGTCGTACTCGATTTGCTCAGGTCTAAAAGCAACATCCCTCACCAAACGAGGATTGTGCGCCAAATATTGGTTTGGGTGCTGTGGGAGCCTAGTGCTGAAGAGCGGCGTCGAGTTGAGGCGACTGGGAGGGTAGCTCGGGACGTTAAATCCATGTACTGCAACACCCTCGCCAGGTTCATCATAAGCCTTAATGTTGGCTGCAGGACCTGGAAAGAATGTTGCATATTTCGTTTCTTCCACTGGAATTTCTTCCAAGTTTGAAACAACATTATCAGACTTTGAATCCTGCAGAGCCTTCTGTGATTTCTTCTGCCTAAGCTCTTTGCCTTTCCTGGCTCGCCGTTCCTGTATTTTTCGCTGTCGTGCTGCCTCCGCCTTCCTCGTAATTTCTTTCTGTTTCCGCTCTTCTGCCTTTCTTATCTTCAGCTTTTCCTGCTTGGTCTCCTCCTTCTTTCGTTTTACTTCGAGCTCTGCCCTTTTTTGCTTGTCTCTTGCAAGATTGAAGTTAAGACCGATGAAGCCTCCCTTTTCTGGCTCGACCAAACGTACTTTCATTATCCCCGCAGGCTCGTGTTGCCGCAAAGGTCGAAGACGAATAAAGCGAACGTTGTCATAGTCTTCAATTGCCTCCAATACCCTCATCACAGCAGGCTTGCTCACATGCGAATCTTCCATATTTTCAAATATGTCTTTCTTTCGAAATGTACAATAGACTTCTTCCTGATCAAGTCGCTTTCCGAGTACGTGTTGCATAGTGGTCCCATTAATACTCATAGTTCCCTTCCAAAGTGAATGCCCTGCTAGTTCTGATTTGTTGACAAAAGAGATGGAATAGTACTTGGATAGAAGATTGATTCCCCCCACCAACTCTTTGCAAACATGAGCACAGAATGGAAGGTATACAACTCCTTCTTCAAAATTCTTTCTATTTCGACTTCTCGCACTCGGGAAGGTCAGCATATTCATTTTAACAAGGTCTGGGAGAGTCTGTTGGAAGAGTGTCTTTGCCCATCTGCAAGGAAGAAAAAAGATGAGATCGTGCAAGGACTTTATTTTCTCTCCCTCTGCATCATGCTCTAACCACATACCTTGTAACAAGCCAACCACTAGGCATCCAGTAGTAATCTAAGATCACCTGGCTGAATTGAATGTCGTCGCCAAAGGCTTTCTTGAGAGTCTTACAAAAGTTTCGATTGTTGAAATCACCATACACATGGCGATCATCTCTGTAGATAGCTCCAATCTCTCGAGAGGAAGAGTAACAATCCACGTCGCATACGTTTTCAGTGGCCACGCATCGTGCCAAATCTCTAGCATCCATTTCAGTCAGGATTCCGCGACGGACGCATTCCACAGCTCGATCCACCGAAGCATCCTTGTTAATCAATAGATCTTCGTCAAAGCCATGTTCTTCCATATGCTTTTCCACACTAGGATAGGAAATTCCCAATAAGAGCACATTTGGCTTCCCAATGGGTCTTCGAGCCAACATATTCTGCACCATGGTCGGCGAGAGGCCGAGTGAGTCGCTTTTGACCTAGCTTGAACGGACGAAAGTGGTGATGTGGCTCTCAAGAGATTGAACTGGAACAAGAAAGAGTGCAGAAACCGGAAGGATGCGGGTAACAACGAAGAATAGCAAGCTCAGTAAAATTTGTGGTTGCTAGGACCCTATCACAAGACGCAGAAACCGTTTGAGCTGTTCCTCCTGACACCAAAGCTGGTCTCCATTAGCCGAAGAGGGGTGATAGAGTCAAGCAAAAGCGGAGGAGCGACTGGCAGTATTTTTTGCGGGCCAGATCGGTGGATTGGTACGAAACTCACGTAATTTTCGCCTGCCAGCAAGATTTTTGTCCACGAGTTTGGCGCCTCAATTTGTGGACAGAAGAAAGACTGCCCTCGTACAATAACATGGTAAAATAATAATAACTACACCTATATCTTAGCATTCCAAAACGCCTTGAGCAAGTTTCCAATCTTTGTAATCACTTTGTCCAGCAACGACTTGTCGAGGTCCTCTTCGTAAGCAGGAGGACTGGTGGAATTTGGTTTGACGCTATGTGGGTGATCGTCCTCCTGGCCTTCCTCCTCTTCTACCGGTGCCGGTACCAGAGATACGTCTGTCTCGGCGATCAGTGCCGCTTTTGATCCTGGCATAGGAGCTGAAGATCTGGCTGGAAGAAGAGACTTTAGCACGGAAGGTACGCCTGCAATCAAACCGCCAATGTCCCCTTTGGCGCCTACGAATGCAAGTCCCCCAAACGCTGCCAAAACCACCGAAATCTTCAAAGCTTGCTCCCGAATAGAGACGCCAAGAGAAGCATCTTCCACAAACCAGTTTTGCGGGATACCTTCTTGTGGTCGTTGCAAGCCTTTCGCAGCTAGTTCGGCTGCAACTTCTGGTCGTAGTTGGTTGATTTCACGAGATTTGTACTTCAGACCCTTCAGGGTATCCTTGATCTCTTTCGAAATTTCCGTAGGTTGTACAGCCGTGGGTTCGTCTTGAGCGTCTTCCCCTGCAACCGCTTCATCTTTTGGATCGGCATCATCTCCTCCAATTGCAGTTGCAGCTGTCACAGCAGCCAATGCGCCATCCTCTTCTTGATATTGATCGGTAACTGCGTCCACTTCATCGTAAGCATCCGCCAATTCCATTCGATCCACAAAAGCGGAGCTGTTTTCGTCATCCGTGTTGGTGTTGGCAATTCGTGCCTCCATGCGATCGACAAAGGACGATGAAAAGTTTTCGTCGTCTGTATAGCTCCGTTCTTCCAGAGTTGAGCCATCTTCCTCTGTCGCCACTGCTTCTTCGACAACTACTTGGACTTCTTCTTCTGATGCTGTAGGAGATTCCTCTTCCTCCTCTTCAACTAGCTCCTCGGTTTCCTCGACAGTTTCTTGAAGCTCGTCTTCCACAGCTTGTTCAGCCAATTCGTCTTCCATGCCCCTCTCTTGCTCTTCCTCCTCTTCTTGCGAGTCATATACTTCTTCCCATTCATCATCTTCGTCATCTTCTTCCTTTCTGGATTCCTTTGGGCCACCACCACGAATCGCCAAGGGTGATTCCCATATCATTTTATGTTCGTGGTGTTTTCGAGCCAAGAAAGCTGTCGGAACAGTGAAGACGTGCCCATAAACAAGGGAAATCATACCCCACACAAAAATACAATTAAGTAACGCCATGATGGTGATGGTGATGCACAGTATCTATCTACTAGTGGACATCAAGTGAACTCAAACTGTTGTCTCGACACGCACATCATCGCTGACATCTCCGATCTTTCAACGTGTAACGGAATCTGGAATCTAAGGTTCACATATTTCAGATTGTATACAACTAAGAAAAGACACTAACTTATATCTAACTCTCAAAGTCAGGAGGTTGACTCCAAGGTGCCAATTCAAGGTACTTTTCTTCATCCGCCAAGGAGGCAGCCTTCCAATCGTTACGGAAGAGCAGAACTGGACGCTTCCATCTATCTTGAACAATCATGATTCCAAATAATTTACCTGCAGCATCTGCCTTGTCAACTGCATCCCAACCCGAATTGACCCATCGAGCCAGAGAGTATGTGAGAGGCTCCATTATTGATTCTACATTGTATTCTTCCTTTAGTCGAGCTTGGACAACTTCAAATTGCAACTGACCAACGGCAGCCAACATCTAAGGGCAAAATGAAGTGTGAGGGAAGGTACGGTGAGGAATAAAGCGCCAACTACTGGTCGAGTCAAGAACTTACCAGTGGACCACCACCGTCATCATTTCGTTGACGAAGAGCTTGGACAGCACCCTCGTCGAGCAGCTGATCCATTCCCTTTCGAAATGACTTGTAATCCGATGGGTTGGGACTTCGAATGTAAGAAAACTTCTCTGGACTGAAAGATGGAATACCAGGGAATGCAACACGGTTACTTCCGGTGTACAAAGTGTCTCCGATTGCAAAGCATCCAGGATTGTTGATTCCGATGACGTCACCAGGATAGGCAACATCAACCGATGATCGATCTGAACCGAACAAGGCTTGAGCTTGTGCAAGATTGTATTTCTTGTTTGGTTTACTTCGGGAATGCCCAACTTTCATTCCCTTCTCGTACACTCCAGAAACAACACGAACATAGGCAAGTCGATCTCTGTGCTTTGGATCCATGTTCGCTTGTGTTTTGAAAACGAAACCAGTGAATTCCTCGTGCTCTGGTGATACAGTCAGAACATCATCCGATGAGGCATCCTTGTTCACGGCAACTCTTGTGGCAGGTTTCACTCCCATCTCCAAAAACTTGTCGAGGAATAGTTGGACACCAAAGTTTGTCATGGCACTTCCAAAGAATAGAGGCGTCAAGTCTCCAGCAGACACACGATCCATATCCAATGGCGGAATCAACTCATCTAGAAGCTCTCTGTCTTCCAAAAGCTTGTCAAACAATTCTTTGTCGTCAATCAACTTTTCGAGAGTCTCTAGATCGTCCATCGGAACCTGTTGCACATCTGCTTTGCCTCCACGCTCGACAGACTTGATGAACAAGTGGACGACATTTTCCATACGATCTAAAACTCCTTTAAATCTATCACCATCTCCAATGGGCCAAAGGACGGGGAAAGACTCCAAGTTGAACTCTGCTTCAATTTGATCCATAATCTCATATGGGCTCAAAGCGGGACGATCCATTTTGTTGCAAAAAGTAAACAGGGGAAGTTTGCGCATTCGGGTGACCTCAAAAAGTTTTCTAGTCTGGGGTTCCAGCCCCTTGGCACTATCGATCAACATGACACTATTATCTGCGGCAGCCAAAGCTCTGTATGTATCTTCACTAAAATCCTGTAAGAAACGACGACAAAGGTAAGTTTCTACCTCAAACGACGAGGGCTAGACACTTGAAGTGACTTATCATGACCTGGAGTGTCAAGAATATTGACGCGTTTCCCATTGTAGTCAAAGTTCATAACCGTTGAACTAATCGAGATTCCACGTTCTTGTTCGATGGACATGAAATCACTCTGCGTCCCTCTTTGTTCCGCCTTTTGTCGGACGGCTCCAGCTTGTTGCAATGCACCTCCATACAAAAGAAGCTTTTCCGTCACTGTAGTCTTTCCAGCATCTGGATGCGAGATGATTGCCAAGTTACGTCTGCGATTGATTTCTGCCTCGGGAGCCTTGTTGCTGACAGATTCCACTGTTTCTGCGAATAGAAGGGGCTTCACCGACCTGCCTAGCAGCTTACTGTGTGTGATAAGTCCATTACACGTAGCGACAAGGATTATACATGCAGTGAAATGGATGAAAATCATTTCAGTATAGCTGTATTTGTGTCGACTGTGCTTTTTTCTTTGTATTCGATCGTGTGGTGTCGACTGAATGCATGATGTGGGGCATCTCTGTTAGGTTGTCCGATAGTGTTTTCCGTGTCTTCCCATTTCGGACAATACGTCACACACTGTCTGTGAACGGACGGCGGCAAGAGTGCCAAGCAAGTGACCTCATCCATCACGGATTTATTGCAACCGAAAGCAAGATTGTATTCCACCAGCAACTAAAACGCAGCCATTTGAACGACAGCGCCTTTTGTTCTTGCTTATTTTCAGCCGGAGGAAGGAAAGAAGAAGAGAAAGGAGTTATTCATTGCCACGACTGAACGTTGGCTTTCTGTCAGTTCAATCCTCTCTGTGCTTCGCAATATCAACTTTTCTATTTTGATACCTAAATTGCAACATCATGAACAACGACTCTAACAAGCTTGTGTACACGGCCCTCGGTGCAGCAGCAGCCGGTGCTGCCCTTGCAATTGGTATTATGAAATTGACTGGAGACGGCAAAAAAGATGGACATGATCAGAACAGAGGACCATACAACACTCCTCTTGTTTTCATGAACGATGCATCTGAATCAGGCGACGTACTTTTGAGTCGTCGGGAAAGTGAAGCTAGTCTGCTCCTCCCTCATAATCACGAAGAGAAAATGCGTCGACGTGTAGCAACTCGGTATTCAATTGAAGAAGAGAACAATACTCCTCGTGACTCGGTAACTGTTCGAGTACCAGCAACATCTGCTAATGTTGGGCCCGGATGTAAGTTACTTTCAACAAGATTCCATGCCTTTTGATTTATCGATTCGCGTCGCCTTCTTTCGCTAACCCTCTCTCTCTTGTTTACGCGGAATATACAGATGACTGCATAGGAATTGCCGTAGATCTGTGGTCGGAGGTGACTGTCTCGCGTTCTGACACTTTCGAGATCACTGCAGAAGGCGAAGGAGCGGATGATATGCCTCGTGACGAGTCGAATTACCTTGTAGTTGGGTGTAGAGCTGCGTTTGACGCTGCTTGTAAACCTCTTCCTACCTTGAAGTATCATGTCGTGTCTCGCATTCCATACGCAAGAGGACTTGGAAGTTCTTCTGCTGCCATTGTGGCTGGAATTGTTGCTGGCTTGGTTCTTGCCGGACATCGGCTGCCATGCTGGGGATCTGAAGCACTATTGCAAATTGCTGCTGGTATAGAGGTATGTTTTGATGATATGTGGAACTGGAGGGTTTGAACATGTGATTGCTCACAGTTGATTTGATGAATTAGGGCCACCCTGACAATGTGGCACCAGTTATTTATGGTGGTATTCAATTGGGCATTTATAACGGAACTAGATGGGCCACGGAAAGGGTACCCTGTCCCTCTGGGATTCAAATGGTAATGTTTATCCCTGACTTTGTGGGAAAGACTTCGGATGCTCGCGGGGTATTGCAAAACACCATCACGAGAGAAGAAGCTGCTTTTAACATTGGAAGAGCTGCCTGGCTTGTCCATGCATTCTGCACTAACAACTTGGACAACCTGAGATGGGGCGTCCAGGACAGAATGCATCAGCCGCAGAGGGGGGCAAAGTTGTACAAGTATCTATATCCAATGATGGCCGCTGCTGAAAGCGCTGGCGCTTGCTGTTCCTACTTGAGTGGTGCGGGACCCACTGTGATGGCTCTTACTAGTGGTGCCAGTGGTGATATCTTTGCACAAAGAGAGAAGGAGCGAACGGACATTCACGTCGCTAGAGCAATGATGAAGGTTGCCAAGGACCATGGGATCGAAGGCAAACTTCTTGTTACCAACGTTGTGACAGAAGGTGCTAGAGTTGTGAAGGTTGTGCCACCCTTTAGCACAGGTGGAATCACGTATCGTGACAACATCTAAAGAGCATTGTTGTCGTGCTCCGAAATTTTTCTCTTTTCGTTCGTTCTCACACTGCATAAATGATTAACCATGTTTGAGTTCGAAGGAATTGCTATAAAATTTTGAATCTACTATGGAACTCGTTGGAGGACTTGGAACTTCAAAGGCACTGCATATCCTCCGGGAAGACTGATCTTTGCGAGGTAGTCACCAAGCCTTCGTACCTCCTTGTTGCAGTCTCCAACTGTTTCAAATTCATCCACCAGCGCTTGCAGCTTAGCGTCGTCTAATTCAGCATGAGGCATAGGTGTATCAGAGTAGATGTGTAGTGTATCACTTTCGTCGAGATCAATTTTCAGCTGCTTCCCGAGCTTGTCACGAATGTTGGAAGCATTTACATGACCAGGATGCAATGCATCAATAGTGTTTGGATCAACCACTCGCCATAACTTCATCTGTTGCTTCATGTCAGAAAAACTTGTATATCAAACCAAAATATGACTGTGTCTTTCACAATATACCCACTTACCACTTTGTTCTTCAAATATTTCTTCAAGACATCCGCTTGTTTCAAGTATTGTTCTTCTTTCTTACTCATGGAAGATGCTCGTTCCAAACGAGTAATACGTTGCTCTTCTGTTTCTACCTCGGGATCAATAATATCCAGCCGTTCAAAGTTCTGTGCTGTTGCATATACTGCCTTCTTTTGAGGGATCAGAAAGTTTCGAGCATATCCAGCCTTCACTCGGACGACATCTCCTTCATATGCTTTGCCATGTGGAAGATCTTCAAGAGCGATTAATCTCACAGTGTGAGCCCATCTCTGTGTGTGATGACCATAGGAGGAAGCCCTAGCAAGACCGGATCCAGTAGCGGGCCTGAGAAGACGATTTACAAAGGTGTTCATGACGGAATAAAAATGATAGCTGTTTACACTGCCATCATCATCATCACGCAAGTCGTCGTCCATCCAAAGCGACGTGAGACAGACAGACGTAATGGTCGTACGAGTCATTTACTTGGCGATTTTCTTCGATTTTTATGTGGTGCTTTAGCGAAATTCACGCGCGCCGGCTGATCTTTCGCTAACTTTTTGGATACCACACATCGTTTCGCCATCCACACAACTTGTTGGAGTGTGAAAGCAAGCACCATGACCCCCGAACCTCAAGCAAACCCAGAGAAGAAAGTCACTGTCAATGGAAGCCACCGATCGAATGAACTGCAGGAGCATGACGTCGTGTGCGAGAAGGGCCGTGGGGATCATGAACGATGGGCTGGTAACCGATTGTATCGCTTTTTGATCAATTCGCACAAAGAGACTTACAACGATCTCACACCAATGGAGCGATCAGCGATCATCGGGAACATCATCGGAACCATCAAGGGAAAGGGAGGATGGTTTGTGCAGAACGATGAAGGCCTTGGAAAGTTGGCTCGTTTGACCGAGGAAAAGGTGCGCAAAAAGGTCTCAGATGATCTTCGCCGAGAAGTGCGAAGACGGCGAGAGAAACGGACAAGCAACACTGCCTTTAGCTCCAAACTAAAGGCATTGACGAAAGTAGAACCGAGAAGCGAAGAGAAAGTAGATCTCAAGACACCCGTCGACGATCCACGTGCAGCTGATGTTTTGTTTGGCCCAGGTGCGAGACGTCATCCAGGAAACAAAACTTACTGGGACCTCATGAAACAAAACCTGAATCAATACATCATTTCTCCATATGGGGCAAGATCTATTATCAGCAAGAGTATAGTTCAAGGCATTCGACAACTCGATGGCCGTTTCCTTGAACAAGACCAGAAGACTTCGATTTGGTACGAGATCAGCGATAGGCGTGCCATCGAGAAGACATCTCATGCACTTAGCAACAAGAAGTACAAGACTCGAAGACGCGATACTGATGACAAAGATGTTTCAACTCCACTCAAAATTGATGCAACGGTGGACTCTGATGTGACGTCTTTCTCCAGTAACGGTTCTGATGCTGAGAATGCTCCATTATCAACAACGAGTGGTTCAAAGAAGCGCAGATTCCTTGAGCGAATGGACGATGTTCCTGTCGATGGCGACATTGCCACAGACAGAGGCGTTCTTCTTCTTACTTCTTTGAATGCCGTCGGATCAAAGTCCGTCACCAGCAAGAAAACACCAACTGGTACTCCTCCAGCCACTCCCCCAACAAAATCGAAGAACTTGTCCATGACAGTCATTACACCCAATCATGACTCGAGAGCTGCTGCAAGCGTTTCAAGTGTTTCAGATGAGTCTAGTTACGGCGAATCCCAACGCCCTGCCAAGACCATGCCACCACCAGTCGTTAATGCTCCTCACATTCAAGAGTTCTCATACCCAAGACCAGGCGCAGAGATGGGACCCAGAGTCGCACCTCGCTACGGCAGGTACATGGAGGAGGAATACTACAATCACGAGCACATGATTCACAAACTTCCACCATCTCCATACCCGCGTCGTGTGGAAGAGTACTCCTCACTCTACCACAGATACCCGCATGGACAACCACCACCATCCCCGGCTGGTTACCGCTTTCCCCCAAAAGGCCAACGACCACCATACTCATTGCCGATGACTCCTTCACGTATCCCTCACCACCCTCAATATTGGGCGAGCGAATATGCATCACCGCCTCCTGCCCGTCGGGGTGACGAGCAAAAGGCATGGCATTGAAACGGGATGGGACTGGACTGCAAGACTTGATGGGGGAACAATGAGTAAACAACAACAACAAAAAATAAAAAATGCTACTAGAACTTTTTTTTTCACTGGACTTTGCAATTAAAAGATACATGCACATGCTCGGGCGTCACTCACTAGTCATCACTGGACTTTGCAATTAAGATACATGCACATGCTCGGGCGTCACTCACTAGTCATCAAATGCAATGACAAGTAAAAGGCCTTATTGATTGATGGATACAAACTGGATGGAGGAAATAGGCGATTTTTCCAATACAGGGAGGAAATCCTTAGCGTATATATATCTCATATATTATCTTTACTGTTCCAAACTGTGGGTTGGTTATCGTGATGAATTGGAAACTAAAAATGTGAGAAGCTCGTCAAAGTTGTCTCCTACCAGTTCGTAGGCTCGCATTACTTTTTGCAATTCAAAACCGTTCATGACAAGTTCTTGGACCGTGTGTGGATAGACGTCCGTGGAAGCAGATGGTGGAGGAACAAAGTGGTCGTCAGACGCTTCTGCAGAAGGCATGGACGCCGCGGCTGCGACGAGTGGAGAAGATGCTAATGCAGTGGGAAGTGATGCAACAGCGCTGGAGGTCGGCACGGATGCCTCCAATGGCAAAGCGTCTCGAATAATAGCAGTAGCAGAGGTTGCATTATTGGGCGATTCTTGAGCTGCGCTTCGTTGTCGTGCGCTGTTAGAAGCACACTGCTTCTTTTCATGTTCAAAACTAATGTAGGATTGCATTGACCGTTCAAGCGCCGCTTGTTCCAAGTCAAAATAAGTAGCATCCATGTCGGATTGTGCCAATGCTTCATGACTGGAGTGGTGCTCAGCAGATAATTGGCTCTCCTTGAGTGCTCGCTGCACCTCATCATCCTCTGAGTCCTTGAGTGCCTTCTCATATTGCTTTTGATCCGCAATCGCATCCGACTCTGCCACAGCCTTGGACATCTGAAGCTTGTCAGCAAGACCTGGCTGCAAACCTGGCAAACCAAGGCCGAGACCAGCAGTTGGTACTAGAGGATCGACGACAGCATTGTAGTGGTTGCCATCATGATAGCTGAGACGGATGGGAGCATCACCCGTCTTGTATTCCGCGTGGAAAATATTCAGTGGGCTAGCTCCGTTGTCAGGACAAAATACTTCCACCGGTCTATTGAATAGTTCACTTATCGCCTGAATTTCAGGGTTGTTTCCATGAACACCCTCTTGGCGTTTCCGCTCCACATATGCATCAAATGGTTCACCAGTGACAAACATGGAGAAATGTTCCTTGTCCCGTTCCTTTACGAATGCGCCATTAGACTAGAAATAAGCCTGTCTGTCGACAGCACAATCATCCAAACGTACCATATGATCCATGCACTGCTTGCGAACGTCCATGTGCATGGAAGGATCACCATATACTTGTAGGCTCACAGCTCGAAACAAACAATTGCCATCTCCAGCCTGTTCTCGTATTTCCAATCCTTGCTTTTTCAACGCAGTCTCAAAGTCCACGTCTGATTCTGGAGATGACGGCAAGTCGTCATCTGATCGAGGCGAGTGACGATTGACCAAGAGCCCATTCGAAACGGTTCGACTGCCCGAGTCTTCTCGATCTCCATGATCGCGATGATACGACCAATTACTGCTTCTCCCTGGGGCAACCATTGTAGCTTTGGCTGCCGGTTTTCTATCGAGTGTAGGACGTTTGCGCGATACTTTGGTATCTACTTCTGGATGAAGTGGTTTTCGTTTATGAAAGCTTCGTTCGTGGAAAGATGACAGATCAGCTTTCTTGTTTCCAGTAACGATTGGAGTTTCTGTAGCCTGTATCCGCCTAGTTTCTTTCGACAAATCAATAGCCTGCTTTTTGGCTTCTCGTATTGATGCCTTTTGATGTATTTGTTGCTCCAGTCGATGATGTTTCCCTTCACTTGTGTCAACAGTGGCGAGGGTTATTTGTCCTTTACGAAATGATGGATGTTTGGAAGACACTGGAAGTACGTTTTCATCCGATACCTGGTCAGCGAGGTCTAGTTCTTGCCTATCAGCCTCTTCCAGTTCGAGAAGGTCTGAATTGCTTGCTTGTGCTTCCGATGCTACTTTTCTGAGAGGCAAAAGAACGCGCATATCGAAAATGACTCGAGCAGAAGAAATGAGTTTCCAAGGGTCGTCGACAGCGCTGTGTGATTTCAATCTAAACGCAAACTGATATATTTCCCCCTTGAAGTAAACAATCAGGCGGCAACGACTGTGGTTTGTATGATGCTAGACTGCTCCTCTCCAAGACTATCGTTTGAAGTAGAAGACTTTGGTGTGTTATCACGGAATTTCTTCCCATTTGTTTCTTGCTGTTTCACGCGCTGGCCGGTCACGCAGGTCATGGTCGCGCGGTAACACCTTCTGAAAATTTCAATACACAAAATCACAAAATCCCACGAAAGTGTTTTTTATATCACAACTGACAACGATCAACTCCACAACGTCTTTCATCAGAAAAGACGGTCCATCTCTAGACTTGGAGTCGTAAGAAAACGTCATTGAGTGGTCGGGTTTGACTGGCCGTGCGTTGTACGGTAGGGGACGGGGTGTTTCAAATCACTCGGAAAGCGAGTAAGGTCGAGACGAAGGTACTGCAGCGAACAGAATCCAGGCTGTCGATGTATGCTACATTTTGGTCGCCACTAGTTTGCTCATCATTATGTCGCTGCCGGAGAGCACTCCCAATCGGAGATTGTATGATGATGCAGTTGATTAATTCGCAACAGAAAATGGATTGAGTAACCTCGCGATACTGAACTGCAATGTTTCATTGGAAGGCTGCTTGTTAAAGGTTTCATTTGGGCTCTGTTTCCCCCATGATCTGTTGAAACAATATCGAGAAAAAATGGAAACCTATAAAACGAAGGCATGGCGAAATCACTAGTGTCTCGTTGTTGTACCCTTATATTATATTTATTAAGCTATTATTACAGCTTTCAAGATTTGGCATTTACATGATAGTACATCGCCCACCCCCCTTCTTGTTTCTCTCTCTTTTCCGTTCCTCTTCTGGAGTATTTGTGGTAAGGCGCTTGACCATGACACGATTCCGCCGGTACTTCTTGTTGAGTGGCTTGGTCCCCCATTCGAATTTTTCGCTGACCAAAACCACTTGAATCCGACCATTTTCATCACCAGCAACCACCTGCTTGGGAATAACTTGTGTAAAAGGCCCTTCTTTTGGTTGTTCCTCCTCTGCACCCCCACCGCCACCACCTATTCGATAGGACCTGACAAATTTCATTTCCGGTTGAGCAAAGGACATTTCGGGTTCTGGAGGAGGATCATTCATGCTCCGTGAGCTCTGTGGTGAGGCTGCGCCACTGCTAGTAGTAGTAATCGCATCTTCGGGTTGACGAGACTTTAGTCCCGATGCCATGGCTGCAGCTTGCGCCGCGAGACCCATATGCCCCGCTGGAGCTGCTGGAGCTGGAGTATAACTTGTTTCTTGTGGTGATTCGGGGGAACGTGGCATTCCAGTGGTTGGCCGTAATGGTGACACTTGTGACCCTCCTGAAGTTGGCGACGCTGGTAAAGGTGGTCGAAATACTAGTTTGGAAGCGAGCGCTTGCTTTTGGTTGAAAAAATCCGTTCCATAATTGTCATTTCTTCTTCTTGTAGGAGGAGGATTCGAATTGGGTGGAGATGATGGCTTGGATTTCCCAAAGGCCAACTGAGAGGCAATGGCCGCTCGATGAGCAGAAAAGTCCTGCGTGCCGTTTTGCGACGAGACTTGTTGTGCTGGACGTATGGGAGGACCGGGCTGGCGATTGGGAAGAGCATTCGGAGGCTTTGCAAGGGGATCCCCAGCTGGTAAGGGCGGTCGAAAGTTTAACTTGGCTGCCAAAGCTGCCTTTTGGTTTTGAAACTCTTTCCCACCAGATGGTTTGGGAATAGTAGCAGGACTCTTTGGACCGGGCGGTGGCTTTTTCCCTCCAAAGTTGAGCTTAGCAGCAATGGCATCTCGGTTTGCGCCAAAATGTGGGTCCTTTGAAACTCCCTTTGATCTAGGGGGTGTTTGGGGAGCAGCCTTTGAAGGCGGTCCAAAATTGAGCTTGCTGGAAAGAAACGCTGCTTGAGCAGCTACATTTTGTGTTTTTGCTTTGTCGCGTCCGTACGGCATGATTTGTTATTCAACTCGATGACATTGCTGCCTTTAGTATATATTGATGTACAGACTGATCTGCTGTTGGTGTATCCAGTGTAGAAGGAAGGAATCAGCTGATGATTGAAATTGTCAAGAGGTTCGTTTGCGAGGTGTGACACACATGAGGGAGGTTGCCAAATTTTTTGGGTTGCCAAATTTTTCGAATGACCGTCCGTAGGGCGTTGAGATTGAAACTTTCCCCCTTTTGAATTTTAATTCGCTACTCTTGACACGGTGGAGTCCACACTGATGGAAGGTCATCGGGGGAAGTACTTGGGGGTGTCCCCTGTCTCATTAGTCGTGGGTCTTGGGTTTCGCATCCTTCCGAATAAAATATACGAATCATCATCATCGAAAGGTCTTTCCGTTATCTTTGTGGAAAGAAGCATCGACAACCTCCACATCAACGCACACCAAAACACGAAATGAATCATCCACCCCCTCACCGAAAACAAGCTGGTCCTCAGGCAGATCCTGGCGATGAACCACCTCTGGTATCACCACCAGTGCCTTCTCGAGAAATTGATCCTCATGGCGAAGAATTGAGTTTGCTCAATTCGCATTACGATGACGAGGCTCATGTTCAAAGCTTGATGCAGATGACAGCTCCTCACGGTGAAAGACTGGTACCTGGATCGATTTCTCCTCCACGGGGAGGATATGGTCTTGAGGAAGCCGAACCTGCAAATGAGAACCCAATAGTTGCACAATTGGCACATGATGATGTGGATGATATTGCGGCTCGAGTGACAGAAAGATTGGAACGACGCATGACGGAGCGTCTCAAACACGAAGTAGAGGCTAGAATGGCATTGGAACGGGCAGCAAATAATCAAAATCAGCTTGAACAAGCACCAGTGACGAGGCAAGTGGCTTCGAGTGATGGCACACCACCACAACCACAACCCAATATACAAACTGCAGAGGAAGCTCCTGAACTTGAAGATGATGATAACTTCAAGGTTTGTGGTATTCGAAGGACATGTTGGTGAGTAAAGTTTTTGCTATCAGTTTTTGTTTCGTTGTTTCGTTGATTTAGTATATGCAACTGATGCTGTTGTTACAGGGGTTTACTATTGATTACACTATTCCTCTTCATGGTGGCAACTTTGCTGAGTATGTACTTTTACTATGGTGACAACAACAGGCCAAAGTCCCCTGACTTTAAGCTTAGGCCACCCACGGTATCCCCAACTATTGGCCCAAGCAGTGAAGATGAGTGGACCAGAATATTGGATCGGATTGGTGATACAATCGCGATGGACATGGACGTGGCTGTCTTTGATGATGAATCGACGACACAATACAAGGCTTTGGATTGGCTTGTTTTTGACGACGCATATCAGGCTGGCGAAAGTTGGAGACTTTCAGACCAAGAGTTGGTGGAGCGCTATGCCGTAGCTGTCATCTACTTTGAAGGCTTGGGGCGAACATGGAATCGCCAATCTAATTTTCTTGAGGCTGTGCCGGTCTGCGAATGGAATAATGGGTTAAGCAGTAAGGACGAAAATTCTGAAGGAGTCTACTGCAGCGACGGCACGGTAACATTTCTCCAGCTCGTTGAAAATGGACTCAAAGGCCAGCTTCCGAAGGAAATTAACCTGTTGACGAATCTAAACCATTTGAATCTCGACGGAAACATGCTGTACGGGAATTTGCCAAGTCTGTCGCAGCTGGATTTGTTGCAAGTTTTGTGGATGAGTTCGAATGAACTGACAGGTCCTCTGCCAAAAGAGTTGCCGCCTTCCCTAGCAAATCTTGATTTGCAAGACAACTCGTTCCTCGGAGCGATCCCAGTGGAGTGGCAATCAATGACAGATCTGTTCTTCTTGGGGTTAAGGCTGAATGATCTAACGTCGCTTCCAGGTGAATTTCTTCTACCTTTAAGCAACCTTCGGTATCTCGACCTCGAAGGCAACGAAATTCAAGGAACGATACCAACGGAAATTGGAAGCAACACCAAGCTGGAGTCATTGTACCTAGAAAAGAACAGGATTCAAGGAACTATACCAACGGAACTTGCGAGCCTGACAACCTTGAGCGAACTATTGCTGTACGGGAATGGAAGGCTAGGTACGTACCATTTTGTTGACAACAAGATCGCAAATCGCTTTCTCTGACCATTGTGCTTTGCTCTTTGAAAAAGGTGGAACTGTGCCGCAAGAATTTTCTCAATTAACGAATCTGAAATTCTTTTGGATTCATGGAACCGACATTAGCGGAAGTATTGATGACATCTTCTGCGTCGACGACTTTGTCCAAAGCCTAAGTGCGGATTGTGCTGGTGACCCAGTGGAGGTGTCCTGTACCTGTTGTTCACAGTGCTGCAACTCTTTTGGAGCAGAATGCAGACAGAACATCAGCTGAGAAAACCCACTGTTCATGAGAAATTCAAATTTAAGGCCTAGTTCGATTCAGAGTATAAATATATTAGACCCAATAATGTAAAGTAGAAGAGGACTTCTTGTATTCGGGCAAATTTTGAGCCAAATTTCGTATAATCATCGATATGTCCGCCTAACAAGGTTTAGCTAAGTGTATGTAAAAAGCACGACAATCTGATGGACTCCGGTTTTTTTCGGAGATGGATTACATGCTATGCTAGAAGTAAATTTTTAACTATGTAGTCACCCTTGGATGGCATATATCATTAGCGATGCTGGGATCATACATCAAGGAATGTATTCCTTGAGAACAGCTCAACTCGACTCCAGATCGGACGTTTTACGATCTGAGATGCCCTTCTTTTCTTTCGATTGCTCTGATGGTTCGTTTAATTCCATACTCAAGTCATTGGACACCGCTGTGTCACCGCCATGGAACCCCAACTGTCTTAAGTTCTGATTCTGAGATCCATGACCATGTAATAGTAGCTCCACATCGATACCTACTCTCTATGGTCGACTCGGATGACGGCGATTTGGGGTAACTTGCACCAATCAAGGCTGATAAGAAATGCTTCCGCCTACTCACGGGTGCCACAAGTATCAATCTCCTCGCTCCACGATGAGTGCAACAATTTGATGCCTTTTTTGGTTAGCTGTCATGTTGGTCACTGTCGGAATCGTCGATTTGATCTTCTTCAGTCGTTGACGATCTTGTACTATCAAATGAATGATTCTGCTCTTCCAAGTTCTCGATCTCATCAGAGTTCGTATGGTCTTTGTCCATCATCAAATCGTCATCGAAACTAAAACCATCAGAAATCACGGTCGTGTCGTCTTCAGGCTCGTCAAATTGTTTGAAACAGACGGATGGCACTCTGTCTTCCGCCCAAGCCCAACACACAAGTGATATCATTTTGGTTATATTGAAAAAGGATGTCTGATTGACGCCATGGGGCAACGGACAATCCTCGAAACAATTCTTATAGGCAATGTAGGATCCGCACTTCCAGTAGAAATTGTAGGTATAGGACATGGAAATGAGGATAGTCACAAAGGCAACAAACTTGAACAAGTAGTGAAAGAAGCTCTTTTCAATGGTTTCGAAAATACGGACAGAATAGGACAGAGGGAGTAGCAGATAGTAGGCAGCCAAGAAACACATGTGTAGATCGATGCCCTCGATGACTTCAAAGTTGTAAATCACCGCCCAGATAGGTGCCACTGAGGCTGCCACCACCAGAATGAACCACACATTAGGGATACATTCCGGTGTGGCCTGCACCACTGCCAACGACAGGTACAGAACCAGGCCGCTACCTACTGCAGCATACAGATTTGATGCAATTATCAAAGGGTTTAGATCTTCGGCAGATTTCGCAGTGGCAGTGTGAAGAGCCGCCAAACCATGTGAGATTGACGTGACGCACAAGAACATGGGAACAGTATATTCCGTGGGACTTTGGTGAAGGCAGTTACAGGGAGAAGATAACCGCCTCGAATGAGGAAGGAAATACAATTTGACCGCTGCCAATAGGTAGACGATTGCCGAGACGGAATGCGTCATGAGTGTCCAATGGGTGTTGTCAATATAGGAGTCTTCAGTAAAGCTGACACTGCATTCGTATTCCCTGGAATGTCGGCTTTGAAAATGTGTCATTGTTGATTGATGCTGTGTGTTTCCGTTCTATCGTCACACCCAAGCTTTACGAATGAAAGTGCTGAGTGTATAGTGACAATGTCCCCCATCAGAAGTGCAGAGAATCCCGGTGTCCATTTTGTATCTTGTTTACGTGAAGTCCCGGATCCGATCAACCGACGTCAAATATGCCGCCTGCAAAACTCAACGCGATTTGTTTGACTGATCCGAATACACGCTGGCGGACGATAGCATGTGTATTCATTCGTTCTACTACTCGTACCGGTAGCGGATGGTCCATGATCAGATACTCTGGTAGGGTACCGTACCAGGTACCAGGTACTTTAGCTCTCGACGTGACTAGAACACCACGAGTACAATCTACATACTCTAAACTATCATAATATATTTCCAAAATTTTAAAAAAGGAAGAGTGTGTGAGATACGGTCCTCTTCCTTTTAGCGAACTGCCAGTCCGCACTGTTGACTCCTACTAGTAACCCAAACACCAGTAGAGTGTAATCCAGTGGATAGAGCTGTAATATTCAAAGATATGCGGAGGTTGCCATTTGAGGTAAAAAAATTCAGCTTGCAACACCAAGTAACATTCAATTTTTTGTTCATAGGACAGAAAATGTGACAAGATTAAAAATTCATCATGCTTCCTCCCTGCTGTACACTTGGTTTGAGGTTGGATTCCCTCCAGATTCACTCCTTTTCATCAATCATAGACGACTCCTCTGATGGAGAATCGTCTATTGGTGGGACTTCAGTTTCCGCAGTGTCAGTCTCATCCCTGTCAAAAGGTGAATATTCCTCCTCGGTAATAATATAGTCGTCGTCAGTATCATCGTGGTGAGAACCAGATTCAAGGTCTGGCCCCAAACGTTCCGAATCCATAGAATCTGGGGTAACACCTTGAAAATCTTCAATAGTGTCAATACTTGCGGAATCATCGCAAGAGGCGACGGTTGGGTCAATCAATTCCTTTGGTGCTTGGATCGAGGGAACCGAATTTTCAGATATCGTCCAACCGATGGTAGCCATCAGCACTGCAACATTGATGAGAGCACTTGTATTCTGATGATTTGCGGAAAGTGGACAATCTCGGAAACAATTTTGGTAGGCTTCAAAGGAATCACATTTTGGGTAGAAAATATTCTCGTAGGCGCAACTAATGACAAAAGCCATCACCGACAAAGCCTTGATCAATGAATGAAATCGTCGGTCCTTTTCGCGGATAGCCTTGCGAATATAAAAGGCCCATAACACCAATAGTCCTCCAATAGAGACAAGAGTATGTAGATCAACCTCGGAGGAGAAGACGTTGACATTTTCCACTACGGAAATCAACGCTAGTCCAAAAAAGCTCAACAGACTAATCCAAAACAACGCTCGTCTCGTCACTATTTTGGAAGTTGGAGTCGCCCCCATCATGGCCAATCCCAAAAGAACTGCTAGAAAACTTGTCACCAAAGGCACAATGCTCATGATGAGTTGCATCAGTTCCGTGTCTTCGTCGTTCGTCGTCGTCGTTTGCTGGGACGCTCGATAGTTGAAAATCCCCAACATTCCATACGTATTGGCCATGGATAGAAAGAGTGCTGGTACCAGATATTCTTCAAATTTGGATCCACAAATCATGCAAGTCTCGGAAGAGCTGGGAACCGTCTGCGGAATGAAAAAGAGCTTGAGAAAGGATGCCGCGCAGAGTACCATGATCGCAAGACTGGTAATCCAAGTCAACATGGTCTCTGGGGAATTGTACTCTGCAGTAGTAGTAATGGTAGTAGTACCGGTACAGTCATGATCGTCAACATACTGTATCATTGCACTTGTGTGTGTGTGTGTGTGTGTGTGTGCGTGTGTGCGTGGAATGTTTTGTGGAGTGTGAATATTAAAATACAAAGTAACAAACAAGAACACGTCGTTGGTTTTGTTCTCATTCGATGATGATTCAAATCTCGGCAATTGAAATGACCAGAACATGGTGTCGTGTCACCGAACAAGACACGAAAACGAAGCATTGAGAACATTTGCTCGTGACGTCACAAACGGAAAATTTTAGGCACGGAATTCCTACCGGTACACACGATGTACCAGTATTTCCAAAACCGAACTCATCAAGAGGGTACTGTACTTCTTATACCCTTTACCATCAACCTCTACGATCAAGAAATCATCACCATTATCTAAAAGGAAGTACTTTAATTAATCTAGCAACTGACTGAATCAAAAAGGATCCATCATACAATGGATGGTGATCCATTCTGTTGGGGTTGGCTGGTGCGTGATGATTGATTGATTCGCTGTTACTTTTCATCATTTGAGACGTTGTCGTGAACAATCAACCTTTTACCCTGCGAAGTTTGCACTCTAAAATGCGAGCATGCGTGTAGAATAAATGAAGGAATCATTCAGAATCGTCTCATCCAACGGCACATGTTTGCCACCAGGTCCCGGAACCTTCCAAGACAAATGACATGGATGACTGACTGACTGACTGAATCTTTTCGTTTGCCAGTAAGGGCATTGGTAGCTGCTCCAAGCAATCGTTGAAGGACACGCCGCCGTGGAAGGACCGAGACTGACTCCAGGCAAAAACATTGCGACTGCTGGACCAGCTTCTTCATATTCGATTTTGGTGCACTTTATATTTTGAAAAGTGACTCAAACGTCATGTATTTCTTCTTCATCATTCAACTGAACGTTACTCGTGTTTCGGTCCCCTTGCTCCTCGTTATTCTCAGTACTACTGCCTTTTTTCCTTGAAACATTATTGTTCTCCTTGGAAACAGAGACTTCGACTTCCCCTTGTAAACCCTCTTCTACTTCGTCTTCCCCTTCTACTTCGTTTTCTTCCTCCTTTCCCTCTTCCCTTTCTAATTGTTGCTGATCGTCACCGTATGTGCTTCCTTCAATATCCGTTTCCAATCCACCATCCTCACTGGCCCAATCCGAAACCGAAGTATCCGGCGCTTCCGTCCCCCCATCCTCCACGACTCCTTCCACATCGTATTGATTGAACCCACGAGCCGTTACGGAAGGACTCGTATCTTCCCCCCAGGCAAAGATGCTAAATCCAAAAAAGAGGACTACATCGTGAACGACCGCATTGGTACCCGTACTCGAGTACTGGCAGGAACTACTGCACTTTTGACACTCGGTCGAAGCGATGATTGTAGAGTACAAGACTTCAATGGCAATGATGAGGACCGCCAGTGCTTTGGCAATGTAATGCCAGACCTTGGTCCGATCATAGCACATGTGAAACATGTATACCGCCATGAGTATGATTAACAAACCAAAGGACAGGCTCGCATGCAGTGGGACTCCCGACTCCATTTCGGCTTCTAAAAAAATGCTCACCAACATGAAACCCGCAATGATTCCAACCAGACCCCAAAAGGTAAGCATCTTGACTTTGGATTCGGACTGCGGATTGATGCTGACCATCATCATGCTAAGCACTAACAAAAGTATGGTCCCAAGTCCATAGAATATATCTGAGGTCATTTCCAATGCTTCCTGCAATCCTGGTGACAGTTTGGCATCCAAGATTTGCCGTAATCCTAAAACTGCATACGAGATGCCCGTCGCCAAGAAATACGAAGGAACCACCCTGTGGCATCCCTTGGGCGAAAAAAAGAGGATAATGGCCGCCGCACAGCAAATGGCACTAAAGGCAAAGGAAGTTCCCCAGTCCAAGTCGCTGGTGGCATTCGTAGTAGTACTAGAATTACTATTACTACTACTACTACTACTGCCACCACTCAAGCAATCCCCTTGTGCCAAGTTTCGCAACGTCATGAGAACAATATTCAGAAACTACTGCACTAGTCCTACCACGACAGACAACCACCACAATGGGTATTCGTTTGAAAATGCATGTAGTAGCCTCCTCGTGTAACTAACTCTAGAAGGCTGACGTTGTTGGTTTCGTATTGTCGAATATCTGAAGCTGTTGTACCTGTTGTTGAGGTGCTTATACGAAGTTTCGCCAAAAGATTTATATTGTTTGATTTTTTGCTCGGGATAGTTTTGGCCGTAGAATATTCCAACTATGGCTGGCGCGCATCCACATTTTTGGCACCACAGAATACTTCTTTCAATATGATTTGGATTGATGGAAAGAATATATTCATATAAAAAGTAGATTTCAATCTGTATCAACTAGCACTATGCAGATGTATCGACATCCACCCTGTCCGCGAATGCCACGTCGATCCGGTAAACTTTCTCCAAGCGAGTGATTTCAACAGTCAGTACTAATAGAAACATGATACCATTTGTTATTTAACTATGGACTGAATGTGCTTTAGTTCAAGGCCATACTGGCAACAACGTCTGCTACAGCTTGTCCCATTTCCTTGCATCCAACAAGCTTGCATCCATCACCTTCTTGCTTGATATCTGGGGTTCGGATGCCTTGGTCTAAGACGGCTTCAACAGCATCTTCCAACATCTGGGCCTCGGCAGGACGATCCAAATCATATTTAAGCATCATGGCAGCACTCAAAATCATAGCCAATGGGTTGGCTTTATCTTCTCCAGCAATATCGGGGGCCGATCCGTGACATGGCTCAAAGACACCTGGTCCAGATTCTCCAATGGATGCTGAAGGCAACATACCCAAAGATCCCACCAACATACTGGCTTCGTCACTCAAAATATCTCCAAAAATATTACCGCAGACAATGGTATCGAATTGCTTGGGCCATCGGATGAGTTGCATGGCAGCGTTATCCACATACATATGACTCAATTCGACATCCTTGAAATCGTCAGTGATCACTTGGGTGACGACGTCACGCCACAATTGACTGACATCCAAGACATTGGCCTTGTCGACACTGCACAATTTTCCACCACGCTTTGAAGCAACATCACCGGCGACGCGGGCAATACGGTCAATTTCGCTTTCCGAGTAGATCATGTTGTTGTATCCGACACGTTGGCCTGCAGGTTTTCGATTGTTTGGATGGAAGAGGAGCGAAATAAATGGAATGAGACAAACATAGAGCATAAAACACAGGATATATCAATCAAAATTATATCCCATGATATAATAACACATACCATCAATTACATCGATTCCCTTGGGAGTTCCAAAGTAAACATCTCCAGTCAATTCACGAACGACCATGACATCGACGCCTTCGACAACCTCACGCTTAAGGGTAGAGGCGTCAATCAATTGAGGCAAGACCTTGGCCGGTCGCAAGTTTGCAAATAGTCCCATTTCCTTGCGCATCTTCAACAAACCAGATTCCGGTCGGAGTTCACGTGGATTGTTATCCCATTTGTATCCTCCAATGCAGGCCAACAAGACAGAGTCGGATCCCAAACATTGGTCCAAGGATTCTTGGGGGAAGGGATCATTCTTTTCGTCAATGGCGGCTCCACCGATCAAGGCTTCCTTCAATTCGATTGTAAAGCCGCACTTGGTAGTCAAAGCCTCCAAGGCAACCTTGGTGGCGGCGGTAATCTCAGGACCGATACCATCTCCTGGAAGCAAGGTGACAGAATACGTGTCCTTTTTGGAAACAGCGTTCAGGGCACTGTTGAAAGGCTTGTTGGCAGCTGGAACAAAGGCTTGGGTTCCAGTGGCGAGGAGAAGGGAGAGGGCGAGGTTGAGAGAAACCATCTTGTCGTTGTTTTTTATATTGTCAATGCGATGACGATCTCAAGATCGGTGGGCGGTCGAGAAGGAATCTTTGCTTCCACTCGTCTGACATCATGAACGGACGACAGACGTTCCTTCACCACAGTCCGTCCAAGACGTCAGTCTTGAGTCTGTCCATGCCGCGTGCGTGTTTTTTTGAATTGGTTTTATGCCGATGTGCCATCACACAACAACTGGACCTGACACCCTCATCTCGGTGGTTTATTCATATCATCAGACTACACAAATGAGAAAAGCAGTTCATTTCAAGATATTGATACTATGTGTCTGTCATTTCGCAGCGTCAACGTTGGCGTTGCAACCAGCTGTTCCAATTCAACCAGTGGGATTGGCACGACATCATCAGAAACAATCATCCTCCACAGCAAGGTGGGCGCAATGGAAGGACAACCGGATGGAAGAAACGAGTCAGGTTTGCTCATCTCCCAATCCTTTGGTAAAACTTCTTCGGGATGGTCCTGCAGTGGTCTTTGCATCCATGATTATCTTCTTTTCGGCAGCCTCACCATCATCTGTTGTCCCCAACATGTCTTCGATGGCGTGGGCAGAAACGGAAACGACTACGACAACAGTGACAACCGAATCCAAGCTCTTGGAACCTTCTTCGATAACCAAGGAATCCTCCGTTATTGAAGAAGTCTGGAATTTGATAAATAAGTATTACATCGAGCGTTCCTTCAATCATCAGGACTGGAATGCTGTGAAACAAAAGTACGTCGATCCCAATGCCAAGGTAGACAATGAAAAGGCCATGAAGTTGACCACCGAAATGGTTCAGTCCTTGGGAGATAAGTACACTCGTATACTTGATACTCAGCAGTATGCAGCCATTCAAAAATATGATTTGATTGGAGTTGGTGTCACTCTCATGCCAAATCCGCAAAAGGAAATTATTGTTGGCGGACCGCCGATTGAGGGATCACAGGCGGCCAAGGTAGGACTACTCCCGGGCGATTATATCACAGCGGTCAATGGCTTGCCCACTAGTGGCAGGACTGCATTTGACATTATTGATCAGATTTCCGAGGCGCCCAATTCCAAGACGGTTACCTTTACTGTGCGACGACAGGGAGACAAGGACTTGGCTGGAGAGGGAAGCAAGTTTGATGTCACCATGGAACGGCAAACGATGCAAGTCAAGGATCCCGTTCAATACAAGCTCAGTGAGCAGCGTAAGGATGGAACCAATGTGGGGTACATTCGAGTGAGCGAGTTTAATTCTTTGGTGAACGCCAAATTGCAAGATGCTCTCCAAGATCTAAAGGCACAAGGTGCCAATGCCTACGTCCTAGACTTGCGATCGAATACTGGAGGTGCCTTTCAGAGTGCCGTAGAGATCTCGGGACTCTTTTTTGAAGATCGGGTGGCGACCTATGTGTTGGACAGCAACAACGTGGAATTGCCCTTTCGAACGACCACGGGAAAGGTCGCAATTGATCCCGAGGCACCCATGGTGGTGTGGATTGATGGCATGTCCGCCTCGGCTTCCGAAGTTTTGGCGGGATCCTTGCATGACAATTGTCGGGCTGTCACCATGGGCGACCAATCCTTTGGCAAGGGATTGATTCAGGCTGTGTATGGCTTGAAGAATGGAGCTGGATTGGTCTTGACCGTGGCGCGCTATGTCACGCCCAATGGAACCGACATTCAAGGGACAGGCATTACACCCGACATCAAGGGAGAAATGCCTGCTCCCGTTCAAATACCAGTCTTGAGTTCCAACACTGCCAAGGTTGATTTCAATGATATTCGACAAAAGTTGGATCCTTCCATGTGTGCGATACCACAAGATCGGGTGCAAGCTCAGACGGCAGTGCAGTAGACGGGATTGCAGTGGGTATGCAAGTGATAGTGTTGCAGAGAGAGAAAAACGAAAACGTTAATAGCTAATTAGATACATCTCTTGCTACTTTTTGATACATGATACTGTAGTGGTTTGGAGGGTATTTTTTAAAATAGTTGTCCCTTCAAACTTCTTTTGCGTCACGTTTTGCTAAAAAAGGAAATGTCATTGCGTGTCATCAACCGTCCAGATTTCCTTCTGATCGAAACTTCCAGTCCACACGAAGAAAGCATCAGTTTAGGAATTTGACAACGGCCATCTTCCTCAGCCTCTACTGCTACAACCCACCATGAGTAGTCCAAGTGTCTTTGCTCCACACAATGAAACTGCTACTCACTCCTCATGCTCCACCAATATGACCGACATAGACGACTATGTCGCTGATACAATAGTGTCATGGAGCACAAGCATTATGGTTTCGGTTCTATGCTTGATGGCATTTTTGAAATTGTTCTTTTTCCCAAGGATACCACGATCGCCATTGCAGACGCCCTGTACCTTTTGCCCACGACACCTGGAAGAATGCCTCATACCCACATTCTTCCTCATCTTTGCCTACCTCTATGGAGTCTCTGGCATTTCGCAATCCCGAGCTGCTAATTCTGACGATGACCCAGAAAATAGTTACATGATGGAATACAGTCGCCGAGTCATTCCCTTGATCAGCGGTCTATTTGCAGTTCTAGTGGGTCTAGATCTCATGAAGATGTCTTCCTCATCAAAATTGATATCAAAACGAGCAATCTGGTGGTTTTGTATGCTCACCTACTATGGATTGGCGATCACTGGTGCGATTCGGAATACTGACGTCTTTGGTGCCATTGATCTGTGCACATTGGTTTATGCATGTGGATTATTGTTTCTATGCATGGGTTATATCACATTGGCTATCAATTCAAAATCCAATCGGCTCCATTACTTGGTCAAGGCATCATCTGCCTTTCTCTTTATTGTTGGTTTTGTTTACGACAGTGTCTTTTTTCCAAAGTGTGGATCCTACCAAGCCTACAAGGATTGCTTTGAACAATGTCCATTTCCAGCGACCAATAGTAGTGCGAGTCATCAAAAGACAACTTTGAATTTGGCCGTCACGGCTGCCACACTTTGTTGGGCATGGTCAGAGAATTCGTGTCCCTCCATCCGGAGAAGAAGTGCCCGATCCGATGTTGACGCTGACACTGTCGCATGTGATGACTCCTCCTCGAGTGCGGAATCCTTGGAGGAGGACCCAAAAAACAGAGAGGAACCAGCGTTGGACAACATAATAGCCATTGATCCAGAGTTGGGTTCACCAGATGAGACTATTGAGTTGCCCTCATTCAAGAGGGAGGAAGGATCAGCTTCGACACAACCACGAGAACCAGTCGTCAACTGTACTCCATCTGACCTCTGTCAAAAGTTGACAACACAGGCCGACGATAGACCTGACTTGCAACGAATATAATACCCAAAATCTAAAAGATAAAATATTTTGAAAATTATTGCCCTGTTGTACTCTCTGCTCCTCCCCTGTCGTCCAAGCGAAAAAAGTGCTCTATATTTTATTGTAAAACCTCATACCAATGTTGATCAGACTCGCAAAGTGTTCTCACTTTGCTTGTAATTTCGACGGAACCTCTGTTTTATGTATCGCCAGCTTTTGATAGAATGAATCCTTGTTGGCGTATTGCAGTTTCTTGACGGATGCAACCGCGGTGGCAGAGCTTTGGCGATTGCTTCCATGGATTCCTACATCCAGCGGCAGCCATCATTCGATTCCTTCTGCCTGCGTTCTTCTTCGTTTTTGGCATCTTTAGGTTTCTCTTCATCTTTGTCAGTCATTCGCCATCATCAATCAATCACGAGAAATGAGAAGGATCCATCGCATATTCCTCTTTGAATTTCCAATAGCACTGATGTGGAGAAATGTTCCTATTCCCTTGCGCATACCGCCAATGATTGACAATCATATCGACAGTGGATACAGGAATGCCTACATGCTCGTCACTCGATGCCATCATCCATATTTGCTCTGTAAAATTGTGCGAATCAATCACTGGAAAGGTCGAGTCCAGAGCCGGAGTGAGGCCATCGGTAAAGAGGACCACGGACAAATTGCGAGGATTGAGATTGGCTTGCACGTAGGCATACGACAAGTTCACCATTGCCACCGAGAGTAACTTGGAGCAGTTCGCACCGCCTTGTCCTTTCCAATATTTGTTCGCTCGCCACAGGCTCATGCTTCGACGATGCACTGTCAATATTGGATCTTTTCCGTAGGTTTCGACCAATGCTTGTTGAGCACGCTCCCTCAAATCTTTCCGAGGCAAGAAATATTTCGGAATTTGAGGTAGATAGGGGATACCTTCTGGGTTGTCGAATTTGGCGTAAAAGATTTCTTTGCCAGTCATATTTTTGACGCAATGCAGTGTTTCATTGGGCGCTGGTAGCGTCACATGTGGCGATGGACCGAACCATGAATTATACCAGCCATAACTCTCGGAATCCACCACCGCAAGCTCGAACCCCAACTGTTCCGCCTTTTTCTTCCCTCTCGCCAATTCTAGGATTTTGTTACTGTTTCCGGCCCAAAGGGGGCCTATACAAAGATATTTTGTTGTTTCATTGTTCTTTTGAATAATGGGCAAATAACTTGTATTACTACCCAAACCTTCGGAAAGTGCTTGCAATTTGACATCAATTGTTGGTACTGTTGATCGAGATGAATTTTTGTTCTGCTCAACAATGGGCAAACTTGTACTTGTATTCAATCCTTCTAATGATGATAGTGTTTGATTAATATCTACTGGATTTGATGCATCAGTACCCTTCTGTTCAATGGCCGCCCAACCTTTTGCTTGAGATATGTATTGAGCACCATATTGTGACTGCCCCAGGACTCGCAGGAGTAAGAGTAGGGAGCAAGCTATAGGAAATACCAATCGACAAAACCTTTGATAATTGGTCATACGATGGCTGCGTTTTTGCAGCGAATTCCGGGTAAAGGTGTTCCACTAGTATGGACGGATATACGGTATTCAATACATATAAACCTGAAGAGGACTGCGATCGTTTGAAAACGAAAGTCTTTCATGAACGGAACGTACAAATTGACCAGTACGACTGCATTGTTAGACCAATATGACTTCTAACACGTTTTTCCGTTCGGAGTCATTCTCACATGCGCCAGCCGACGATATTTAGTCAAGCCCGTGCGTTGCGTCGGTCTTTGAGCGCCATAATTTGTTTTCCCGGACTGGGTGGTCCAACGATTCGACCAAAAGAGTGTAGTTTTTTGTTGTTGTTGCAACACTCAACACTCCTCACTCAACGTTATCATCGGCGTGTGGACTCCAAGCGGTGCGAAACTCCTAGTTCTTACACACGGTTTCAACGCTGCAAAAAAATTGCAAAACACAGTGACCATTCTTGGGGAATTACTTGGAAAGAAGTAGCATTGCTGTGCTGCTGTATTTGGAGGAAAGTTGGAGACGAGACTACTTTTCACGCAACAACCACCACCAAAGCAACACCACAATGAGTAGTAGTGGTAGTAGTAGTCAACCAATAGCAGCTTCAAATCGACAAGGCAGCATTGCAGCTCGATATTTGAATACCAAAACCTTTCGAACTGACAATGCCATGCGCTATGCTGGGTCTCATCCTCAAAAAGTGGCTTCTACCAAGTCTCTGAATGAGTCCACTTTTACTGCCTCCACTGTCATGTTGGACTCGTCCATGGGATCTTCCTCCAATGAAGGTTCCTCTACGACGAGTCGGAGTCAAATGGTAGCAAGCCCAGATAGCAAAAACACTAGTCTCGATCGGAGTATGGACTTTTCAATGCCTCTGACTCCTGGCCGGGAATCCACCGCTACCAGCAGTGTTGCGAACAGTGAAAGCTCTCGGGGCAGACGAAGCTTGATCAATCGATTTCGAAAGCGACGGCAGCAGAACACCTTTGCCAAGCTGGGATTGGAACACGAATCTTCTGGCTTGGAGAAATCACCCAGCAGACCATTTTCACAACAACAACAATTTGCACCAACATCAGTATCCTATCAACCGCAACAGGCACCAACTTTGAACCGGGCAGCATTGGATCAGAGAGATTCCACTGCACGAGAAACAAATGCATTGAACTCTTCTACAGCACCCAGAAATGATTTGATGGAAAAGAACAATGCCCGAAAAATACTATCTTCGAGGATTGCTCTTCGCGCGCGATCCAAAGGAATCTTTCCAAAAACCACACCACCACAACCACGGCATCCACAGCCACAATCCATGCCGTTGCATCCTCAGCAACATCGAGAGGAGACAGAAACGGCACCGACCGAAATTATGGCTCCTACGGAAGTGATGCAAAACTTGTCGTCGGCTCGGGGAATGGAACCACGCAATTCTGCAGCCTTGTCCGAAGCAGGGGCCCCAACGGAAATTATGAACAACCAGTCCCGAAAAGCCCCAAATCATCGATTCCGGACGGATCCAGCGCTGAATTTTCCCAGAAAACCCTTGTCGCTTCCAACACCGCAACATGCCTTGCTAGACGATGCCACGATTACTTCGGATCAACAGTCGCTTCCGATTCAATCGTTGATTGATTTGCAGCAGTCCTCGTCCATTTCCACCACGAATTCGTTGGAAAAACAAGCCTTGCATACAGAAGCCACCATGCAATCCCCACCGCGGGCTTGGAAGAATGGGCCCAAACGGTCTCTGGATTCACTCTTTGCGAAACAACAACGCAGTTTGCAGAACAACAAATCTGACGATGCTTCGAGTTGTTTTACAGAGGAGCGAGAGTTGGACCACGATGCGGTGGTGCAACGAGTCTTTTCCTTGGACAAGGTGGATTTGGAGCAAGCGGTGCCGCTTCCGTTGCCATCTCTGCTCACCACGAATCCCAATACCAAACAGGCATGTGCACAAGTCCAACCGAGACATCCTACAGAAGTTTCCTTGACGTATAAGGAACAACAGCAACAACAGGCGTCACTTATATTGAATGAAATTCCAGAAGCGACTCCTTCGCAAGAAAAAGATGAACCCATGGAGGAGGGCTTGTCGTTTGCTTCCAAGGAAGTGCATGCCCCTTCTTTGCGGTCAGATGAAGGCATGTCCTTTGGTTCAAGAGAAGGAATCCAGACGGATGCTGTATCTGTCTCGAAAAGTGTCTCGTTGGATGGTCTGGCCTTTGCAAAATCCAATGAAGATGGTGTTTTCGAAGACTCGGCCGAGTCTTTGTTTGGAAACCTGGAAGAATCGATCATTTCACCGGCAGGATCTGTCCAAGGCAATGATAATGACTTTGGTTTGTATGACGATTTGGATCAGTTGCAAAACTCCCCAACGGGTTCCACTTCTTTCATGTCGATGGAAGCCAATCCACCTTCGATTGGTTCCATGAATGACACTGACCTTCCGGAGTCACAACGAGAAGCAGTTTCGACTCCGCACACACGATTGACTTCCATCATTACTCCAGACAATGTTTCGAACGACGATCACTCGAATCTGGAAAAGGAAGGGAGGAACAAAGAAGGTGAATGGACGGATTTGATCGAGGTGTATAGAAGCCGATCAAGTGTCTCGGACAGCAAAAACGCTGTTGCAGTCACAGTCGAACCAAAAGGAAGTGATGGCGAGCTAATACCAACTACCAACGTGGCTTCTTCTCGGTGGACCAAAACCGATGATGCAAACAAATTCGCAGAGAGGCGCTCTTATGGTTCCATCAAGGACAGAATCAAAGCTTTTGACAAACCCCAAAAGGTTTGGAAACCACCTGTCAAAGGAAAGACATGGAAGTCTCCTTCCAAGGTTGCTAATGGGCCTGCACCTCGTCAAGAACCAACATTACCGGCGGTGGTCGTGGACGTTGGACTCGAAAGCAACTATAGCAACGAGGAAAAGAAATCGGAGGAAGCACCATTCTCTTTCATTCGTGATGATGATGACGCAGACACAGTGAGCGTGAAGAGTATGAAGGACATTTGGGAAAATAGGATTTCTGGAACTGGAAACTTTGCGTCACAATCAGAAAAGGACGATTTTGATATTGACAACGACACTATTCGAGACGACGATGACGATTGTGCTAGTGTCAAGAGCTTGAAAGATGCATGGGAAATCAAGTTTTCTCAAGACGATTTGGACAACGGGTTTGATGACGACCTGGATGAAGACGCTGGAACCGTCAAGAGTCGCAGAGAAGAACTGCAAAAGAGAATAAGCGACCAGCAAGGAATTCCTCGCGTGGTCAGTGTTGATGAGGACGAAAACGATAATCTCGATTTGGATGATGGAAACGAGAGTGTCAAGAGTTTACGCAAACGCTTTGATGCTCCCAACGGACCAAAACGAGAGTCAGTTAACCGACTACGCGCTATGTTTGAACAAAGTGGGGCTTCTTCCAAGTCTTCGCCAGCCCGAAGCAAGAGTTGGCGTGCCAACAAGAGTCCCGCCCGAAATGCACCAGCGAGAAACAGGAGTTTCAACTCGCAGGGATCCGCGCCGCGATCTAGTGGCAACGTCAGCCATGGAGGAGACGAGGATTCTTTGAGAAGGATGGCAATGGCATGGAGTCAGAAAAGATCGGAGGCAAAGAGGAAAAGCGTTCCCAGTACACCAACTGAGTCTGATGCACAAGAAGTCCCCACTTTAGCACTAGACACAGCGAGAATGGAAATCAACGAAGCAGCAGACGATGGATTTGCCTCGGGTGCGCGGGGAAAGCAATCTGAGGCACTAAAGTCGACAGAGTCTACGAATGCTGGTATGCACAAGAAACCAAATGCCCCAGCTTTACACATAAATTACCGCGAAAGGTCCATGACGTCAGCATCCAAGAGCACAGCACGGCCGATGCAGAGACAAGGATCGGGAGATGGAAGATCTGCGCCTTCAATGCAGGATCGCTTGGACCGATGGAGCAACCGTCTAAAGGCAGCCAAGAAGAAGCCAGTGTATGTTCAAAATTCTCCCAGTATGGAATTTTCAGTGAGTGAAGCAAGCATGAAGGCTGCTTCGTCATTTGACAATATTGGACAAGAGAGTGTCGGTCAGCCTTCTCACGAGGAAGAACGACTTCAGAGACAAATGTCGATGCCAAGAGGGGGAGACGCACGTGGACGATCGATGGATACGGAGTATTCGGACGCAGTTACGCTCGACGTATCGATCGCGGAAGTGTCCAATATTACCGACCCTTCGGGCCTTCGCACCATGAGGAGCCAAGATACTCTCAGTGATGTATTATCAAGTCCAGGAAGAACCCAGTTCGTGACTTCACCAGGAAGAACCCAGTTCGTGAATTCACCAAGCCGCATGACAGTGGAGCTAAATCAAGTCATCGAAGAGCCAACTCCCGAAGAAAGCATTCTAGATGGGATGCCTCAGCTGTCTGGTACAGGCCATGCCATAGAAAGCAACCCGAGCTCGAGAATGGAAGAAGATATCAGAAAGTCTCATGACTACGGCGATACAAATCCTTTCTCCCTTGTTTCTGCAAAGACACACGAGCCAGTCGAATCCGAGCAGGACCCATTCTGTTCGCTCCAAAATCAGTTTGTGGTTGACGAGAAACAGTCCCGGCACCCAGATACAAGTATGCAAGACCGCAGCAATCCTGCCAGGCTGGAGGAAATAATCGCTAGTTCCGCAAGCTTTGCGCCTGCTCATGTTTCAAGTGGTCCAACAAAGAAGCCAAACGCCAAACTTCGTATGATCCCTGTTCTCCGTCGTCCGACTTCAAGTTCCAACAGCACTGCAAGTGAGCAACCAGTACCGGAGCATCCCGTGCCCCACATGCAGTCTCCCAAAAAGCAACGAAAGAAGGTATCTTTCAAGTTGTCGGATTCGCCATCCATCAATAGCGCGGATTCCCGAGTCACGGAAAAGACCGCTTCGTCTTCTGAGCTATCCAGTTTGCCACCAATCCCATCCCAGTATGATGATGACTATGAGGCAGTTATGCAAGAAAGGCATAGACTGTTATTGCAACGGCAACGGGCCCTCAAAGAGCGCGTTACTGCTCGACAAGATGCATCGCCGCAGGTTGAGCCAATTGTGAACCACCAACGGACTCAAGGCTCGAGGCAATCACGGACTCAAATGAGGTTGTTTGGTAGAACTCATCCTATTCATAGGTCCACACAGAAGTCGAATGCTACCATGCCCAAAACAAACAAGGCGGCCTCGAGAAGTCTCTTTTCCAAGAACAAGGCACAGCAACATGGAATGACAGAAGCTCCGATCATCACTCCAACCAAGTTTGCGTCTCCAGAATCTTCACCAGCCGCACGCCCATTGAGCAACGCAACACCGCGCAGTCTGTTATCCAAGATGCAGCAAGTCCAAACACCTCCGCAAACTCCAGTCACTCCTCCGAGAAATAGTGAGCCCATGGAAGAGACGAATCCTGGCTATGGTTATTCGCCGATGCGCACTGGAAGCCCTATCAAGGCAGTTATTCCTCGTTATCATCCACGATCGCAAGTTGGAAGAAAACAGCAGGCGACGATTGCAAGCAAGAAACAATCTACGTCGTTGTTCAACAGCATGGCGTCGACCCTTGGTTTTGGTCACGCCACCGATAGTGGTGCCACTGACATTGTGGCACGCCTCAAGAGCTACCAATCGACGTACCAACCTCGAACTACTACTTCACCGCAGCAAGTGGCACAGCAGCAACCACCAGCCCCAGTAGAGCAGCAGCAGCCAGCCCAAGTAGAAACTGATGACTTTGCAGATTTTGCCGATTTTGCAAGTTTCAACAATGGCTTGGAAGCTGATGAGTGGCTCTAGCTACTACCGTAGTAATATTGTAACATTATATTTTAGCGCTGTAATATTTTATTTTTTAAACAGTAGTCTAATCATCAAGGCATCATGCATACACGGGCTATGAGCTTGATATAGTACCGGTACCTGCTACTCAACGTTTTTTTTTCGCTCATTGGGTAGTGGTACTATCACCCTTGGAGATAAAAGTTTTTCACTCGTTGGACTGGTCAAGCAAGTCGGCGTTGTGATTTTACGTGTGTACGAGCACTCTGTAGCAATCGTGTTTGATGTCGCATGATAGACGCCGTCTGTACTTCGTTCCTCAGTCACATCTGTTATGCTCCATAACACTCTGAAATCAAACGCAGGGTTTTTTCTCGCGGACTGCTCAACATTTTGTTGATGGTCCAAGTGGTCGACAAGACAGGCTTTTTGGAAAAGCTCCGTACCTGGTACCGCATGCCTCAAGCACACCCATACTACGGTCTCCCGTTCTGCCCAGGATGGTCTGCGTTCCACAAATCACAATCACAAACACTACGACGATGGCTTCTTCACGGGGAGAAAAGGAAAAGACTTTACTAGCTGAATTTAAAATGAATGAAACTGTATATTTGTATTGTTGCCATTCATTGGTGTCTTCTTTAGTTTGATTGATGAAATTCCGTCGTCACGCCAGTCAAGTCGCAATTTCTCCGCACCTACTTCTCCAATTGAATGTCTGAAAACTGTAATTATTAGCTGAATAAATATTGAAGGAAATCGTGTATTGCCGTAATGTCCGATCCATTTCTGACTTCTTTGGGTTGATTGGTGTTTAAATTCGTTTGAATTTCTGTCGTCAATCAGTGAGCCACCATTTCTCGCTACCCAGACTCGCAATTGAATATATGAAAATTCCCAATATCAGCTATATACTCATAGAATATGCTTGTTGTAGGATGGATGTTATTGATATTGTTGTCATTGCTGCACGAAAGTAAAATAAATTGTGTCGAGCGGGAGACAGTGCGGGCGAGCGGTAGGAACAGTGAAGTGCGGGAGCTTCCAAAAATCTCGTCTTGTCGACCAGTTGGACTTTCTACAAAATGTTGAGCAGTCTGCGAGAAAAAACCCTGCGTTTGATTTCAGAGTGTTTTGAGACACCACAAATTTCTAAATAAAAAACTAAAGAAGTCTCAAAACACGATTGCTACAGAGTGTGTGTACGAGGGGGTTTGAGTCAATCACGGAGAAACTTTGGACGGGCAAAGAACGAATGATGCGGGAACATTGCACCTTTTCCATTGCACGTGGAAGTTTACGATTGGGAGTATTTGGGCTCCGAACAATTTTTAGCTCTGTTTGCCGGAAGGGCGCTCCCTCCCTGTTATGTGACGCAACGCAATAATCAATGTACTTTCGTACCGCTGTAGCCATTGTAATATTTCGGTGATCGTACTGTACAGGGTTACCCACGAAGGATTATCAGCAACTCAACAACTACAACTACAACTACAAGTCAACATACCAGCATTACACTGTGAATAGAATAGAGCTTCCACTACCGGTATACTCATTCGATTCTGACTGTTCTTGTTCCAAAACGATAAAAGAAGATGCCGTACGCAGGCACCAACAGCGAGTTCAGTCTGCCCATGGCAGACGACGACGAAACCGACGACAAGAGCTCCAACACGGGACATACACCACCGGATCGCCGTCCCAGTCAGTCTGCTGAGATAGCCGCCAAGGAGAATACGCAAGTACGATACTCTCGACTATTGGTCATGTTCGTATTGGCGTGCAGTGCCTTGGGAGTCGGCTATTTGACCTTTAGTTTTGTCACAAATGAAGAGGAAGATGGCTTTAAAACGCAGGTACGAATGAATGGAATGAAGCAATGAAGCGGATTGGAATCTGCAAATGCAATGCAAGAAAATCACAGGGACTAACTTGCCCTACTCTTTTCATTGTTATTATTATCATCATTATCATCATTATCATCAATCGCTGTAGTTTGAAAACGATGCAGACGAAATTGCGAGTGTTACAGGAACCAATGAGGGAAACGTGGGCACACTGCTTGGAATTCTGTCACTCATCATCAGCAGTTGGTCTTCGAATGCGGGTACCAGCTTTCCTAATTTTACCTTGCCAGATTTTGAACAGTTCGCATCCGGAACTCGTAGCCTTACCAAATCCTCCTTGTTGGTCTACACGCCGTTGGTAGAACATGCGGATCGACCAGGATGGGAAACCTACAGTATGGAGAATCAAAAATGGATTGACACGAGCTTGGCGTCGGTCGGCAAGCCAAACTCCACAGAACAAATTTCCGAATTCATCTATTACCGGGACAGTCGCGACCAACTTCGAGAAACTACTCTGCCCAAATACTCTCCCATATGGCAAATGAGTCCACCGCCAGAAGACGTGTCCGTCATCAATTTCAATCTCTTGGACAATCCAATCTTCCAGCGTCTAGTCGACTTTACAACTACCGAGCGAAAGGCAGCACTGTCCGAAGTTTTGGATCCGCGAGAGCTTTTTGGGACGGCTGTTCCAGAAATCGCCTCTGGAGAACCCCAGTCGATCATGGTGTTGGCGGTCAATAAAGAACCTTACAACCCACAATCCCCCATTGTCGGTCATCTAGTGGCCGTATTTCCATGGAGTGCCTTCTTTGACGACGTTCTCGCCGATTCGAAATCCAGTTCGGGCGGGATCTTTGCCGTGGTGGAAGACAGTTGTGGTACCGCCTTTACGTATTCGATCGAAAGTGGAACCGCGACCTTTTTGGGAATGGAAGACACACATGACCGCAAGTACGATTACTTGAAGAATGACGATCAAATATTTTTAGAGTACAACTCCACAAATACGGAAGGCGTTGGACAATCCTGTGTTTACACTTTGAAGGTATATCCATCTGCGGCCTATGAGGAGAGTTTCAAGAGCAAAACTCCAGTGTACTTTACCGTGGGTGTTTTGGCAGTCTTTACCTGGGTGGCAGCAGTGTTTTCGTTCTATGATTGTTTGGTCCAACGTCGCCAAGAAAAGGTCAATACTTTTGCCACCAAATCCAATGCGATTGTGGCGTCGCTCTTTCCTGCCCAAGTCCGTGACAAATTGATCAATGAACAGCGCGAACCCAAACGACGATACAAAACGGGGGGCAAAGTATCGGCGGCGGCCCTGAATGCCACCAACGACAATGAAATGTGGGCCAGTCAATTGGAAGCGGGGGAACATGGCGGAATCGATGACGACTCGCCTCCAATTGCTGATTTGTTTCCTTCGGCGACTGTGGCCTTTATGGACATTGCTGGTTTCACAGCTTGGTCTTCCCAGAGAGAGCCTTCTCAGGTATTCATTTTGCTGGAGACTATCTACCGAAGCTTCGACAAGATCGCTACAAAGCGAAAGGTGTTCAAAGTTGAGACAATTGGTGATTGTTATGTTGCAGGTAAGATTTTGTCGTACCATCAAATCATCCGAAACGCTGAATGAATCAATCGACTGCCTTGATTGTATACTCAACGATTTGCGACTATGTAGTTTGTGGACTTCCAGAACCAAACGATGATCATGCGGTAGTCATGGCACGATTTGCTCGCGACTGTTTGGAAAAGATGAACGAGTTGGCCCGCAAATTGGAAGCAACATTGGGACCAGATACTGCTAACTTGGCCATGCGTGCCGGGGTGCACAGTGGACCAGTTACTGCGGGTGTGTTGAGAGGAGACCGTGCCAGATTTCAACTTTTTGGTGACACAGGTATGTGCAAAGAAAAGAGAGACGCATTCTTGTCTTTTTGCAGCAACTCGAGCTCACAGTTTCTGCCGCTTTTTTGTGTCCCAGTCAATACGGCGGCTAGAATGGAGAGTACAGGAACAAAACGAAAGATTCAGATTTCTCAAGAGACTGCTGAAATGATTATTGCCGCCGATCACGCCAACTGGGTGAAGCCGAGACAGGATATCGTCGTTGCGAAAGGAAAAGGAGAGATGCAAACGTATTGGCTTTTGCCACAACGCGAGCTGACAGTTTCGGTTGCCACATCTACACAGGAGGACAGCGAGGGTGAAGACCTGAATGCCATGATGTGGATGAAATCAAACAAAGACGATGAAGCTAAGGCCAATGGCGAAGCGACCTCATCCACACCAGAACTGAATGGTAAGGTTCAGCGACTGGTGGATTACACTAGTGATATTTTGCTTCAGATTCTGAAGAAGATTGTTGCCAAACGAGGACCCACGGATAAGGCTTCTCCAGCCATGGAAAGAAGACTAGTGGCGCTTGAAGAGAGTATTGGAAAGGCGGGAATTTGTCTGGACGAAGTGGAAGAGATTATTGAATTACCATCGTTCGACCATGCCGCCTACCAAGCAAAGGATGTTGAAGTCAGCCAAGAAGTTGTTTCACAGCTTGTTTCGTTTGTCAAAATGGTTGCATCAATGTATCATTTCAATCCATTTCACAACTTTGAGCATGCCAGTCATGTGACCCAATCGACGAGCAAATTGCTTTCGCGAATTGTTGCGATGAAGCATATTGATGAGGTTCAGAAACTCCATGACCATACCTACGGTATCACGTCGGACCCGCTCACTCAATTTGCGGTCGTCTTTTCTTCTTTGATTCACGATGTGGACCATCGTGGTGTACCAAACTTCTTGTTGGTGAAGGAAGAGCCAGCTCTGGGATCTATGTACCGTAGACAAGCTGTTGCAGAGCAAAATTCAGTTGATGTTGCTTGGAACCTACTCATGGATCCTAGCTTTACTGAATTGCGACGAACACTTTACAGCAACGTTTCGGAATTGAGGAGGTTCCGAGTACTTGTGGTCAATTGTCTGATGGCTACCGACATTTTCGACAAGGAACTCGCTGCATTGAGAAAAGCACGTTGGGACAATGCATTTTTCGGGGAACACAAGGATGATGGCAGTCAACTTTCTATCAATCGCAAGGCCACCATCGTTATTGAACATATCATTCAAGCTTCAGATGTGGCACACACAATGCAACATTGGCACGTTTATTCAAAGTGGAACGAACGTCTCTACGCTGAGATGTTCACTGCTTACTGCCAGGGTCGATCAAATAAAGATCCAACCCAAGGTTGGTACGAAGGGGAACTTTGGTTTTTCGATAATTACGTCATTCCATTGGCACACAAGTTGAAAGAGTGTGGTGTGTTTGGCGTTTCGAGTGATGAATACTTGAACTACGCTTTGGCGAATCGACGTGAATGGGAAAAGAAGGGCAAGATGATTGTTGCAAGTAACTTTGAAAAGTTCAAAAAGGCGCTTGACAATCGCCCGGAGATGACCAAATCTGTTTCAATGGATGGTGATATGGCACCATTGCCAAATAAGCATGAATAGACAGGGGTATATAAGTTTGTATTAGTTATTTTATAGGAAAATTGGCTCAGTGTTGCGCAGGGCCGATAAGATGAAAATTGACGAATGCAGAACCGAGACCCATTAGTATCGGTGGAGCTAAACAAAGCGGAACTCATTCTTAGAAAATTGGCTGATTTTTGTTTCATTACATTTTATTCCCAGAAATTCCTTCTTAGCTCCGAGGGCACTGTTCGTCGTTCAATGTTCGAAAACTTTGCAAAGAGACTGTACATCACAGTCGCTGACGTCGCTGCGTCTGCTCGACAACTTCAAAAGCGTCGGCGACTTCATGGTTTCCTTTGGCAGCTTCGATACTGTGGAACTCTTCCATCCCTCTTCCTTCAACTCCCTTGATTTCCTTCTTTTGGAAGGTACGCGAGACCTCTTAGTATTACTCACGTTTCTGAGTGGACTTTGGATTGCTGTTTTGTTCCCTTTCTCAGCCAAAGAAGACGTTACAGGAGATCGAGTTGAAACATTGGAGTCATTGAGATGCACCAATCGAGGATGTCTCTCTTCTCTGCGAGTTGTTTTCCTTACGGTCACGCAATTTTGAAGTGATGGGCCGTCAGCTGAAGGCTTCTGCGATTCCTGTTTTTGCTTTTGTTGTGGCTCGTGGATGTGGTAACGCGATCTAGAAGTACGAGCAGAACAAACGCTGTCTTCGTCACCAAAGTTAGTCGCTGTCAGGTGCTTTGGTTGGATGCTCTCTGGCAAGAGACTATCTCGCACTCGTGGAATCTTTCTGACTGGCTTTCTTGTAGTTTCCGATGGTGGATCTATGTTCTCGTCTCTCAAGCTCTGTGGCAGCAAACTAGTCCTGACTTTTGTGGGCTTTCTTTTTTCTGATTGATCATTCTGTCGGCTTGCGATGCTTTTGGTGTCACCTACGTTGCAATCTTGTCGAGCACTTTTCCAAGGCAAAAGCGATTCTCGCACACGAGGTTTCAATTTCTTTGTCTGAGTCTTTCTTGATCTATTTTGTATCGGTGCTACGTTGATTTGCGGAATTGTGTGGCGTTTGCTTTGCAATACTCCCTTCTTGGGAGATGCGACGTACTTTTTTGGTGATTTAATGGAAGAATCCTTCTTCATCAAGTCTGGACGTCCTAGCTTTCTCCCCTTTATCGTTGAGGAGGTACCTTGTTTGTTTGATTTCTTTGCATTTCTGCCATTGTCCGCCGTTTTGTTGTCGCGCAAACTGGCGTCTTGGTCTGCTGGCGTTGCAGTTTCTTCACTCTCCAGTTTAGGTACTTTGGATCGATGCCACCAGACTGCGGAGTTGACAGCAACTACAGCAGCAAGAGAGACTATCAACTGCACCGAAACACTCTGTGATTGGTTCTTCATCCTTATATTGCTTCGGTATTGATCTGGGTTCTTAGGTATGGAACCTTGTTGGTTTTGAAAGGATGAATGAATCCCAATCGCCAAACTACAGTAAGTTTGCAAATTTCCAAAATTATTAGAATGAAACGGCTATTTTTAAACTGGACCGTTAAAATTGGAGTAGCAGCACACTTTGGCAGACGCGTGTGTACTACCAACTTATATTTGATATTGAGGCTTGCGCTTACGTGGCAACTTCGATAAAGCTGAAAACTGCCTGCACCCTGTGGTCACATGGCGCTTGCCAAGGATTCTTCTCATCATCATCGACGCAACACAAAATTTCTGTCATTCTCACAAACAAATAGGTATTCCTCCTTTGACAGTCAGGGCGTCAAACAGAAGAAGCCATGGAGGAGGAAGATGAAGTTCAGATTGAAGAGAGAATAAAGGAAAGTGGATATAAGGGGTCTTTTCCACAAACAGAGGAAGAAGCAAATGCTGTTGACGATCTTCTCGCAAACGAACTCGCAGAGCTTAGCTTGCTGGAGCAAGACAAGGCCACGTTCGACTTGCACGGAATATCAACAGAAATAGAAGAAACAGAAGAGTTGATCGAATCGAGTCTCAAAGAAATGGAGAAGGAGATACATAATATCAAGAAGAAGCCAGCCTTCGAAAAGGCTGTGAAACTGAACCCAAATTATGTAAATAGTCGACAATTTCGGATCCGATTCCTTCGATGTGAATTCTTCAAATGCAAGAATGCGGCCAAGAGGCTAGTTTTTCATTTTGAAAAGAAAGAAGTGTTGTTCGGAGATGGCGAAGTGCTCGGGCGAGATGTCCACTTATCAGATCTCTCATCTCCCCAAGATATCGAGCATGTGAAATCCGGAGGTATACAAGTTCTTCCGACAAGAGATATAGCAGGACGCTCAGGTATGGTCGATTCAATTTTTTCTATGGTAATTTCGCAATGCCTTTGCACTGGACTCACCGGATTTTACAGTACTATTGTGGATGCCTGGTAATTTCAAGGGGAAGAAGTATATTCTTAAGAGCACAGTAAGTGGTCCCACTTGGAGTATTTCTTAGTGCTTCAATAGTTTATGGACATTCCTCACCATCACAACATGCAACAGCAACGGCTTTTCTACTATGTTGTAGATTCAGCATCGCGGGAAGAAGAAACCCAGAAGAAGGGGTTCGTAACTGTGTTTTGGAATATTGGGCCAAGAGGGATGCCTCCAACCATTGCGCTTTTCAAGAATCTCCACGCCATTCGTTTGGCTATGCCGCATCGTATGTGTGGCCTACATTTTTGCTTTGATTACAAAGCGCTTCGTCCGATGGTGTCTGGGATGAGGTACTTTATGGATAAACATGCGAGGAAGCGCTTTCGCGTTCATTATGGGGATGAACAGAAGGTCGCATTTCAGTTGCAGACATATGGTATTCCATTTGATGATGGATCCCCAATGAAGGTGATAAATGGGCAATTCAATTTGACGTGGCATCAAAACTGGCTTCAATTGCGTCAAGCACAGGAAGGGGGCTCTACAGATCAAAAGCAGCGTATTACAATCCCGCATCGGTTCGATGTATTGTTTGGGAGGGGGAATAATGCCAGAGAGCACACGGGAAATCTGCGAGCAACCCATTTGGTGAATATGCATCAGAAGAACTATGACGAAGCTAACAGATTTGCAAAGACAAGTATATCTGAAAAGCTGGTTGGGATAATCAAAGAATCTGGAGGAAAGTTTTTAAAGTGGGAAGACTCGGGGTGGGTAGAAGTGGAGGATGACATCGCCAGAGATAAGGTCAGCCACTGGTTTCGACTCAATCGACAGAAAGGTAATCAGAAAGAAGCATCTGTCGAAACTCAGAAGCAGAAACGTCCATTCAATCAAACGTTAGAATCATCCTCTTGAAACGTGTTCATAGAATTAAAATGTTGATATAGATACTGTAATCCATGCATTATCGATGCCTTCACATTCCGAAGGATGCATGAGAAAGTTAGTTACTCAGGACTCACCTGAATCACGGAAAGTCATTGCTGCTTGAACTTTTGGCTTGAAGAGAACTGCTGTGCGCTGGCGGCGACTTATTGCAGACTTCCAGAAAAGAATCTTGCAGTTTTATCTGAGCGAGAAGTTGTGCAGTCTACCGTATCTAGTGTGAATATGGATGAGGAATCAACAGAAGTGCTTATCTCAAGGCTGGAAAGCGCTGGATTTCAGGAATCCTTTCCACAAACAGACGAAGAAGCCGATGTCGTCGATGATTTGCTTGCACACGAGCTCGAAGAGCTTAGCGTCACGGAGCAAGAGAAGGTCGCGTTCGACTTGCATGGATTGGCAGCCGAAATAGAAGAGACCGAAGAGCTCATCGAAACGAGTCTCAAAGAAATGGAGAACGAGATCCAAAAGATAAAGAAGAAACCAGCTTTCGAAAAGGCAATGAAGATGAACCCAGGCCACGTTTGCAATCGACAGTTTCGTCTTCAATTCCTTCGATGTGAATTCTTCATATGTAAGAATGCGGCCGCAAGACTCGTTTTTCATTTTGAAAAGAAGGAAATGATATTTGGTGATGGTGATGTGCTAGGGAGAGATGTACGACTCTCAGATCTGTCACAACAAGATCTGATGTCAATGCAATCGGGAGCGTTGCAAATCCTTCCAACTCGAGATATAACTGGTCGTTCAGGTATGGTACATCGTCTTGACTGAAAACTCTGTGATTGCACTCACCATGACCATTTTGCCGCAGTACTTGTCTGGATGCCAGGTAATTGGAGGGGACGAGGGAAACTGAACACTCGAAGCGCAGTGAGTATTGATATGTGAGAGCCGTTTCCGATTAATTTTTAGCATTTGCCTCACAGTGATGAGTCTATGATTATACAAATTAACAGCAACGAGTATTCTACTACATGACAACAACAGCATCACAAGAAGAAGAGACGCAGAAAAAAGGATTCATAATTGTGGTATACAATGTGGGTCCAAAAGGGGACGAAATCCCTACCCTTGGTCTCTTGAAAAAAATCCACTCCATTCGTTTGGCTGTACCACACAAAATGTTTGGTATGCATTTCTGCTTTGATGACAAATCGCTTCGTCCAGTGGTGTCTGGGTTCAGGTACTTTTTGGACAAGAGAGCAAGGAATAGATTCCGGGCTCATTTCGGCGATGAGCAAAAGACCACATTTCAGTTGCAAACATTTGGCATCCCATTCGATGACAGCTCTCCCTTCAAGCTACACGAAGGGGAATTCAACTTGAGTTGGCACAACGAATGGCTTCAAATCCGTAAAAGTCAAGAGGATCTGCCTTTGAAGAAGTCAGATGAAAATGACCCAGTTACAATCCCTCACAGATTTGATGTACTGTTTGGAAGGTCTAAGATGACAAGAGAACACACGGGAAATCTAAGAGCGTTACACTTGATCAATATGTGGGAGGCAAAATACGAAGGAGCCGGCAAATATGAGAAGACAATAATCACAGAGAAGATTGTCAATATTATCCGTGACAGCGGCGGGAAGTTCCTGAAGTGGGAAAATGACAAAGGCTGGCTTCAAGTGGACAATGAAGCTGCCAGGGAAAAGATAGCTCATTGGTTTCGTCACAACCGAAAAAAACATGCAGCAAGTAAAAATGATAAATCGGCGGAAAGCAACACACAGAAACGACCGTTCAACCAGTGTTAGGTGTGAGGAGTTTGCGAGTGCCCATGGAACTCGATCGTTGCGTGAAAACGAGTTCCAGTTTTGAATCCAATGGCTGTGCTGTAAATGGTATTATTACAAAATGTTTCATGTTTCTTATTAATATCCACCCATACGGTACACCATACATCATTTGTCAGTGTAGAGTGGGATAGGGCTGACTACTGACGGATTCGCCCCATTTTCTCTTCTCCGTCTTACCAAAACATTATGCAATGCAACCCGCATTTCATCACAATTGTAAAATGAAAACCGTGGCAGGACAACTAGAGGACGAAAGCAAGTCTGTACCGACGGGTATTGGGTTGCTAGAGCAGTTTCCTAGAACTCATGAGGAAGTAGATGTTTTAGACGATTTGCTGGCAACAAAGGTGTCTAGTTAGAGTCTTGCAGAACAAGATCAAGTGCGAAGTGCTTTTCGAGGTGCACGGAGCCGCTGGCGAGGCCGAGAACCATCCGGCCTTCTAAAAACGGGCTCTGAGGACAAGCCCGCTTTCGATGAGGCAAAGTACTTGAATCCAGATTTTTTAGACAACGAAGGGTTTCGACTCTCGTTTCTGAGAAGCGAGAGTTTCGACTTATCGAGTACTGCATGGCGGATAGGCAAACAAGTACCAGAAGACAGAAATTGCGGAACGCATTGTAGCCATAGCTCACGAATCTCATGGAAGATTTCTGAAAGCAGGAGAATTTGGCTGGTTTGTGGTCGAGCATGATGTAGCCAGGGAAAAGGTCAGCCAATGGTTTCGACAGCAGCGGCGGGGCATCTCGGACAGCAAGAAGTCAGAAGGGTCCTTGGTGTCAAGCATCACGAAGCGAGTACCCGCCACCGTTTTGCCTTCACAAGATGCAAAGAATGCAAAGATGTAGCGGTGACAATTGATGTAATAATAGTAGTTAGGTCATCCCGTGTGCAAGTTCGTATTCGATCACCTTAGCCAGCGGTAGTAGATGAAACTTTACCGAACAGGTTCCAAAAGATGAAAGATCAAGCTTGACGGAGACATCAGGGTTTACCTCCTTGCTGCTCGCCTTTGTATTCCAATTGGTTTCTGGATGGTCCAACATGACCTTCTTTAGGGTTGCTTTGTGTATCGTATCATTGATTGGCGAATACGAGCCATGGTCGGAGCTTTCGCCGATGACAAATTCCACATGCTCCAAACCTTCTTTGTAGGGCGATCCCTCTTTCGGTGATGGAATTTCAAGAACCTTTACATATCTTTCCTTATATCGAATTCCTTCTTTGAACTCAAATGTTGCGATTGGGCGACCTCCTATCTCGGATTCTATCAGCAAGTCACTCTCACGATATTCCTTCAGTGCCAAAACCAGGCCTTGATAGGATTCCGTCGTTTCAGTTCTCCAGCAAACATGATCCGCCTCTAGATTTGTGACAAATGGTAGCTTTTCCTCTACTGCCTCCATAAATTGCGGAACGAGAGTCATGAGTTTGGAAACAAAATCCTTTGCATTCACTGTGGCGGTGGTCATGGTTTATAATTTTACTAGAGAGGTTTTGTCGCTTTTCCATTTTTTCATTCGTGATTGAAGCTGTCCCGCACATTTTCAGGGTTCGGAAACATGCATCAACGCGAACATTTCCACTGACACCACCTGTCAGCTCCTATCGTATTTGGCTCACAAATCACAACTATACAAAAGGTTGCAACTACTATACACTAAACTATACGATTCAAATCATGAATGGAGCATATTTCACTAAGATTTTCCATAGAAGCCTACCACGCAGTCAATCAGCAATGAATCAAGCTTCGAAGAAATCGAAGGATATCAACAAGTCTTCGAGACCAGTGCCAATGGCAGGAACATCTACAAGAGGGGTTGCTACTGTTGAAGGCACTCCAGAGGAAGGTTCGCGATGGCAAATATGGGATCAAAGCTCTGTGGATCCTGAAATGATTTCGTGGTATTTCTTCCCATAACAACCCCAATCCGACTATCAAGCACGATTCATTCATTCATTCCAAGCACGATAAAAAATTCATGTTGATTACTAGTACATATTAGAATAAACTAAAGCTACATACATTAGACTAGAGAATTAGCCGTCTGCGCAATATACTGAAAAAGTCCACTATGAACATCCCAAGCTGGAATGGCTCTACTTAGTTCTTTTGTCATTCCAGTCATGTTCAACAGCCTTTTTGGACCCATCCCAAAAGGTACCACACTGCTGACAAGATATGCATTTGGACAACTGATTGAGATTCAATTCCATTTTGTCCACAGAGTTCTCTTGGTTCTTGGTTGTCGCAGCATACTTTACTTTGATGTAAGGTAGATAGCGTTTCGCAATTTCAATGGAGTGCGGTGGCCACCAGGCCAGTGGAAGCTGTAGCAAGTTCTCCAATGCGTGTAGGACGGGAAGTGCTCGATCAAAGTTGGCGTCATGACTCAGGAGAAAGGTGTTTGGCGTGTCGCCCCTATATCCCCCTGGGCTATTTGCAGCACAACATTCTCCCGCAAGCGCCAATTCAAAGCCTGCATAAACACTTGTTTGAAGCATGCCATACACCATATTCTCACTGACGTTTCGTTTGCGGAGAAGAATCTTCTTCATGTAGTCGTATGCAAGAGTCGTCGAAAGAGAAAATAGCAATCTCATTGCTCTCATTGTCATGTGATGCACTGGAGAAAGTGTGGATTGACATTCCTCTACTAGTTCGTGCAGAGCTTTTGGTGTGACTGATGAGCGAGTGTGAAAGGTGATGGACTGCATATCTTTGTCGATCGCATCCAATTTTTCACCAATCAATTTTTCGGTTCTTTCCATTGCTGCAGTATCAACTAATCCGCACTTGGAACAAGCAAACATCGGTTCAAAGGGTTTCTCGTCGACATAGGGATAATAACACGGTATCTTCTCATTGGGACATGTTGGGCATTGCATGCATCGAGAGTAATCGGGGCCCATACATCGGTCGCATTGGCAAACGAAACTCTTTGTGTCCAGCAGTAATTGTCGCCTCTCAAAGGTGGGAGTCTCGAGTAGGTCCGTCAGATATGAGAACGAAGCAATTTCACCTTTTGCAATGGGACGCAAAAGGATGAATTCAATGACCCCATTGCTTGTGGAGAATCCCAGATTTGGATTGCACGAGTGCGAGAACTTGCTGGCAAACAATGCAAGTGCAGATTGGTTATCTTTCCATTGCATGCCATTCGTTTTCCATATGCTCAGCAGCTGATGAATCACTAGGAAATCCTCCAAGACCCCCAACATGAAGAGAAGTTTGGCTGGCTTGATTAGGCTCTGCCCCATAGGCGAATCCAACGGTTGATGGAACATGTCCAAGATGCCGACTTGGGACTCCACTGGTGCCTCCAAGAACTGCTCCAGGAAACCCATTTCATCGTTTTGCTGACACACCAGGCATGGCTTTTCGATCAAGATGGTGCTTCCGATTTCGTCTTTGTCAAAATCTCGATCTGCAACCAAGACCCGTCCCATCGCAGAATGGTTGTGAATGATCAGGCCCTTGTTTTCTACCACAAACATGTTGAGGTCAACAGTCGGCGCGTCATCGGAAAGCGAAATTCGACCGACGCCATGTTCAAGTTGTTCTGTTGTCATATCTGCATGATCGATTTGTATTGATGTCGTTCGTCGTTGCGGTTTTGGTACGTCGGATGATTAGCTCGACTAAAACTGATGGAATCTCGAAGAAAGGTGCGATGATTCAATTTGAAACTACCTGGTACTCTTGATATTCCAAGGAAAGGGAAAGGTTCTTTTTTTGCCACATGTACTGTACAGGTATACAGTACGAGTAAGTCAACGATTATTTTAGTCGTATTGTAGCTGTCTATGTAGCGGAAGTTAATCTATCCATCAAGTCTAACCAGTAAAGGATGAATGAATCAATCTATGGACGTAGTAGTAGCAATGAAAAGCGTGGAGCAAACCTATGTTGAAGCGGTGGGTAGCAGGGTTAATTCTAGTATCAACTAGAACGGCGGCAAAATCATCGGTTCTTGAAATTCCTAAAGCGGTGTGGGAAAGACTCTTGTGAGCCAGGATCCTCCTCAAATGCAAAACTCTTGAAACGCCAAGCGGTCGGATCACTCCATCAATAAGAAACGTACGTCTAGAACAAGAAAGTCCCAGCTGTCAAAGTTTGGTTTCTCTTGTTGCTTGGGTTCAGATGCCACGACTGGGGCCTTTGTTGATGCTGGACGGGCTCCCTTGGTTGCGGCTTGTTGGCCTCCTCTTCGTCCGCCACGATTTATCATCTGGGCAGCGGCGCCATACCTCATTGATTGAAAGAATTGATTCCACGTCATAATGATTGTGAGCTGGGGAAATGTTTTGGTGCTGTTGGTGTTGGAGCTTGGTGATGGTATTTGGTGATTCGTATTGTTGATTTTGTGCGCCGCCAAGACAAATGGAAAATATTTGGCGGGTTCGGGTCCAATACCGAAGGTTCGATTTTTGCACTCCCAATCCGAACCGCAACCAAATATAAAAGTGACGAAAACACCAACAAGAGTAGTCGTGCACCGTGCAGTACTGTACTATGTAACAAGTATTTCACTGGTGTACGGATAAAACGTATTTTCATGTTATGTTACGATACAGGTTTACACCTCCAGCAGCAGTCTAGACGCAGTCACCACTTGGGCAACAAACGTTGCAGCAGGCGCATGAGATCTCGTCACAGTCTGCCCAAATGTCGATACCGATAGTGCTAGCGAGGTCACAGACCTCATTGGGCATGCTTCCCGTCAGATCATTATCTTCAAGACCTAATCCAATAAGGTATCGAAGATCTTGCAACGAAGACGGGACTGATCCATTCAAACTGTTTTGGAAGAGATAGAGTTGTTTGAGGTCTTTGACTTCGCCTAGACAAACAGGAATGGTGCCTGTCAATTGATTGCTGTCAATAAAGAGAGCTTCAAGACTGCTCAATTCACATAGCTGACTTGGGATAGCGCCATCGAGACCATTGTCTGAGAGGTAAAGCCCCTTGAGAGTCCTTTGCAATCGATTGAATCCAGTTGGGATAGTTCCCACGAAATTGTTCGAGCTCAGGAATAGAATTTCAATACTTTGTAGCTGTTGCACCGACTCTGGAATAGCTCCTGTCAATTCGTTGTTTTGAAGCTCTAGTGATACCAGGTTGTCCATGTTGGCAATGTTCGGGATGGATCCGCTAAAGTTGTTTCTCGAGAGGTTGAGACCGACCGCGTTGGTCAATCTTCCAAGCTCGTTAGGAAGGCCACTTGAAAGAAGATTGTTTTGTAGCGCTAGATGTTCGATAAGTCCAAGATCGCCAAGAGTTGTGGGAATTGATCCTGTCAATCCGTTGCCTCCAAGAGACAATGATTCTATAGTAAGTAGAAACAGAGAGGTTAGTGAAGGCAAGATAAACTCTCATTGTTATCAATCGATTCAATACTGTAGACTTACTCAGGCGGGTCATAGAATTGATTGTTGCTGGAATTGATCCGGTAATCTTGTTGTGATCGAGGTGGAGATGTTCGACAGCTGATAGGCTTGTGACTATATCATCCAAGTTCCCAGAAAAGTGGTTATGACCAAGATCAAGGAATTTGACTTTTGTGTTTGCCAGGGATACAACCGGGACAAGACCTTCGAGCTTGTTCCCTGTAAGTACAATCGTTTCGAGGTTGGTCATTCGCTCAATGGATGAAGGGATACTTCCTTCCAGATGGTTTCCTTCGAGGTTTAGAAATCTAAGGTTCCCAATGGATTCAAAAAGATTGGGAATTCGGCCTGTCAAACTGTTCTTGTAGAGGCCTAGTTGAGTAAGTTCTCTCAAGTCTGCAAGTGTCTCGGGGATTCTTCCAGCCAATTGTGCTTCGTTCTTGATTATGAGGTTCTCAAGAGCCGACAAGAGACCAAGCTCATCGGGAAGCTCTCCAGACAGCCCACGATTGTCTGAACATGCACAAGAGTACTGTGAGGACACTTCTAAATGTCGATTTGTTGTATTCTTTGCATACAGTCTCTCTCACTTACCTCGGAATAGTGTTCTGACCTCTCCATGTTGATTACAGCCAAGGCCATGCCATTCTTGACCTCTTGCACACTCATCGCCGCTCAACCAATTGGAACTGATCCATGAATTTTCTCCTCCAGTGCCAAAATAAAATGTTGCCAATGCATATCGCTGCAAAACACGTTCTCTAGTGATCGCGTATTTCTCTTTGTCATCGAACAGCAACCAGTCACGTGCTTGTCCCTGGGGACTGTCGCCTTTTTTCAGCAACTTTGTATCTGTACCTTCAGAAAGAATGCCATCGATGGCTTTTTGTCGGTTTGAAAGTACGAGGTACCCAAACACAATGCCACATATGATTGCGATCAGAACCACGAGGGCAATAAGCAGGTAAAGCTTTAACCTATCCGATCTTGCAACTTTGTAATACAGCGATGAGCGCATGCTTTCATTGGCTGTTCTCCATTTTGGGACCTGCTCTTTCTTCTTGTTGTAGGCAGGATTTCGCCAAGAAGGACTATCCGCTGCGTCTCGAGAATACATAATTTCTTTGCCATCTTCCACATCCCTTGCATGGTCACTTGCTTGTGTGCTGAAAGTACCCGTACGGCCACTCAAAGCAATTTCAGCGAGTTCTCTTTCCAGAACTGGATCGTTTGCTTCGTCGAAATCTGTGAGATCAATGTGAATCCTAGACGCTTGCTCTCGCGACCTGCGACCTCGCGACACAGGGTCGTCAACAACAATGGGCTTGCATTGGCTTCCTTCTAGATCCCTCCTCAACATGTTTATTTGTTGGCTTCAATCAAGCAGTCGTTGAGTGCTTATTATCTTTGCCAATCGGTGCAGCTTCGATGTTTCGGTGGAGGTTCCAGTGATTTGTGAAGCGTGTCAGCTCAACGGTCCGTCGCTTCTAAATACTAGTAATTTATTTAGAAGCGGCGCGCACCAAGCAACGCTGGAATCGCGCACGCCGAATTCTCTCTTTCTCGATTTCTACAAAGAAAAGTAATAACCAAACTCATGCTACGGTAGGAAAGGTACTGTCTAAACTACTCGTGTCGATTGGGTGTTGGGGCTGATTCTGATACCCCTCCTCGTATTGACATTCGATGTCCCTTGTCGCTCGATGGTTTTTCGAAAGAGTTCTGGTATTTTTCGTGGATCTTTTCAACGATCGCTTTCCCCTTTTCTTCCCATTCGCTCCTGTTTGCAAGTGCGTAGTTCAAGTATTCGTCACTTGATACTCCAAACACACCACAATCCTTGAGCTTGTGCGCCAGAGGAATGACATAATTGTCGAAAAACCAAAGCTCTCCTTCATACCAACCTTCAGTGGGATCTTTGCTCGATCTTCCTGTCGAGAAGGCACTGAACATTTCAGCATATAGCCGCTCGTTCCACTTGGAATAAACGTGCCAATGCTGCATTGTGTGCGACACATCGGAAGCTTGAACGATATGTTCAATAACGATTGTCGCCTTACGATTGATTGATATTTGATTCTCTTCGTTATGTTCCGTGAAAAAGGCATCTTGCCACCGCGCTTTGCGAAGTGCAGCGAGCTCCTTATCAAAAATGTCTGTTGCCATTAGGCAATTGACGACAAGTTTCCGGAACCTCCTCAGCTCGTCTTCGTTTTTGTATATCGTACGTCTCAATGCAGTAAAGCTGGGGTCCATCAATAGATTCCAAGCAACATCAACGGAATTTTGCTCTGCAACAGCTTGTTTTCGATACATGGCAGCTAGGGCTGGTTCTTCGTTCACCAATAGAAAGTTTGGTACACCACGATGGTCGACATCATGGATCAAAGAAGCAAAGACGACCGCAAACTGGGTGAGCGGATCCGACGTGATACCATACGTATGATCATGAAGCTTCTCGACTTCGTCAATATGTTTTGGGGCAACAATACGAGAGAGCAACTTGCTCGAAGATTGGGTTACATGACTGCGTGAATGGAAAACAGTGTTAGCACCAAAATCGAAAAATCGCAAACTACGAACCTCCAGGCAACAACTCACCTTGCATGTTCAAAGTTGTGAAATGGGTTATTCCGATACATCGTCGCAACCATCTTGACAAACGAAACCAGCTGTGCAATAACATCAGAACCCAATTCAACTCCTTGACTGTATGCATTTTGATCGAAAGCAGGCAGCTCAATGATTTCTTCCACTTCATCAAGGCATATTCCAGTTTTTCCAATCTCGTCTTCCAACGCTGATAGTTTCAGTTCCATTGTAGGCGATATGTTGCCTTTGTTTGCCCTCTTTGCTACAATTCGTTTCAAAATCTGCTGCAGAATTTCACTTGTGTAGTCGACCAATCGTTGAATCTTATCAGCACTATCGTCTTCGGCATCTGATGTTCCACTTTCGTTACCTTCTTCCGCTGCAGCACTAATGGATTCAAAAGCATCAGACACTTCTCCATTGCTCGTAGCTATAGATTTGTCTAGTTCGCCAGCAGGGCTAACACGTTGAGGTAACAGCCAGTAGGTTTGCATCTCCCCTTTTCCCTTGGCTATAACGATGTCCTGTCGAGGCCTGACCCAATCCGAATGATCCGCTTCGATTATTAATTCCGCTGTTTCTTTTGATACCTGGATCTTTCGTTTCAATCCAGTACTCTCCATACGAGCAGCAGTATTCACTGTGTCACCAAAGACCAACCAATTATGTAAGCTCACAATGCGGGAAAAGGCAATGCGTTTGAATCTTTCCTTTCCTTTGCACATACCTGTGTCACCAAACAGCTGAAATCTAGCACGGTCTCCTCGCAACACACCCGCAGTTATTGGACCACTATGGAGTCCTGCTCGAATTGCCAATTCAGCTGTATCTGGCCCCAACGATACTTCGAGCTTTCGAGCCATCTGGTTCATCTTTTCGAGACACTCACGTGCAAATCTGGCCATGACTATGGCGTGATCTTTATTTGGCTCGGGAAGTCCACAAACTAGAACACGGCAAGAGATGAGTTGACATGAAAACCTCAAAGGCTCTCACCACAAAAGAATATAACTTACCTGCAACATAGCAATCTCCAATCGTTTCAACTTTGAACACCCTTCTCCTGTTTGCAATCCTATCAAATGCTCTGTAGATAGTTTCCAACAAAATAAACACTTGCGACGGCTCTCTCTGAGACGACCAAGCTGTGAACCCAGCAATATCCAAAAAGCCAACAGTTGCGGAAGGGAACAAGTCTGCAATTGGAGGAGAACTTTCGTCTTGCATTCCAAGCGTACTTTTGTGCATCTCATTTGTCCAGAAATCGGCGTCCGATGAGCCAAAGTCAAAGGATGCAGAGTCTCCTGACCGCTTTCCCTTTTTTTGGTTGCCATTGTCATCAGAAATGAGTTTGTCGCGTACTTGTGCGGGGAATAAAGAAGAAACAATTGCATTAGACTTGGTTGCAACGCTGTAGACTTTCTTTTGTCGCCTTCCCACAAAAATGTCGTAAAGATTGAAAAGGGCGATCACAAAGCCGAACACAAATAGAGTACCGATGGTCAGGTTCATGGCATCCTTCGTTTGAAAGCTTTCTTCGTATTCGGCAGTCGGAAACAAGTACAAAATGGATTGACAATCATCAGGGACACCAAAAGTGCTGGCTGAGTTGCCTTCAAACATAGACAAGTTTATCGAGCGTTCGAACTTGTCATAGACTCTGTCGTGTTCATCATCGTATCCTTCGAAGTCTGCGCTTCGTGACTCAATGGAAAATGTGAACTCCTCACCACATGTCTGTTCAACAACAGCGTCAATGACAGCACTGGGCGATTCCGAAAGAATGTCTTCCAAGAAAGCACTCCAGGGAATCAAAGCGACCAAATGACCAACAATCAGGGACTCTCGATCATTTACCTCTTCAAAGATTGGCTCCACTACAATCGATCGAGGATGATTATCTGGAACAGTACCTGGTCCAAAGATGTACTGGGCGTCGATCAACTCCGAGAAGGCCCCTGTTCTCAATGTGACGGATGCATTTACGAGCCGATCAAAAGTCGCCACGTTCAATAGATTATAATTGAATAGGGTGATGTCATTTTGAGGGGGGCTAATTTGCCATACTGGTGAATACTTTTCCCTGAAAACTTCCCTAGTGATCGGGCCATTGAGTCTTTGACCATGGATGAATTCAGGCCGTTGTGACGCCCCATCGAAACCATCTTCTGCAATCTGAACCATGTCAAAACCCCCGTTTTGATGTTCCATGCTGTATTGTTCCCACCCCATTCGTTCTTCATCGCGCACAAGGGGAGCATACACAATCTGTTCTGCATTCATGATAGACAGTGCATCGCTTGCCAAAGTGTCAAACTGTGTAAAAGTGTGGTTTGGCCACGTCGAATTGACTTCGTTTCCAGAACTGCTCATGATTTTCGACAACATCCCCATGACCTTGAAAGCATTTTGCAACCTTGATTCGATAGTGTTTATAATGAGACTTGCGTCGTCAGAATACTGAAATGGCAACAAAAAGAGAAGTGAGTACTCAGGAAAACCACAACCAGTTGACAGATTGTATCAAAGCAGAATTGACTTACAGATTTAGTAAAACTGTCGTCATAGGTTCTGCTCGACACATAGTAGGTCGCCATCCCCATACCAATAGCGCTAAGAAAGAGCGTAAGCAACATCAGCTTTTTGGACCTGACAACCAACTCGTTTTCTCTTTCTGCAATGGCAACGATGTTGTGGTTCTGATGGATATTTGAACCACTTTTGCTGCTGGAGCTATCATCTCTCTCGGCGCTGGGATCGTCGTCACCATCACCATCACCATCACTGAGCTGAGAAGGGAGGATGTATTCACTGGTTAATTTGGATGGCATCTTTTAACAACTGTATGAAAGAAAGACCCTTGCCTGTTGTTTTTCTCAGACTACAAAGAAGGTCCCGAATTGGAAATTCCCCCATGTTGGTGGCACTTTGGATCTACGACCTGTCCGGAATGTCAAAAGTTCTCCCTTGAAAGTCGGAAGAAGAAAGGGTCTCTCATTTTTTTTTAAAAAATGACCCTTTCAGTTTTCAATCATTTCGGTCATCGTACGATTTCAAAACCTTTAATTACAACAATAGAAGCGAAGTTTGTCTAAAGTGTCCATAACGAGGCTAAATGTCCTCGACGGTGTACTTTTTTAAAAAAACGCCCAAAAGGACCCGCCAATTTTGAGAGGAAAGCGAAAGAGAACGGTCGTAGGGCAGAAAAGGTGCATAACTAGTGTTTGTAACCTACCGGTACAATATAAGTCACGCACAGGTCCCATACTTGAACACAGAGCAAGACTTCCGGTACCCTATCCTTGTGAAGTGTGTCTGGTCTCACAAAACTACTACCAATTCAAACATTTTTCGAAAGCACAACGCGAAAATAAACAATGGCAACACTTGCAACCCCCTCTGCCAAGAACAAGAATGTAGCAGACCTAGTCGGGCTCTGCACCAACGACTCGGCGTCCATAAGTCCTATTAGGAGAGCAATGAAGAAGAGACGTTCCTCTGGTGGTTCTGGGAGTAGCAGCAACCTGATAATGCATTCTTCCAACCTATGTCCATACGATGTTATTTGTGGTCGGTGTGGTAATGCATAGAACAATGTCGGAAATCGACGGTTTCGAGTGACAAATAATTCGTCTGAACATGGCCAAATACCAGGAAATCCAATCGCGTCATGGCAGGAGCCTTCTATTTGTCTCCCTCATCCGGTTTTTGAAACACGAGGTGGGAGTTCCATTCTTCAAGCCGATACAAGACAAACAATTGCTAAATGAACAAGGACAATGGTATGTGGAGATGACCGAGAAAGAAGCAACAGACAAGGTTGGTCACGCCTTTCGAGACTTGGCAAGGACTACAAAGATACAACAGCAAACAACCATAACTGCCGAACAGCGAATAGGCACGACCTTGTCTCGTATTACGGGTGGATAATAGGTAGACCCATTTAGGTTCTATTCGAAGTGGATGCACTCCTCCTTTCACCGCATCAACAAAAAGTGCGGGACTCGATTTTGATGACTTGCAATGAATCAATCATAAATTTGGAGACCAGAATATTATGGGATATGAATGCGTTTTGCTGATAGTTCAAATTGAAAGGTTTCTGAAAATAGCTGCCTGGTAGTACTACCATCCTGGATCTTCATCCGTAAAGTTTGAAAGAAACTCTTGGAATTCATCGTCCGCCTCTTCGTCTCTCGCCATATTGGCAGCATCCTCTCGCCTTTGCGCTGTAATCCACAGCCTTCTGATCAACACTAGAATGTTGAAGACTGTCACCAGTATGGACAAGAACATTGACCAAAAGGCCAAGACTGGTAAACAGATCAACAGCAAGAAGACTACCCAACCAACTAGCGTCATTTCCTGACTAAGATGGAACCATGTCTGGCACTTTAGTCTTGCTGGACTAATACCCTCATCGTTTGCAGTACTTCTTCGCAAACCCCTTCCCAGATTTCGATCCGACCCTTGTTTTTCTATCCCATACACATGAATGATTGCCAATTTGTAACTTCTCATGAGGAAGCAGAACCAGAAATATAATGATTTGCATGCTTGTATCGCTTCCACTTTGTTATCATAGGTTTCAAGCCCACACAGTCCATGAAAGACGTTGAGAAACAGCCACAGTAACGCGGGATACAAAACATACAGAGCCAGAGACACTTGGAAATCTTCTCGAGACATCGATCGTCGCTTCATCAGAGACCATAAGTATCGAATAAACACCCAATATTGCTTTACGAAGCTCGCCAAGCATGACGCTACCGCCTTAGGACAAGCCATGACACCCATTTTTCCAAAGCCAATAGAGGCAACCTGATCTTAGTTCTCAAGTTTTGACGTTGTCTTCGTTCCTGTTTGCATGATGACTTCAATCACGTCCGTCAAAAGACCGCCTGAAACAAAGTCGACTCATCGGAGTTGTCCAACTCCTGACAATATTTTCAACGTCTAACAAACCTCCAACCACAAATCACACTGCTGCATATTGTGCTATTGTGCTATTGTAGGAAGCAGCATGGGTCGCAAGAAGAAACCCGCACAGAAACGGAAGGACGCTCGTGGATACAGCCAAGGAAATCAAACACAGCAAAGGCAGCCTCAGCCCGCATCCACCAAGGGAACAACTTCCTTGACGGCCAAAACCCACAATGAGATTCGAGATCTTTTGGGAAACTTGGATGTGAACGACACAAATGCTGCTCATGGTGGAAACACTATGGTTGACACGGCAACTGGACCTTCGAACCGCTTCGAGTCGCGATTATCCAATGTGGTGGATCGACTGAAGGATCTTGGTTTTACTGATTCTCACATTGAGCGAGTGGTGGTGGCCCTTCGCTACGAGATTACTCTGGAATTAGCCTTGGATTGGCTGTGCTTGCACTTGGAAACCTTGGAACTACCAACACTGTTCACTGATGGAACTCTGAGGGATAATCTAGCGACGGTGACAACCGAAGGGTCTCTTACCGTTTTGAAAATGAATGTGGTACCCAATAGTAGTACCGATGATACTAGCAACACCACCATCAACAATGGAAATCGTGAAGAAAATGTCCTGGCAATAAGCGCCACAAAAGAAGGCACTGACGAAAAGACGGAATTGGATGTTCAGAAGGAGAAAGAACGAGCAAAGGAACTGAAGGAACAGGAAGAGAGAAAGCGTTGGCTCCTACAGCAATATGAATACGAGGCGGCGGAGGAAGATGCCGACGAGGCAGAAAGTCAAATAGAGGCTCCTAACTCTAGCCAAGAGCCATTGGAAACAATAGCTGCACCATCTCTGACTCCCGAAGAAGAGCTGCTGCTGGAGGAAGAAAAGAAATTGAAAGAGATGGAAGCCGACGTAAACAATGATGCAAACAACTACATGAGAAGCAAGCAAGAAATCAAGCAGCTGAAGAATGAACTCAAAAAGTTCAAACAGCAAGTTGCAGGTCTAAGAAAAAAAGTTGAACGGGAAAAGGCAAAGCGTGAAAAGGCAGAAAAAGAAGCAGCAGCGGTAGAGAGCAAGGAGAACGAGGAAGATTCGGACAAAAAAGACGACGAGGATGAGGCAAATGGAGCAGGGATGTTTGACCTTTTCGGCACATCTGCAGATGATGAAGAAGACGAAGAAGAAGACAAGCCTGCGTCCAATCCACACCTGAGCACAAAGAGACAAAGCTACCTTATTCCAAAAGGATGGACAGGTGTCACGCCGCAACGAAAGCTGGACGAAGTTTGTAGAAAACTCAAACTTCCGAGGCCAAAGTACAATAAGCTTCCAAGGAATGAAGGATTCCGGCTGTCAGTTACTGTCGCAAAGAGGCAACAGCCCCAACATTGGGAAGCAAGGATTTTCGACTATGAAACAGGCAGTAGTTTGAAGGACTACCTTGCAACTCAAGCATTATATGCAATCGACCCCTCAGTTCCGCTATATCAGGTACTCCCCCCTGCTTTCCGAGAATTGTGGTTGTCCTGGGTAAACGCAAAAAAAAAAGAGGAAGATAAAGTGAAAGAGGAGCAGGAGAATGAAAAGTCGGGCCGACTAAATCAACTTTTGTCCATGATTGCAGACGTTCAAGGAGGACAGCATACGGCGAATATTGCGCAAGATCCTAGGGCTGATGTCCGAGAAAAGGGCATCGAAACCCTAGATGCTCCTAACAACTGGGACGAAGAGGATGAGGACGAGCTTCCTTCTTCATTTGTCAACCCAGCACCAACAAACCATGGAGCAAGGTTGAAACGTGATTTTGTGGAGCTACAATCATCCAAAGCTTATCAGCGTATGAAACAAATCAGAACGGAATTACCAATGCATTGCTATCGGGAAAAAATCCTAGATATGGTGAAGAGTAGGCCTGTCACTATCCTCTGTGCTGAAACAGGAGCAGGAAAGACTACCCAGTGCCCTCAATATCTCCTTGAAGAAGCACTCTTGCAAGGAAAGGGAGATAAAGTCAACATACTTTGCACTCAGCCTCGAAGAGTCGCTGCAACCTCAGTTGCCGAGCGAGTAGCTGACGAAATATGCATTCCATTGGGGAAAACGGTAGGATATCAGATACGGATGGAAAACAAGCGAAGCGCCGAAACAAAACTCCTCTTTTGTACAACTGGAGTTGTCTTACGGCGATTGCAGGATGATTCAAATTTACAGGGGATTACTCACGTCATCGTAGACGAGGTGCACGAGAGACAGCAACAAACAGATCTGCTTCTGATTATTTTGCGACAGCTGCTGCGAACGACTCGTCCTGATTTGAAAGTAATTTTGGTACGTTCGACGAACTGGGATATACTGTAGGTGTTGCCGCGTAGAGAGTTATTCGATTCTCACACCTGCATTGTGCTCGAAAGATGTCAGCCACCCTTGACTCCAAGCTATTTTGCTCTTTCTTTGAAAACGCACCACTGATTTCTGTGCCCGGTCGCACGTTCCCTGTTGCGAACTATTTCTTGGAAGACTTGATGGATGCAACTGACCATGTAATTGAAGAAGGTTCAAGATACGCTAAAAGAGAGGACCGATACGAGGAGAAAACATCGTTGTGGGTCACCAATCGAGGTGGTGACAAGCGACGAGAAGTCGTGGACTTGGTTTCACAAGTGGCAGTAGACGAAGTTACCATATACCCAGGGTACAAAATGTCAACCAGAAGGTAAAAGCGACGGCTGTGGGCGCACTTTCTTTTTTCGTTGTTGCTGATCTCAACCAAAATTTGGATTATTTTCTGTAGGTCCATGCAAAGAGTAGATGAACAGGTAATCAACTACGATCTTATCGAAGATGTTTTGTTGTTGCTCCTCGTGAATCGGGATCAGTGTACCCTCGAAGCTCCGGAAGGAAGTGATCTTTCGCGAGGATCGATTCTAGGTAAGTCATATCGATTACTCAGTTGCATTCATCAAGCCACTGTTCTAACATGTGTATAGTTTTTCTACCTGGATTGGGAGAAATTAAGGCCATGACCGAAAGACTGGAAGGAAACAGGCACCTTGGCAAGAAACAACGTTTCGAGATCATCCCGATGCATTCAACGTTATCATCTCGTGATCAGCGAAGAGCATTTGTGCCTTCAAAACAAGGTTCTCGCAAGATAATCCTAGCGACAAATATTGCCGAGACCTCCGTCACAATTCCCGATGTTGTTTGTGGTAAGTTTTCTTCACACTTGCAAAGTCTTTCTCAGCTGTGTTCTCACAAGAAAACGTTGGAAAGTTCTTGATTGCGGACGAGTCCGTGAGTTAACGCGAAACAGAAGAACTTCAACTTCAATACTTGAAACAGCGTGGTGCTCAAAAGCAAGTTCAAAGCAGCGTGCTGGTCGTGCTGGACGTGTTCAACCTGGATTATGCCTCAAACTGTATTCTTCGGGAACTGCATATAATATCATGAAGGATGCAACTGAGCCTGAGCTTCGTAGGGTTCCGTTGGAGGAAGTATGCTTATCCATCTTAGCAAGTGGATTCTCCAAGAACTGCCTACAGTTCTTAAATCAAGCACCACAACCTCCAGATCCCGAGTCCGTAGAAACTGCAATTGCCGTATTGGACGAGATTGGTGCAGTTGATAGGCAGGCCTCGACCGAGGTACTTACTCCGCTGGGCCAGCACTTGGCGAAATTGCCTCTCGATGTTCGGTTGGGGAAGATGCTGATATTTGGAGCACTCTTCCGTTGCATTGACCCAGTTGTCACCATCGCCGCATCCCTTTCCTCAAAATCGCCATTTTCGGCATTTGTTGCCGATGCAGCTGTGGCAAAGGCAAAGCACAATGCATTTGCTGATTCTGAATCCGACTTTGTCACATACTGTAACGTATGGGAAGCTTACGCTTTAGCCTCAGAGAAATCAATGTCTGAAGCACGCAAGTTTTGTACTCGAAACTATCTCAACTTCGTTGCAATGCGCGAGATAGGTGAAGCTAGACAGCAATTTCTAGACCAACTTTCCCGAATTGGCTTCATCGATAGAGCAACTTTGTCGGGAAGCAGAAATAGATTTGATTCAAAGGCAACAAAATCCTCCGCTCTCAATGGAAATGCGGACAAGGAAACAGTTGTTCAAGCTGTGATATGCGCAGGGTTATTTCCAAATGTAGCAAGATTGGAGCAACCGACATCGGGTGATTGTGAACTCTGGCAGAATGAGCAGCGCCTATTCTTCCACCGTTCATCTGTAAACTCGAAGAGAAAGCACTTTGGTAGCTCTAATCAGTGGGTTGTTTTTCACGAAAAGCTTGGCACCGCTAATCGGACATCTGTGTCGACGACGTGTCTTGTTCATCCTTTTGCACTTCTTCTTTTTGGCGGAACCGTGGAAGTGAAACATCTCCATCGCACAGTGGTCGTTGATGACTGGATGACAATTGGTGTTGCTGCTCAAACTGGAGTCATATTAAGAGAACTGAGGAAGAAGGTTGACAGTCTTCTGCAAAGAATGATTGAATCTCCAGAAGTGCATGGTATGACCAAGACAAAGGTCGATATGATTGAAGGTATTGTCAGTATCCTTTCTGCTAACGGCTCCTCCTAATCGAATCATGAGCTATTTGTACTAGATATGTACAGAAACATTCTAAGCCGATGTTTGTATCTACTTTTTCTTGGATTCTATCTATCTACAACGGGTACGTAGGACGAAGCATCAATGTGAAGTTCGTAGTGACCTTCTTCCTTGCCTTGGAACATGGGTAAATCTAATGCATCCACCATGGCAAGTCTTGCTGCGGTGACAGCCTGTGGGCCACGTTCCATAGCCCAAGGCCCACATTGCGGGAGTCCTTGAATGCTAATTGAGACGACTTCGCTAGCATCTACACCTTTGGGCATTGATGATGGGCCAAGCACATTCCCAAATTGAAAATCTCCAACCACAATATTGACAACGCGCTTCTTCTTTCCATTAGTCTCTTCACCAAAAGCCCCTAACCCATTGAGTCCTGCATAATCGGCGAGTCCGCCATCGACAAACAAAAAGGTTTCATGTTTGTCCACCCATCCAACAGGTTGGAAAAGCACGGGGAAGCAAGCAGATGCGCGAGCAGCCCGGGCCATACTTCCTCGAGTCAGTAGTTTCCCTTCCAGTGTTAGCAAGTCATATCCAGATACTGATACCGGAATAATTGAATCCTGTAGCTGTAGTGAACTATTTGGATTTTGCGCCGCCATAAAGTTGTGCATGATCTCTTCAAACTTGTCTCCACGAAACACTGTCAAGAGTCCAGGAGGATCCGCAAAATCACCCAGAGAAATAGTAGAACAAAAGTCTGCAGCTACCTTGGGCGGAATACCCGAAGCGAGGAGTATAGCAGCCATTGCTCCAGCAGAAGCACCAGCAACGGATTTGATGTTTTGTTTCAATAGTGGAAAGGATGAATTGGAAAGTTCGTCGTCCCAAGCCGCCAACGCTCCAAAATAGCCATAGTATCCAAAGAATGCTGGAGCCATGCCCAAATGAAATCCTTCTTGTTCTAGTAGAAAGCTTCTAAGAGTTTTGCTAGAGCGAAATACTGGTAGTCCATGATTGGGTGGGATTAAATGATCCGTGGTGTTTGGGATTTGCTTGGTGGAACCGAATGCCGATGGTCCAATGATGCTTATAAAAGGTAGAGCCAAGAATAATGCTGCCCAGAAATACCGATATCTCGTATCTGCAGTGCTCTGGGTTGGAAATTCCATCTCCAGACCGGGTGGTGGTTGCATTACTCTTGTGATGGTAGGTGGATGATGAATTGTACCATCTGTTTGCATTATTGTTGTGGAATCATCAACTTGCTTTTGTTGAGGGATCTGAGGAGGAAGTTCAGATATTTCGTTGGAATCATCTGTATCACATTGCTCCTCTGTGTTGTCGTATATGGAAGGAGCGACCTTGACAATCTGCGATTGAGCAGATACTAAATTCGTCGCCTCATCATTGGTCTGGATGGAGGACGACTGGTTTTCGGCCCTCTTGATTTCATCATCCTTCTCTGGAATTCTAGTTTTTTTCGGACTGGGCTCAGTAGTTGTTGAGCTTTCAATTGGACGCTTCGTGGACCGCTTCGAAGATTTAGCCATGATAATACTTTGAGTTGAAGAAATGAATGAGAAAGGTTTGCGATCAATGTGTGACGTGAATATTTCCATTCGATGGAGTCAAGAGCAACTAAAAAAGTGCTGTTTTGCAAAAACGTTTTATATTTACACCCACAGCATGGAAGATATATATCCCAAGATGGAATTAATACTCCATGGATTAATAAACTTTTCCAAAGCCTGCCTTCCAAAGATGTGCGTATCAATAGAAAGTATCGAAAGGGAAAATCTTCCAGCAGCATTCAGCATTCAATTCCAAATGTAATGCACCTCCCCCATTTTACTTTTTCTCTTCCAACGGACCAAGACTGTCAATTGAAGTCATCATGAGTGATCCCGTAGACATACCAATATCCCCGGTTGACATCATTGCTCCACTTTGACTTTCTTGTAAGGGATCAGACATGAGTGCCGTAATGCTGGGTCTATTTGCCGGCGGCAACATGGCACCACTGTTCCTTGATTCTTCCAACGGCCAAAGTGGAGCCCCACCATCAGCGGAGGGCGATTGCTCATCAAACACCCAATCAGCGGTTTCTCCAAGTGCCTCCCTTGAGCGTGTTGACGTAAAGCTCATTCTACCGCCAGGTCGCTTGGATTTGTCCTGTTTTTCATTAAAGACAGAGGAGAGACTCATATTCGATATTCCACTCATTTGATGTTGTGGATCTCCAAACATGTTCTCGATAGTTCCAATCGAATCTTGCGATGTATATCCTTCAGTTGTTGACATGCCCTTGAAGGACTCCATCATGGCACTCATTCCATCCACTCCCCCATCAGGGTACATAATCTGGCTTAGTTGCAGAGAATCCCTTTTACTGTTGCTCAGACTCTGAACAGAACCGCGACGGTTGCCTCGTCTCATCATATCACCAGAGATGCCTGATGCTTGTTGAGCCGCCAATCCTTCCAGTTGCTGAGTGTACTTGGCGTAATCGGGGTTTTGTTGAGGTCTGGCATGCTCCGCAGCTCGAGGTGCGGGAATTGGAAGCGGTTCCAGCATATCGTGGGATGCCAGTCCTGCAAAGTTTGGAATGGCAAAGTCTGCGTTGTTCAGAACTGGAGCTGGCGGTGCTGCCATGGGTTGTTGTTGCTGGACCTGCTTTTTGGCTGGTTTAGGTGAAACATTCCCTGTCTTCTCTCTGTTCTGCCTGAGAGCTTGTTTTGCCTTTTCCATGACAGTGTCATCATCTACAATTTGATAAACTTCTGTAGATGGAGGAAAACCAAGCTTTTGTAGGTCATTCGCTTCTAATTTTTTCAGGAATCTTCCATTCGCTGAATAGACTGTATTAACAACATCTTTCGCAATCGTAGCCTTTGTCTGTCTGTGATTTGTAGACATGTATTCAGCTTTGCGTTTCGAGACTACATCACGAAATCGAATGTTGCCTTCATGATCATTGGGACCAGATCCTCGTCCAAAGAGAACATCGGTGGTGTTCACAGAGGTTACAAACTGTGAGCTATCTCCCATTTTGTGATTCAGGTACCGCAGCTAAAATACGTCTAATCTAGGCCTAAGACTCGCTATCTTCCTATTTTTGGAACCAATAAAGACTCTTGTCGATGTAGATCTTGCTGGCTCTAAATCTTGGTTTGTAGATCCGCTATATTGCGTGAGGCTAGTGTCTCTTTGTTCCAGAAGGATGTGCAACTTCTCCTGAGAGGGGGCGCTCCGAATACAACGACAGCGCGATGGTGCACACCTCAACTTGTTCCGTCCGTCGATCGTTTCTTCACATAAGCATGAAAAGTCACAGCGAACAAAACAGTGCAAAATCGTACCATGTCCTACGCCGCGCCGGGCGTCGTCTATGATTTTGATCCACATAGAAAGTCCGAGCAGGTGGCGTTTCTGTTACAATAATACAAAAGTGCACGTACCGCTAGCATCTCGTCGTGTTACAAATCAGCAATCAATTTGTAAAGAGTAATCAATCCAATGCCCGGGTTACAGTTGGATTGAATGTTTATTCATTCATCAAATGGTAGGGAGAATAGCATGATGGTTTTGGCGCGGAAGGATGCTACTGTACATTAGCAATTTCTCTACCATCGTAGTAGTAGGACTATGCTTGCTGTCGCTGGCCCTTTATTTTTTGGTCTTTAGCACATATTTTGTTAAAATAATAATTAGCAGCGTAGCTAGCATCCGCTGAGCTCGTAGTCTTTCTCAAACCTCGTAAATCAATGATTGGATGCTTGGTCTTTAGCACATATTTTGTTAAAGTAATAATTAGCAGCGTAGCTACCATCCGCTGAGCTCATAGTCTTTCTCAAACCTCGTAAATCAATGATTGGATGCATCAATCATTGTAACCGTTGTCACTGCACCATCTTTCCGTCTCTCTTTTCATGTTTGTTGTCGTCAGCACCAAGCCTCACCATCATCTCAGCAATCTCTGCTTCAAGTTGCTTGGACTCTTCCACAACCTCCATCCCAGTAAAGATGGGTACGCGATTGGTAGGTGTGTAGAGATTGGATGATATGCCAGGTAGAACGTCGTGGTGGTGCTAATTGTTGGATCATGCCAGTCGATTCTTTCAAATGTTCCTCTTCAGAGGGCATCAAGGGCGAGACTGCCAAAGCGGAAAGTGAAATCATTCCTGTGGTCGTGAATGCAACCAAAGGAGAATGATTGGTTTGAGGACGGCCATGATTTTCCACTTTGCCCTTGATGCTGGTGCTCGAAAGTCGTCTTCTTTGTTGACAGGAGCCGGTTTTTCGTGATTGCTGAACTCCTTTGGTGGCCCGAACCACCGAACCCTTCATTGACATTTACAAAGTTTCAAACAGTTCTAGCAGAGTAACAAATAGGTCAGATGATTGATTCTTCTTGTCAAGAACCCACGAAAGACACTCTTTGCTCAATGACATATATATCGTATCGTACCATCTGTCTCCGTCAATTTTGGCAGAAGTTTGTGAAGCCAGATTTTTGGGCTTCATCATAACCCGGATCAACCGACTAGTGTACGACGTACGAACCTGAAGATTCCTTTTTCATTTGACTTATTGGACGGTGTCAGAATTTCAATCATGCCACGCACGTGGCTACAGACTACTTGCAAAAAAAGGAGAAAAACGACGCTCTATGACACGATACTGTAGTCTTGATGGGATGGCAAAAGGATTTTGTATGGTCTACAGGTACCTAATGGTACAAGGTACCTTAGCATGCATATCGTGATGTATATATCCATTCGTTTAGTTTAATGTAAATTATGAATCGGTTATGTAAGCCCTAAAAGCTTGGGAAATCCTTCCATATATCTTTCATCCATGTGTAATCATGTAGCGGGAGTAAAACTTCCATGTTTGTCTTCCAGAAAATGTGGATCAGGTGTAGGTTCGTCAAAACAAAAAATCTTTGTCTTGTGGCGACGCTTAGTGAAATGAATGGAAAGCATGTTGCGATGCTGTCCTCCATGATGGGCAGAGAGAAGCGATAGAATCAACAATCAATCATCAATAATTGTCCTGTTGGTAATCAACATTTCTTTGGTCCAAAGGGGCCAGGAGTCAATTGAAGTCTGACTAGTTTGATGAGACTTTCCTGGTCAAAGTTGGCTCCATTGTTGAGAGCATCAATCAACTTCTCGGCTGTTTTGGGAGACAAGCGTCTTCTCATGGTGAACAGAATCAACAAGCTCTCTTTATCCAAGTTGGCTCCATTCTTCAAGTCGTCGATGAGGCCTTCGGTAGTCTCATTCGAAACCTGCTTTAGGTCCACGCCTCGTAGGGAAATTACCTTCTCGCTGGATCTAGACTTGTCATTCACTCGTTGGTGCTGGAGCATGGAAGTCAACCGACGCTTAGTCAAGTTGGAATCGCATCTGGTGGTATCCTTCTCTGTCAATGCCGCCGCTGCGATAAAGCCAGCAAGGCCACCGTAGGTAGTCATCGACATCAAGCTGGTAGGGGATCCTACTGGTGAAGGAGCGGACGAATATGCAGCCTTCTGGGTGGGACGAGGTGAAGCACATCTTCGGAAGGTGTTGGTTGCAAAGGATCGGCCAGCGTTCATCTGAGAGAGACATCAAACAGTTAGTACCGATATTGCTTGTTCAATTCGATGTATCTTAACATGAAGGCTTACCATGATCAAGTATTTGTAGATTGAGATTGTGTGCTTTAGAAAACGCAGTGGTGCACTTTGTTTTTTGTGCTGAAAAGATACTGTCGGTACATCTGATACGATACGGTGTACGATCAACTTCTTCCTGAAATTTCACCCAAGATTTGATAGCCTTGGTCTTCCACATGTCGTAGCATCCAATTCTTTTATGGCATTTGTAATAAGTAAGAAATCTGCGAAGAATTTTACTTATGGTGGCATGACACGAAGAAGACGGCTGCGAGGCAATCTCCGCTCACAGAATATTACTCCGACTTGAAGCCGGCCGATCCAACCAATCTGCAAGAGTTTTGACAACCTGCTTCCTGCACCTATTCACGTCAATCTTCCTGCACATGGTGTTTTTTGAGAACCCTTCCGGATGCCGTAGAATAGATGGAGTTGTACATTCCTAGCAGGCGCTTTAGACTTCAGATTGAAGCTCCAGGATCGACACTTTTATTCATTCATTCATTGGAATGAGGCACCAGTGGGGGCCCGGTGGTGGCTGCAGGTGGCTGCAGGTGGCTGCCATCAGTGCAGACACCGGTTTGAAGTTAATGTTGTAGATCAGCCCAAAATGCCAGCAAGGGTTCCAAGAATTACATTTTCCATTGCCTACCGGTACCAGTCTTGCATGAATCCAATCGAACCGCGGTGGCCCTTTGAACCGTTGAGGAGACTTTTTGACTAATCATTCGATCTTTAATCACGCAGAAGAGCCAATAGTGCCCCACACGACGAGGCATGTGTGTAATACAACATCCATTAACTTTGAAGAGCCAACATAGACATCAATCGGCCTATGATCGGCTATGGGGGGTGCATATTTCGGGTGAAGAAAATGACCAGTTGGGTTTGTTGGGCTTGAAAAACTTTCCAACTTTCTACTGACAATCAGCCACTTCTTAGAGTGTTTTCACGTGGTCTGAAAGAGATGTCCACGGGCATCGTTGGTGGCTTCGTTCGTTTTATTTTTTTAATTTAATAGCATCGCCCTCGATTCAAAACAACGCTGTTAGACACCACTATCTTCATTTTGCATCTCTTCGTGATGTTTCTTAGAATCTTATTTGATTATTTTATCTCTTTGTTCACACTACCGGTACTGGAAGCATTTAATCATTGCCTTCTCGAACTCTTATTTCCAACTTAGAACTGAATAACGTTTCTCCAATTCTCCAGTTCTTGTGACATCATCGTCAGAAAACCTTCTCCTTACTGCCTGTCCGCTGTGGGATTTCATTTCAGAATGAAGGAATGCAAATCGTGGAGGTTGATTCATCCATCATATTCGACAGATTTTCTTTCCAGATACAACAAGATGATAGTCAGATCGATTGCCGTTGTTGCATTATCGCTTCAAGGTACCGCTTTCACAAATCCTCAATGTAGTCACCGCAGCTCGTTGAATGAAGAGAAGGGTATTGGAGGCAAATCAAGAAATCTGAGCGAAGAACTGTATTCTATGGAGAAGGGAAATGGGGATACCGAGTATCAACTAGCTGAAGATTTTGAAGGCCAGAATAATGGTGCAAATGGGATAGAAATGAATGGATTCATGCCGCAGCCAGCTGCTCCACATATGGAATTGTCGGAAGCTGACAGCGAAGAAGAGGAGGTTGAGATTGATGAACGTCAACTATTTGATGAAGACAACATGAGAAAGGCAGTTCAAGAAGCTCAGGCCTACGGAGGAGAGCTTGGATCTCGTTCTTCGTACCCAAACCCAACAACTGGAGCTATTTTGGTGGCCGAGGATGGAACTGTTTTGGCCCGAGGACACTCGGATTACATGCGAGATGCCGTTCAAGCTGTCATGGAGGATGCTGGACTAGATGTCTCACCTTTGAATGAGTGGTGTGTCAAGTGGCCAAGTTCGGACAAACTCCGTAAGTCTCTGAGGGACGCCACTTTATATCTGACATTGGAGCCAACTTGCGAACGAAAAGGTCAAGCACTACCTCCAGTGACTCAGTTGATCGAGCTCAGTGGCGTTCAGCGAGTCGTGATTGGCTCTCCAGATCCTATTCCAGAATTGTCATCTAAGGGCGCTGGTGCTCTACATTCTGCTGGAATCGAGGTCAAGATGGGATCTGTACTATTGGATGACTGCAACAGCCTGGTCGAACGATACTCTGAGAGGGTGAACGAGAAGTTTCAGAGACTCGCACGAAAGCACTACAAACAATTCCAAAAGCCTTTTGGATTTCTCCATTGCAGTGTTGTTGATAGTGATAACTTGGAAGCTTTTGCACGGCATGGAAATGCCTTCGGAAAGACGTTTGATGGAAACAACCTCTCGTTCCGAGAGTTTGGAGCCTATGAGATTGCTCCGCCTCCTGAAGGTAAGACAATTATAGATTTGGATGGATACTTTCTTTGTTTCATCTTCTCAACACAGTCGATATCTGTAGTAATTTGGGCCGAGGATCGAGAGGAGGTCGATGATAGCGAATTTGAGACTGTGACAGACGACTTCTTTTCCCTCGACTTTGAAGGCGAAGACTTCCAAGAAGAACTTGATGGAAGTCCAATGATGCCGTGGTATGTAATTGATCCAGTGGCCACATAATGTGTCATGTGTTTCTCCTAAAGTTCTAACTCCTTTTCGTATAGGTACAACGAAGTTGATGCTGTTGTTGCAACCTTTCCTAGACCAGGCAATGGACTAGGCGATGATGATTCCGTCTCTTCAAGGTTGAACGGTTTAAAGTGGCTGGCAACTCATGGCTCGCAGTTGCGGGCTGGAGTCGAACGTATCCTTGTTATGGATGCTACAGATCTGCCAGATCTTCCTCTGTCGAACGATGATCCCAACCTACCAAAGGGTGTGGATGTCGAGAGCTTCTGGAGAGGCAAAGATAGGAAGCCAACACGAGTCTTACTTCGAAGAGGACGAAGTGCACAAGCTCAGGCAGCGGCAAAGGCGGCAGCAGAGTAAGAGAAAAGCTTTATCTGTGCAGAGGTCATTTGATACACGAGGTTGACTCACTTTCCACCTTATCTTCACAGAGCTGCTGGAGCAGCAGCCAAGGCTGCACTTGCTGCCAAGGAAGCCATCGAAACAGGAGATGCTGAGAGTGCTGCTGAAGCGGCTATTGAATGCCAACAGGCAGCAGCCGCAGCAACGGAACTCGCTCAAAAGGAACTAATGGGTGCTTTGGAATTGAAGCAAAAACTGGTTAACTTGGGTGCAAAGGTGGAAACTCTAAGCGGTGGAGAACCAATCGATGTTATGAAACATTTGGGCAAACGCAATGGATACACGTCTGTAGTCTGGAGAGCTGGATGTTGGGGAAATAGAGGTGTTCAATCAATCTTGGCAGGAGCCTTCCAATGGGTACGTCGTCGATTTTTTTTGAAACCATTTACAAAATTGTTTCTCTGAATCATGAATCTGAGATCTGACTTCATTATCAACGTTCGTGAAATGTTTAGGTTTCGGCGCACATTGCAGTGGACGCATCCGGTGGCAAATTTTGGCAACTCATGCTCGCCGAGCGAGCTGTTCAAGGTGCCTGTGGTCATGAAAGCAAGGTGAAGGTCTTTGCTGGTCAAGAAGACATCAGCATGGAATACTGCGACGAACCTGAAGCGGATGGCGATTGTGTCGTGTCGGTCAGTGGAAAGCCCGTTCGCCATGTGCGTCTTGATTGTCGTGTGGCGTTGATGGATCCCGACCGACCGCGAGAGACCGTCCTGCACAAAACCGCCAAGCTTAATAAGAAGATTATTGAGGAGGACGCACCATGGTTCCTATAAACTAGTGAAAATCCATACACGTATTGCGCAGCTAACAAAATGAAGATAATTGGATATTCTAGATGTTGATTTGATAACATGATGAATCTGCTGCTTGCCAATGATTCCAAGAGCAGATTGTGTTGAAACTGTACAGAAACAGAGATACAGAGTACAAAGCAGGCATTGGCCATGATCTACTTTCCTTGAGCTGTCAACCATTCCACTACTTGGTCTATGTTTGTACATCGCAATGCGCTTATTGGAAGCACTGAAAACACACAAGTTTTGAAACGAAGCAAGCAGTCAGAAAAACTCCTGAATCAATCGACACAAAAATTACAGCATCGTTGACTTACCCATCCACGGTGTTTCCATGACGTAATTGAGTTGCAGCTTGTCAATTAATTCAGCCTCTCCCACATGAGGAGTGATATCGATCTTGTTTGCCAAAATCAACATTGGAGTAGACCCAATGCTGCCGTCGTCTAGAAGCTTGTGCAATTCCTTCTTTGCCGTGCTGAGCTTTTGAGGAGCAGCTGCATCTACAACGTATAAAACTACGTCACTCCCCTTTGTATATCGACTCCATTCACTTCGATATTGCTCTTGTCCACCTGCAATCCGAGTGCAATTCGAGACCTGAGTATATCTGTCGTCGAACAAAGCATGCTGAAGGATGAAATACTTGAGACGTACCTATATCCCAACATTTCATATTGACACTTCCTTTCTTAAACACCTTAACGTTCAATCCAATGGTTGGAACGGTTTCGACGGGTGCCCCATGTGCCAAAACAGACAAGAGAGTGGTCTTTCCACTGCAGAAATCAAAAGAGGAGTCAGATTTTCGATTGCCTGGTCTGTTTCAGTTTTCGTTGCAAAATCAAATAGGAAATGCCTACCTGTTCTCTAGTCCGATCACCACAATATCCAGCTTTTTAGTCCAGAAGACTTCCAGCAATCTGGTAAGAACGGCTCCCATTATCAGTTGTTATTCTTGATTTTTAAACTTCGTTTCGGCTTTGCCACCATCGTCCATCGAAACAAAAGCAACGTCTCATTTCAACGAAGGGCTGGCTTCCCCCTACTGAATTTCAACGTACAGAAACGGATAAATTGAATATTCAAAAGGAGGCCAATTGACTAGACGGACTGTTCTGAAAAGTGGACTCACTCGATCGGGGCAAATTTCAGGAACTGGAGATGTATTGTAAGGTGTAAAGAGAGGGTGTAAGGAGTGGTCTAAGCCGACTTGAATAGGTTTGGACTACCTTTATCTGTAGTATTTACAGTTAGTCTGCAAACAAGGATTTGACTTTTTCCGATTTATCTCTTTGCATGAAATCCATTCTGCGCCCTGAACACAAAAGATACGAGTACGTGCACTTGTAGTCTGTCTGAAAACTATGCTTTTCAAAGGCTTCTTAAGGGTGCCAGGCAGGGAAAGATCCTGGGATGACTTCGTTTGAGACCCATCCTGCAATTGTTATCCTGAAATTTTAATAGAATGCACAAATTCAAATGAGAGTCAGAAAAGTGAAGCTCAATGTATCGACTCCACCTGATCACCACACAAGCAAGTACTCACATGGCGACACGTCCATTCTTGATTTCCTTCATGCGAAGCGACTCGAAGTCTTTGCCGGCAATACCACCCTCCTTCTTGGTGAATCCAAGAGGATCATATCCGTAGTCTCCTGGGATTGCGTTGCCCTCCTTCCATTGGCGGTTGTAGGCAATAGACTCAAACCATCCAGCAAAAACGAAGATTTGGAAGAGCCCGGCGTTGGGGATGGCGTTGATAGCGTCAAAAGGAGCCATCTTGGCAAGGTCAGAGAAGGTGGTGCCATCGAAGGAAAGCATCCAGTCACTGGCCGATTCAGGGTGGAAGGCGTTGGATCCAGAGGGTCCGAAATAAAGAGGGAAATGGACACCAAGCTTTTGGTTCAAGAAACCGATGGTGGCAACCATGGCAACACGTCCGTGCTTAATCTCAGCGTTTTGGAACCACTTGATTCCTTCTGGGCTGGCATCCTTCAAAAGCTCGCGACCCAGTGGTGGGCACTTTCTTCCAGTCTCGACACTAATTCCGAACGATTCATCAATAAGGGCGTTCAAGGCAACCGACTTTTGGCTGGATTGAGCAGGAGCGAATGCAGAAGCATAGGCAAGGATACAAAGGGCGACAACAGCCTTCATCATTTTGGCGGTCGTTTGGGATTGGTGTGCTGTAGTAATTCCAGATCGGGTGCAAGTTGCGTCAACAAAGAGATACCTTCCAAACTGTGAAGGTACTATTTTCAATTTCTACGTGGTTGAACGTCCTTTGATCTCAAATCAAATCGAGTCCTGAAATGATTCAGTCACGGTCTCGCAAATTTCCGGTACAGTATGTGTACAGTACGTAGAGCGGAAATCTTTTGATTCCAGATTCCATCTTCTTCAGCAACCGCCAAACACAAAACACAGATCCGAAGCTCATTGCTCATTGCTCATTACATCCCAACCGACAAAGCTTTCCATCTTGATCGAAGCATCCCAATCTACAATGTCAACAGCGTCGAAAGTTGTAGGAATCAAAAAGTCCTTGTCCAAACACGTACCACCGGATGGTCTTGGAGACGAGGATATTGAACACTGTCAAGATTGTTTCAAGAAGCTCGACGATTGTGACATGACTCTAAATGTCTTGACATCTACCTTGATCGGAACGGTTGTTTCCAAATTCAAAAAGCACGAAAAGTTGGGACCGACTGCCAAGGCTTTGGTGAAAAAGTGGAAGAAAGTGGCCGCAGGAGACAACTCATCAGGTCCTTCGACTTCGGCCGTTGCCGCCAAGAAGAAGGTGGCTGCAAAGCAGGCCGCAGTGAAACGGCGAAATAGTGGTGAAGATGTGCCGATTCCAGACCGAGCCAAGGAAGAGTGGGACGGATTGGCGGAACACCGTCGAACTATTTGCTCCAAGTTATATTCCTTCTTGACTCACGGAAAGTCTTCCTTAATTAAGGATGGTATCAACGAAGAGGCTGCCGGTTCTCTTCAGATTGATCGTAGTACCGAGGTTGAAGCTGCCATCCAAAAATTACACGCCAATGACAAGGGAGAGTATGCTAGCAAGGCACGATCACTATGTTTCAATATCAAGAAAAATGTTCCATTGGCGTGTCAAATACTGTTGGGCCAAATTCCAGCTGAGAATTTAGTAAAGATGAATAGTGACGATCTTGCCAGCGAGGAGCAGCGTGCTGAAATGGCCAAACGTGCCAAGAAATCAACTGATTCTAAGCGCCTAGATTGGGATAGGGCGAATGAAGACAAGATCAATGAAATGTGTGGAATCACAGGAGACTTGCTCAAAGCCAGTTTGTTCACCTGTGGTAGGTGCAAGAGTGTCAAAACGACTAGTACACAGAAGCAGACTCGGTCGGCTGATGAGCCTATGACAGTCTTTGTGCTCTGTCTGAATTGCGGAAATCGCTGGAAGTGTTAAGGTGGTAGCCTCTTCTTGTCGCATTTTTGGTATGTAACCTATTATAACATCTAAAGAAAGTTTTCTCATGGATGTGGAAAAATGAAGTGCCTCGTCACCTCGTGTCAAAGTTAGTAACCTCTATTGATATTGCAGAATATCAGGCTTTTGGCATGTGAATGATTTGTTCAAAACAGTTTGGTGTAAATAGGTTCAGAACATCATTCATCTCTATTATAGATATCAGTACAGGTATTAATATTTTATAATATCCTCTCCTTTGTTACATTTCGGTTCGTCGCGCGACCAAAATAAAAGCTGGCCTTCCTGAAAATGATTCTTGAGAGTCAACGGAAGGCAAAAACCACATGTAATATCGATCCGGTGTAAGCATTTGGAAGCCAAGCAACATCAAAGTGGTGTTAGAGACTATCACCAAAAGAGTTGGTGAACCCTTGAATAAGAGCTCATTCGCTTCGATAATCTCCCTTGGAGTTGGTCGAAAGTTTGCTCGCTTCACCAACTTCGTCAACCGTGTTTTGCTTTTCGTTATCCTTCACCCAACGAGAGAGCACACAGCAATAGAAGGAAGAGACACGACAGCACTTTAGCGGACTCGAAAGGCTTGAAAGATAGGATTGAACATACACATCCTGTCTTTGCAAAGGCAGAAGTTGTGTCAAGATGCGCCAACCAGTTTCAATTCCAAATGCTCATCAAGGCTCAACACTGCATGCTGGTGGGAGCCACAATGGAAGCGACGGCAACAAACCAAAACGGCCTTCCGATTATTCGCATCGAAGCAGCAATGTACTTTCTCCCCGAAGTGTAGCATCAGGACAACGGGTGATTCCTCTTGGCGGAGGGGGCGGTAGCAATGACGTCCATCAGAACAAGCAGCCTTCAGGACCTCGCTCCGCACACTTGCAACCAAAGACAGAGGTCACTGCCGTGAGCCAGACATCTGGATCAAAGGGTGCCGAGGAAAATTTGGCATCTGGGGAGTTGGACAAACAAGAACAGGCTTTATTTGAGCAACGATTGTGCGAAGATGAGTTCGGTGTTGCGGTTCGAAAAATCAATCAGAATGGCAAATCGAATCTGCGATATGTGCGATGCATTGAAGTGGACCTAATGGAGCTCGACGACGAAGCGCCTGCTTCTTCTAATAGATCAGTGTCGTCTATATCCAAAGGGTCAAAATCGTTTGTGAAGGGGTTGGCAAGTCTATTGCGGTCAGATAGAAGTACCACCAGAAGTCGGTCAGAAAGTGTTGATAGAAATGAGTTGACTGATTTTTCCAATTTACTTCCTGGTGGAACAATGGTCAGATGTCTTACGTGGGGCAAGAAAAAGGGTGTGAGAATTCCTCTGGAACGATTCACGTCGGTTCGGAAGGGCAAGACGACAGATCGCACCAAGCGCAATGCTTGCCCATCCGTCCGAATCTTGTCCCTTATTACTAATGATCCCTATCATCGCTCTCTTGATATCGAAGCACCTACTCGACTGGATCGAGACAAGTTTGCCAAAGCATTTTCAAAGTTTTTGAATATTCCGTTGGAAACAGATGAAAATAGAAGCACTCGCTCGGACTTGACTCCAGTAGCCAAATGTAAGTTTTCTTGTGCCCAAACGTGTGACAAGATATGTGCCAGGCCGTCTTAATTATGTACTTTCTCAAACTACAGCGAGAGATTTTATAGCCAAAGTTGAAATCAATAGCAATCAAAAGAATGTTCCTGTGCCTGTTGTAACGACAACAAGTGCATCGCCAAATCGACTTCCACCCTCATGTAGAATAAACGCAAATGCAGACAAGGGAATGGGAAAGTTGCCTCGAGCAGGAGGGCCAATGGAGCTGCCGAGCAAAACATCGACTGCAAAGGACGAGCAATCAACTCCGATCCAGCTACCCAAAGCCAATGTAGTTTCGCCTTCGAATAAGCGAAAGTCATCGGCAAGTAAATCACTGCCTTCTGCACGATTGGAATTACCTCCTGCAGATGATGCGTCTGCAGTTTCGTCGATCACAGGCGTTGGGGTAGATCAGGAAATTATCGAAGAGATGCATAATGCGTTGACTGTGTTGCGTGCGGAACTGGACGAAAGTCGAGCCGAAGCTGCACGAGCAGTGAAGGTTGCGGAACAAGCCATTCAGAGTGCGGAAAATAACAACAGTAAGGACTGGCATAGTACTGTGACACACAAAGCTGCAGAAGCTGCTGCCCTCGCCCAAAAGAAGTCCGCGGCTGCCTTGGCGCGGGCCCGACAAGCTGAAGATAAGTTCGAGATAGAAAGACAAAATGCGGCCAAGTGGCAAAAGCAGGCGCAGTCAGCCGAGGAAGATGCAGGATATTGGCGGACGCGAGCTGCAGCTGCGGAAGTAGAGAGGTCTTCGATCGCGGATTCTTTGGAGACAGACCGAAACAACATTGTTGCGCTTCTGTCTTCTATGAGAGAAAAGAATGGCTCCGATCTGGAGGGGGGAAAGCGAAATCGTGCCCTGAAAGCCGAGCTGGAAATCCTACGTTCCTCGTTAGCAAGTCGAGATGCAGAAGTCATGGCTCTTCGTAATTGCATGTCGGAAGTGTACGTCGATCTCTGCAGAATTGATGCGTTTGACAAAATACTGATTCAGACTCACGGAGCTATTTTTTTTTACAGTGAATCCACCCCTGAAGCATATCAAGTTCTGAGGAGAAAACCAAGATTCCTCAATTATTTAGAAAGTGCAAGATCTCACGGTCAAGGTGGGGGCACTTTTACTGCGCGAGGTATAGTACAGTCCCAATCGCAGGTTGAACAGCTGCGTTCGAAGCTGGCCATGGAAACCACTGTGCGAAGGAAACTACAGCATGAAGTCTTGGATCTTCGAGGAGCTGTCCGAGTATACTGTCGTCCTCGAGCCATAACCTCAGGTATCTCAGCACTTTCGACGCCGTCACGAGAAGTTGTTGTGCTTCATAGAGAACGGAGCGAAGATGAGATGCCGAATTCTACACCTCTGAGCTTCGAATTCGATGGTATCGTTACTCCGGATATGGATCAACAGGAACTCTACAGCGAAATGGAACAGGTTTGTTTGAATGTGCTCGATGGCTTTAACTCTACAATCATGACGTTTGGTCCATCTCGAGCTGGCAAGACGTTCACCATGCTCGGTGACGTTGGATACAGCATTGCAGCTGACAGTATTGAACCAGTTTTATCACTGAACAATTTTGGTGTTCACCTTCGAGCAGCCCGGCAACTATTCTCGGTAATTGAACAGCGCAGTGACAAATACAACGATACAGTTACATTTTCTGTTCTTGAAGTGCACGAGGAGAAACTCTATGACTTACTAGTTGGCACTGACATTGGTGAATCACACGGTACTCGAGAAATGCCTGTGAAGAACACCCGGCGTCGAGCAGGTTCTACGTGTAGCTCTTCATCAGCGATGGGGAACTCTGAGCAACTACTGAAGCTCGAGCTCAAGACGAACCACGATGGTGAAACTTGTATTAGCGGGCTTATCTCAGTTCAGGTGAATAGTTTTGAGGATGTATGTCGTGTCTGGAAGGAGTGCCTGAGCAGACGGGTATCGCGCCTTGCGGAACAAGGAATTCGGTTGGAAGGTCACGACCACAATTGCCACACCATAGGAACCATGAGAATCTCATCAACAAATCTATCGACCGGCAGCGGGACCCTTGGGAAAGTGCAATTTGTGGACTTTGCTGCTTCAGACATTGTCAAGGAAAGCCGTCCTGTGAGGGCCTCCAATCCCGACATGCTGTCAAGTGTTGGCCCAGATCTAAGGTTCGCGAACAAGTCAATAGCGACTCTCAGTGATGTTGTACACGCGAGAAGTCAGTTCCAAAGATCTGTTCCGTACCGAAATTCCACCATTACGCATCTGCTTAGCGATAGCTTGGAAGCTGACACAAAGGTCGTGATGATTGCTTGTGTAAGCTCCGATGTCGCTGACATTCAAGAAACGGCATGCACACTAAAGTTCGCCGAACGTATGCGACAAGTGATAGTCGGCAAGGCTACAACGCATTCACTAAGGACCAATGCATAGATGATATTACGAGTTATGAATTAACTAAATAAGCATCGACTTTGCCCTCTATCTAATCAATTTGGAACCATTTGTTGGTGTCAACTTCAAGTTACAATTTGAACTGGTGGAACATTATGGTTCACAGAAACCTTTATTCCACCCAAAACGGTTATCCCTTGCACAATGATTTTTGGTCCATCGTGAGACACCGGTATGTTTTGGGAGATTCCTTTGATTCCCCCCAAGATACCGAGACCTTGCGTTTCCACTCGTACCCCGCGAGGGACAATGATCTTCACACCAGACAAAACACTGGGGAATACTCGGATCGTTGTTACTGGATGCACAAAGTCTGCAACGGAAAGATCAATTTTTGTCCCGTCCAGAACCGATACAACTGAAATATTCTTTGGCACTGTGAACTTCCCCGTCTGTCTTGGAGTTCCTATAAACAGTACTCCGAAACTCAGTCCGAAATACTTGGTCCGGGCCTTGATTTCAGGAGAAGGATTCTTGAAGAATAGGGCAGCTTGTACATTGTGAGTTGAACCAATCTCGTCTGCTGTAACTTCCAATGTACTTGGTGTAGCGGCATGGGATGGCGATGGATATGGTTCATGTGGAATTGCTTGCACTTCAGAAAGCGGCAATGCTTCTGCAGTTGGCGTATCCATTGTGTTTATATCCTCTGCTTCCATTGCCATGCTTGTACCGCAAGTGGGGCAGAAACGAGAGCCTTCTGCGATAGATGATGCGCCACAGGCGTTGCAAGTCAAAGAGTTTTTCGTCATATTCGATGTGGTTTGTGATCTGGTCATCGTTTGAGAAGAGAGCGCCGCTTGTTGTTTTTTATTGTATTGTATGTGGGTCATGTTTCGATCCACATGGTCAATGCGTGAATGAATGAATCAATCGATTGGGTCGAAAATAAACATGAAAAAGTGGGAGGGAAACTTGCATCCTATACTGTAGGTACACGTGTACAGTAATATGGACCAATGTACAAGGTATTTTAAAATTTAAACTGGACATAAAATTCAGTGAACAACCTGAATTGGTGGCACTCGTTCATTAACTGAGACCTTTACTCCACCCATCACTGTCAGACCCTGAACTAGAAGCAGAGGAGCATCTTCGGACACGTCAATATTTTGTCTTCTGGGCCCCTTCATTCCCCCCATTATGGCAAGTCCCTGTAACTCTACTCGTACCCCTCGGGGAACGATAATTTTCAGCCCTGACATGATACTCGGTACGACACGTACTGTGGTTATAGGGTGGATAAAATCTGCAACTGATAGATCTATTTTCGTGCCATTCATGACCGAGAAGACATCAATTACTCGAGGGACAATGGCATTTCCTGGATTGCAGGGTGTGTTAATAAATAGAAGTCCAAAGTCAACATGGTGATTGGAAGCATTTTTCAGCATTTCTTGCGAAGGATTCCTGTAGAATCTTGCAAAATTAGGATTGACTCCTCCTTCGACGGATACTGGATTTGTATCAATGGTACTTGGAATGGAGCTGGGACTAACGTGAATTGCATCCACTAGAACCTCTCCTCGAGGTGTATCTTCTGTTGCAGGGAAGGCCTCTGATATTGGAACGGCGGTTGCCATTGGGGTATCCATGGTGTTGATGTCTTCGCTTTCCAAGCTCAAATTGGTTCCACAGGAAGAACAAAATCTCGCCCCAACTGGAATGGAAGTGTATCCACAAGCATTACAGACTGATCGATTCTTCACCATTGCAGTATTTGGATGATTTTATGATGCGGCTTCAGCCTTGGTCACTTTGGAAACGTTTTGTAAGTCGTTCCAGTGACACTCGAATGAAAATGAGATATCACCATCATCAGGATTTTTTATTAAGTCGTGCCTGACTGCTTCGATTCGACTTTTATTTTCAATTTTGTTCCTCTTGATTGACTAAGGAGTACTTGCGGATGGCTCAGCAAGATCGCATAACAAAGAGCAAAGAGACTCTCTTGTACTTACTTTTATCCATGCAATTCGTTCCACATTGAAGCAACAAAGGAAATGCCCATGGTGTTCCTGTAGGAAGTAGTCAAGAATAAGGAAATATAATGTGATCATAGGTGTGAGATCAAAATACAAGACAAGAACGGACTACAACAATAAGATGGGAATACAGTCTTTGTTGCCACTTACCCCAGATCGTGATGGCGATGCACAAAGTTCAAGATCAGTGAAGAGAAGCAAATCCAAACACGAACATGTCTCAAGACGACCAGTGCACTCAAGCTGGATATCGTCATGAGGAATCGTTGGAGCCGTAACATGGTAAATTGGCTCAATACACGAGCCTTCACCATGCTCTGTAGGAAGAATTCCATGACATAGGATGTGTTGAGCAAAACCCAAAATATTCTCCAAGAACGTGAGTAGGGTATGGCCGAATCTTGAATGGCGGATGTAGAAGCAACTGCAAGCGATATGTTCACTCCATGTAGAATCACGTGCTTGTAAAAGACGTATTGCCACTTCTTGATACGGTACAGAAACACCTCCAGATCCCCAGTGGCAGTGTTTTTACTTTTGCCTTTTTCTGCCGTTCTCGTCTCAGTAGTATTCCGTACCATCGAATCATTTGTATCTCGATTTTGCTGTTTCAGGTACACCTTCCAATTGTGGCTAAATGAGTGAACAGGAAGTAAATGACGGAACAACCAGGGCATGGTCACCAGAAAGAGCAATACTGAATTTGTGACTCTTTGCTGATTGCTGTTGGAAAAATAGTGGAGGGCGTGCAAATAGATGGCCTGCCACAAATTCAATGCTTGGTAAAAGGAATGCTCAATCATTTCTGCTTGTGTTACAATGGCCTTTTTATGCAAGGTTCCCGATTGACCAACCGCATTGGACACCAGCTTGTGAGGGAAGTCTCGAGCTGCCGTCAGCGTAGCTGCCGTTCCAAAAATTCCAAGCAGAATATCATAGACAAAGATGGAAAATCGAGAATCTGGCGTATCTGAAGTACAGTTAGCAGTCCAAGCACCCACAAAAAGCCATAGTAAATGAACGCCCCCAGCCAATCGATGCCTCCAACCATGAACTCGGAAAAATACTTTGGTGGCATTGTAGACGGCAAAGAGGACCATCCACAAGAGAAACATCTTGGCACCAACGGTCGCCGCCTCTGTTGCAGACAGCCTGGACATTATTGGTTCCAAATCCATCAAGGAGACTGTATTGCGCTTCGGAAGTGATGTTTGTTTGAAGCGTCGTTGCATTGTGTGTCTCAGGTGTCGTCACTCGTGATTCGTTTATTCGTGATTAAAAAGGGCTTATTGAGTGTCCGAAGTCAATTTCTGGATCTACTTGTACCGTACCTGGTATTAATATGCGTCCACTTTTTTATTCTTTGGTTGGAACGATTGTCTGCGCGATATGCGAATGCCATAGTATTGATTCATTATTGCAGACTTCTTGACTACATCTATGTTTCATTCTTGTACAGTTATTTTACTTGTTTGATGTACATTGCAATATGTTTGTTCTGTGCGTAAATTTCTATCAAAGTCTCGTTTTCGTCACTGGTGGCCACACACAGATTCTTTCTGTTCGTTTTGGATATCCTGTAGTCCTCCTTTGCCTCTCATTTATTCCCAGCATAGAGTTCTTCCTTCGATGATTGGGCACTCGTCCACATCTAAATATTTATCCTGTCGCTTGGAAGAAGCCGCCGTTTCCGCTTCCTTTAGAATTTGCAGAGCCTTCTTCATGACTTCGTTTACCCAATCAGTTCGTCGCTTGTTGCTAGTTCGATCGTTCAATGCTGGCAGCAAGTGTCGTCGGGCAACCTGAAGCGCTTGTCCGAACTGTCCCATCCTCAAGTGCAAGACAACTAGCAATCGCCCTCCTTCAAAATGCCACGGTTTAACACCCAAAGCCTTCTGACACCAATTCAAAGAGTCTTCATATTGTCCTTTGACAAAGAAAAGCAAGGACAACCGGACCATTGGCTCGGCCCATTCCATGTCGGATTCGTCAATCATTTGCCGCAAGGTCATTTCCTCCTCCTTCAACCCAGGACTGCAAACCTCTTCCATACTTTCAAAAATAGCAGCTGCATCTTGGCGCTCCGAACTCCACAATTCAATCAACGGATCAATGGCTTCGTTAGATTCCTTCAAATGCTCCAACAGTTGAAGTTCGACTTCTTTTCTTCTTTTGGATCCTGTCGTAAGTGGCTCTTCTGCAAGGTGATGAAAGGAAACGTCTTGAAAGGACCATTGTTGCTGCAACGGCTCAACGTCCCCACCATCGCCAGTGTTAGGACTTTGCATGGATGCTGAGGAACGCGTTGAACGGAATCTTCGACACGATGACCTCAACAGCATCTGACTTTTGGAGAAGGCATTTGTCGTGGGCATCACTTGAAGCACGACGAAAAGCACTAGTACTATGGAAATCATGTGGTATCTCGGCAGTGGCAATGGCACGACGCAGAAAGGACGACTCGAATGCAACATTGTAATGCCGTTCAGTTGGAGTTTCGAAAAAATATTGATGTGATTGAGTTGTTCTTCACGTTTGCGACTGAGCGAGTCTTCGCATCCGATGGAGAAGAATTGAAATAGTATCTTTGTCCGATAAGATTGTTCGACTACTCCATTCCCGACTAAAGTGACTAGACGTCTTAAAAATACTGTGGGACAGCAACTTTGCATGTCCATGTACCCTCGCAGGTAGTGCTCAGCTAAGCCCCGCCACTTAAAACTTGGGCTTTGACCAGAGCGAAAGTTCTACTTTTCCTCCATTTCTTTCTCCACCTTCGTGGCATAGTTTTCCATGGTAGAGTCGTATGCAGGGTAGAAATGATGAAGGAAACTGCACGAAACAATCATTAGGGTTAGGGATCCAAATGACAGCAGCAGAAGGAAGTAGAAATAACGAATATACGACTCACCTTCTTGTGGCTTGTGGGACCAAACTAATTTGAAAGACGTCCAATGGGAAGATCTTGATCAGAGCTGGCAACAGCTCCTTAGAAGATATTTGGACGATTGCGTCAACATCTGGTACCCCCATATTGGTTGCAAAGAATCGATCGTTCAGGTACCGCAGTGGTTCTGGCATTAATATGTGCTGGACTCCGACACTGTGATATTGCTGGTTAGCCCCCTTCCATGATTCCCTAAACTCTGGCCAGCCTTCCCATGCTGTGAACAAGGCTCGAGCGATGGGCCGTAGACTGCGCACAGGACCCGAAGAGTACAGTGTGATCTCATCTGGGCCCAAGTCGTCGACCAATGGGTACAGGGGGTCGTGGGGTGTAAACAACCGAACGATTGGGTCGTAAGGTTGAACATAGCCGTAAACAATGTCTGTTGGAAGGTCAAAAGAAGCTAATATTGGGCAAGCGTTGTCATTGCCCTGTGCATGGGGATTCGATAATCTTGCAATCGGTGGACTACCAAAGGAAAATACACGCAATATTCGGTCCTTCGCGAAGTCCACTGCATAGAAGATAAGACAGTATTGTAGTGAGCACTAGTCACAAACACTGATTGAAAATCATCGTCGTACTTACCTCCTTTGTCCATCGTAATTAGGAATAATAGTAGCACTGACAGCGAACCACCTATTGAATGTCCATTTAATACGATCTTGTGGTTTGGAGATGCCCAATCAATGTACTTCTTGACTTCATGATAAATCTCCGATGCAAGTCCTAACAAACCAGAGTGAAACAACACTTCTGGCACAGCATCGTCGATTTGTGTCCCTTTTGCCCGAAGAATATTATTCAGCAGCCGTTCTCGATCGACGGAGTCATCCGACGCATCAAATCCACGAAGTGTAATAGATCGTACAAAGACAACATCGTCGCTGGCTTCGCCCGATGTGGCCGCAAGTGGGTCTTTGAACATGGATGAAGGTTGGATCGAGTCAGTAACAATCCACGCGACATCCGCAGTTGTTCCATTTGCAACCAACGAATGCCCAACTTTGAGGACACGTTTAATCGTATCCTCGTAGATTGCTCCCGATAAGATACCCATCACACCACCAGTGGCTACAACGCTTTCGTATTGAAACTGTTCAATTCTGCCAGCAGTATCAAAATCGGCAAAAAGAGGTAGGTCTCCCGTCTCCAAGTTTGCCGTGTTGTATGGCTTTCCTGCCACTCCTGTACTACATCCGTAGGCATAACCGGATGCAAAGACCCGATTGGCGACATTGACAATCTTGGAAACCCCTTTGGTTGCATCTTTGGCACGGTCAGTAGCATATTCGACATCCAAACCTTGTGTCTTGGCCGTTTTTCGAGCAACTGAAACAATTTCATTGGCAAGTTGTTCCACGCTGGTGGTTCCATTCGCAAAGACTTTGACTGCACGCAGTACTAGATCATTGGCTACATTCGGCGCAAGCCCCTTTGAGGCTTCATTCAATATCATTTCCAGCCTGGATGTAGCCACCCGGAGCATGGCTTCTGCTGTAAGGCCAATGCGTGCGGATCGGGTGTCGGAGAGTATAGACCCCCCTTCTATCGTAGGAGTCTTGGCAAGTACCTCATCGACAGTGGAGCTTTCAAATAAGGAGGTCAATGATTGAATCGGATCTGCCCATTTGTCACGCTGCAACAGGTCTCCCACACGAATGGCATTGCTGGAGGAAATATTCAATGAACCTTCAATTCCAGCAGTGGCTTTGGAAGCCTTAAAGAGCTGGTCGGCGACGGAAATGACGGAGGAGAAATACTGCTCTGTCTCGTTCAATTTCACACCATCAGCTAGATCCAGAATAACTTCCAGCTTGACCAGGTTGCTCAGCGGATTGCTATCGCCGGAGAGTCGCCTGGGATATGTATTCCCTTTCTGCTGTTGTGCCTTCTTTTCGAGCGCAGTTTTCTTCCCTTCTGCTGAAGTCTCGGCAGATGAAGGATATAATGGCCATTGACCTAAACTTTGAAAAAATGCTGATATGTCACTGTCCTTCTGCTCTTGTTCCGCTCCTTTTCGTTCCACGTCCTCAGTTGTGACACGACTCTTCGTAGACCCATCAGGCCCTTCAAAGTTCATTGGAAACAACCATGACCTCGTGTTATCTCTGTATTTGCTTCTATCGAGTGCATTGCGAAATGACAATGGCTGAAAGCATAGTGTGACTGACAGCTCAAACGCAAGAATCAAAGACAACAGAAGTTTCATCTTCTGCAAATTCGAAAAGTGCCAGAAAGATGATGTGTCTCTCCATCATGCACTTCACCGGACCTCTTCAAATTTCTGTTTGTGTGTCCTTCGTCCGAATAGGATCTGACTCAGGCCTTTTATCACCAAAAAATGAAAGCATCGCACACAAATTGTTGAAACACAGACCAGCTCATGAACCGTCTTGTCTTGGTGATATTATTCTTCTGTTCAATAATGGAGCGGGTTGTTTCTTTAACTCTAAAGCAAGAGAAACCAAAGATTGCGATCATTGGCGCTGGAGCAGCGGGATTATGTACAGCTCGAGTACTTTCCAGAGACCTTGGAGTGGACCCCACCGTGTTTGAGGCCAAGTCGCATGGAGGCGGTGTGTGGAAGTACGAAGAGAGTAGTAGCGAGAAGCATCCAATGTACCGCGGTCTGAGAACTAATTTACCGAAAGAAGTCATGGCTTTCAGAGAAAAACCTTGGACAGGAGTCAAAAACAGTTTTGTCACGCACAAAGATGTCGCTCAATACTTGGCAGACTACGAAAAGGATTTTGACTTGAAGAAGAGTATCAAGTATTCTTCGCCAGTTCATCAATTGACAATTCTCGATGAAAAGGATGCTGGATCTTCGTCTTTTTCACCAGAAACAGAATCCTGGCCCAAAATTCGACTGGATTACGGCGAAAGCGGGGACGACCAGTCGGACGTATATGACGCTGTGTTTGTTTGCAACGGCCATTATGCGATGCCATCATCACCTGCCGTTCCTGGATTGAAGGAATATTTCGATGGCGAAGTTATGCATTCTGTATCTTACGACGATCCATCCAAATTTGAAGGAAAGACTGTCCTGTGCGTTGGAGGCCGAGCCAGCGGATCGGATCTTGCTCGAGAAATCTCGTTCCACGCAAACCATGTCTACCTTTCCGACACAACGTGCACCTTGAATGAAGACTCTACACCGCAATCACAAGGAGAAGTCACGTGGGTACCAAAGACCATGGAAGTATTAGAGGATGGATCAGTAAAATTTGACATGGGTTGTGCTGTCACTCCCAAGGTAGACGTCATTATATTCTGCTCCGGCTACGACTACAAGTTTCCCTTCATCAACAAGGAATCTAATCTGAATTTTCAATGTGTTCCTGGGGAACGTCGAGTGATGCGTATGTACAGCACAATCAACAACAATTCATTGTGACACTTGTCTATCCAAATCTCAATTCCAGTTTCCTCTTCTTCTCTATATCACTACTCTCTACTTTCAGCACTTTACAAGCAATTTTGGCATGCACAGTTTCCAAATCTATGCTTTGTTGGAATCCCTCACTCTGTTGTCCCCTTTCCATTCTTTGAAATACAAGCTGAATCTGCTGCAGCCCAGTTCAAGAGCTTATCACTTCCAGATCCAGCTGCCCGAGCGGAGGAAGCAGCTTCTGATAGTACCTCAGGGGGTGCCAAGGGAGGCCGCATTCAAGATGCCCACTTCCTTGGCTCTGCTCAGTGGGACTATTGCCGGATGATGGCAAAGATTGGTGGTATCTACAATGATGAAATTGAAGGTTATATTGCCACCAACAAGGTAAGTCAGCTAATGCGAATGGCGTGGAATTGTTTGAAATCATTGCTTACCTGAAAACTGTTTCTGCTTCCTGATGTAGGCCATTTACGATCATAATGGAAAAGCTCGAAAAGCACTCTTTCCAGGAGGCCCTGACTCGTATCGAGAAATCAAGTACAATCGACAAGGCAATGAATGGAGTATTCTTCAGGAACAAGTGTCGACCGTGTAGTCTAGACTAGCTAATGCAATGTTGCAATTACTGGTACTCCAGTATCTCCAATCTCCACTTGCTTCTCTAGAACTTCAGTCAGAGGAGTCAAGTCATAGATCATGACGTCCGCCTGCGATGCGAACCGACCTCCACACGAAACATACATCAAAATCATCGTTCCATGCTAAGAGACGACTGATTCACTACTCCCATGCCTCGCGCCAGTTCCACTTCCATTCGAGCCCTACATGGTGCTACTCTAGCAATGCTGCAGCAAAAGACTGGCTTCATTAACTTGCTCAAGAATCGCTTTGGTGCTGGCCAATCGAAGCAATTGTATCAACAAGTCTGTCCGATTGTGGGCGCTTCGATAGGCCAACATATTCGACACAGTATGGATCACATGGAATTAGCCATCCGAATGGCAGGAGAATATCCGAATATCAACAACGATGAGTTTCATTACGATTTGAGAACTCGAGGAGGGAATGATGAGAATGATATTGACGCCGCGTTCCATCGGATTGATTCCTTGTCGGATTTCTTGTTGGAGGAAAAAGAAAACGAGGGATCAGCTTTGGTGGAAAGCCGACCAGTCGACGCCTTTTTTATGTTGACAGGGGACCCAACGGAATTCAAAGTTTCTACTACCACGGAACGAGAACTCGCCTTTTCGGTGCACCATGCGATCCATCACATGGCCATGGTCAAGATAATTGCCGTACAGTCATTGGAGATTGGCAATGATGATTTGCCGCCGGACTTTGGTAGAGCACCAAGTACAGTTGCGCACGACAAGGGCATGATTTAAAATGTATGCAGTAGTATAGTAGGACTACAAAAATAACAAAATTGTCGAAATTCTGAGATGGATGAAACACAATATTGAGTGGGGTACAAGAAAAATCTGTTACCCTGCTCCAAGCACCTGTAGCAATGTCAAAGCGTTCGTATTTATATATATACTGATGATAGTAGAGATTTCGAAATAGTAGTGGCAGCACAAGCATTGTTCATTCAGAACAGGAGTATCCGGGACTCCCATTCCCATTCAGTCCCGGTAGAGTTAGTCGGATGCGTCGTACCTCAGGTGCAAAACCTTCTCAAAACTCTGGACCTTGAAATAAAAGCATTGAAAGCATTTTTCTTGGCTTCTGTCACTCTCATTTCTTTTGTGGTTTCAAAGCAAGAAGTCAAGATTGATACAAAAAAATGTTTTCATCAGCCAAGAAGAAGAGTTACTCCTCTGTTCCATCTGAAGAAGATATCCAAGAAGACGATGATGATGCCAGCGTCCAAGATGACTTGGAACACTCCAGAGGTGAAACGTCGTCTCCCTCCAGACGACGTCCAATCCGTCGGAGAGGACCGAGGATTCACAGAGAAGCTTCTACTTGTGAGTGCTATACAATCTTTATTCTAACATTGGTCGGAATTGCTGCTGTGATGGCCATTCTCTTCTTTGTCAGCCAAACACCATGGGGGAGTCGTGTCATTCCGACAACCAAAAACACTGGCCAAAGTAATCTTTCGGTGTTTCCACCAGGCAAGGACTTGGACGACTCTACCATGGAGCAAGTGAAAGAACAAGCCAGCTCATTGAACAGCAAAAAGAAGCAAACGGTTCACTACGATCCTGCAGCATCCCTGCAGTCTGTCAATCCATTCGACTTTGCCAAGACCGATGGCACCGTTTTTACACCACCTTTGTTATTGCGGCAAGACGATGCTGCTTTTTCATCAGAAGAAACAATTGGATACCTGACACACCCTCATGTTGTCAACAATAACATTGTCTTTTGCAGCGAAGGAGATGCCTTTGTCACCACCATTGGCAAAACTAGCGAGTCGTTGGCATCAGCAGTCAAATTGACCAAGACTATCGGAAATGTCTTGGATCCCAAACTTCATTCTTCCCTTCGGTACCTTGCTTATACAGCTACCTACACTGGCCATCGCGAACTATACTTGATGGATTTGGTTCGCCCCCAGAGTGCGGCCATTCGATTGACCTATTGGGAGACGGGTGTTCATGGTTTGGTCGGATGGTGGGGCAATTCCTTGGTATTTCGGGCCATGTCTAATGAGGTCTCGTTGCCCGATTATAGACTCTATGTTTTGCATCTCAGTAATTTGGAGGAGGGGGAAGAAAGACGACTGGAGAATAATGTCACGGACAGCAGCACCAGTACTGCCCATGAACAAATCCCAGATAGTGACGGGGTGTCGGTCTTGCAGATTGATCCTGTTCCCTTGAGTCAAGCCATTGATGCCAGTCGCTATGACTCTTGTTGGTATTTTGTGCGCTTTTCACAGTCGTCCAAAACTATGCGATACGTAAGTTTGATGTTATTATGTGTCTCTGTCTGTGAAAGTTGCTTACAGCTGAGAATGAATTTCATTTTCAGGTTGGTGGGACCGCAGAATCCTTGTGGAAGTATTGCGATGGCGAAAGAAAAGCAGCTGCATTGACTAGTGACTTCAAGGGGACTTCAAAGAGTCCTCAAGTTTACAATGACAACTACCTGTTCTTCGTATCCGACCGTGCCTTGATTGAGGACAAATGGCAAACCGATCGGATGAATATCTGGGCCATGCCACTCCACGGCGACACATCTCAATTGATCCAGATTACGGATACCGCTTGCGACTTTGAGGGCCGCACTATTCGTGAATATTCGGTCGATGCCCAAACTGGAAATCTGGTGATTCGCATTGGTGCGGATTTGTACTTGATGGAGAAGGCAGACGTCGACAAAAAGCTGACCGCACGACGCATGGTTTCAAATCGACGACTGAACGAAAACAATACCACTGAACACACCGAGGACGGTGGGGAGAGTGATGAGGATGGCGCTCTTCCAGAGGGCTCAACGGGAACTGTAATAGTTGATGGTTCTTCAACATCGACCTTTAGTCCAGTTCCTACAGTGACCGAAGACGACCAAGGCGACGACACCATAAGTACTGAAAGTCCAAAAGCTGAGTCTGCTGAGACCGTACAGGCGAACATTACGATGGATACAGAATCCAACGCAACTGCTTTTGGAATCAACGCAACCAATGCTACAGAGAAAGAAATTCCCAAAGTCTACTATCAATTCGATTCACCTGAGCTCGAGTCACGAGAAGAGAAGACCTATCAAGATCATCATTCTGGAACCGATGAGCTGAAACGCCTGAAGGTTGTGTTGCACTCGGATTTTTCCAGTCATCAAGAGAGACTTCTTCCAGTCAACATGAATCGGCACAAGACGTCAATGGATGTCTATAAAACCCCCGTTGGAACTACTCAAGCCATCATGACACTTCGAGGTCAGCTTTGGGTGGCTCCAGTAGTGGACGATGATGATGTTTCCGTATTTCGTGGAGGGGGAATGAACTTGCCACCAAGACGATACAGGGTTGCTCCTGGTGCCATGATGGGTGGAGTCGTTCGGATTCTGGCAGTTCGGCATGTGCCGAATCCTGTTGAGGACGATCAATCAGATCGACGACTAGCCGCCATTCTCGCTACCGATCCTTTGACCGAGACTGCAGAGCACGCATTCTACCTTATCGAGACGCAAGCTGGTGTCACGCCAACTTTCTTGGATATGGAGCACCTACCAAAGCCTTTCCTAGGGGGGCATGTTGGAGGAGGAAGCACTCTCGATGGTGGTCTTGGTAGCGTGAAACCAGGAACTTTTGTTGTGAGTCCTTGTGGACGCAGGATGGCTTGGTCGGATACTGATGGCAGAATAATGGTTATGAATATGCCGCAGTATCAAGATCTAGAAGATGGAGACGAACCAAAATATCAACAGCTTCCAAAGGAGAATGAATTGGGCGAAGCGATGGTTGGCGACGAGGTAGAATTGTGCTTCAGTCCTGGAGGACGATATTTGGCTGTGGGGCATAATGCTCGGAATCAGTTTACTGTAATCAGTATCGTGGACCTAGGAGATCCAGTTGGCGACGAGGAAGTTTCCGATATTGAAGTGGGACGAATCGTGCAAGCTACTCCATCGCGATTCAACTCGATTTCACCGTACTGGGGAAAGAGCGGTAAAGCTGCAAACGATGCACTACGTGATACTACATTATCTGCGATGCTTGGATCTCCGGCGCCCGAGGACGTTGCAGATGTTCTCTTCTTTCTTTCTGATCGGGATATTCAAACCGATGTGACTTCTCCTTGGGGAACTAGACAGCCAATGCCACACTTTCAGTCGAGTTTTGGTGTATTTGCACTTCCTATGGCTGCAGTCAATGCCACAGGTGGTGAAGGTCATTTCACAGGTGGTGGTGTATCCGAGCTGTCTATTCAAGCGGAGCTGGAAAGACAAGGTTTGATTGAATCCTTGCTCACCGTTGCGAAAGGAAGAAAGCTTGGTGAGCAAGAGACCGCTCTCTCGGGTGTGTTTGGCATCGCAGGGGCCTCGTTCGACGAGAAGAAACGAAGATACCGACTTCTTCAAGAAGCAATGGAGAGCGCTACAGGAGATTCCGGCTCCAACGCTACCAATACGACCTTGCGACCTGCTGAATTTCCAAGCGATATGGACATCAACTTTGGCTCTCCCGGTTTGTCCTTCGCGAGACAGGCGTATCGAATCGCCAACATACCGGAAGGAAATTACGCTGATATTGTGTGTCAAACTGCTGATACAGGTGCGCTAGTTTTGATCGAAGAAGTGGACGGACAATCGATCTTGACAATGATGACGTCAAGTCCGTTCCCATCGGACAATTTTGAAGCGGTTCAGTTGACTCCAAAAGGATGGAAACTTGACAGCGTTGGATTGAGTACCAGTCGCGATCATTTGTACCTTGGTTTTGCTCCAATTGGAGAAATCGTGGTAGTACCAGCGACTACTGCAGGAGTCACAGGCGTTATAACAGACACTGATCTGGAACAGAATAAGGTGGGTGCCGATGGCATCTTTCTCAGTGTTTGGCCTGCACTCGAATATCGGCAACTTTACGACGATGCTTGGAGAATGCTGAGAGACTACTTTTATGACCCCGAGATGGCTGGCATTGATTGGCCTTCGATCCACGAACGATATCTTCCATTGGTTGCACGGTGCGGAAAACGTGAAGAGCTTGATGATGTTCTTATTCAAATGGCATCTGAACTGAGTGCTCTTCATGTCTTTGTCTATGGTGGCGAGTATGAACAGCCGCAGTTTTTGGATCGGAAACTTCAGTCTGCTAGTGTGATTGGAAGCTTTGGGGCACTATTGAAGCGCACTCCAGAGTGGAATGGTTACAAAGTATTGTCGATTCCTGAGCATGATCCTGATTTCAACATTGTAGACGGATCGGAAGCAATATTCAGCCCGCTTCATGAGCTGACACTGCGATTGAGTGGACAACAAGGCCTTCAAGTTGGCGACATCATCGTCGGTGTTAACGGAGAGAGTGCAATGAAGGTTCCAGATATCCATATGCTGTTACGTGGAATGCAAGGGCGAAGCGTCCGTTTGGATGTGTTAAGATTGTCGTCTGGCGAAGCTTTGGTGGATGGATCAGATGGCACCGCAGCTGAGACCACACCTTTGATCACAGTCCCTCTTGCTCCATATCAAGCTGGTGCGCTACGGTACTCTGCGTGGGAGTGGAAAACAAGGCAACTCGCAAACACGTTGGCTGAGGAAGCTGGATTTTCTGTTGGATACGTCCACTTGCGTGATATGGTTGGTCCTGAAGCTGAGAATGCTTTTGCTCGAGGCTTCTTCCCCAACTACGATAAGGAGGCCTTCATCCTCGACGTTAGACACAATAATGGTGGGAATATTGATTCTTGGATCTTGGATATTCTTCAGAAACAAGCATGGATGTATTGGCAGAGCAGGTATGCGTCTATTCTTGATATAGTCTGCTTTCTTCTTCTCTTTTTCTTTTCTAACTTTTACCTTTCATTCATTCCGACAGAGATTTCGATGTCACAAATGGAGGATTGGGTTGGGACCAACAGTTTGCATTCCGTGGTCACATTGTTGTCTTGATTGACGAGAAGACTGCTTCCGATGGAGAAGGCGTCTCCAGAGGAATCTCAGAGCTAGGACTTGGTCGTTTGGTCGGTACCAGAACTTGGGGAGGTGGTATCTGGCTCTCATCAGACAATCATATGGTTGATGGTGGCATTGCAACGGTACGACACTTTTCAAATATCTTGGAAAAGGCCCAAGAATACCAGAGGAGCACTTCTAACATCTGTACACATATTTCCCCTTGACACAGGCACCTGAAATAGGCACCTACAATGATAAATTTGGATGGGGGATGGGAATAGAACAAATGGGAGTTGAACCAGATGTTGTTGTCGACAATGACCCCCATCAATCCTACAATGGAAAGGACTCGCAACTCGAGCGTGCCATTTCGGAGCTGAAGGACTGGCTCGAAAAGGAACCCGTGGTAGTACCGCAGCCACCAAAGAAGAAGAAGGACATGACCATGGGTGATCGGGAATGTTCAGCGAAGCGAAAGAGTAGTTAATTTGAGAGACCAAGAATGTATATTATTATAGTGCCTGATATAACTTCTAATTTACAACTCGTTTAGTAGCACACTGCAAAAAGTTTCCAGTGTCCCGGGTATTGACATCGATCACAGTACATTAATTTAATGTACTGTACCGGTAGGGAATGAGATTATGAATATTTTTGCACACATGTTCAGAGAGGATTGATCCTCTTGATATGTTCAACTTCTGGTGATTTGGATAACAACAGTGATGGGCTTTTTAGCCTTTCTGAATTGTCATGAAAGCTATCACTCGAAACGGACCAGCTGTTGTTCCATGGATCCGTGATTTCGGTACAGATGGATCGTTCCGCCGTTTTGGATTCCAACTCGAATCTGCTGCTGTTGTCCTCATCAAATAGATGGAGCGAGTCATCAATTTCTCCGGAAAACTCGCCCAAGGCACTATGGATCGACTGTCGCACAGATCCTCTGCGCTTGGACGATTGCTGTTCCCAGAAGGAACCCTTCTTTCTATCCACTGCCCGGCGTATACTGCCGTCCGCAACCACCATTAGCTTGGAGAACCTGCTGTGGCTAGTTGTTCGTTTTGGGCTTAGACTTCTTGCAAGGCCTCGGCCCAGGCCTTGGTGGTTCATTGATACAAGTACTTCCTCGGGTAAGGTTTCCATTGTAACAGTAGTTTTGGCCTTTGGTGATCTTGTGGACTGTGGTTTCTTCTCTGTAACCTTTTCTTTACGAGGACTCTTTTGATCCTTTGTTTTTGTCTTCTTTTTCTTTTTGACCTTCTTGGAAGGACCTTCAGCAGTTTCCGCTAGTTGTGATTCTGACTGCGGACGTCGAGTAATATGGTCCCTGTTGTCATCCGTTAAATCACAGCCCGTGATGGAATCATCATGGTTCAAGGATGGAGAAAGACACGAAAAGGAAGCGCTTTGTAGTTTATCGCATCGAAAGGAGGATGAACTGAACTCTGTAGAGCTCTCTTGATTTGTTGCAGAGTTCAAAGTGCTGACCGAATCATCAACGGATGCACTGCTCTTTCTGTCTTTCTTGCTCTTTTTCTTCTTCTTCTCACTCTTTGGTGTTGATGCCGACGATGAGCCTTTTTTCTTCTTTTTGCTCTTGACCGAGCTACTGCTTGATTTTCTTGATCTGTCGCTGCTGATACTCCCATTGGACGACCTTCGTTTGGACGACAACGTCTTGCTGCTTCTTCTCTTCTTCACAACTACCTTCTTGGCAAGGGGCGAAGAAGGAGGAGATATAGACACTTTAGCAAACTCCACCGGGGAGATATTCCAACTTTTGGAACAATAGAATTCATTCCATTCACATGGATAGGAGTCCCAGTCTTGCCATATTGGTAGATCGTCAATATCTCTCCCTACCCTTTCGGATGGAAAGGGTCCCATGCTCGCCATCTTGCCTTAGAATCGCTTGCTAGTAGAATAGTGGAAGGCGGCGATGTGGCTGCAGTATCCCACGGGAAACGAAATATGAAAAGCTGAGTCACTTTCATGTTCACTTTGCACTCATCTCTCCGTTTTCAGCCTTTCCGAAGGAGATCGTGACTCGTGACCCCTAGGAATGAAGTGCAGCCATAAATGATCGCACTTGGAATGTGACGGACCATAACTCTTCGAAAACCAAGCGTCTGATTCGACGTATCAGACGACTTATAGGGCATGCGTGAGCCTGGTCGTAAAGCGAGCAAGCATGACCAAGGATACAGAAACGACTCAACGAAGCTTGTTCCTGGAGGACAAAGGCCTGTCTCTCCATTATTGTTTGGGTCGAAAAGTAATCACTCACACAAATATCACCCAAGTTCCAAAAGATTCCTGAGAATTGCACTTCAATAATTCCGCTCAAACAGTCACAACATGATTAACATTGGCATGCTGTCTGCTTCTGCTCGAACTGACGGTGTAGAGGGGGTTCATTGGACGGTACCACCTTCTTGCTGTACCTGGTACCTATTAGGAGAAGTTTGATTGAGAAGCTTGTGATCTGGCAAGTTCACGAGTTACTGTAGTCGTTGCTGGTACCTGGTACATCAGAAGTTTGTGTGACTCGGCAAGATCATGGAAGAAGAATGAGACGACTGGCTCACTCATGAAACCAATCCCTTCTGCGAGATTTTCAATGACTCAATGCTGTACGATGATGCTTCAATCATTGTCGTTGAACATTCATTCTCGGCGAGATTGCAGAAGTTGACCTCTCTGTGAGGGCATCCTTGTAGTAGACGACTGACTCTCTTGGCACCTTTCTACAGTAGCAGGGATACACACGTGCTCCGAAGTTTCTGACACTCCGATTGTCCTACCTATTCTTTGCAGTGTCTTCCACAATCTCCCATCTGATGAACGCCCAACCACACCAGAAACGACACCAAAAGATCTCGCCAAGCATTGTAGCATTGTAGTCACTATTTGCACACAGTTATGGCGCAAGAGCTGGGTATGGGTATAAACTCGACAATTCACCAGCGTGGCGGTGTGCCATCCTCCAATGCGCATTGTAGTGTGATCAATACTATCGGTGTGAAGTTCTATGTAATATATGAAATACTTTCTGTCAGCCTATTTAGCGACTCTGGAAGTTGAAGCATATTTCAATGATAAAAAAGTTTGCTTCCATTCTTCTCTCAGCTCAAGAGCAAAACGCACGTGAAGCATGCAGTAGATATCTAAAACAGTGCAGTGCAGCACTGTACCCTGCAGTATACCTTCAGGAATTTCTGTACAAATGCAGCAGAGTTTACAATGATCATAATGCGCTGCAGTGCTGGCTATTTCTGTACACATGCAGCAGAATTTACAATGATCATAATGCGCTCGCTGCAGTGCTGGCTATTTCTGCTCTCCGTTTTCGCTGTTTCTTTAAATTTATATTCGCCGTTATATTATTTTTTTCATGTTTGCTTTCTTTTTGCCTCTATCTACCTCTGCTGGCCTCCTCCTCCATCTTTGTTGTTGTTATTACCGCCACTGTTGTTTCCTCCATTTCCTCCTCCTCCTCGATTTCCTTTACCGCCACGGCCGCCATTGTTTCGTTTGTTTTGGCGCCCGCCTCCACGGTTGTTATTATTGTTTTGGTTGTTGTTGCTATTGTTGTTGTTGCTGTTGTTGTTGGGTGATCCACTACGATACCCGCCACGTGCCTTTCTAGCCCGTTGTTCGGCTGTCTTTTGGTCCACCTCTAGAACCTTTCCATTCAATTGGATAGGTTCCTTTCCATGTTGTTCTACTGCCGCCATGACGGGTGCCACAGAGTCGTAGTCGACAAAGGCCAGCCCGCGATGACTCGAAATAGTAGAGCTCACAATCTTGGCATTGGTTTGAACTGCAAATTGTTCAAAAATTGCGAGCAATTCTGCCTCTTTGGTACCATCAGGCAAATTCTTGATGACCAAGGTGTTATCAGGATCTCTCTTTGGTTTATCCTTGTTGCTATTCTTTCCATTCTCCTTGGTGCTGGCTGCATCCGTCTTTTCTACCGTTTCGGTTGGAGCATTGGACTTCGCTGGAGTTTCCGTCTTTTCTGAAACTGGTGCCTTCGCAGGAGTCGATGATGCTTGCTGGGCAGGCGTAGCCGTTGGGCCACTTCCCGAAGCAACCAAACTAGCCCAAGATCCAGGTGTTGGCTTCGAAGCAGGTTGTTGTTTCGCAGCGTTTTGTGGGGACTTTCCTCGTCCACGTTGTCTCTTTCCTTTTTCCTTCTTCTTTGGTTCTGCCGCGCTGGTCTCCTTGGGTTGTTCCTTGGCCTCCTTGGGTTTATCCTCAACAGGGGCTGGTTCTTTCTCAACCTTTGGTTCCTCCTTCGGAACTTCGACAACTTCAGCTGGGACATCCTCCTTCTTTTCCTCCTTGGCAGGTTCCTCTTCCACTACAGCTGGTACCTCCACAGGTGCAGCCTCCTCCTTTGCTACTAGTTCTGGTGTCACAGCAGCTGCAGCTGCAGCAGCAACAGCAGCTAGCTCTGGAGTAGGATCAGCAGGAGCAGCATCCACGACCGATGGCACATCCGATTTCAAGAATCTAAGAATGTCGTTTTTGACATAATAAGTCTTTTGCTTATTGGGCAAAGAAACCAATGCTAGGAAGAAAGTGTGCACAAATCCCTTTCGCTCTTCCTTTCCATCACCAGCCTTAACAAGAACGTGACCGGTCACTACCAACAAAATGCTTCCATCCGCTGATGGCTGGGCATCAATGGCTCCATTATCAAAATCAAATCGCTGAGCCTCTCCCCATCGGACATTCAGGTCATACTTTTCAAAGTCCACAGCACTGGTGGGAGTGCTTCCCTCACCGTGACTTAGAACGGAAGAAGGCTTGTAAAACTTGAAGATTTGAGCGGGAGTGGTCGACAAGACTTGATAATACGTTTTGACAAAGCGAATGCCAATCATTTGGGGTGTTGGTCCAGCACCACTGCCCACGGAGCCATCTGTGGCAACGGGTGTCGCAGGCTGCATATCTGTCTGTTTGTACTTATGTTTTAGCTAACAACAAAATTATGAAGCACTACAGCAAAAAGACAAACCAAAGCACCTTCAAGGGGTCGTCTCAGTGAAGGATGATGCTTCGATGATTCTCACAAAAAAGGATAGGAGAATGCGCCTTTTTGTTTCAACCAACCAACCAGGATTTCCTTCCACAACAAAAATAAGACTTGCTGTTTGCTGAAAAACAGAAAGAGATCCTACTTTTGTGCTTTGATTTCTTTTTAAGTTCTTGTGTCGTCGTTTGCCAAATCACCTTGCTTTTTCGGGCAACCAACAAACACACAGCGCTTATCACACACACAAGTGATAGTTGACGATATCGGACAGGCGGCTTCTCAAAGCTTTTCTCAGCCAAAGAGGATGACTCGTATGTTTCCTACCGGTACGACGATGGAAACCTTTTGAATTTTTTTTTCGTCTAGGTCATTTCTGGTACATTTTCAACCGTACAATCAATGACAACCGCAAACACTCCCTATTCGCACACCTCATTCGCGCGATAGCTGAGAGGGGATGGTGAAGGTGTAACGACTACCTGGTACCTGGTTACCTGGTAGGCTACTCTCTTTTATGATTTTGAAATTGGTTTGTTTCTGATTGTACTATTTGTTTCATTGTTAGTTGCTATCTACACTATGTTACCTGCCTGCTCGTCAATAACTTTTTGATGATTGATTCGAATGAGGCCTTGTTGCGGCAGCAACCTTCTGTTGCTAGTATATCACCATATTTATTTGTCAGTGCTAAAAGTGAACATTTTCCCCATATTCTTCATTGAAGACTTAAACTTGTCGGCGGCCTCTTTTGCTTCGTGTTTGGCATTATCCAAGGCTACAGTGGTCTTGGATTCCCTCTTTGTGCTGGGCTTGCTCTGGCTTTTCCTCCTACTGCTGTCATGATCATGATCCTTTTCAAACAACTTCCTAGCCGAGGAGTCCATCTTGTTATTTAGAGCAGCAGTACTACTAGTTTCGTGGCCATCCTTTTTGAACATGTCAAACAAATCAAACTTCTCCCCGCTTGATTTGCGTTTCTCATGTGACGACGACGACGACGACTTTCCAAACATGACCTTGAAATCATGCACAAAGGCTGGTTCCAAAACGTCGCTCTTCTTGTTCTGTTGTTCTCGCTTCACTGACTGCTGCCGTTTCTCGTAGTCTTTTTTCTTGCGAACGTCCACAACATCGTCATGCTCTCCCAAATCCAAAATTTTGGATCGGTCCACCTTGTGCAAAGGATCGTGATCTTTGCTGCCAATGCTGCTAGTATTATTATTCCAAAAGTTCGCCGGTGAATTGCTGCTCGGTCGCATGGATGCCTTCCAAATATCAGCAGTCGAGACTGATTTTCCTCCTTCGATGACTTTGCGGCTTGGTTCGTTGTTGTTGCTGCTGTTGCTGCCATAATGATTAGTTGGTTTTGTCATTTTGACCGGCGAGGTGGTGCTCGATCTGGTCCTCCTACTATCATCTTTGATTTGATTTGCTGCTCCTTTTCCATTTGCTGTAGTGGTGCTGTCTTGTACATATAGAGACTCTTCTACTTCGTCGTCATCCCCAAAATCACTATGGGGCCAAGTCAAGTTTCGTTCTCGATGAATCCGGACCGTTGGTGGCTCGCTGGTCACCATGGATCGATTCGATGCCATACTGTAGACACTCTCCGTGTCAAAACCTTCAAAATCGCTGCTAAAATTGGAATCGCATCTTTCCCTCAGATTTTGCTCGTGTTGCAAGAGTCTCCCAATTGTATCTTCCTCTTGTTGTTGAGCATTGCTGACAGTGTGGAGATGTTCGACCAGTCTCCGATTGACTGACTTTTCAGCCCGGTTCTTATTCCTTAATTTTTGCTTTTGAGCTACTAGTTTTGCCAAAGCCTCTTCCATTCGAGCAATCTTGTTTTGGGATTCCATATCTTGGGCTTGCAATCGTAAGATCTCTTGCGTTTGACTGTCATTTTCTTCGTTCAGGTTGAGAATGATGGAATGAGATCGATGGAGTGATTGACATATTTGCATAAGACTGCGGTCCTGGATTGTTGTGGTATCAATAGAGTTTTCCATCAAACGTTGTTGGTATTCTCTGCTTTCCATAGAGGCAATCTGTTGAAGTGTGTCAATCTGCGACCGAAGCGAAGCATCGATTGTGCTCCCAGCGACTGGTGTGTTTATCCTTTCCGTTTCTGCCGTTCTCAATGGTGAAGCAGGACCAGCACTAGAAGATTGAGCGTTCGTAACGTCCTCTTCCTCGTCATCTGATGGCAAGATTCCACCCAATCGAATGGAAACCGTGAGTTCCTCGTTGTCGCAATTCGCTGAATCAGAGATTCTGGTGGTGTTGGTGGCAGCGTGGTGATCACTTTGCGATATTTGGAGCTGTGGAGTGCAAATTTCTGTCAAAACTGTAGTCGGCGATGCAGTCAAGGATGGTGCAGCCATTGGATCCTCCATGCTATGGTTGCTTGCTTTTGTCAATGAATGACGAGACGTGTCAAAGCACAGAGGAGAAATGGGTGTGACTAACTATCGAAAGCAACGCTGTGCAATCAATATCTGAAACCTCGCTAATCGTGAGATGTTCACGTTGAAAAATCCGAAACCGAAGCCGTTTACCATGTGCCACGGGATTTATCGCGGATTTTACATAAGTAATTGACTTCTTCGCGGGTAAAATTGGACATTTACCGCGGTAAAAACCTGAAGGGAAAATCCTTTCTTTTGGTTTCTGTTCACTTGGGTCGACAGAAATTGGACTCATCCGATTGACACACAGATGAGCAGGTAGGGCTGCGCTCGGAAAGGCAACAAGGTCATCTCTCAACCTGCCGATCTTCAACGAGTATCCCAAAGTTCTTATCCTTTGGTGTCCATCAATAGAGAAGAGTCTTCAGGGCGCAAAACCAAGAAACGAGACAAGCTACTGCAATTCATCAGCATTATACTACAATGATCCGATCAGCTCGGATTCCTTCTGTCCTTTCTAGGATATGTGCAGACGATGTCATTCAAACTGCCCTTTTTGTAACCGGCGATGGTGAATTGTTGGGATCCACATCACCGACCTTTGTTGGGGCTGATGGAAAGACTGAGTCAGTAGAGCACTTGGGGACTCTTATTGCCGATATTGCTGTCGACTACCAACGATTGGGAGATGAATATGCCAGGTTGGGGAGTGCTGCCAACGCTGACAGTGACGCTCCGACCAAAAAGTCGCATTTGCAATGCCTATTGTTGGAACTGGATCAAGGATTGGTGGGTGTATCTAGCTGTATGGGATCGGGTGTCTTGATTATAGGAATTGCCACACCAGATGCTCCAATGGGTATGATCAAGGCTCGGTTGGAAACCATTACGGAACATGTGCAAGAGGCGATGTCACCACTGACAGAGACTTCATATCGATAGAAACGGCATGCTATGGGTTGGATTGTAATGGATATCATTGATTTTAGTGAAGGGATATGCATGCAAGGCTGATTCAGAAGTATTTACTGCTGCAATCTGCCACTTTTGTGCGACTTGGTTAACTGCCATGAACAACAATATCAGTAATCGTCAAGGTTGGATAGACTTAACGAAGCAAAGAAAGTTGAATAAGTAAACAAACGCTTATTTGAATTGCCACTCTATGGAATACTAGAGATTTTGAATTAGATTCACCATGCAAGTATCAAATCTAGCACAAACACAGTGTCGCACTCAACTACTTCACCCCCAAAGACATGCACTCACATAGAGTCCCAAAGTTGTTTCCTGGCGATGTTGCAATGCGTACTTTGCGCAATAGAAGTTCCTGGATTTCCAGAAAGATCGCCACAACCAATTTCTGTCGAACTCCTTTATCCGTGTTTTTAGAGTCAGCAATGCCCGTTCTTTCCAATCATACTGTACGCAACAGCATTTGTTTGTTTCCAACAAGGTGGTCCTACTAGAGTTCGATCGAGCTCCTTTACCTATATTTTCAGATTCGGCAGTGTCGTCGTCTCAATCGTTTCCAACAAGATAGCCACAACAGATTTCCATCGAACTAATTCATCTGTGTGTTCAGATTCAACTTACCAACAAGATCGACGCGACAGATTTCTGTCGAATTCTATTTGGGTCAATCGAAGGAAACAAGCTATACAAGTTCAGAGCCTTCTAGAGACATTCTCTAGTGTAAAAAGCCTCTTTTGGTGGAACAAGAAGAAGTCAACAAAGTCCAATTTGCATTCATTACATCAAACGCCTCTATCTTTTTTATCGTTATTCAAACGCGCAAAAAGAATAAACCAGCGGTGAAAGCAATTCGCATTCTTTTCTTCAACGTGTAGAAAGAATAATCCACGAGTGAAAACAATTATATCTTTCTTCGTGTCTGAAGATAAATTCACGAGCGGGTCGGCCAAGATCTTTTTCCCTTCCCACAATCTTCAGAACGAGAAGAATAAGAACACATTCCGTTCCATTCCATTCCAAGTTCTTATTCCCTTCAAAAAATCTCACAAAGATCCATCGGCCTCATAATTTTGCAAACGCAACAGTTTTACAACACACCTACAAACAAATCGATAAACAGCCATGAAGTTCTCTACTATTATCAGCGCATTCTTGACCCTTGCTGCAACAAACACCCCTACCACCAATGCCTTCCTTTCAAACTTTGGTATTCAAGGTCAATGGAAGGAAGATCCATTGAGGCAAACCCGTGTTGATACTTCAGAATTGATCGAAGAAGCCTTAGCTGCATCCAAAAAGTACGGAGCAAGCTCTCCAGAAGCTCGTTTGGCATGGGAAGTCGTCGAAGAGATCGATGCAAGCGACAACACCGCCCCCACACTCGGTGTTTCGTCCGATTACAAGGCACAAGTAGAAGGCCTAGTCACCCGTCTCAAGCAACAGCAGCCAGCCATTGCCGCTTTGAATAGTATGGCCGCCGATATCCAGGCCATCAAGCTTTCTGCACCCAAGAAAACTCCTGCTCAAGAGAATGTCCAACTTCAAGAAGCCATGGACAACGCCAAGCGACTAACTGATGCCTTTGGCGTTCACTCTTCCGAAGCCAAGGTCGCTTGGGAAACTGTGGAAGAAATCGCCTCTAGTGGGCGCATAGAAAACGCATTGGGTGGTATGCTAACACCAGAAGAGTGTCTGGTCGACGCAGCCAGCGAGGCCTGTGAAGCCTTGGAGGAACTCAACCGTATGTTGAACTTGCAAGTCCAACCAAAACTTGGAAATACCATGAGCCTTTAAATCAAGACTAACAGTGCGCCCTCAGCTGTAGCAGCGTGGCGTGTTTGTCGGTCAGTTTTGAAGGGATGAATCAATCGAAAAATTGCTTTAACATAGACAATCAATTTACTTTGACATTCACAAATAATAGTACACCGTATAGGATATCGGGAACCAAGAAGCCTGATAGACTTTTCAACGACTCCACTCCACGCAACTACATTTTGTAGCTCATACAATGCGGGTTCGGCCAAGCCTTCGCAAAACCAAACGCTCGAAGCGGCCACAATAGTTTCGTCAGATACCCATGGAGTAGAACCTCACTTTACCCGTCGGCTACAGCCGCATCTCTTCGACAAATCTGGGTCTCAATGACGAGTGAGTCAGACCGATGACCTGGACGCCTGAACTCACGATCCACTCAGCGTCTCATCATTCGCATTCTCGGGCGTGCCAGTACTTTTTATCGACGGTACTTTCGCACGGTACCGGTATGACCTATTAATACATCAAACGCCTCTTTATTTTTATTTTCTCAAACGTGGACAAAGAAGAAATTACGCGTGAAAACAATGTAATACATGAATACCTACCGGTATTCCTGTATCTGAGGATAAAGTGTATTGAAATATGCGCGGGTCGGCCAAGACCTTTTTTCTTCCGCCACAAACTTATTCTGATCGGAACGAGAACCAGAACGCATTCTCAAGTTCTCATTCCATTTTAAATGCTCATAAAATTGCAAACGCAACACTTTTACAGCTCATCAGATACAACTACAAACAAATTAAGAATCATGAAGTTTTCTACTATCATCAGCGCATTCTTGACCCTCGCTGCAACAGACACCCCTACCACCAATGCCTTCCTTTCAAACTTTGGTATTCAAGGTCAATGGAAGGAAGATCCGATGGGACCACGAAGACAAACCCGTGTTGATACTTCAGAATTGATCGAAGAAGCCTTAGCTGCATCCAAAAAGTACGGAGCAAGCTCTCCAGAAGCTCGTTTGGCATGGGAAGTCGTCGAAGAGATCGATGCAAGCGACAACACCGCCCCCACACTAGGTGTTTCATCCGATTATAAGGCACGGGTCGAAGGACTAGTCACCCGTCTCAAGCAACAGCAGCCAGCTATGGCCGCTTTGAATAGTATGGCCACAGACATCGAGGCCATCAAGCTTTCTGCACCCAAGAATACTCCTGCTCAAGAGAATGTCCAACTTCAAGAAGCCATGGACAACGCCAAGCGGCTAACTCAAGCCTTTGGCGTGCATTCATCGGAAGCCAAGGTTGCTTGGGAAACTGTGGAAGAAATCGCCTCTAGTGGGAGTATCGAAAACGCAATGGGTGGTATGCTAACACCAGAAGAGTGTCTGGTCGACGCAGCCAGCGAGGCCTGTGAAGCCTTGGAGGAACTTAACCGGGTGTTGCACTTGCAGGAACAACCAAACCTTGGAAATACCATGAGCCTTTAAAAAAACGAGACTGACAATCAATCTCGGGTTGAGGCAGAAACTGCTTCACCATAGGAAGAAACCAAATAGAAACAATTAGAATTTACTTCATAGTTGAACATCTTTTGTAAATTGAGGACAAAGTTTGTCGGTGAATGAATGAATCATTGAATCAATCAAATGACTGACTCGTGTCAATGAATCCCGCCTACCAGTCGACAAGGATGACCAATCCGATGACCACAGATCGAAGATGAGAGTCAGTCCTCAACATCTCCATTACAACAACACATTTGTAATTTGTAGATAATGCGGGCTCAAAAACAGCAACAGAAACAGATTTCCAATTCCCTGTCTAAACGGCGGGGCAAAGGGCCGAAGACGGCGGGAGAAAAATGCTGTCTGTTCTTGATCATGATCACTCCTATCATCCTTGTGCTTTCCTTCATCTATGTGGCCGGGATTTACAAAGAAATGACGCTAGATAGCAGCGAACCAGTGACTGCGGGACAGTTGGGACATGTCATAGCTGATAAACTAGAACATAGGCTAGAACAGCAAAAGAAACGGCTGGGAGGACCAACAGGAGGAGAAGAAAAGCAACTGCACATCAATGAGGTCAAGAGAGGAGACGATGACGAAGAGGCCAATAGCAATGTCAAGGAGTTCAGTGACATGCAAACCGCTAGGACTAGCGAGGATCAAAAGGATGAAACCAATGAAGAAGAAGACAACAACAAAAAGGAAGTTTTGGTACTGGCCACCTCTATCGGGGACATTCGCATTACTCTTCGTTCTGACTTGTCAAAGGGATCCGTCGATTATCTCATTAAGCTGGCTGAAGAGGGGTGCGAAAGATGCAAATTGTACCGTGCCGAGCCTCGTGGAATCTTACAAGGGATTATGGCCAACAAGGCCATTAAAACCAACACGGAAAAGGGCTCCTGTCCTCCTGATGTTCAAGATGTTGCCGTCGGAGATTGTCCCTCTTGGGACAAAAACTGTGGCTGCCATGGACCCATTATGACCCGGGGTAGTGTTGGATGGGCAGCTGGACAGGCTGGGGGACCTGACTTTTTCATTGACAACTACAAGCAACCAGCCAAATTTTGGGGAACTCAACATACCAACTTTGGTAAAATTGAAGACGACGCCAGCTTTGCTGTAATCGAACATATCTTCGATCTTCCTACGAAGAAGCAGGGTCTAACATTTTTGGTAGACGAGATTCATTTCCAGTTGCGATTGGAGTAATGTCTGGAAAGGAGACCGTTCTGAAGCAGCATCCCTTACGATTATGTTTCAGACTTGCCATGTAATGAAAAGAGCGCAACTTCCAGCTTGAAATTGAGGTTCATCCAGGGTCTTGGATTCTACCCATCGCAAAGCAGTAGCCAACGAATTCCCTCACAATATCACGCTCATCGGACGTCTGAATATGATTTGTGGGTTCTTGTGCTGAGGTTGTATTAGAGGGTGAAGAATCTCGTAAGTATGCGATGGAAGGACTAGCTGGGAAAGTACCGGTACACACCTAGTAGATCATAAAATTGAAAAGCTACCGGTCCTTCTATTCTACGCTACTCCTATTACATTTCTACCAGTCAATCTCATTGTTTCATCGAAGACATTAGAGGTCCAGAAATGATATGATCTCCTTTGAAGCCCTCTCTCCCGTCTCAATGGCCGCTTGTACTGTACTACAAGCATTGGTATTGGTAGCTTCTCCCGCAAAAAAGAGACGACCGTGAGGCGCAGCCATCGCCTCCAAGTGTTCGGGCGTGATTCCCACCTTGGGATACATGTATCCGCCTTGGGCAAAGGGGGCATCAGTTTTCCAGTCGAAAATCATGGCATCCAAAATGTTGGCGTTAAGATCTTGAGATGTCGTCCCGTTCAATGATAAGTGATACTTCAACATTTTGGCTAGTTGTTCCATGAGCATTTGCCCAGCAAGCGCATTTCGATCGCTTTCTTGGCCGTTTGCGTTCGCCCTTTCCAGCTTTTCATTGAGCAATGCCACAAACCGATCGGCAGCACTGCTCATCAGAAACCCAGTTGCCAAGCAATACGGTTGCTCCGCTGTAGCTGTATCTTGCAGATCACGGAACCACACTTCTGGAACGAGTTCTCCTGCCGCAATTATGGACTGCAATTTTACGGGCCAAAACCTGTCTTTCAGTTTGACAATGACTTTGACGGCTCGTTCAAAGCCGATTTTCTCCAGCGCCTCCATTTTGAAATCGGGCAAATCTTTGATAATTTCGGGAAGAATAGGTGGCGGCACTGTCACCACAACAGCATTGGCATGAAAGATGGAACCATTGGCAATCTGCAAGACTACAGTATTTTTGTCGTTCTGCTCAATGGATTGCACCTCGCAATCAAGAATCAATTCAAAAGCATCTTTGTATGAAGTTTCCAAGTGCTCCGAACAGGCTTTTGCAATTCCGTACAACCCCATGGTTGGAGGTGGACGAAAATCCCCTTCCTCCTCCTGCTCTTCCCAGTAGTGTTCAAAGTGTGATAGCTGCCGAACACTCAACTGTGATAAGTCGCAACAGCCAGCAGTATTACCAAAACTGGCGACAGTCAATTGCCAAAGAAAGTCTGGCATAGGGCTGGTGTTTTCAGAGAATTGAGCTCCGAGGGCATCGGCCAAGGAATCTTGCACTCCAAAGTGGGTTGGCGGGTGGTCGGAAAGAGCATTTAATTTTTCATTCATTTGATCCAGTCGGGAATCATTGTACATCACCAATTCATTGTCCAAGTAGTACATACCATAGTTTCCTTCCTCCGTCGGTTCCTCTGCTGGTCCTCCATCGGCGTGACTTAGCAAGAAGACGGACTCGAATTGTGACCGGACGAAGCGTTTGCGGTCTTCGACATTTTTCTCTGGACCAAAGTACTCAAAAATCCAGTCCCACAATGCGTGACCTTGACAGTGTATGAACTCGGCCCCCAAATCCAAAACGTGATTTTGTGAAAGGAATGACTTGTGGGCTTTGACACGGCCGCCAATATCACTTTCGGCTTCCAGAATAGTCACCTTGATATTATTCTTTGGTGACGAAGATAATAACTTCTTGGCGCACGCCAATCCGGCAAAGCCACCACCCACAATGATAACATGAATATGTGCATCATCGTGAGACTTGTGGAGGGGGTGTGTATCTGCACCCTCCAGAGAGGTTGTCGTTGTTGATGATGATTCCATGTCCCTGCCAATGATGTTGGTTTTGGTTTTGGTTTGAATTTTGATGGATGTCTTAGAGACGCGCTGTGTGGCGCGCGGCCAACGTCATTCTCATTTTTTTCTTTCTGACATCGTCAATAATCGTCACTATTAGCCCCGTCTATTGTGGTATTATTCTAAACGGCATCCAAAGTCATGACTCCAACACCCCTTCTTCTCCTTTCGACCATTGGAGTATTGGGTGCTTTCGTATGTGAAGCCTTTGTTCCATCGCCCCTTCCCCAGGGGTCGACAACTCAAGTGAATGGTTTTCTGGACAATTTGATGACCGCGACACAGTCGACGCCCAAGGTTTCTCTTCCTGCTGATTTTGTGGTACCCGAACCAAAACCACTGTCTATTTCGGAAAAGACGGATATTGTTGAATTTGCCAAGTCGTCGGCTGCGTTTGTTGCAAGACTTGGAACTGGAGCTTTCACACTTGGATGGAAAATTGATTCCATTTTCTTCAAAGACGACGACTCGTATAGTCTCAAGCTTGGCCCCTTTTCCATTCGCGATTCGAGTACTGTGCTTCAAGATGCTCCTCGTCCAAACGAAGCGTTGATCCTTTACGAGTATGATGCATCACCATACTGCAAACGTGTCCGAGAAATGATCAATCTGCTTGACTTGACCGTGGAATACCGACCCTGTCCAGGTGCCCGACAGGGCAAGTTTTCGCAAGAGTTGTCGGAACGTACTGGTCGACAGACAGTGCCCTACTTGATCGATCCCAACACTGGAGTTGAAATGTTTGAGAGTTCTGATCAGATCGAGTACCTCCTAAATACCTACGGTCCGTCTGAAGATTTGTTCGATCGCAAAGCGCTCTGGCCCATCACTTTTGAAGCCTTCTCAATCTTTACTTCCACAGTAGTAGCAATTCTCAAGGGCATTCCTGGTGGAAAAAGACAACCCAATGCTCGGCCGGATAATGAACAAATGAAGCCGATTGAGTTGTGGGGATATGAGTCGTCACCCTTCGTCCGTCCAGTCCGAGAAAAGTTGGGTGCCTTGTGCCTACCACATAAGATGGTAAGCTGCCCTCGTGGCTCTGCGAATCGTGACAAGATGGTTCAAAAGACCGGACGATTCCAAGTACCCTTCATCGTTGACCCTAATACCGGTATTGAGATGTTTGAAAGTGCTGAGATTGTTGACTATCTAGAAAAGGTGTACACGCAATCATAGTTTAAAAACGAAATTAATATAAGTACGTGAAAGATAGTCAAGGGTACTGACTACAGATATCTTGAAGTGTGCGCTGTTCATTCTCCGAGGCAAAGGACATAGACCCGTCCAAGCCGTTCAAGTTCTTCCAAGGACGCAAGTCCTTCTGGTGCTGATGCACCGTTCTGTCCGGACTTGCCTACCAGCATTGCTCGCGTTGTATCGACTAGCTTCACTGTCTCTCGCTTCAAGTACCTCTTTAGTGTGTTCAACAAGAACTGCAGCTCATTCGCCAATCTATCGGCTTGGCGAACTCGGAGCTTGGTCTTGCGCTGAACAATCTCTTCGCAAATTCCCTCGGCAACTGCTTCTGCAACTGTTGCCATCGCAATATGCTGGTATGCAGCACCCTCAGATCGGCGAACCTTGTCCCCAAGTGCCTGTTCTACTTGAGCGCGACAGCGGACAATGGCCAGGAGCGATGCTGAAAGGTACGGAGGAAAACCCATTGAAGGACTATCGTTTGCAGCTGCCTTGCTCTCCGATTTGACGTCCAACCAACCCATACGGCAACACGAGGTAACATTGAATCGCAAACTTCCCAAGAAATCATCAAACATGGCACCTTCCAATCCCATGATATCTTCCATCATGACTTCCTCTACAGTCTCTGCATTGTTTGTTAGGTTACCAACTTCGCGGACAACATCTGCCATCCGATTCAGTAACACATCCGCACATTCTGCTACCGCGCTGAGGCGAGCGGCGTCACCTCGATCCCGTACGTAACTTGCCAATCCGTCACAGCATTTTCGGATGACAAGTTCACAGCCCTTTTCGACTTCGCTAGCACATTGGTCAGGCCTAGTCAACTCTTCTGAGAGTGTCTTGAGGCAAGTCAAGAGAGCATCAGCATCGAATTTCCCGGAACCAGTTGCCCTGCTGGAACAACCTCTCGCACAGATATCAAACGCGTAAATACAGCGGCGTCGCTCAATTGTCATCACCGATTGGTCACCGAGAGTTTTGCACACATCCAAGGGGGAGACTTTCTGGGAAGCCCCAGCAGCATCTTCTGGACGCAATTCATTCACAATACCACTGCTATCACCAAGTACCTTGACCATGTCAGCCAATTCCTTGCCAACTCGCGAACTCTGAGAAGGGGGAAGTGGAGATTTCAGCAGGGCACGAAGCTTTTCGGGCGACCTCTTGCCAAATGTCATCTTGATTTCCATTCCAGAGCCACGAGGAGCAGAGCCCAAGCCACAGAAAGCCGCATGTTCTACAACTCTTGAAATCGAAGGTGCTACGTTTGTAATGAGAACTTCGAAGGGAGACAAAGTCGACGCGACCCCAGTGGCATTGCGCTTTGCTACTCTTGCGGCTCGTCGCTTCTCGTCTTCATGAGCTGCTCGGGCGACTTGCAACAATCTAGGCAGCCAAAGAGAAATTACTTCGACCGCCTTAATGGTTGCGATGCTTCTGGCTTCCAGAACATCATACTTCCACTGATTGTTGGATGTAGTCTTCTTTGGGGCTGGCTCCGGCTTATCCTCTTTCTTTTCGCCATCCAATTTTTGTGAAGAAAGCGATTCACCCTCGAAAATTCTGATTGTGGTGTTGTCCGCTTCTTCGATGGTGGTAGTGACCAAATGAGTAAAGTGGGCTGCTTGAAGAAGCATACAGGCCAAGGCAGGAGGATGGTCTCTGATATTGACCAATATACCACCAATTGAGAAGACACCGACGGACTTCATGTTCGGAACCTTGTAACGGGCATTGGCGACCTTGTCTGACTCCTTTGGATCATGCGGAATGTCTAGTTCCAACAATTCACCCAGATCTCTAATAGCATCGATGAGAGCTTGCACAGACGTTTTATCTTGTGCCAAACGACCTTCGAGCTCTCTGCGGGCTTCCCTAGCACACTCAGCGGCTTGGTCTTTCACGTGATTGAGCAATTCAATGTTGCAGTGCTCGTCGATCACCAAGACGCGACGATAAGCTTTCAAGGCCGACGAAAAACGCCCATTCTCAACATGTTGCCGCATTAGATATGGTGCTTGCAACATAGGGGCAACACGCTGAAGTACAGCAAGCGCAGACTGAACCTTTCGGACCTCATTGGCGTTATCCAATAGAGGCTTGAAAGATTTCTTGGCTTGGTGTGCACACGACTCGGCTAGTGCGTCCTGTCGATTTAGACGATCTACCAATCCAGGGCCTGCTTGCGAAAGTGTTGTTTCATTAAATGTATCGATACCATCCGCGCACCGAAGAAACAGAGCAAAATTTTCTCGCACCATACTCTGCAGTTGCACGTTCTGGTTGTGAATATCAGCTATCGAGATAACAGAATATGGTAAGTAAACCAACAACTTAATCCTTCACTTCAAAGCCAGATAACTTACTGCTTAATCGGTTCATGGATCCAAGGAGCTCGTCATATGATGCATTTCGATGCACCAATGTCAAGAACAGAATTGGATCAAACTGAGCCTCAGTTGGCAAAACGCTGTGTCCTGTTCCAGAAATACCTCCGCTGGTTCCGCCAACTCCAACGATTCCATCCAAGATAAATTCCAGGGACTCCTTTTTCGACCGCAGTACGTTGCTATCCTCTCCTCCTACATCACCCTTTCGAATTTCTTCTTGCAATTCCAACAAGCCTTGTTCAAGATGGTCGACCTGCTCTTTTTCTATTGTACGCAAATCGAAATCGGCACCCTGAAGCCCCAGCGGATCCTTTCTCAGAATCTTTGACTTCTCTTCTTCACGTTCAGCCATTTCTTGAGCCAATCTGAGATTATCAGTCACAGTGTCGTGGAACCCACCACCCTCTTGTTCCTGCATCTTTTGATGGGCTGCAATACGTGCTTGCTGCTCCTTGTACAGTTGAGAATCTTCCCAGCGCAACGCTGGTCCTCTCCTCTTTGACATATCTCCAGAATGCACCGCATCCATGACAGCCTTCTTGTCAGCCTTCCGCTTCCTTTTCATTTCAGCAAAGGCGCCGTCATCGTCTTCATCAAAGTCAGATTCCTCACCATCAGATTCGACGTATTCATTCTCCAACTCATCGTCCACATCTGCCAAAGCTTCTGTACGCTTTTCGGCATTTTTCTTTATTTTTTTGCGTTGATCCTTTGAAACATTTGAAGCGCACCAGATTTCAAATGCTTCAATGGCGCTGGGGTCCATCAACAAATCTTCCTTTGACAATGGCGAAGGGGTTTCGCCATCTTCCTGCACGTGATTGCACAGCAAGAGAACCATAATGGCGCATGCGTCGTCCTTTGCTCCACCACGCTCATCTCCGACAAGGTGCAAGTCTAAAGACATGAATTGATAGCGATCCAACGGTAAACTGCAAAAGCATTGGGCGAATAAATTTAGACTGTTCTCTCCTCCCTCGTCACCATCTTCCACAAAGTCGCAGAGTAGATATTTCAGCAGACTCATGGCATGTCTAGCACTTCTTTTCAGCGTCTGGTCATGCTCCACGCTAGGAGAACCTGCAGCTTGTAGCAAACCAATAACATTTTCACCTAAGATGTCCGTATCATCTCCTAGCAATGCAGCAGGAACTGCACTTCCGAGCAAGAGCAGTGGAATATCATCATCATAAAATTCTGGAACTTCGCCCTGTGAAGTCAGCAAATAAACAAGAATAATGAGCGCTGCAAAGACAAGGAAAAACAAGAATGCAGTCATGGGGTACTCACTGCTTCTCCGCTGACAAAGTTCTTGAACTTGGTCAAACGACGAATACGATCCTTGTGAGATGTTTTCTCTGGATCCAAGCGACGCAACAGCGCCTTGATTTCCTGCGACGCCTTTTCGGCAACGTCTTCCTCTGCCATGGTTGCTGAATTTGGAAGAGACCGAAATCCAAACGATGGTCGGTGTTTCCGTGTTTCAACGCTTTTATTGGGAGACATCCAGCATCGAAGGCCTTTTCTAGTCCCTTCGTGGATTTTGGATCGAAAATGACCGACATGCTGCTGTGCCGTACAGTAAGTGTATCTCTAGAGCAAGATAATGCAGCAAGTTCAAAGTCCACATTCTATCTACTTTAATTCCTTTAATCTCTTGTCGACTCTTCTCTCCACTTCTGCGGTTAAATCCAATTCATCGTCAGTAGTACCGAGACTGAAATCTGCGCTGTCAATAGATTCACCACGGCTCCTCGTTCCGTCATGGCTTTTCGTGTCATCATAGCTCGCATCATAGCTGAGCTCGCCACTAGACGAATGATATGAAAATTCATCTTCACTAGCAATTGTTTCCAGAGTTTTCTTGCCGATTTTCTCCATGTCTGTCACGAATTGTAGACCTCCTTCACCGGCAGCTAATTCTTCCATAGAGACAGCAATCAGTTGCGATGTGAAAGATTCCAATGCTTGAGCTGACAAGTCTACCGTTGATGAGAAAACATTGTCAATCAGTTGGTCGCCAACAGACTCCAGAATACTAAGCTTCATCAGGGATTCCTTTTCTTTACTTTCTTCCGACTCGGCTTCTTTTTTGGCTCGGGTCTTGTAGAATCGTCGTGCAAATGACTTCCGTTTTTTCACAAAAGCTTGACTGTTAGATCCTTTCAAGATCTCTTCTGCCTTCATACGCATTGTAGCAAGGCGTGATATGCACCTCAGGACAGCTCCCCAACCTTCCCCAAGGTATTCACCATCACTGACTGCTAGACCCATCAGCGTGCGGAGAGCATCCACATGCTTGAAATTCAGATCTTCCAGAGATTCAAATAGGGTGAGTTCTCCCAGCTTGTCAACAAAGGCTTTCTGAGCTTCTGGCATATCCTTATTGCACGCCAATTTTATCGCGTATTGCCATCCATTGAGACAAACTAGAATGTTTGAACGAACAACAGAACCCTCCATGATCGTGGTAAAAGTTTTCAGCAGTGATGATCTCGTTGCGTCAAACATTGGTTTCACAACATATGCAGGTTTCACTGATTCTAAGACTTTGTCATTCGTTCCGGCCTTTTCTCTCTTTTGTAGGATAAGCTCTACAGTTGAAGACATCATCTCTTCCTTTTCCTTGTCGAATCGTTCTTTCTTGTGCGTTTCGGCAGATTTTCCGAAGAAACCTCCATTTGAAGTCTCAGCCACAACTTTCTCCCTCAAAGCATCGTCTTCCTTTAACGAAAACGGGGCTTTCTTGATGCGTTGGTAGATCCCCGCTAGGAATTCGTCTGGCAAGTTGGTTCCGTTCTCGCCAATACCCCGATTATTCTTTTGGAAGGACTCCAGCGTCATTCGTCGACTAGGCTTAATGGATGGGTTGTGCAGATCTGTGTTGAGCATAATGATGGAAAAGGCGAGGATGAAGGCGGTGTCGGAGTTTGAGAAGACATCTGGGTTTTGTCGCGCATAACTTTCAGCAAACTTTTCCATGATTCGATCAATCTTTTGAGCTTCACCTGGTAACCGAAAGCCTAGTAAGAACAATCGAATGGCTTCGTCAAATAGCATATCTGAAAAATCAGTTGCATCCACATAGTGGTACAGAACTTTCAAGTAAAATCCTTTGCCTCCTCTTTCAGCTTCAACGCCTGGAGTCTTGTCGTATGCATTGTCCGGCTCCTTTCCAAGAAGTTCTCCTATCTGTGTCTTGTCGAGCTTTTCTCTATTCTCAAACAAAAAGTTAGCAACCTCCTTGGCATCAAGTTTGACAAAATCATGATCAATAAAGAACCCAAGGCCACCACTGATCGAGAGGGTGAATTTGACGGCACCCAGCTCAAAACTTTGTTCTGCATTGCGTTTCCTATCAAATACATTGACCATTTGACGCAACGTATCTGTCTGATCCATTATAGATGCTCGGATATCTGGATCTTCCATGTGCTCTTCTAGCGTTTTTTCTTCCGGCTCTTGTTCGTCATCTTCTTCTTCCTCCATTTCTTGCAGCAGGCGGCCCACTTCCTTCAGTTGCAAAAGTTTTCGGATTTGTTTTCCTGCCATATCATTCATTTCTCTGTGTCGTCTTTTTTCCAAACCCATTGTCTTTAGAAAGGTGTTCAGTATAATTACCAGCACTTCCACAGCGGCGAACCCAAGCGTCAGCTCTTCTTCAAGTTCCTTGTCTTCCCCAGCACTAGGTTCTTTCGTTGACAATATAGCCACAGTTCCCAAATTCGTAACGATATCGTTGTAGATTCTCATTCCGTCTACATCACAATCATAATTCAGGAAAATCTGCGTCAACAGAAAGGGATCGTGGCACATGCTTCGAAGGCTCTCCAATACAATGGCTTTTTGCGAAAAGGAAGAGTTTTCGGATTCAAGCACACGCAGGAAAATATTCTTCATAAAGACCTGGATTTCTTCCTTGAGATGTTTCTTGAATTTGTAAACCAAAACCAAAAATATCCGTTGACTGGTGTAGGCAACCTGGGTACTATTGGATATACAATTCTTTAACAACGTCACACACAATTGGGACTGTATGAGGTCGACAAATTTCTGTGCGGTCTTGATATTTTCCCCCGCCATTTCGATCATAAGCAGAATGAGTTCCAGACTCAGTTCTTTGTTGTTGAGAGCCTTTGGATCGACAGCGTCATTGTTGAAAATTTGTTTGTTCAAAACGTTTTTGGAGATAACCTTCTCATCGTCCACTCCTGGCAAGGCTTTAGCGGAAAGATGAACCACCCGTTTCATCAAAATGTATGAATCGGTGTAATATAGCGAATGTTTCGCATTAGGACTATCTTCCATTCGCTGTATTGTTTTCGATACAATATCCATTAGTGCCCTTTTTGCATTTTTTTGACAGGACTCTGATTTGGTGCTCAAATAAATGTGATACAGCCTCCGAATGAATAACAGCATGGTAAGTTCGTGGACGGAACAGGTGGAAGAGTTCATAATGGCCTCGAAGCAGTCGATTACGCGTTGTTGAATGGTCTCCGAGCTAGATTCTCCACATTTTTGGACGGCGACAATTACATCGTGCATCAGACTATTTGGCGGTCGATGTGCTGGCGGTGTTTCTCGGTGTATCGACCCACTACCACTGTCATCATCTCTCCCCCCGGCACGACCAGATACATATCTTCGAAATACCAGTTGGGATATACATTCGAGAGCAATATCACATGACCTGTTTGTCTTTTGTGGATGTGTCAGTACTAGGATAAATGCTTGAAGTGAGGTTCTGATTGATTCGTGCATTTGATCTCTAGTTTCCGGATCGTCTCCATCACTCAGTGAGGACGTTGCAGTTGGCGGTGTTTCATTTGAAAGTGAGGTGAAGGATGTGGCATCATCCTTCTCCATGTCATTGTCTCCAAAGTCGTCCTCCAAAATACCATCGGTACTTCCTCCTTCAAAATCCCCATCTACTGAGTGCAAATCCATGAATGAATCTAAACTATCCCTGCTCGCGTGAAACGCATGATCATTGGCGCTACTGGACTGCGGACTATCAAGAGGCAAGCCTTCCAAATGGGCCTCTAGAGCGCTTTGTCTGGATCGCAACTGGGATCGTTTGCTGCTAGTGGTTTCTTCCGGCCACTGTACGTACTGAAACTCCTTCAAGCTCCGAATTCCCTCGCTTAGTTTGAGTTGGACATCCTAATTGGAAGGTCACCATTGATGGAATAGCAAGAATTAGCAACATATATTAATTGATATTTGCATTTAAAACAAGACGCATATTCCTCACCTTGAATCGTCGCCCTCGCAATTCCTTCAGCAATTTCCCCATTTCTGGTAGCATATGTGTCTCCAAAAATTGATAATGTGGAGAGTCTTCATCCAAAATCCGGACTGGGGTTTCCAGAACATCGAGAGAGGGCCCAGAGAGCCCAGCCAAAGCGTCACTCGCAAAACTACTATCTTGCGACATGTCAATTCAAGCTTTGTGACCTTTGTGACCTTGGTAACCTTTCACAACTTTTGGGCGCTGATTCAAACTTCACTAAAACTCAGCTGTAGCCCAAGCGTTGCACTTGTAAACTGTCAAAAACTCAGCCTTTGGAAGACTTCAAGCTTTGCATCCGGTTTTCAGAATTGCGTCGTGTTTTCTTCCCTTTTGACCGTTGTCGGGGTTTGTTCTGGCATTGGTACTTTGGGGGAAATGTCTGGGTTTTCCAAAATCAGAAGTCACCGCGGCCGGCGCAAACGGTGTCCCTGATTGATTTGGCGGATCAGAGAAAGGGGGAAAGATGTTGCAACATCATTTACATTACATCCAACAACAACACGATACCATTCTTCAACCGACAAACAAGAATGGAACCAATTCCTCGACGTCCATATGGAACTAGCCTCCCCAATGGAAATAATGAAAGATTGGCCAAGGAAGTTTCCATCGTCGGCTTGGGCTGTTCCTCCTTCTCGCATTTTTTCGATGCCGAATCTTCGTCTATTAGCTTGGACACACTTGACAAGACAAATCCTATCGTCCAGGGATGGATCAAAACGATTCATTTTGCGGTTGTGGAGACAGGAATTAATCTGCTCGATACAGCCCCTTGGTATGGCCATGGGACATCAGAAATGGTGATTGGTTGGGCCATGGAAGGATTGTTGGAAGAGAAAAAGGATACAACGAGTAGTGACAAAACTGTGATATCGAGGACTAAGATTCCACGAAATCAAATAGTCCTCAACACCAAGCTTGGTCGTTACGAGGCGAATCCCAGCGAACAATTTGATTTTTCCCGCGCAATGACTCTGAAATCCGCCCAACGATCTCTGGAACGGATGCAATGTGCCTACATTGACGTCCTGCAACTGCACGATCCCGAATTTGCTCCTACCCTCCAAATACTACTGGAGGAAACCATTCCTGCCATGATGGAGTGTCAAAAGAAAGGATGGTGTCGAGCCTTGGGATTGACTGGGTTCCCATTGCCAGTCCAGTATCAAATATTCCAGGCTTCATTGGAAACCTTTGGAACTAACGTGTGGGACCAAGCCCTGACCTATGGTCATTTCAATCTTCATGATTCATCACTTTTGTACCTTCCGATGTCGCAACAGAATCTTAAGGGAATGGAAATGTTGGAGTCGTCGTCATCATCATCAATACCCTCCTTTCGCAATGTATTGGTGGAGCAACACAGCATGGGTGTCCTTGCAGCTGCTCCTTTGTCCATGGGACTTTTTACCCCCCACGAACCACCCGAATGGCATCCTGCCGATCCTCCCCTACAACAAGCCTGCAAAGCCGCGAAAGTGATTTGCGAGCAGCACAATGTCAACATTGCGTCTTTGGCCATTCTCTATGCCATCAGTCATCCAGACATTCCCTGTACTTTACTCGGAATGAAGAGCATCGAGCAAGTTCAGGCGGCTGCTTCGTTGGCTGGGCGACTGAAACAAGCCAACATGACGAACTCTACCCAAGATCATCAAACGATACTCAAGGCCATTTTGACAAGGGACGAATTGACAGCACTGGAAAAAATTCAAGACCGAAACAATGGTCCATTTGCAGGAAATGAACACTGGTCATGGGACGGTGTGGAGGGGGCTATCGAGTTTTGGTCAACTCTTGGTATCAAAATGGATGTTTGGCAGCAGCGACAACTGTAGTCTAGAGCAATCATGAAAGGATCCAGCATTCACGACTCTCTTACCTGTAGCAACAACGTATCTACTTCTTGAATGAATCAACCTCCCTTTCTCTCGTACTACGACTTTGTTTCCAATCCTGCTTTACTCGGCATTATCTTTCAACTAGATGATTCTCAATATTTTAACAATATCTTTTCACTAGATTATTGATTTATTAAAATTAAATAGAAAATGGAAGCAAAATGACAATCAGGTTTCCATCCATCCATCCATCCATCCATCCTTCTCTCTCTAATGTACAGTTGGTTGGTTGCGGGGCACAGAAGCAGACATTGTGTGTGGTTCGTTGTTTTTTGCATAGGAGCTTGCCAAAATGACTAATTTGGCAAATTGCGTTTGTTTCGTTTGCCAGCAACCCCCATTATGCAGCTCCAAAGCCAATTTTCAAGTGATAAGTCTGAGATATTTTGAGACTCGTCGAATCCACTTGTTCCAAAACTTGCATGAGCTTGTCGCCTCGTTCGTACTGTTGAGGCCAGCTCGTTTCCACTCGAAGTGCCTGCCGGGATTCCAAGGTTCGTCTCATGGACTCCTGTAACAAGCTCTGTTGGCGTTGAAAGAGATTCTTTTCTGTCAATTCTCGTACTTTGGCATGGTAGTCTTCTTGTGACAAATCAGCCGAGAAGATTTCCGACACGGATATCGGCGAGGAGGATACCGACATCACGGAAACACTGGAAGCCCTACGTGGTGGTGTTCGTCCAGCCGGAGGTGAAGGAAGGTGCGTTCGTGCGCCGGGTACAGATGGTGCATGTGGGGTTTGCACAAACTGTTGTTGTAATATCTGTTGTTGACGATTGTAGATATCGTGCTTCTTTTTCTTGCTGTGTCCTCTATGACGCATCTCCTGTAAAAGCTTTTGCTGTTCTTGCGGAGGACTTGGTAGTTTTTGACGAGGTTGTCGTTCTTGATACGAGTGACGCATCTCCTTGAGAAGCTGCTCTTGTTGGCCCTTTGGTGCGGTAGGAAGCTTCTCAGGTTGGCCGGTTGTATGTCTCGGATGCTTGACAACATCCTTGAGTAACTGTTGTGGATAGTTACTCATACTCTTACCCATACCTGGTACACTGTCGTCCATATTCATTGCATCGTCGGGTGCGCGAGCAACGTTACTGGTTTCACCGCGTGGGTAATATTTGGATTCACCACCATTTTGCAGCAACCCTTCATCATCCTGAAGAGGAGAAGACATGACAGAATCTACATCCACTTTCATGGAATCGTCCATAGTCTGCTGCTGATCCCAACTGAATGGAGGAGGTTTGTTGAAAGCAGTCAAATCGTTGGAGCTCCGGTTGGTGTCTGGTTCTAGAGCGACGAGTTCATCGTTAAGTTCGTGAAAATCCATCGCGTGGAACTCGGTGTGATCGGAGATTTCAGACGAACTGTCGCTCAAATACTTGGGGATTCTGGACCAAAAGATGGCCATCTCTTGATCGTAAGCGGCGGAAGGCTTTTGTCCAGACAAGGGATGGAGCCCTTCGGCGTCAACATCCATTGCGACATCCATGGGTATTTCCAAGACCCCCGAACTAGGCCGTTTCGTATACTCTGGCAAAATACGTTTGTAATCCCAGTCATGAATCCATTCCGACTCATCATTCCACTGTGAGCCTTCAGCTGGTGCTGGTTTTGTTATGGTGCTGCTGCTCATGATGCTACGCACACACAGACGTGTTAATTCTTTTACCTGATTCGAAACAACACAAGGAAGGTTCGTACTGCCAGTTGGATACGATCCGAATGCAACCTTGCAGATGATTATTTTCGCGGCAAGCTGGTAGCGATCTTGAAACCAAGTCTCATCGCAGCGGAGCTTACGTGCATCTCGGTGCTCCGTTGAGCAAGTGACTTAAGCTATAAATCTCGAAGACACTTGGCCATAAATGATTGAAAACCGATTTCGCATTCCTTTAGGAACACTATGAGCCTGCCGATCTCGAACTATTAAAGCAAAGATTCTCGATTCGCCGCAAGCGGGAGAACCTGGTTGGGAGTAGTTTGCCAAAATTTTTAGTCTCTTTTTGTTGACGGGGCAGGTTGCACATTCGTGTGGGCAGGTGGTACACACACGGGCGTATTTGATATTGTACCTGGTATTGGTACGTGTACCAGACACCGGTACTCAACAATATGTGGGGTACGAGTACCAGTCACCAGCTGCCAACGAATAACTGAAAATCCCCTGACGATCGGCGTTTCATCCACCGCCAGTACGAGTACAAATGAATGATGCTTAGAAGAAGAAGAAGAAGAAAGATACTGTCAAGTGGTCTCTTTTTACTTTGCCATCTCCCGTCTCTTTTTTCCTTTCATCCAAGAAGTCCACCATCACTGATAAAATCATGTTGTTCGCTACGAGCTTCCAATTTGGATATAATTGCGCCACCCCCAAAATATGATTTGATGGACCGAGAGTCTCATTGGGTGTATATGTTCTACTTGTTGATGGTCTACCAAGAACGAGAAGGCCACTGCCGAGTCCCGACTAGTCATTTGGAAGCGGGTCGGAAACTAGGCCTGTGGCTGGCCCGGCAACGGGAAGTTTTTAAATCGGGAAAGATGGATCCGACCTACAGTAGTCGTCTGGAAGAGGTGGGTGTGGTATGGAATCCAGGTGCCTGGCTATGGGACGCACATTTTGACGCTCTAGTAGAATTTAAAAAGAGCGAAGGACATTGCGATGTTCCTCAATTCCATCAAGAAAAGGGGGAATATCTTGGTACCTGGTTGAACAAGCAGCGACAGGATTATAGGCGTGGGAAATTGCCAAAAGAGCGAGCTAAACGACTGGAGGAACTGGGTGTGGCATGGAGTGCTTTTGGAAAGCGATGGGAGCAAATGCTAGATTTACTGGTTCAATTTAAAGAGCGGGAGGGGCATTGTATGGTTCCTGTCGACCACCGAGAAGATGGAAAGAACCTTGGTGCTTGGGTGTCCACCCAGCGAAAAGCGTGGAGGTCCAAGACACTAGATGCTGACCGACAAGATATGTTGGATAGCATTGGAATGATATGGAGCGTTCAAGAAGCTCAGTGGGAAAGCATGTTTGCTCTAATAGAAAAATACGTGGAACGAGAACAGAATACCGAGATCCCATTGACGCATGTGGAACAAGGGAAAAACCTTGGCCATTGGATTGCCAAACAAAAACAATTGTATAGAAACGGCAAATTAGAAGGTGACCGCCAACAACGCTTATTAGAAGTTGGTGTGTTGGAATAGAAATAAAAAGTATTAACAATATACTGTAAATAATATTTTAAAATAGAAGATGAATAGAATAAATCATCGTGACAAAAGTGCAAGTCAGTCTTCTGCAATCGTCTCAGTCGAGCAAAGGCGTACTTGTTTAGTCTATTAGTTTTAGTTCACACGTGTCGAAACGGTTCGTTGCTGCTGCTACCCTGGTACACTGGTACTCCCGGTACTGCGCGCACGGTGTCTGACGACGCGAAATCGCAACAGAACAACAATCTGCTGAGCAGACGTGAGCAGACGTTTTCAGTTCTGTAGCGAAGAACGAATGTGAGTGTGGTAGGAAATGTACCACAAACGACTAAACGGACTCAGAGTCCCAATGGAAAAAAAGCAACACTGGAGCGCATTAAGAAGTAATACACAACACAAACCCAAGGATCAGTGATCAAGAAAGGCCACTCTAGAAGATCAACAGCTGTACCTTGTACTAATCGATTCCCTCAAGAATTTTCTCACCGTTTCAACGATGGCCGACAATTCAATTCCAACCATCATTCCACCACCAAACGAGATGGAACACCGAGAAGGTCCAATGAGGATGGCTCCAGCTCCGGTGCCAGAAGGAAGCCACCGTGCTCAAATTCGACGAATTGTGCCAGCTGGAATCCCGCAGTCACACGATATGTTGAAAGTACGAAGCGAAAGAATGAATGGCGATTTGCAATCGGAAGAAGAATCGGAATTAGCGTTGCACGAAATCACAACCGATGGGTTGCACAATCATGATAGCCCAGAGGACACTCTTTCAAACGTCAATACTATATCAGAAGGAGGTGCTGACCCAAGCCATGATGATCAACCATTTGATTCTGAAGGGATGGAATATTCAGAAGAACAAGAACATACAGCCAAGAAAAAGCGACTGTGCCGCCATCCTGGATGCAATCGAGTGATCAAATCACAGGGACTTTGTCAACGGCACGGAGGAAAGGCAAAGCGTTGCAAGGTTCCAGGATGTGACAAACAAGCACAAGGTACTCATGATGGAATGTGCAAGCGTCATTGGAAAATCAAGAACTGTGCTGGTGCAGTTGCAGCTGCAGATCCCAAGGAAGAAGATGTTCCACCACCACCCGAGGGAACCTCCGTGTACGATGGTATTTTGCCCGAATCCATTGCCTATCGTCCTAGTGTATTGGAACGACACCAACTGGAAGAGAGCAATTCAACTCGTGACACGGACCACCCAGTTACACCACCTGCGGAATTGAACATTATGCCATTGGTGCTATTTCTTAGAGATGGCGCCAACGAGGAGTTTGGATGGCATCGAAATTCCGAGCGTCGGGCGCGAGGCATGTTTCCATGTACATTATTGACCCTAACGTTTGAACCTTGGGAACATCAACTGGTGAGTTTTTGTTTGTGGGCACGACTAAATTGATATTCACATCTCGAATCATCGTCATATCTCATCTTTTGTTTCTTTTTGCAGTGTCTAATCGAGACGATGCTTTTGTCTGGCGGAACTCCGTATGCCAACTTTCGGGATCTGGCTCATGCATGGGGGCGCGATGTGGGATTTCATCATTCACTGACATCCAGTGTATGCGAACGACGAGGTGAGGTCGATAGGAAGAAGCGATCCGAACTGGGAAAGCGAAAAGCTCGCGAAGAAGCCGAATCACGAGAGAAGATGGAGCAATTGATCGCCATTGAGAATGCAGCGTCTACATTGCAGTGTTTACCAGTCAGTAACCCACCTCAGATGCTGATGCCAATGGCGCAACAGCAGTCAACGATGCAACCTGGCAACATGCAGCCTCCTCCTGTGGCGCAGCAACAGCAGCAACGACAACAGCAACAACAACAACAACAGCCGCAACAACAACACCAAATGCATCATGGTATGCCACCTCCTCCAGTTCAGCAACCTAGTAGTAGTAGTAGAAGCCTGCAACAACCGATACAGTCGATACAGCCTCAACTTGGAATGCCTACATCAGTGCATCCTGGTATGCCTGCACCAATGCAACAGAACATGAAACAAAATATGCAAGAAAGTATGCAACCATCCATGCAAAACAACATTCAGCACAACCTTCAGCACAACATGCAACCACCTATGCAGCCACCTATGCACAACAACATGCAACCACCTATGAACAACAACATGCAAAACAATATACAACCACCACTGCACAACAATATGCACAACAATATGCACGACAATATGCAACCACCAATGCACAACAATATGCAAAACAACATGCAAAACGACATTCAAAACAACATGCAAAACAACATGCAAAATATTATGCATCCACATATTCAAAACAGCATTCAGCACAACCTGCAACCTCAAGTGCAGCACAACGGGCAACACAACGAGCAACACAACGTGCAACCCCGATTGCAACACAACGGGCAACACAACCTGCAACTTCAATTGCAACACAATGGGCAGCAAACCGAGCAACACAACATGCAACACAACATGCAACCACACGTGCAACACAACATGCAACACAACATGCAACATAATATGCAACCACACGTGCAACACAACGGGCAACATAACATGCAACCACAATTGCAAGCTAGTATTCAACAACTAGCGCATCCGGGAATGGATCACCAATTGCAACCTCCAATGCAGCCGCAGATGCGACCTCCAATGCAGCATCAACAGCAGCACATTCAAAGAATTTTCCAAGCTCCGACGCAACTTCCAATGCAACAGGGCTTTCAGGCTAGCCAACAATCGCCACCACTCCCACAAGGGCTGCCGTCAGATGGAAATGGGCATCTTATTGATCTGTGACCACAAATATGAATAACACTAGGAGTGCGTAATTTTTTCTAGTTGAGTTCATCCAACTATTTCACTGTTGTTGCTGGTTTAGTCCTAGTCCTAGTTCGCTCTTTGTGGAAGGTTTATTATGGTCAATCAACATGTACTGTATTGCTGGCTGAGGAGCCTGTTGGATGAGTCGATTGATTCTTCCTCAGCGCCAACACAACCTCGTTTGGCCCTAAAAGTCAGCTTAAAAAAATGTTGTGACGTCAGAGCTTCGAAAAAGCTGAAACTTTGCTGGCATGACAACATCAGAGCTTTGTCACCGAAGTGGCGACAAAGGCTGGAAACGCAGAAGACGCTCCAACAAGTGTCTACTATCTGAATACAACCTACATTCAGCTTCATCATGATGCAACTGCAAATATCGTTGATTTGCTTGCTGCTTCTCAATAAGCTGCAACATGGCGTTGCTTTGTTGACACTGACAGAATCCAGTGTGGAACGACTCGCCCAAGCGGCTTCCTTGTCATACTTGGCGCAGGGCAAAATGTCGACTTCACCATATAGCGGTACATGTGATCTTGAACTACTGTATCAATTTGTAGATCCTGTCTCGGAATCCGGTGCAACAATTTTTGCCGACCAACACAATCCTTCCACATTGGTAGTGGCGTGTCGCGGATCTGCCAATCCAAAAAGCTTTGGAGCCAACCTCAAGTTCAAGCTAGTCCCGGCGACCCGACTGAGTCAAAATATAATTCCAGATGATGCCATGGTACACGAAGGCTTTCAAGATGCTGCTATTGGATTGTGGAGACAAATGGGGGGTACTTTGCTGGATCTTGTTGTGGGTGAATCGTCCTCCATTAAGGAAATCATCTTTACTGGCCATTCGCTAGGAGCTGCGACAGCCTTGCTTTGTGCTGTCCATTACAATGCTGCAGTGATGAATAATAATAGTAATAAGAGTCCCACACCCTCCATTGTCACCTTTGGTGGACCCAAACTATGCAATGGATCCTTGGCACGACATTTGAGGAATGAGGCATTGAAAGGATGTAATGTATTGCATTTGGTGCACAGTAAGGATCCCATTCTAGCCAACAATAAAAAGCTCTGGGACAGTATGGGATTTGAGGATGTGGGCATTGAATTGCAATGTGACCCAACTGTGCCTATCGTTTACAAGGAAACAAAGCCAGACAAAAAGGGAATGTTTGGGAACTTTGCTTGGAACATTTTGGATCACTGCAATTACATGGGTGTCTTTGTTGGTCCTCGAATGTGATAATGGTTCTGTTCTAAAAAAATCACCAATAACCATGCATCTTCCGGCAAGCTAACAGGTGCAACTGCTTCTGTTTCAAAGTGGAGTCCAAGAAGTATGAGGAGCCAATGACAAGCGGTCCTTCAACTAAGTATAGTGTGCACTTGCAGCGATTTTGTGACGAGGTGCCTGCCAAAACTAGCACAAAAGCCTTTACCGATTATCTCTCGGCGACCCGTGACCTTGTGGGATGCACTCTCATTGAATCATCCTGTATTTTTGTTACAAATAATACAAATGAATAATAAATCATCGTCTTCATTATTCACCTTGCAAAATAGGCTGTCATTTCCCCCGCAGCCATATTATTAGTTGGAAGTGATGTCGTCGATTCAATCACTTGTCGCTTGACAATATAATAAATATAAGAAAATGGCCCATACAAGGTCCCATAGTAGATTGGCATGTTCAATAGCTCCAGTGGCAAGTGCAGGGTCTCAAAGATGGAAATGACAAACAAAAAGACAAAACTAATCAAGACTGCCAAGAATGGATAAATGGGAAGGACTTTCAAAAAGGCCATTGCGACTTGGCGTAAAAATGACGAGAGCTCCAACGAGGGCAGCTTTCGTTTGCAATCCACATAGAGCGCGAATACGTAGGCCGTCGCAGCTAACAGAATTCGCAATTGCCACAATCCCTCCAAACTCGGGAGTATTCTCTTGAAAGTATCCACAATATTAAGAAAGGAAACTAACGCAACAAATAATTTATTGTTCTGGAGAATCCGAAGAAAGACTTGAAAAGAGTCATGTTGATGTTTGCCCAATTCGTTGGACGACTGGAGCATCCATTCCGTGCCAACGTAAGTGAGAAACAGGGCATTGACTATTTCTCGTATTGGCATGGTGCTTCTCGTCCTCGCCTTTATTGATGGACTAGAAGGTTGCTGCAATCACTACACAAGTCCTAGCTAGGTGCACCTTTTTCGTTTTGGGATTGCCCATTATTTTCAATATTGCGTTTGGTGTGGTCGGTGGGACTCACTCGATTCTCCTCTTCTCCATTGTTGACCATCATTTTGAATCCCCTCCAAAAATGTTTAGTACCAGGTCCACATAGCGAGGCACGCACAAAAATGGCGTTGAGAGCGCGGGCCAATCCACTGGCCGGACAGTCGTCCACAGTTTTGTCAACCCAAAAAAAAGTTGAAGAATTTGCAGAAGACTGGACAAGCATCAACAACTACATCCTTCCAAGTGTTGCAGTTTGATTGATATAAGGCTTTACACACAACAACAACAACTCATATTTGATTTTGGCGGATTAATCCTGTGTTACAGCAATCAATCGAGCAAACAAACACACAACAGAACAAACCAAAGCAAAACAAGAATCGTTTTCAACAACATCATATCATGTCCCAATCTACGATGCCAGAAGAGGCAACAAAATCATCCACGGCCATGGCTGTCTTTAAAACCTTGGCAGGAGTTGCCTTCTTGGCCAGTGCTGTCGCAACATTTGTCAACAATGGCGATCATGCTGCCAGTGATTTTCCCAGGCGTCGCTTGACCATGGTTGTGGGCGACTCGGTGCCATCCTACATGGATCCTGTCATGAAGGATTTGAAGGAACGCAAGAAACTCTTTGACGAAACACCACCAGAAGAAGTCAAATATTGGTTTGAATACACTGGACCTCTACAAGTACGTGTTATACAAACAAGCATGAATGCATACATACATACATTTCGTTGCACCTGTTATTCCTCCATCATTGCTTTCTTCTAACACACACTTTCATTTTCGTTTTTGTTTATTCTAGAAATACTTTTACCGCTTTTCCAAGTCGCGTGGCAAAGCTGATTATTTCGAAGGACGAGATGATTCAGGAGTCACTTCTTCTCGTTTCACCGAGGATTATTTGGGTGGTGAAGATTTTGCAAACTTGTATGAGGACAAGTCGGAGTCCGCAGCCCAAATGAGACTCTTGGAGAACTGCTTGGCCATGGGATCTCCCTCTCGACCAGATACTAATTCACCAGTGTGGAAGGAATGGTTTGCAAAGGAAGGGAAAGAATCTGCTGAAGATCGTTGCCGCATTTTGTTTACTCTCAACACGGTGGGTGCAGGACGTGGAACTACCATGATTTGGGAGACCAATCCACCTGCCAAGAATGCTCATGGACCAGAACAATGGACTTCCGAACAAGAGTCTGCTGCAACTCACTTGCAGCGTAACTTTGAAGAGATTAATGCCATGTGTGCCACCGGATTGGTCGCAGCTCGTGTCCAAGTCTTGGTGTGCGAACCGATTTCGGCCAAGTGGACTGAATGGATGGATAGCTTGTTGCCAAACTGTGGAGGACAACTCTCGGACCTTGAAAAGATCTCGCTTGGTACAGCCAAGGTTGAGGAACGCCCAAGTCCAGTACAGGTTGTTGTTGTTGCTAGCTCCAAGACTGCTGATACTTGCCACAACCTAAAGTCTGGATTCATGGAGAAGCGTGTCCAAGACCTTGTTTTGGCTCCACCTTTCTTGGGCGACGCAAAGAAGAGCAAGGGGGCCAACACATCAATCAAGACCACACATCCTGATCTTATCAGTAGTGATGACCACGACCTTTATGTTGGCCTCAAGTGGACTTCTTTGGTTACCTTGAGAACAATTGGCTCGTTCTTGCAAGCTTCTGCCGATTTGGCTGCGGCAGCTTCCTCTCCTATCAACCAAAAGGCCGCGGCTCCAGAGACCAACGCCGATGGAAAGAGTGTTGTTCTTTCCAATTCTCCTTCCTCGCCTTTTTTGATTCCCTCGTTCGTTCGAGTGTCCTATGTGAGTGAGGAAAATGCCAAGGTTGCGAAGTGGAGAATGCATGGAGACTTTTTCCACCCAGCTGCTTGGGAAATCTGCAAGGATTCTTTCAGTGTTGCTTGGATTGATCACTCCTTGTCTGGATCTGGAGGAGTTAATGGCTTGTGTGATGGCGAGAGCGCTGCACAAATGAAGAGCCGTCTTGAAAATGTTCTTGGAACTTCCAAGGGCGACTGCGGTCAATGGTGGGTCTACTTGACTGAGGTACAAATGCCAACATCACCAGAAATCTACGCAAACGAAGTCACCGAACCCATTGTTCAAGGTGGAAACAACCAATTCTGGATGATCACGGAACGTCAACGAAGAGAAATTGTTAAGCGTGAGGTTTGCTTGCAAGAGGCTGGGGACAAGGGATCCAACGACTGTCCTGCTCCTCCTCAAGCCGTCATGCCACTTGGAGACTTGGAATCCTTCCTAGTCAACTTTACACCCAACACTGCCTTGGGCAAGAAGCACGTTCATGGACGTCGCCCTGGGTATTCTCGCGAGAAGGAACGCGAACACGAACGTGAAATGGTCCGGGAACGAAAGCAACTCAAGGGACAAGATGACATCGAAAAGGCTCTCTTTGATTACACCATTTATCCGGCAGCTCTTTTCCGTAAGGATGCTACCCTCAAGGCTGCGCGCGCGAGAGATGTCATTTTGACCAAGGACCGAAATGAAGAAGCCGTTGGTCCACAGACGGTCAAGTCTAGCTACTATGATGTCACCATTACAAAGCCCCGTCCACCCGCTCTTGGATGGTGCCAAGCCATTGCAAGAAAGGGATTGTGCGTTCTATACGCCGATTATTTCCGAACTTCCAACGATTTGAGGTGTTTGGAAGCTTGTGGTATGAACAAGAACTTTACTCCATTGGAAACTGAAGCACAATAAACAGTGAATATGGGAACTTTGTACAACAGCCAATAATTTTAATTTATATAGAATAGCCAACGGTGCTTATGAGAATGCACGAATGGAATCGTTTTATAGCATTTTATCCTTTGCAGTCAGTTACTACGTTGAAATGAGATCACAGTATCTAGCCATGTCCACGTTGCCACCCGAAATGACCACTCCACAGTTGCTTCCAGCAGGAATTTCTCCAGCCTTGACTAGTTTCCGAAGTCCCGCAAGGCCGAGGCAACCAGTGGGTTCTACTATCATTTTCATGCGCTCACCAAAGTATTTCATGCCTTGGATGAGTTCCTCATCGGAAACAGTGATAATCTTCTCGACTCTCTTCTTAATAATCTCAAATGGAATCTTGCCAATAAATGGTGTTTGGGCACCATCGGCAATGGTCTTTGGCGGTTGGATCGTCACAATTTGGCCTGTCTCCAATGACCGTTGGGCATCATTGCCAGCTTCTGGCTCTACCCCAATAACTTTGCAGTTGGGTGCCAGCTCACCAGCAGCAAGTGAACACCCACTGATCAAACCGCCCCCTCCAACACAAACAAAGAGATAGTCTAGTGTGATACCTCTATCCAGCAACTCTTCTAATAGCTCTTTTCCAGCCGTTCCTTGACCTGCCACAACGTGTTTGTGATCGTATGGTGGAATGATGGTGGCTCCTGCCTTTGCTTTTTCCTTGGCAATGGCCACACGATCCTCTTTGTATCGGTCGTAGAAAATTACATTTCCGCCATAGCCTTTCGTGGCTGCAACTTTGTTCTTGGGTGCATCCAACGGCATAATAATGGTAGCATCCATATCGAGCAAAGATGCCGAAAGTGCCACCGCTTGTGCGTGGTTACCACTTGAGTAGGTCACAACTGATTTTCCTTTTCCCTCTTGGGACAAATGATAAAGAGCATTGTATCCGCCTCTGAATTTGAAGGCTCCCATTCTTTGGAAGTTTTCGCATTTCATGAAACACTTGACTCCAAGTTCTTCATCGAGTGTTCGACTGGTATTGACAGGAGTCCGATTTGCCACACCATTTAGAATCTCTGAAGCCTCTTTCACATCCTCAAACGTGGGGATATCTAGGGGTTCTTCTGATCCGCTAGTCATGGTGTATGTTTCTTCGTGACTTACAGATTGTTTCAATTCAACTCTCGTCGTCCGTTGTATCTTTCCAATTCTCCCATTCTCCAATATTTTAAAAAGATCAGATACCGTAATGTCGTCCGTATTTCCATCCGACAACCTCAACCATGTCAGAGGGAAACCTACTGTATGATGCACATTATGCTTGGAGGATGTCATGGCAACCCGACGGAGACAAAACTGGAAAGCTCCTCTGACACTTTGCTTGCTAGTTTCACTTCAAGTATGTTCTTCCCTGACCCAACCACCTTCGAAGTCCTTAGTAAACCGCCAGATTCTGTCAAATTATTGGATTCATTGGGAGCAGCTCTTGATCGAGGAGTATCAAGAAACTGCAGATCAACTGAAAGAGCAAAGGAGACGATGGTCCCAAAAGCGACTGGAACAATCTGGATTGAGCATATTTGGAGCCTACGCGGAACCTGACTCGGATATCCTCGGTGACAAGATTGTACGAGTCGTCAAAAAGGGAGAACGGTACTTGCGAGATCGATTTTCCAAAGGAGATGTTCTTCTTTTGACTCCCCTCATGCCAGAAATTGATCCAATTCCAAGAGAATGTTTGGTCACAGATGTCGGAAAGGATTGGTTGACAGTCGGAGTAGGACCAAGCTGGCCAAAAGGCTTGTACGAGTGCAGAAAACTAGTTGGCGCGTACCAGGTTCGCATGGACAGAGGCGCACCTCAGGCACCATTGAAGTTTCAACAAAGGGCTCTGGAGCAGCTTCGCAAAGGAGAGGCAGGAAATGTAGCATATCTTATGGCCTCTCTTTTTGCTGGGGAGAAAGATGCGACGGATTTGGCTGCCGAATGTCCGAGTCGATTGCAGGTTAACTTGGATCTTGAAGAAACTATTCACGATGTAATCGAAGAAGCGACAGAATCGATATCATTTACCCCGAACCAATCACAAAAGGACGCAATCACATCAGCGCTCCAAAGACGGATATCACTGATCCGAGGCCCACCGGGAACCGGAAAAACTAGAACAGCGGCACTGTTAGTAAAGACCGCTCTGAAGCTGCAACAAAAGCTCAATGAAGATAACCCAACAACGCACTCGAAGGCTCGCGTGCTTGCTGTTACGCATAGCAACGGAGCCGCAGATGTTCTCCTACAGGCTCTATTGGAAATAGGCGTCCCTGCGGTACGTCTTGGTCGTCCAGCTGCAGTTTCGGCCGATGTTCGACATCGAACTGTGGTTGCCATCTCTGAGAAGATGCCAGACGTAATGGAATTGCGACAAACTTCAGCGGATGCCAATTTGGATGGTCAAACGCGATCGGCAGCTGCCTATGAAATGAAACAGTGTCTTGCTGACGTTCAGCAAATGATCATGGAATCGGCTCCGGTCATCGTCACCAGTTGCATTGGGGCTCACCAATTCTACAACGCCTCGGATAGCGAGGTAAAATTTCCAATTGTTGTGTTGGACGAAGCCGCGCAAACAACCGAGCCAGCTCTAGTTTGCGCACTTGCAGCTAGTAAAGCCGAACAGCTAGTTCTTGTGGGAGATACTCGTCAGCTTCCACCAACAGTGACTTCGGTCAAGTTGCAAAAGACGCTAGGCGTTTCACCCATGGCTCGCTTGGAACGAGCTGGTATCCATGAAGCTACGTTAAGCTCGTGTTACCGCATGCCTCCCGCGCTTTTGGAATACCCGTCGTCGTATTTTTACAAAGGCCGGGTCACTGCGGCGGACGAGCTATCATGTATCGACACATCTCCTCCAGCTGGATTCCCTTGGCCCAATGAGCAACCAGTGGCCTTTATCCAGGTCGGAGATGGCGAAGCAGAGGTTGCTCACAATTTTGGGGGGAAGTCAAATCCAACAGAGGCCAAGCTTATCATTCGAATTGTTCAAGACTTGTTGGAAGCCGGAACAGTGCACGAGGACCGAATCGCTGTCATTAGCCCGTATTCAAAACAAGTGCAGCTCATTCGATCCGAACTGACCTCTTCTTTTACCGCCACAGCGGCAAGCAAGAAATTGCAAAACGTACGAGTGGGTACTGTTGATTCGTTTCAAGGACAAGAGAAGGATGTCATTGTGTATTCGGCTGTTCGATCGAATCCATTGAAAGAGTTGGGCTTTCTCCGGGACGCAAGGCGTTTGTGTGTTGCTATTACTCGGGCTCGGCGTGGCTTGATCCTGGTTGGTGATAATACTACTCTCAGATCGTGTCGTCATTGGGGTGCCTTTCTCGAATCCTGCCAAAACCGTGGGAGCATGATGATAGCATCTGATTTGTTGCCAGCACGAGAGCAAGAAAGGGCGAGTGTAGATTTGGAGGACGTATTTGACAGTTTGTTGGTTGGAGACATTGATGAGAACTACGGGCTTTTTTAACAATAGTACAACACCCCAATGATGGCGACGGAGAGTGGTAAATACTATAATTACTTTCATTTTCGTCTAAATACTCTCTGCCCATATAAACACGTCTATGCATTCTAAATATCGCGCATCACAATCTGCCCGATGTTTTGCTATCCTAAGCATTTGGTTTTATTTCCTTGGCAAACACATAATACCACTTTCCATTCGCACCAACCCAATAGTACTGCATATTGAGAGTTGGCACATTCATGCACGTCAAGATGGCGGCGGGGCTTGGTTTGAAAAATGGAGTCATCTCGGTAGTGTACCCTGGCAAAGTGGCTATCTCTGCCGTGACAGAAGCTGTCACCTTGGCAGCAAGTTTTTCGAGGGATGACTTTGGCTTTTCGGGATGGTTTTCCGGAAGGTGCTTTCCTCTCAGGACTCGCTTCAATTCCGAGCGGCCGTCAAAGGAAGCGGGTTTAGGGCAACATGACACAAGGTAGAAATATAGCAATGGGATCACAAGAATAGCAAATGATGACAACACAGCAATGAGTGATCTGATGACGATAGCTCCACAAATGGCAAGAATACCGTATTGCACAAATGGTTTGTTTTCCTCGTTCGTCAAGAACTCCTTTGCATCATCCACGATACTCTTTCCCGTTGATTCATTTTTCTTGGATGCTTTCGACGAGCTCATCTTTCTCTCTTATATCCTTGTTTCTAGTCTGAACTCAGGTCCACGGTTGACCTGATAGAGCAAGCAACTTTCAACTTTTGTGTTGTGTGGTTGGTTACCTGGACTGCGGGTTCTCAAGAAACAAGACTGAAAAACAAACGGTGCTCAGAATAGTCGAAGAGGTCAAATGTAAGAATCTAATCGATCTTGGACAATTCAACTTCAAACTTGGCGCCAATGACACAATCAGGAATTATTGAAGAGTATTATTAGACCAACAGGTTAATACAGTCCTAGCATGTAGCTATTACAGGACCCCAAAGACTGGGTGTATCATCCTCGACGCAATGCGAAAGGTATAATAAAGAAATGGTGCCAGCAGCCAGCACCAGCCACCTGCGGCCGGAGGAGAGAGGAGGATCACCAGCACCAATAACTAGAAAAGATCCGCGTAGAACAAAAGCTGGCAGAGGCCAGAAATTGATTACATCATTGTAGCAATGAGCTTTTTATTGCATGTCTGATCGTTTCCAGCGCTGTGAAGAGTCCACATTTCCAAACAACGTGCTCGCATAGCAATGCATTTGAGTCGCACCAGTCCAATTAATGATGACTACTATGCGAACCAAAACCACAACGAAACAGAAAGGAGAAGAAACCAAAGTCATGTCGTCTGCACCCCCTGATGTGCCGTGTACCGAGCGCGACCTTTACGGTCAAGGTCACCCGATTGAATCTGCCGAGTTGATTGCTGCAAAGTTGAAGGCTTTTGAAGAAGAGGTTGCAAAGATTTCGGACGAAGAAAAACCTTGTTTGTTGAAGGCTGAAGAGAAGTGTCCAGAGTTGTTGAATGACGCTTTCAAGCTCATGTTTTTGCGATGTGAAGTCTTCAATGCGGATGTAAGTGCGAAATCTTATGATCGTAATCTTGACAAGAAACCAATAACGTATCTGTCTCCATCTATCTCAAATCTCACCTAACATATCTTTTTCAGCTTGCCGCCAAACGGTACTGCCACTATTGGGTGCAAAGAGTCGTGGTTTTTGGAGAAGAGCGAGCTTTTGAACCTTTGACGGTCGATAAGGCCTTGCGGGATGATGAAGTCGCCTTGGCCCAAGGCTTTATGAATTTCACCGGCAAAGTTGATCCAACAGGAAGATCCATTCTGTTTGTAGACCCTTCCAAACAAGATCCCACCGCATACGAAGCCAAGAGCATGTGCCGTGCCTTTTGGTATGTCTTACATTCCATGCTAGAGGACGAGGAGACCCAAAAGAAGGGTATAGTGGCTGTCGTGTGGCCACACCATGTCAGTCTGAAACAAATGGACAAGAAACTCATGAAACTCAATACGGACAGCCTTCGCAACTGCATTCCAGTTCGAGTCTCGGCGTTTCACATTTGCCATCCGCCTAGAATTTTCTCGGTCGTCTTTCCTATTCTCAAATTCTTCATGGGAGAAATCCTGAAGAAGCGTATTCGAGTGCATTCAGGATCCAAGGAAAAGGTCCTGAAAATTTTGGAAGAAGTTGGCCTTACCAAGGACCTTGTTCCTTCGCAGTTGGGCGGGGATGTCGCAATTGACGCGAAGAAGTGGATTCAGGAACGTCGGGAAGCAGGATTGTAGAGGATACATATTCTGTGCTTTTTTCTACCGAGCGTAAGAACGAGCACAATGCTTTGTTTTTCGGTACACAAATATAACATGACTTAGACTTTTTTTAAAAATACCAGTATTCCCAAAATCATAAAAGTTTATATTATAAATTTTCAATCTATTCATACAACAAAAGAATTTTTAAATCAGGCCCCCATTCCGCCAAGTTTTTCAGAGATGGCAGATTCTAGAGCCTTGAGTTCTTCCTCATTGGGTTGGCGACCGTTGTCTTGTTCAAACCGTTGAAGTACATTTCCCATGAGCATCGCCATGAATCCTCCGGCCTCATCTTCGTCTTCACTGTCGTCTTCCCCTTCAACTTCTTCATCGTCCTCTTCTTCCTCCCCACTGGCAACGGGATCTTCTTCGTCCATGGCCTCTTCCGAATTAGAAGGCGTCACAGCGACAATATCTTTGCGGGCAGCAAAGACTTCGTATTCCTCTTTGGTATAGCTGAGAAAGAATTCTTCGTTGGGCTTGAAAACTTCTGAATTTTCTTCTTCGGGGCTTTCGGGAGCCACCTTGAGCAGGAGAATATCTCCCTTGACGGTTGTTTCATTGAAGGGAGGTTGCAACTTGTGTGGGTTTGTTGGAAGATTGTCATCAGGATCCCGGCGGACCATAATCATCAAGCCTTCATCTTCGTATTGACCAAGGAAAGTGAACGGGCCACCCAAAGTCTTGGCAACCATTTGATTCTTGGGGGTCGTGTCCAATCGAATGGCTTTGACAGCATTGTCCGCAGCCGACAAGACGACGGCATCGACAATGGGGCCTTCTGATTTCATGACCTTGGCAATATCAATGCCCTGGTCGACAGGCAAAGGGACGGCAACAGTATCTTCTTGAGGGAGGGGAGGCATGGTGGAACTCAGAAGGAAGATGAAGATGAAAATGGAAATGGAAATGAAAATGGAGTGTGGAGTGGTTGTGTGCCGTGTATTTGTTCTACGGTCGATTGTGTCGAAAAAGTTTGCGCCAAAAAATGGATGGCGCGAAGTTTGTGTGATTGGCGAAACTGAGAACTGGAGTGAAGGTCAATGCATTCTACCTACACGTTCATCAGACAGACAAGAGCAAGGATGAAGAGATATATTTGGCCCTTACTTTTTCTTCCACAAATCGCATTCCATTACGATGCTTTCTACCAAAGCTATAGTCTCAGCACGCCAATTTATCAATTGTATTTCATTTGAGTTTAGGAAAGCCATCTAGTACGATTGGAATCGGCGATCTTTCCGCTGCTGGAATCATACTGCAATCGAATGAAGAACTTGCCAACAAGGGATCCATGTGGGACCATAGGAATGTTCCATGAGATAGGTTGTGTGGTCGTGTTGTTATGCTCATCAGATCTCAGGCTTGTTCGTCGTCAATGTAGCAAGAAGAAGCATCCAGTTTTGGTGGTAAAGTCTTGCACAGCGATGAAACAGTTGTTAACAGTATATCAACGATTCCAAAGAATGTGCGCCCCGTTCTACCCATACATACTCTCCAAGTTGTGACTGCTACTCCCGTGAAACTAGTTTATCGCATTTTACTTGAGTCTTGGTTGGAGCATCTTTCCCATCCCGACAAAGCGGATGTGACCACTCCACAATGGTAGCGACTTGGTTTGCGTCCACAATGAGTACAGTCGATGAAAGCGTATGCCAAACTTCATTCTTTGGAAGGAAAATGGGTCCCGTCAATTGAGCAACATCGTCCCCTTGAGCGCGTTCGTCTTCTGATTGTTCTGAAAGTGCAAATTGCTTGGAATCTAGAAGGACGACTTGAAAGAGCTTGTCTGCGACTGTTTCGGCAGTATCTTCTGCAGATATGCCATCAAGGACCTCTTCAAACAACTTCTTTCCCCGGACTGCCTTGGGCCATGGTGGATTCACATCATCCGCATTGGTCATGGCGTAAACGGATTCCCCTGTGAGTTTAAATCCATTGTGATCTAGATTGTCTTCCGAAACATGCACCAGTCCATCTTTTGTGGATCCTAGTAGCAGGTTGAATGGTCGGTAGAATGATCCCTTTTGGTTCTTGGAAAATTCGTACCCATCTTTCAGAACATCGCATACCAAGAGTCCCCGAGACTTGTAGTTGACACCTATGGATAACTTTAATCCGTCGTATGAATGTCTTGGCTTCTTTTGCTGTTGATTAGTATCTTGCTGTTCCATACGACAACGGCGTTCTTCCCATGCAGCTTGAGAAAGATCCGATCGTCGCCGTCGATTAGTCAAAACAGCAAAGCGTTGGTGTTCTTTGGAGAAACCAAACCATGTCCCTTTGGATTCCAAGTCCTGTCCGCCAATAATTTGGCAACTCGCCCCGTCCTGCTGCTCGTATTCCCATTCACTCAGTGGTGCAGTTTGTCGCTCTGGATTCTCATCTCGATTGAGTGCTACAACGATTGGGAACCTTCCACCGGCAACGTTGCTTGCAGCAAAGGTTATGCACATTGCCTATTTTCCACTCCAAAGAGGAGGAGTGACACCCTGTTTGAGATAGGAAAGGGTTCATGTTTTGGGGGATTTCTATTTGGGAACATGAGCAGAAACCATATCGGACTGACTCGGAAATGTGGCGTGTCTTTTTGCCAAGTGATCAACTTGAATTTCCGTGTCGTGTAGGAATACTAAATTGTTCCAGAAACGCGTAGAGCTACGTATACTGTGGTACTGGTACAGTACACGCATGTATCGACCCAACGCGGGTGTCATCACAAAGCTGTGATGTGAAATCCAAAATCGGAACTCAAGTTCGTTTTATATTTTCGCCTGCTGTTCATTGATTGTGAAAGCCACAACCACAACCACTAACAGTAATTCATCTCTTCTAGATACTCAAATACATCAAACTACACCATGGAGGTAAGATAGGGTATATCGCGGGGAAGCTGTTCCATAAAGATGCATCGACAACTAACACTTGCTTGTTGTTGTCCTCAATCATTGCTTTTGACGTTCGGTTTGTCCCCATTTTTGCTGCCTTTCATTATGGTCTGTTCAGAAAGGAAATCAACAAGCTGAAGTGCCCATGCACGAGCAAGCAAAACAAGGTGGAAAGTGCTGTGGAGGATGGTAAGTCTCCCTCTGTGTTTGGAAACGATCGTAGGGTCTTTTTAATCTAACATCTTCTATGATTATTAACTCACTCAACAATTCCTTCCAAACACATCCTATTTCAGCTGTGACTACCGTCGTGCCGTCATTGTCCTATGCATCATCTCTCTCGTGTTCTCCATCATTGGAATTGTCAACCCTGCTCTCAGTCAAGCCTTCCAGGCCGAAGAGTACCCTGAATTGGAACAAATTGTCAAGGATCACAACACCAGCCTTCTTATCATTGGCATTGTTCACATCGTCATGACTGTTATCGCTCTTGTTGGTGCCATCATTTTCAACTTCTATTTGGTAAGTTTCACAAAGATCATTGGAATTGCTGACGTACCATCTTTTGTAGGCCTCTGGGATGATTGTGTCTTTGTTACTATTGGGGTTCGTTTGCGTGTGCAATCTCTCAATGATTTATGTACTAAGTTTCCATTGTTTCACTCTCCAGGTTGCCCTGTACGTTCTCTGGTCCATCTTGAACTTGATCATCTCCATCGTCCTTCAACAGCAAATGGTTGGGGATTTGTTGGACTGGGTTGATGCACAAACTGACGACGCCGCTTGGGGTACCACTGACCAGGACCAGCTTGAAACAGCATTCAACACTTACATGATTATCAACTACGTCATCACTGCTCTCTTCACTTTGTTGTGGGTGTACCCATCTGTTTTCTTGTCCGTTGAGATCAAGAAGGGAATCATGACCAAGGAGACTTATCCTCGCGAGGAAATGTCTTGTTGCTGCGTTTCTAACCGCAACTAGACTTGCAGGTCTTACCGTCACGTCGCGGTCGAACCAGAACCATCATATTGGCCACATGCATGTCGGTTTTGTAATATTTTGAGTAATGAGATACCTCTCCGAGCACGGACTTGACTGCTCTGCGGTCGTCCTCATTATTAGTCAATTCGTTTATCTTGGAACCTTTTTGTTGACTGTGTCGCTCCTTCCGTCTCCTCAGTGCTTTTGTATAATGGACATGTATCGGCCTTCGTGCATGCATGTGTGGTTTCAAGTAGCGAAGTCATGAAACAAAACCAATGAATAATGGTGAATCAACTGAAATCGTGAATAACCTGTCTGGTGTCCGTCCGACGTCCGACCGAACTCTCCACCAAGAGTCCTTGCTTCCGAACGCGAGTACCGTGGTACACCATGGTACCAATACTGTAGGCTCCTCTTTATTAGTCAATTCGTTTATCTTGGAACCTTTTTGTTGACTGTGTCGCTCCTTCCGTCTCCTCAGTGGTTTTGTATAATGGACATGTATCGGCCTTCGTGCATGCATGTGTGGTTTCAACAAGTAGCGAAGTCATGAAACAAAACCAATGAATAATGGTGAATCAATCAACTGAAATCGTGAATAACCTGTCCGGTGTCCGTCCGACGTCCGACCGAACTTCCACCAAGAGTCCTTGCTTCCGAACGCGAGTACCATGGTACACCATGGTACCAGGTACCAATACTGTAGGCACCTGGTTCAGCACGCTACAGTACAGCGTGGTCCGATGATTTGCATTATACCTCTAGTCCGAAGGATGAATCCTACATAATGTAAAAAGTCGGTGCGACATCATATAATCCCGATATATATTATGAAAATATTTGTACGACATACGCCACTGCATGAATCGACTCTCACAATTTCACTGTGTCTTGCGTTCGCTTGACATCACAAAGTTTGCCACAACTGCAAAGCAACAAGCAACTGCCCCCCTATTCCTCAATCGAGACTCGAATCATAAATAGCAATGGAGGTAAGATTACCTTGGGTTGAGAGATCGCAGTTTCTTTCCTAATACTAACCTTTGGCTCACAAAAAATCGTGATACGAACTCTTGTTGGTTCCTTTTCTATTTGAAACTATTCTCTTTCTGGTTATTGCTGTTGTCATGCTCAGAAAGGAAACCAACAACCCGAAATGCCCAAGCAAGAGCCAGTACCCATGCGCGAGCAAGCCAAGCAAGGTGGGAGGTGCTGCGGAGGATGGTAAGTCTGGTTCTGCCTCGGTTTGAATAAATTGTTACCTGACCATTGAGGACTCAATCTACAATCCTGCTTCCCAAACACCTACCGTAGCTGTGACTACCGCCGTGCGGTGATAGTGTTGTGCATCATCTCTCTCATCTTTACCATCATTGGACTTGTCAATCCTGCACTCAACCGAGCCTTCCAGTCTGAAGCATACCCTGAATTGGAACAAATTGTTAATGATCACAACACCAGCCTTCTTGCTATTGGCATTGTTCATATTATCATGACTGTTGTTGCTCTTGTTGGTGCTATCATTTTCAACTTCTTCATGGTGAGTTGGAAACAGCATTTGATTTTTCCACCGGTCTCAAAAGTGTTTCTAGTTGTGAAATTGTCACCCTGCTACCGCTCTTGCTTCACTTCAATCATTACGACGCCACTTACTTTTGCTGTTATTCTTTCACTCTCTACTGTAGGTCGCCCTCTACGTCCTCTGGTCCATCTTGAACTTGATCATTTCCATCGTCCTTCAACATCAAATGTTTGAGGAGTTGTTAGACTGGGTCGAAACACAAACTGACGACGAAGCCTGGTCGACCAATAACCAGGATGAGCTTGAAACAGCATTCAACACTTACATGATCGTCAACTACGTCCTCACTGCTATCTTCACTTTGTTGTGGGTGTACCCATCTGTTTTCTTGTCTGTTGAGATCAAGAAGGGAATCATGACCAAGGAGACTTACCCTCGTGAGGAAATGTCTTGCTGCTGTGTCGGTAACCGCAACTAAGGTGTCTTACAGCCACGCCGTGGTCGAACCAGAATCATCATATTGACCACCACGTCCATGTCACTTTTATAGTATAGTAATGAATGGGATACCTCTGCGCATGCTCTAGGGTATTGTATTAGTTTTTTCTTATATATTTTAATTCCATGATGCTGGACTTTTCTCGTTGATTACATCCTCCTTCCGTCTCTTCGGTATCTTCGCAAAGTGCGCATGTATTAGCTTCCACGAAGTTTCAAGCTACAGTAAGCACCGCGATAGTGGCGTGACTCACCCTTTGTGAAGGAATTCTTGTCAAGCAAATCTTTGGCAACGCTTATTTCAAGCCGAATCCCACATATAAATGTAAAAAGTGAGTGCGAAATATTTACTCGTACTGGAACACTCCCGAAAAAGTGGTAAATCTGTAAAAATCGGCTGATTCAGAGTTTCTAGAAGTGCCGGGTTCGCAGTGGCAGTTAAAATTATTTATCGTTAAAATGAAACAATTAGAAGAAAAGATTGGAATTCCTTTGTATTTATAGGCATTTCTGCAGAGAATCAACGACTATTTTTTTTCGGTACAACTTTTGCACTGGAAATCCCAGTATTCTGCAATTTGCTTAAAAGAGACTCTCTGCGACATATAAATGTGTGTCCAATTCGATTTAGATGTTTCGAATGTCCTAAGTGACCGCTCACTACCACAATTTACCACAATTTACCACAATTTACCACAATTTACCACATTCCTACCACATTCCTACCACATTCCTACCACATCCTACCACATTCTACCACATTCTACCACATTCTTACCACATTCTACCACATTCTACCACATTCCTACCACATTCTACCACATTCTACCACGTTCTACCACCTACACGTTTGAGCACTTTTTTCGACATTTCGGGATAATAATCTTCGCTTTTTAATCAAATATTGTCCGATTTCCAACGTTTTAAAAAATGAAATCTTGGAAATTTCCTACATTTTACTTTATTTAATTTGTAACTGGTACCGGTACTCTAGACTTCATACAATGGGGACCCATGGTCCATTTGGTATTGTATAGTGATTGCAACAGCCTTTAAGACCAAACTGTGCTTTTCGAAGCTACCTGGGAAAGTGTGGCAAAGAACAGCAAATGCCTTCAAGCGAGCATTGAATGTTTCTTGGCGCAATCTTGCTCGTGTCTTGTGAGAGTGCAACTCTTTGCTGTCCATAAGGTCTGGGAACGATAAGCAGGCCTCAAATTCTTTTTCCGTCATATGAAAACCACGGTCAACAATACAAACTTTGTTGTTTGCCTTGAGTTTTTCCATAATGCCGCTCTCTTTCAGCATTTTACTGTCGTTGACTCCTCCTTTGCAGGGACCTTCGATATGGAGAATTTGAGATTGGTAAGTAGCAAGCAAAATGACATACTTTGCAGCACAATGTTTCATTTTGTGGGAACAAGCAGTGTTGTCTTGCGGGAAAAGCGGATGACTGATCTCCCACTTTGAAAAGTCGACTCCATCAGCAGTGAAAGCTAAAATCTCTGTACCATCAGCTCTTCCTCTACCAACGAGAGTCCAGAGGAGGATCATATCACCAGCGAGCCCTTCAACAAACAAGAAGCCACCAACAGCACTATCAAAGATAAACGAACCCCGAAGAAGATCGCATTTGAAGTAGAAACAATATTCGATCAGAGCACTAACAAGATGGATGAAATAATGGGTTCCATGAATTCTCTGGATTTGGGAAAACGTGATCCTAATCCCCGCGAACGAATCGTCAATTTCATGATGGAAGCAAAAGAGCGGGGATTGTCTCCAGATGGCTCTGCTGACAATCCATTTGTCAAAATTGTTGACCCAACCAATCAGCGATCTCATTGGCCATTCAAAGTCCACTTCTGTCCAAACGTGGAGCAGAAAAGTTTTCAATACGACACTTGGAATATTGTTTTGACAACAGCATACCCGGGTGATGCTCCCCGTTGGAACGCTAGCATGGTCAGCGAGGAACACTATCCGACTTGTCATTCTCACGCTTTGCTTTTGACGGGTCCATCATGTGGGCGTTTTCATCGATTCGACGAAAGCGGGTTCTCGGTGCAAGATTGGAAGGAATGTGCACAGGAGGGTGTTGGTTCAAAGCAGTTGCTCCACTCTTTTGAAAAAATGACCGATGATATGAACAAAGACCTATCGCAGAAACGCGTGCACGTTTTGCTTGTGTTCCCTAAGGACAAAAAGTTGAACAACGCTGTTTTCTCTCACAGTGTACGAGATGTGGAACTTGGAATTGTTGACATGGACTGTCCCTACGAATATGATGGTGAAGATATTACCATCAGAGCGACAGACTTGGTATGGACAGTTGCATGCAGTGAAGGTATCAGGTCCCAATTCGATCCAGCGCATAATACTCCTACCAGGAAAATGCGTGTGAGAAACAACAAGAAGAAAAAATGATCCAATATGCTGATGATGATGTCAAGCAAGATCCAGTAGGCCAGTAGGCCACCACAAGGATCCAATAGGCCATGAAAAGATCCATTATATGTAGTTCATAAATTGTATTAGTTATTGCATTTTCAATGCACTTCCAGAAGTCCGTCCACTTTCACAGTACTAATTTTTTAAAATGGGTGGAGAAAAATCAAGTTTCAGAGCAAACTGAGACGAAAAATGATTTTAGTTTTTTTAAATTTTTTTCCTTCGATTTCTGAACCTTTTACCACATCCTACCACATTCCTACCACATCCTACCACATTCCTACCACATCCTACCACATTTTACCACATTTCTACCACATTCTACCACATTCTACCACATTCTACCACATTCCTACCACATTCCTACCACATTCGTACCACATTCTACCACATTTTACCACAATCGCCATCACTTAAGATGTTCGAAATATTTATCATTCTATTAGAGCTAGTATTTATGTCACAGAGAATATAAAATTGAAAAACTCGCCAGATGCGCCTTCACACGCGGCAAAGTTTTACCGAAAGAATATAGTCGTTGATTCTCTGCAGAACTGTCTATAAATACGGAGGCAGACCATTGTTTTTCTTTAATAGTTTTCATTTATACCTAATGTTTTCGTTTCTCACTTACGCATGTCGCCACCTTTAAATCTATCTGAATCAGCCAATTCTGATGATTTACCACTTTTTCGGGAGTGTTCCTGAATACGCCATTGCATAAATCGACCCTCACAATTTCACGTTTGATTGATATCACAATAGCTTCCCAAACCAACAATTACAAACAACAAGCAACTCCCCTGTAAAATCGAATCATAAATAACAATGGTGGTAAGACTAACAATGGAGGTATGATTTTAAGAGATTGCTATTCCTTTCCCAACAAGCTTCGGCTCACAAAAAATCGTGATGTGATGCATGCGAACTCTTGGTTCCATTTCTTTCTGAAAATATTCTCTTTCTGGTTATTGCTATGGTCAGGCTGACAAAGATAACGAACTACCCGAAAAGCTCGAGCAAGATCCCGAAAAGACCGACCAAGACCCCGAAAAGACCAACCAAGACCCCGAACAGCCCAAGCAAGAGCCCGAAAAGACCAACCAAGAGGCTGAAATGCCCAAGCAAGAGCCAGCACCCATGTACGAGCAAGAAAAGCAAGGTGGAAAGTGCTGCGGAGGATGGTAAGTCTGCTTCTATGTTTGACAACAAGAATTCTTGTTCTATGATCATTGACAACTCAATCTGCAATTCACCTGGTCACCAAACACCAACTATAGCTGTGACTATCGCCGTGCCGTAGTGGTTCTATGCATCATCTCTATTATCTTTACCATCATTGGACTTGTCAACCCTGCCCTAAATGATGCCTTCTCGTCCCAAAAATACCCTGAATTGGAAGAAATTGTCAACTCTCACAAAGTCGCCCTTCTTGCCATCGGCATTATTCATATTATCATGACTGTTGTCGCTCTTGTTGGTGCTATCATTTTCAATTTCTATGCGGTACGTTGGAGAAAGCTTGATTTTTGTTCAGTCATGAAAGTGGTTCAAGTTTGGGAATTGCCAGCCTGCAATTCGTCTAACTTTTGCTTTTGTCCTTTCAATCACTACTGTAGGTCGTCCTCTACGTCCTCTGGTCCATCTTGAACTTGATCGTCTCCATCGTCCTTCAACATCAAATGGTGACAGAGTTGCTGGACTGGATCGAAACCCAAACTGACGACGAAACCTGGTCGCCCAGCAACCAGGAAGAGCTTGAAAGAGCAATCAATTTCTATATGATCGTCAGCTACATCCTCACTGTGATCTTCACTTTGTTGTGGTTGTACCCATCTGTTTTCTTGTCTATTGAAATCAAGAAGGGAATCATGACCAAGGAGACTTATCCTCGAGAGGAAATGTCTTGCTGCTGTGTTTCTCAGAACCACAACTAATAAAAGTTCTCCGTTTTAAAATAACACATGTTCACATATTATTATGAGATAACAATTGTGAAAGTCACTCAAGCACCAAATTACGCTGAGTGCTTTCTGTCTAGTATGTCATTGTAGCTAATAATGGTAGCTGCAACAAAATTGAAAAGTACATTAGACAATGTGGTTGAGCCATGTGTATTGTCTAGTAGTAGGATTATGATCTGCAAAACTTGGTATTTTGTTCGTGCCGAGTATAACCGTATTAGAGGACAATGTGCGGCTTTCATGGTGTTTGGTGACTTGATGCTTCTGAATGATGGTGTGTCAATGTTTCTTGAGGTCTTGAAGATGCTCTAATAATATATTCGCTCATGACCGGTTGGGGTCCCCTCATTTCCTTCAAATGCCTATTTCTATTTCCATTTGTTCCATCTCGTTTCATGTTTCAACTTGATGCAGAAACTTCCACATTGACTGGCCCTCCTTCCACTTGTTCTTCTTCAATCTCCTCTTGATCCAATGACGACAAACTAGTATGGCTTGTCATCATGGAGGATGTCAGTGAGGCAAACGAGTCGGATTTGACAATCTTTTCGGGCGTCTTGTCCACGGCTGTCACAAGTTCTCGTTGCACAGATCTGACTGTCCGAAGCTCGTACATGTAATCTCCATAAAGGGCCAATGCTGCTTCGTGTCTCTCTTTACCTCGGTCGGCACATGCGTCCGTGACGAGGATCGTTCTATATCCAGCCTCTGCAAAAGAATATAAAATTGTGAGAAAATGTTTGATTGATTGTTTGATTGATTGATTGATTGATTCAATCAGTTGCAAACTTACCGAATACTCCAAAGGCAGAGTGTTGAACACATACAGATGTGATGAGACCTGAAACAAGGACCGTGTCAATACCAGCGTTGCGGAGAATGTCTAGCAGGCAAGTATCGGTCGTTGAGCTCCAGGATGTCTTGGTCACTACCAGTTCGTCCTTCTCGGGTGTGGCAAAGCCTTCCCATTTTGACGATGGCCTGACGACAGGTGGAATTCTACCTTGATGAAGTCGTGTGAACTGTTGCAACCATGGCGAACGGTCATAGGAATAATCTGCTCGAACCCATATGCATTTCATTCCTTGGCTTCTACAATTCTCAATCAAGGAAGACATTTTGGCTGGAAAGTGAGGGAAATCCTTTCGTACTGCAGGACATTCCGACCAATATTCAGGTTGAACATCGACGATCAGAAGTGCCGTCTGCGTTGGGTCTATCGATGGACATCTTGGTGCAATGGACTTGCCGCGTTTGGAAAGGGTATCTTGTTCATCGGCAAAGTTTCCTTGACTGTAAAGAGGCGGGCCTCTGATCTTGAGTTCTTCGTATTTTCTCTTTTGTGGTGGAGCCATCGTTAGTCTTGGTAGTTCGAATTGTCGTTTAAAATTATGAGAACCCACTGAAAAGCCAACTGATGGAAACATCGGATAGTTGCCTTTTCTTCCGCAACAGAACTTCTTGATGAGAATTGGAATTTCGGATTTGAAAAGAATTCTGGAGCAAGGCGAAAGAATGTGAGTGAGTTCCAGATGCGGAAAAGTCGACGACGATATCGTTAAGTAAAACACCACCATCGTTAAAAATCAGATGTTTTTGGAATAAAGGATTGCCGTTGAAACTCCGATTGGTTCCGATGACGTGGAAATGTCGAAGTTTTGACGTGACATATTTTGAAATGCTGCGTGCATTCTGTTCCAAGACAGTGTGGTACAAAATGGGACACGCACACAGACCTACAGGAAATTGAAAATGATGAAAAACAAAAAACGTACTTCCGCACCACGGTTTTCCATAAAACGTACCTACAGTACATTCTACTTTTCAACAACAATGATCTCTACTATAGATTCAGCTCTTCGAGATACAGGACTGTGGCCACTACCAATGCCAATCGGTATTGCTGTTCTATGCTACCTCGTACCTCCAATGCAATGGATCAATCGCGGATTTACCCACTGGTTCCACCTCGCATCCTTTCTCTACGCATTGACGCAATCCGAGTTCATCCGGAAGGGTTTGGCGCTCATGGGCATAAGCATATGCATCGGCTGGTACGCTGCGATAACAATGGATCTGTTGAAATATGGCAATTTCTTTAAAATTCTCTACTGGAACATGCCGTCGTCGTTGACCAACGTGATGGTGCAAGACGGAATTGTCCATTATGACACTTGGGAATCCATCGGCACCATGGCCCTTTCACATGTTCTTGATACACTGGGCCACCCGCTACTCACGTACTACTTTTGGTGCAAGCATACGGAGAAGGGCGGAACATTCAAAAGTTTGTTGAGCTGGGATATCGTTGTGGCGACCTGGCTATTTTCGCGGACATGGAGCTTGTCCCACTCCAAATACAATTTTGGAGAGTTCCATATGTACTACATCGGATACGATGTATACAAGATTACAGAAGGGACGCTTGATCTGTGGTATCCAGCCTATATCACGGAAAGTACGTTGTATTTCTGCATCACTTGTTGGAAGCTATCGAACCTGCTTGCTGGAGGGACAATATCATCATCATCGTCGTTATCGAGTAAAGAAGATAGTACTCCTGCCGGCAAACTTTCGAAAGACGAATCGACGTACGACAGGCAGCCATCACTTCGATACAGTGAATCGAGCATGTCCTCAACCACGCGATAGAGGAGTCAAGAACATTGGTATACCAATCAATCTTGCTTTGTGGCAACAACAACGACAAGAAGTCGAGAATTCGTCGTCGACACATACTAGAAACCAAGGACAAAGCCGAATAACCTATTTCCTTTACATAAACTCATAGATCTTCATTCACTTAAAATGACAAAGAAAACAGAGAGCTGCTTGCAATTGATTTACACTACCTAACTTGTGTTGAACTCTGGTGCTTTTTACAGTCTCACGTCAACTCATTTCTTCTTGTCCGTCATCAGGCAAGTCGCCAGTTCGGCGTTTGTCCGTCATCGCAGCCGAACCAGGCAGACAGGCGACAGACAGATTTGCGAACCGCATCTTTTTAGAAGAAAAATAAAAGCACACAACATACTGTACCTGACACGAGGCAAATAGACAACCGACAAAGAAACACCATGCTCAAGCCTAGACTTTCAAGTTGCACTATTGTATGCCTTCTCATCACATTAATATTTCTTCCGTTTCATGATTGTTTCTCCCCAATAAAATCTATTCGATTGATACGACAACAACAACAACAACATGGCTTAACTTCTTTGTCGGCCCAATACTCGGATGATTTCGAGCATGAGGAAGATGATGATGATGATGACGACGACGACGACGATGATGATTACATACCAGAAGTCGATGTAAAGAACTTCAAGCCTCCAAAGACTGCGGCTAGCTTTGGGTTCAATAGTGGGCGGTCATCACCGTCAATTCGAAAGGCAATGGGGGTATCGGGAAAATCAGCTGCAAAAGGTAAGAATCTTGAAATGCATGCATTCAGCGGAACTTTGTCATTTTCATAAAAGGCGAGGCTGACCAATGGTTAATGAAAAATAAGTCTTTGTATGTACAAACTGTGGAACCGAGTCGGTACAATGGAGAGGGAAATGCCCGACATGCCATGAATGGAACACATTTCAAGAATTCTCTGCAAACAGAGGCAATAGTCCAAACAACAAACTCAAGCCGCGTTTCGGATCCAGTGCATCTAGTGGTGGACGTAGCAGCACTTGGCTAGATGGAATTGATGATTCTGGTTACGATCGCCCCGTCTCAGTTGATAAGATTGATCGAAACGCAGAAAGTTCAAAGCGATTGTTGATTCCAGATGATGATGAGCTAAACACTGTCCTTGGTGGGGGATTGGTCAAGGGGTCGCTGATCCTATTGGGCGGCGACCCAGGTGTTGGAAAATCCACACTAGCGTTGCAGCTAGCAGCTCAAATAGCGGCGACTAGTACCCCACCCGTTGGAGTGGGCATGGGCGAGGTTCCAACGTCGATTCAAGGACCAGTTTGGTATGTTTCAGGCGAGGAGACTATGGAGCAAATCGCTTCACGAGCCGAGCGCTTGCATGTCTCGACTTTATCTCAATTGCTACTACTGTCAGAGACAAGTGTTGAGCGTATTGCCAACCAAGTGGTATCCCTTTTGGATATTCCAGATGGACAAGTCGCTGAAAATTATCCTCCGTCTTTGATTGTGATCGATTCTATTCAAACCATGATGTCTGAGGACATCATGGGTAGTCCTGGTGGAGTCTCCCAGGTTCGTGAATGCATGGCTCTACTTTTGAGGCTAGCAAAGTCTACAAAAATACCGATCATTTGCATCGGACATGTGACCAAATCAGGTGATGTTGCTGGTCCACGAATGGTCGAGCATATGGTGGATGCTGTGTTGTACTTGCAGAGCTCTGGTGACGAGGGATCATTCCGATGGTTGAGAGCTAGTAAAAATCGATTTGGTACCTGCCAAGTTGTCGGCCTTTATGAATTCCAAGATGGAAGACTACTGCCAAACCCGGACATGAAAGAAAGTCCTTTGAGAGAAGAGGACGCGGAAGGTGCTGCATTGGCAATCACAGTCGAAGGTGGCAGCCGCGCAATGCTTCAAGAAGTACAAGCATTGGTGACGCCATCGAGTAACGCTTTTGGGAAGAAAATAGTCGACGGGTTTCCTTATGCTCGTGTGAACTTGCTTTTGGGAGTCCTACAGAAGCATTGTCATGTCATTATTGGGAACAGGAAGGATGTCTATGTGAATGTAGCGGGCACATCAGTCAAGAATTCGAACTCAGCAGTTGAACTGGATTTGGCAGTGGCAATAGCCTTGACTAGCAGTCACGGATCCGTCCCTATCCGCGGAGACACAGTATTCTTGGCACAAGTTGGACTCTTGGGAGAACTCCGAGGGCTGAAAGGAGAAATGGAAGCGCGATTGATCCAAGCTAGACGGACTGGGATTTCACGAGCCATTGTCGCGGGAAGAAAATTTAAGATAACTCGCAAGTTCGATCTAGAGGTAATCGAATGCCCAACTTTGAAGCAGGCTTTGGAGTTGGGACTAACATCAGGGAGTATCCCCAGGCCACGAAAAATGAAACGAACTACCAAGCTTAAAAGCGACTCCAACGAGCCCAACTCGCTAGAAGACCTTGACTTGGATGACGTGATCTTGGATGATGAAGAAGATGTTGAGGACGATTATTTCCTCTGAACTTTTGGCGCAGGGGAGTGGATCAGTCTAGGGATCGTCACCAAATTTGTACCCTCCGACTTTCCGGCACGGGAATCTTTCGGCATCCACGGCAGTGACAGTCCTCTGGTACAGTCATAGGAAGTAAGAAAGGAACTAGAATCGGTTGGTTGTCTTTCCTGACAATACAAAAAAGCTTTTTCGATCCAGTGCATGTCCGTCGTTCGCTATTTCTACGACTCGACTAAAACGAACTTCCTCAACAAAATAATACAACAACGAAACACAATTTGAAATTTCATTCCATCACGCTTGACTGCCACTTTTTGACGACAACCGACGACGTCGCTTTGTCCGAAGTCTTACAATGCAGCATGAAAGACCAGGCGAAGTGTTTGATCAAGTGCGACGAGGCGAAATGCAGCTCAAGGGTGCTCGCGAATCGAAAAATGGAGAAGTCGGAAAAGCTTCGGGCAATGACAGGGCAAGCGAGGCAGTGCTAGATAGAATGCAGAGTGGAGAATCCAAAGAGACAATTGCAGAAGAAATAGATGATATCCAAAGCGTTGGGTCTCCTCTCAAGCGCCCCAGGACGAGTGTGAATGAGAGTTTGGGAGCGCTCGACAACATCTGGAACATAAAGGCTGTCAACAGCAAAAAAGGACGCCTTGACGTGATACACGAAACTAGGGAACTGCTCACAAACTCTGTTGCAGAGTTGATACAAGACGGAAAGAAGGCACATCATAAGTGGGCGCGAGTCCAACAAGAGCTTGATCTAGCAAACGAATACATTTCTTCTAAAACACACGAAATCGAACGCCTCCGAGCCTTGGACGCAAAGAATCGGGAGAATATTTCGGTACGCATCTCTAAAAATCTTGCTACGCTTTTCCCATAGAATCTTAACCAAAACATCCATTCTCTCCAGAAACTATTGCGCACTGTGACCTCGACGAATGAAGCAACCCAGGAGCAAAGCCAAGCCAAAGTATCGGAAGCTCGCTTGCGCTCAGATTTGCTTCAAATGACAAAATCTCGGGACGAAGCCAGACAAAGGCTTAGCAAAACAGAAAAGCGATGCAAGCTTCTAGAGAAAGATCTCGCGGGAGTCAAGTCAAAGTTGGCCCAAGAGCTACAGGCAAAGAAACAAATGCAACACCATCAACAAGCTGCCGAGTCACTGAAAAATGCATTCCATGGTGGCAACCAGTCAAATATTGACTATTACAAACGCAAGGTAAGTGATGCTTCTGGTAAGCACTGTGTATTTGTGGGAACCAGTCATTCATTGACAAGTTGCTGGCTATTTTTGTAGGTGACAGAGCTGAACACTCATGTTCAAGGGCTTACCTGGATTCTGGCCGAGCGCAATCGAGAAATTGAATTGCTTCAACATCAAAAGGATCGCTTTTTGACTCAGAATCAGCAATCTTCTCGACGCAAAGAGGCCAAAGGAACAACGAGAAGTCGAAAGTAAAGGTGCTAAACACAACGAAGAAGGGGGAAGTGGGTCTCTAGGAGAACACCACCATGCTGTTGATCCAATGTAGGACTATGGAATAGCGAGTGTTTTCCCTCATAACCATACGCTCCACAGATAATCCAAAAAATACGAATAGACTTCTTCTACTGGTACCTGTATCGAATACTCCTGGGTGGAGATACTAGCCAAATTATCACCACACCGGTACGCAGCCACACAATGACTCGAATCAATGTTAGTCTGCGTCTATGACTGACTGATACTGTTCCGGCACCTGTGGTACCTGGTACGAGGTGGAGGAAAGGATACCGGTACAGTTCCAGGTACCGGTACCTGGTACTAATACCATAACGCGTCTGTGGTATCCTTTGTCAACGGAAGTTGAAATGACTCGTTGGCTTTATTGATAGTCGTAGAATAGATGGTCGTGAAATAGAAAGCTCTTGTGAATGGAAAATCCCTACTCTAAGTCGATAGTCATCACGACCTACCAAAACCAATTTGTCACATGATATTTCTTAGAACTATGTCCCCACTAACAACTGAAGAACCAACCAAATATCAAAATGGGAAATTATGTTATGTAACGTCACCTGTAATTAGGACGTGAAATGTCTCGGAAATATCCATGGGTCTCTCTTCCGTCCAAAAACATGGGTCACACAATTTTTACCTTTCTCTACAAGACGAAATCATCTCTCCAACAACCAAACTCGCCACGATGACAGGAAGAAAAGTTGCATTCGGCAGCGTTGAAATTATTGAATTGCCTTACACAATCGGTCATGGACCAACATCGGGTGCACCAGTTTCTCTTGGTTGGGACCTCATCGATCGAAGCTTGTTCAATCTAGACTTCTTTGAGCACTTCAGACCACCAAGAAGGACAAGGCCAGCACTTCGTCTTAGTGCACAGAAGAGGAGAAATCTACTGTTGAAAAATGGTCACTCGATAAACGAAATTGAATCATGCGAAATGGAAGCTTTGAGACTCCGAAAAGAAAGAATCATGTCCATTCGTCTACAGCGCAAGATCCATGCATGTGCACTCGAGATGAAGCCAGTTGCACCAAAGGCAGCTTGAACCACTTAAAAGAATACTTAGAATATTGCTAGTGCAATCAGCCACTGGAATCATCTGGGGATGCAGCCAAGAGGCAATTCGACTGCTTAAAAGGTCACATGATTGCCAGTTTCATGAAGCCCAACGCAAATGGGACAGAACATCATTATATGATCGAAACGCAGAAGACCCCCCCCCCCCTCAGCTCCGAGCGCGCTTTGGGTTGTGCACAATCTGTATCCCCAAAAAATACCACTTGACGATGGCATTCGTAAATGATAAAAAGAAATAGAATATATCATAACTGAACTTTCCTTCCCACTTCCTCATTCAAGAAGGGCTAGGGTTACAGAAGGAGTACCAAAGGAAAAAATCCGTGTAAAGTGGTGGTAGTTAGACTTCATTTCGGTTGAAGTTGGCCTGAGCAAGGCTGTGAATTTCTTGCTGCAGGTGTTCGTTAACCTGTTTCATAGTCTCCAACTGCATCTCTTTCGCGTTGACATATTCTGTCATTTCTGCAATGAGTCGTTCTAGTTCTACGTTTCGTTCGAGAATAGAAGTTGTCTGCGTATCTAATCCCGATCTTTCTTGCGCAGCTTTTGCTTGTTCGTATGCCATTCGATACTGATGCGCATCTTCTAGTGCTTTCTTTTTTTGTTTTCGCAATAGATCGATTTCCTCCAGCAATGATTCATGATCTGATAACATTTTGTCAATCTCATTTACAGATCTGCCATTTCGGCATATCCGTGCAATCTCTTTTGTCAAACTGTCATTTTTCTGCTTGAAGCTATTGCGCTCAGCCTTCAGCTGCTGGTTTTTCTTCTGAAGGGGCTCCATCTCTTTTTTTAAGGAAGCAAATTTCTCTTCCTCTTGCTTGACACATATCGTCAGTTTGTCTATTTTCTCAAGCGCAGATTGCATATCTGCCTGGCTTTTTATTTCGTTTTCTTTCGCCTCCTTGAGTGACTTTTCAAAGTTGACGCACCGATTGTTTGATTGGTCAAGTTCAGATTGTAGGGCATGGTATTTTGCTACCTGCTCTGACATTTCACTCAGCGACGATCGGAGTTCGCCCATTCGTAGAAGTTTCGATTCTCTTGCTTCCACGGCTGCAGATAGAACGGCCTTTTCATTTTGTAACGACTTATTGTTCTTCTCAAGTTCCGCGATCTTTTCTGATTGCTTGGACATGTGCCCTTCCAAGCTCTTCACGTTTTCCAAATGAGCAGATTTGGTTTCAGACATGATGCTTTCGAACGACTCAATTTTCGTCTCTGCGCTTTGCACTGCATGTTGCATATTTTGACACGCACTCCTTGATTGTCTGAGTTCATCTTGGCAGGATACAAGTGAAGTTTTCATTTGCTGGTAAACATCTTCTGACTTGGCTACTTGCCGCTGCAGCTCAGACACAACCTTGTCTTTTCTGGCAAGCTTCGCTCGCAGCATTTCCAATTCGTTCGTCAAGGATGATACCATTTCTTTCTCGGGGCTTTCACCGGACACCGACTCTGTGATTGTGGCAGCTGGGGATTGCAATGGCAATGACGAAGCTATCGACTTATCAGGTGACAATAGCTGTGAACCGTTACGCGGCGTGGTACAATCGGTTGACGAAAGCGAGTCATCGTCCATGAAGCTTCGTGGCTGTTGTGACTGTACATCGTCATCAAAGAGAAGTGTTTTGCAGCCCAGCTTTCCAGGCCTTCCCTGATAATTTGCAATTCCAAGAGCCATCAGAAGAGATTCCCTTGTAATCCGATTTGAGGCCTTCAACAAGAGCTTCCCATCTGTGAGAACCGCTTCTAACATTGATCCCTCTTCAGGTACAACTGGAAACAAAAGATCAAGATCATTTGAGTTGGAAGCATCAGCAGTGGCTGTCACTTGCTTGATAGGCTCATCTGTCAGTTTGATCGTTTCGTCACCCGAGACTGTATGGATCGTCACTGCGCTCATGGCAACCTGTTTGTGGTGTAGTTTGCCAACTCCGATCGAAATGTCAATGGAAAATCTATGGCTTTGGGCATTTCCTCTCCCTGATATTCCTCCAAATTTAGCTCCACGTGAAAGTGCCTGCCTGGCTCCATTGAAAATACTTGGATCTGCAACAATTGGATGTTCCAAGTCAATTGCAATGTCAGCAGTAGATCCAATCGAGTTCAAATCGTCGTCATCGTCGGAGGAATCGTCTGAATCCACAGACGAGTTACCGTCGCCCTCGAGTGTCACATGACATCTCAAGCGTCGACCAACCAATGTTGCATTCGGTTGGAACGCGGAGGAAGTGGCACCCTCCAATGGAATCCATTCAACATCTCCACATCCGTCGTTTTTCCCCGAGACGGTAGAAGTCACAGAATTCAAATCATCGGGAACTGAAACCACAGCCTTTTTCGAAGAACGATACCATTGAAATTGATGGCCTTTCTTGGTGGACAATGCCTTTGTTGCGGATGCACGAACCAACAGCAGAGAAGTGGTACTGATTTTCGGCTCCTTTAGTGTGTTGGCAGGAATCAGAACCCCGATACTAGTCTGATAAAAGACGTCGCAAGGTTTCGGTTCGTCACGTGACGGGTGATGCGTTGTCTGCTGTGTTGTGTTCTGTATTCGCTCCTTTGCGGCAGTTGCCACAGCTGTTGCGGCAGTATTAGCCGCGACAGATGCCTGTGCTCGCATTCGTTGCCCCCATGACAGTAGAGAGTTTATGGAGTCCTTTTGTTGATGTTGCTGAGGGTTTTGCTCTTCGTGATCGCCTGCATTCTTGTGGTCGCTATTAACTTCAGCTGGTTCATTATTCTGCCCCTGTTGTACTTCTATCGTCCCCACTGCTCCATCGTCACATGGTCCTGGAGTGAATACCAGTACAATTGGAAACGATGTGGTTTGTCGAATGTTTGCTAGAATGGAAGTGAAGTCCATATCTGTCCAATCGTCATTTTGCTGAGTGCTGATTGGAGACGATTCCATTCGGATCAGAACCAAGCCTGTCAAATCACTAGAAGTTTCGCTATCATCACGATTTTCGTTCGATCCTTCTGACCTGTTTTTATCATTGTCATCCTCGTTTGCGGATTGAGAGGATACCGAAGGAACAAAGGTTGAAATTACTGCACCGATGCCTTCCTCTTCAATACGAGGAACCAACATCAACCTAGTTTGTACATCCAAATAGTCAGCAAATTCAAGGCGCTGAATTTGAGGGCATGTTTCTGGATCGATCGAGTGGTTCATGTTGTCAATACTCGCAGCCGTAGCTTTGTTGGCCGTTGCCATATCGACACTGAGGGAGCTTCGAGTGGAATGATCGGACATGGAAATATAGATTTTCCTGATGCAATGGTAATTCTTCTATCCGGTTGTGCTTCAGATTCGATCAGGTATGGTTTTATCTGGCTTCAAACGCAATGTTTGTAGGATTTCTTTCAATGGTTCTGTACCGACACCGGTAGGAGACGATATGCGACAAGACTGATGACGGTTGGTGAGGAAAGGAAATTTCCGTTGTTGATGATTTTTCAAAAAGATGAAGTACTTGCGTAGTTCTTCTTTGTTCACGCACCACGTCGACGAACGTACAGTGCACCGGTACACGTGTACCCCCCTTTACAGTGTACCGGAAGTGTACACGTACGATGGACATGAACAGTGAAATGAAAAGACGCTGTACGCCAGACAGACACACGACACCATTCAGTTGGGTGGATGAGAAATAAATGAGAGATTTTAAGAACACATCAACTGATTTTGGAACTTGCAACAACGCATAACCTTTTGAGCTGAAGAAAGAGGATTAGGACAGTGTGGTTCATTGAGAGGTATTCTCTATCGTGGTAATTCAGAATTATTGCTCATAGCCAAAACATCGCGGTAGCTTGTATGACGACAACAAACTGAACACAGACACATTGCCACTTTCAAAGAAAAACAACCAATACGCCGCTAAATTCAATATGCCACAATCCAAAAGTATCGGGTCTACAACCACCAAAGTTCTTAGGATACTCGCTACGGCATACATATGGACTGGCGTTTCGTCGTTCGTTCTGCCTCCTCACAAGCGGGCGCTGGTTCCTTTTCTCACGCGGAGTGAGGAATACTACTGTCGTCAGCTAGCCGATAGTGGGTTTCAATGCTGGCAACTGAATAAGCTCTCATCACAAAATGGAAGGGAGACAAGATTATACGAAGGCACAACAGAGACGGAGTCGTCTTCCAGTGTGACATCTGATGCGGGAAATGAATTGATTGCTCGCTCCACCAATGGTGCAACAGAGACGGACTCCTCCAGTGTGACAGCTGATGCGCGAACAGCATTGATTGATCGCATGTCCACGAATTCCCAATCCTTGACCCTCAATGGTGCCAATACGAATAATGTAAACGGATCGAACAATGTAAACGGATCGAACGGAGTTTCTACAACCACCGATGGTCCGCCACGGATACAGTTGGAGGATATACCACAACCTACAGCCAATGGAGGATTTACTCATACGAATGCCAGTCGGGCTAAGATTGGTGCTGCCAACAAGGGAAAGACGCCGTGGAACAAAGGAAAGGCTAGATCGGAAGAAGTCAGAGCTAGAATTGCTGCAGGAGTGCGAGCTAAGAACCGTGAGCGATTCTTAGAAAAGCTCAAAGCACAAGGCATAACCGAAGAAGAATACAATGCTCAAGAAGCAGCAAAAAAAGCGAAAAAGGAAGCTGAAACGAATGCTCGACGAACTGCAAAGGGAGGGTTCCGGCCGAGCGAAGAAACAAAGGCAAAGATATCAAAAATATTGAAAGAAAAGCATGCAAAAGGAGAAATCAAACCTCGTACGGTCGATCCCAGCAAGGTTAGGAGGGGTTTCACGCATTCGGAAGAAACTCGGGCCAAGATATCAGCCTCGCTAAAGAAACGATGGGCTACCGATGAGGAATATCGAGAAAAGATGAAGGAAGGAGCAAAAAAAAGTAGTTCATCAGAGGAAACGCGTAAACGGATATCCGCATCACTTAAGAAAAAGTGGAAAGACCCAGAATTTCGCACTGCAATGATGGCCAAACTTGCAGCAGGAGGAAGAGGAGAGACTGGCCAGAAACAAAGCGAAGAGAAAAGAAAGAAGATTTCAGAAACCATGAAGAAAAGATGGCAGAATGAAGAGTACCGGAAGAAGCTTCTGGATTCAATTGCCAACAGAAAAGCACCTGCAAAGAGGAAGAAAAAGGAAAAGAAGGGTGTTACCAAGGGTTCTGCTACGAAACTTGAACAGATTTCGAAGTTGAAGCCTCTGGAGACTGGTGGAGAACATTCATCAAAGAAGAAGCGAAAGAAGAAAGTTGTCTTTGCCAAAAGCGAGGAGGATGTCTTTCAGGCACGGCGGCCAAAACCGAAGGTGACAAAGAAGCCACCCGCCAAGAAAGAGCGAAAGAAGAAAGAGGCCGATGGTAGTGTGAATCGTTTGAAAGAAGAAAGCCGGGAATTGTTCGATCTTTTGTATGGGGACGAAGACCAATTTGATGACGTTGATGAAGCTTCCAAACCTATTCAACGGAAACCTGCCTTCTTTGATTTTGGTGACGAAGACCTTGATGCCTTTGATCCCTACGGCTTGGAAGACTACTAGACTAGAAAATGAAAAATTACACAGTATCCATGCCACTTTTCCTTCCGATGTAGATGATACTTTGTGCCCAATGGCAACTAAATTTCGAGGAGACATTGACTAGTCCGATTGAGCGAAGTTGCGCTCACAACTTCATCATCTTCTCGAATCGAATGAATGGCACTAATAGGCAAAAGAAGAAGGTGGCTTTCACTAGCTCATGCCCCTATTCGACGAAAAGCCTGCGTCACAGTGACTTTGGCTCTAGCGGTTGCTCTTGGATGGCTTCTGCGATATGGTTCCACTTCATCATTATCACCCTCCGAAATGTCTATTGTCATTGTGACAAAGCCGTCGTCTTCTGATGCCAACACCAACAAGTCAATATCTTCATCCCATCAATCTGGGGCCATTGTCCTCTTGGCACCGCAGCGAAATCAGGGATCGCTTTGGGCCACGGATCGCTTTTGCCTCTTGCTTCGTGCGATACGGAGCGTGGATCAGCATTTGAATG